CCCCCCCCCTCCCTCTCCGCCTGCTCGATTGTTCGTCTCTCTGTCGACTCCGGCTCTGTACGCTCCTTCATCTGGCTGTCATACAGCCGTTCATTCATTCTGTTTTACCGATACCTACCTAGCTAGGTAGCCTAAAGTTATATACCATTCATTCTGTGTCTGTCTTGCACGTCCACTCTCTCGTCGTCATTGAGAGCCGTTCCCTGGAGATTTGGAAAGAAGCGTCAATTAGCAATTTGAAAAGAGAAGAGGAATAGAAAGAGAAAGAGAAAGAGAAACAAAAGAGAGATAAAAAGGAAGGAGAAATGTTTTCGCGTTCTCTACTCGGCCTGCTGGCCCTCGTCGGGTCGGTGGCCGCTCAAACCTATACCAACTGTGACCCCCTCAACAAGACGTGTCCCGCGGATCCCGCGCTGGGCACGGAGCATACCTGGCAATTCAACACCACGCTTGACGACAAGATCTGGAACGTGACCAACGGCGAAATCACCACTGCCAGCAACGGCACCATGTTCCAGATCAAGGAGAAGCTGCAGTCGCCCACCATCGAGTCTACCTTCTATATCTTCTTCGGCATCGTCGAGTCGCATGTCCAGATGGCCAGTGGCGCCGGCGTCGTGAGCAGTGTCGTCCTCGAGTCTGACGACCTGGATGAGATCGATTGGGAGTGGGTCGGCTACAACACCAGCGGCGTGCAGTCCAACTACTACGGCAAGGGCAACACCACCTCCTACGACCGCGCCGGTTACCACTACGTCCCCAACGCCGCCACCGAGTTCCACAACTACACCACCCACTGGACCCATGAGAAGCTCGAGTGGTGGATCGATGGCGAGTTGGTCCGCACCCTGCTCTACGAAGATGCCGTCGACGGCAGGAACTATCCCCAGACTCCCTCCACCGTGCGCTACGGAATCTGGCCCGGCGGTGATCCCAGCGAGTCTACCGGCACAATCGAATGGGCCGGCGGCGAGATCAACTACACCGCAGGCCCCTACACCATGATCGTCGAAAAGGTCCGCGTCCACGACTTCCACACCGGCAAGTCCTACGAGTACACCAACCACTCGGGTGACTGGCAAAGCATCAAAGTCGTCAGGTAGGGGGGGTTTTTTTTTCTTGCCTTTTTTTTTTCCAATTCGCATGATCGTTACTAACTCTTTGCATAGTGGTAATTCCACTGCCGAGGTTGAGCTGACCAAGGCCCCTGCAAAGACCCTGGCCGAGAAGTGGGCGGATCTGTCCACCGGCGCCAAAATCGGTATCTACTGCGGCGCCGCTGCCTTCGTCGTCGGTTCCGCCGGCGCCTTTGTCCTGTTCTTTCTCAACCAGCGCAAGAAGGGTCGTCTCGAACACGCCCTCGAGGATACCAAGTTCTCCGCCGAGCGTACGGAAATGCAAAACTTCCAGACCGACTGGCGACAAAGCGAATGGAAGAACAACGGTTACCGTCCCGTACAGTAACTGGTCCAATCTCAAAGGAAAGAAAAAAACACAACCCATTTGGGGAGGTTTTTTTTTTCTTTTTTTTTTCACTCACTTCCCTTCCCTCGTGAACCAAAAAGCATGCTCTCGCGCCGTCTCGCGACGTTTGGTCCGCTCTGGCGTCCTTTCGCTGTAGACTTAAGAGAGTCAACCTTGCGCCCGATCGGCTGGCCCGTCCGGAACCCAAGGCTTTTCCTAGCCTCGTTTATATACACCTAACCTTCTCCTCCCGGTTCTTATTTACTTCTTCCCCGGGTCTTTGGCGTCCGACGGCGCTCGGTGGGCTTGACTAACGACGATTCCTGCGAACACACCGTTGCTTTTCTGAAGCATACCTCTTTCTAGATATCCCTCGCTCCCTTTTGAGTCCTGCTGTGGCAAATCGCATTCTTTGCCGTGCCTTTATTTCTCTCTCTCTCTCTCTCTCCCTCGTCTTCCTTCTTTTTTGGTTAGACCTCTGGGCAATCTTATCGTGCTGCCTTCTCCATCAAATCATGTATATACCATTTCTCTCTTCTGGCGAGCCATTTGCCGCTCCAGTATCTTGATTTTCTTCTTCTTCTTGAATTCTTTTATCCAGACCGATTTTCCGAGCCTCTCGTTCTGTCCGGGGCCTACCGTGTCTTGGAACGATTTTTCTTGTTCGCTTTTTGGGCGCTCTATGACCGAATACACGATCTTTTCCAATCTGCCAGCCTTTTTGGCTTCCTCTTTTATTTTTGAGAGAGAATCCGTGTCAGTTGAGCATTCAACCTGACCGAATACCCTCAGCGTAGCGAGTGGATTCGCTAGTAGATCAGATCAAGATATCAAGATATCAAGATATCCGTCAGAGCCATCAGGGGGGTGTGACATGGTGAGGTCTCCCCCTGTGAGCGTGCCAGAAGCGGACAACGTGTAACCGCCAAGTCACATCCCTCCCAGTGCCTGAGTCACCATTGGATCAGCCTTCGCATCCTTCGCATCCTTCCGGCGATCATTTTACACTAACAGATTCAACTAGTTATCTCTCTCTCTCTCTCTCTCTCTACCTGTGAGGTCGCATCCTGCCCCTCCGTCCGTGGTGTCCGCCCTCGGTGATACCAGCAGCAAGCAACATTTGCCCGAGGCGATAGAGAATGCGTATCGCCGTATCGCCGTATTCGTCGTATCACCGTATACTTCGTATTGGCAATGGTCTCTTCTCTTTTCTTTTCTTTTCTTTTTTACCTGATCGGCAAGAGTGACCTTAAACTAACTGGGAATAAAGCCATCCTTAGGTATGTACCTAAAACTAACTATCACACGCCCTCGTGTGGTTCTGAGATAATGAACTGGAGTTGCGCAGGTTGCGACGGGTAGGACATAGTCTCTCTGGGGCCTTCCAGGGACGGAGTACATACACAAGACAGTGAACACACACAAGGCACCCGTGTCGACGATGATGTGTAACCGTTATGACCGTTCTGGCCCGTTCTGGCCGTTTTGGGGATGGATTGTTGTGTCTACCTACTATGTTAGTATGCAACTACTACATAGGTGAATTGTCTGGATCCGGCGATCGACAACGTCATTGGCATGCGGATTCCAATGGTCCAGCCACGACTACTGAACCTTATGGCGCGAACTGGATCCTCAAAAATGAGGGGGGGGCAGATACTCGGATCTAGATCCGTGGTTGGGAGTCTTCATTTTGTTTGTCTCTTCGTATTAGTGAGGATCGATCGATTCCTTCTGAGCTCCTGCGGTCCTGCATAGCTCCCTGCAACTAGCGATCCTTCGCTGTGTGCTACACTGTGGTATTTAACATCCCTCCCTGTCTGCCAGCCCTTCCATTTTCAAGTTGTGGTATATGGTTGTCAAAGGTGATTCCCCTATCATTGACAATTTGAAGGGGAAAGAAAAAAGAGAGAGAGAGAATGTCAGCCAAAAAGGGTGAACCCGTTGGCTCCGAAGAGGATGGGATCGTCCCAGCCAGCTCATCTCAGGATGGCACGGCAGTGGAATCGCCCATCCGCGAGGGAGGAGAGGAGAACTACTATGGCCGTGACGACTTCACTGGGTTCGAGCCCATTGGGGAACGTGACCGCGAGGAGCTCTCTCGCTTGGCCTCCAACTACTCGGTTCGCGCGAATCGTCCCAGCGTCAGTCGGGCCAACACCCTCGATGCCATCCAGGAGGATGATCCCGCCCTTGACCCCAACAGCGGCAAGTTCGAGCCGTACAAATGGGCGCGGATGACAATCAAGCGGCTCGACGACGAGGGCATCACCCGCGAGCGCGCTGGCTTGGTCTTCAGCAACCTCAATGTCTCGGGAACGGGTTCCGCGCTGCAGCTCCAGGAGACGGTTGGATCTGTCCTGCTGGCACCCTTCAAGCTCGGCAGCTATCTCAACCTGGCCCGCTCGGCCCCGAAACGACAGATCCTGCGCAACTTCGATGGCGCCCTCAAGAGCGGCGAGATGCTCATGGTGCTCGGCAGACCGGGCAGTGGATGCTCGACCTTCCTCAAAACGCTGTGTGGGGAGTTGCATGGATTGAACCTGCGTCAGGACTCGGTCATCCACTACAACGGTATTCCCATGGAGACCATGCATAAGGAGTTCAAGGGTGAATGCGTCTACAACCAGGAGGTCGACAAGCATTTCCCCCACCTGACCGTCGGCCAGACCCTGGAGTTTGCTGCCTCGGCCAGAACTCCCTCGAACCGTGTGTCTGGCGTGAGCCGCGAGGAGTATGTCACGCATATGACACAGGTCATGATGGCGGTGCTGGGTCTGACCCACACTTATAACACCAAAGGTACGATGACCAGCGGCCATACTGGAGCTATGTTCTTGTTAGTTAACACAAAAACTAGTGGGAAATGACTACATCAGAGGTGTCTCGGGTGGTGAGAGGAAGCGAGTCAGGTATGTCTTCCGAATAATCTTTTGCTTACGCTTCAAAATGGATCGATCTAATTCTGTCTCTTTTTAGTATCGCAGAGATGGCGCGTACGATACCCCTTCCCCCTTGGTGAACTACCATACTCATACATTTCTTTTTTGTCTTATAATAGTTTCTCGAGCCCCCATCGCTGCCTGGGATAATAGCACGCGTGGTCTCGATTCGGCCAGCGCCCTCCAGTTCGTCAAGGCGCTCCGTATTTCCGCTAACCTGGGAGGCAGCTGCCACGCGGTCGCCATCTACCAAGCCTCTCAGGCCATCTATGATGTTTTTGACAAGGTCGTGGTTCTCTATGAAGGCCGTGAGATCTATTTCGGCCCGTGCAAACAGGCCGAACAGTACTTTGTCAACATGGGCTGGTACAATCCGCCGCGTCAGACCACGGGCGATTTTCTCACCTCCGTCACGAACCCTCAGGAGCGGAAACCTCGTGAGGGGATGGAGAATCGTGTTCCTAGGACCCCCGACGAGTTCGAACGGTACTGGAAGAACAGCCCCGAGTACACGGCTCTCCAGAAGGAAATTGCGCAATACAACGCCGATTACCCCATGGGCGGACACGCCCACAAGGAATTAGAGGAAGTCAAGCATGTCCAACAGGCCAAGCATGTGCGGCCCAAAAGTTCCTACATTATTTCCGTGCCTATGCAGCTCCGATTATGTACAAAGCGTGCTTACCAGCGGTAAATTATGCCTTCACCACCTCACGACCCTGACTGACCCACGATGATAGGATTTGGAATGATAAGGCTTCAACATTGACTCTGCTCGTTGGCCGGGTCGTCATGTCTCTGATTATTGGATCTATTTACTTTGGGTATGATGGCCACACAAGCATTCGAGGATTGGGCTTCGCTGACGCATCCGATTTCAAAGTACTCCCGTTGCCACGGCCGGGTTTTACGCCAGAGGAGCTACGCTATTCTTTGCCGTGCTGTACGTGGTTCCCTTCCCTTATTCCTTGGCTTCAAGGATACATGCTGACTTGATTCAGATTGAACGCTCTCATCAGTATCACGGAGATCAACTCCCTGTATGACCAACGCCCGATCATCGAGAAACAGGCTTCGTACGCCTTCGTCCATCCATTCACCGAGGCTCTGGGCGGAATTGTGGCAGACATTCCAATTAAATTCATATCGGCGGTCATATTCAATGTGATCATTTATTTCTTGGCCGGCCTTCGCTACGAACCATCGCAGTTCTTCATCTTCTTCCTCTTCTCCTTCCTCGGAACGCTTGCCATGTCCTCCATCTTCCGCACGCTGGCTGCCATGACCAAAACCCTCGCACAGGCCATGGCTTTGGCGGGAATCATGGTTCTTGCCATCGTCATATACACGGGTTTCGTCGTTCCCGTGCCGCAGATGCATCCTTGGTTCAGCTGGATCCGATACATCAATCCAATCTTCTACTGCTTCGAAAGTCTCATCGCCAACGAATTCCATGGCCGCTCCTTTGAATGCTCCGAGTTCGTCCCCGCGTACCCTAGCCTGACGGGAGATGCGTTCATTTGCTCGGTTCGGGGCGCTGTTGCTGGCGAGCGGACCGTCTCGGGTGATGCCTTCATCCAGTCCAACTATGAGTACACGTACGCGCACGAATGGCGGAACCTGGGCATCGTGATTGCATTCTGGATCTTCTTCCTCCTCACCTATCTCCTAGCCTCCGAGTTCAACTCCGCCACCACCTCCACCGCCGAGTTTCTGGTCTTCCGCCGCGGTCATGTTCCGTCGTACATGAAGGAAGTAGACCGAGGAGATGGAGCGAGCAACGCTCGCACGCTGGAAGCACCCGAGTCGAACGGCGCCGCCGAGAAACGGGAGGAGGCCGGCCAAGACAACGGAGTCAGCGCCATCCCCAAACAACACGACGTCTTTACTTGGCAAAAGGTGTGTTACGACATTCCGGTTAAAGGTGGCCAGCGCCGGCTGCTCGACGAGGTCTCGGGTTGGGTGAAGCCCGGCACGCTGACCGCCCTGATGGGCGTGTCGGGGGCTGGTAAGACCACGCTTTTGGATGTCCTCGCCCAGCGGGTGTCGATTGGCGTGGTCACGGGGGACATGTTTGTCAACGGCCGGCCTCTGGATGCAAGCTTCCAACGAAATACGGGGTACGTCCAGCAGCAAGACCTTCACCTTGCGACTTCTACGGTGCGGGAGGCACTGCGCTTCAGTGCTATTCTTCGGCAGCCAAAGTCCGTCCCGCAAAAGGAGAAATACGAATATGTTGAAGAAGTCATCAAGATGTTGAACATGGAGGATTTCGCGGAAGCCGTCGTGGGCACCCCTGGCGAAGGGCTGAATGTCGAGCAACGCAAACTGCTCACCATTGGGGTAGAGCTGGCTGCGAAGCCGGCTCTCTTGCTCTTCCTTGATGAACCGACCAGTGGTCTTGATTCCCAGAGCTCCTGGTCGATCTGTGCATTCCTGCGCAAGCTGGCCGACAATGGACAAGCCGTTCTCTCCACCATCCATCAACCTAGCGCTATCTTGTTCCAGCAGTTCGATCGACTCTTGTTCCTGGCCAAGGGCGGCAAGACTGTCTACTTTGGCGAAATTGGCGAGCAGTCCCGCACGTTGCTAGATTACTTTGAGCAGAACGGAGCGCGCAAATGCGAAGATTCCGAAAACGTAAGCTTGCTTCTAAAAACATGGGTAAACTGAGCCAATGCTGATCTTTCTAGCCCGCTGAATACATGCTTGAGATTGTGGGCGCAGGCCCAGGAGGCAAATCGACACAGGACTGGCCGGTGGTATGGCGCAACAGCCCCGAAGCGCAGGGGGTGCAGACCGAGCTCCAGCAGATCCACGAGCAGAGGAAAGCAGCCGCATTGTCTCAGGGTCACGACGGCACCGGAGCGCACGGAGAGTACGCCATGCCGTTCCTTGACCAGCTGTGGTGGGTGACGCATCGTGTCTTCCAGCAGTACTGGCGAGAGCCGGCGTATATTGGAGCCAAATTCATGCTGGGCATTGCTTCGGCGCTCTTCATTGGGTTTTCTTTCTTCAAGCCGAAAAACTCGGAGCAGGGGCTTCAGGATGTGCTGTTTAGTACCTTTATGTTGACCTCTATTTTTTCCACTCTGGTTCAACAGTGAGTTTTTTTTTTTTTTTCTTTCTTCCTGGGATTAACTCTTCAGAGGATTAACCAGTCCATAGGATCATGCCCAAGTTTGTGACCCAGCGGTCTCTATACGAAGTGCGCGAGCGGCCGTCCAAGGCGTACTCGTGGGCCGCCTTTCTGATAGCCAACATTGTGGTCGAGATCCCGTACCAGATCATGCTGGGGCTAGTGGTGTGGGCCAGCTACTACTATCCGGTGTACGGGGCAGACCAGAGCTCGGAGCGACAGGGCCTGGTCCTGCTGTTCATCATGCAGTTCTTTGTGTTTGCGTCGACGTTTGCGGAGCTGGTGATTGCCTCGCTGCCGGACGCCGAGACGGGCGGCACCATCGCCACGCTCGCCTTCTCGCTGGTGCTGACCTTCAACGGCGTCATGCAGCCCCCGTCGGCGCTGCCGGGGTTCTGGATCTTCATGTACCGCGTCTCACCACTCACGTACCTCATCTCCGGGATCGTCAGCACGGGTCTCCACGGCCGTTCTGTCCGGTGCGCCCAGGCCGAGCTCAGCATCTTCAACCCACCTGGGGGATCCACGTGCGGCGACTATCTACAGCAGTATCTGGCCGTCGCTCCGGGACAGCTGTATAACCCTTCTGCGACGCAGAACTGCGAGTACTGTTCTCTATCGAGTGCCGACCTCTACCTCGCCGGCAACAATATTTGTAAGTTCTCCTCTTTTTTTTTTCAACTCTTATCTGCATGCTTTCAACTCTAGACCCTCTCCTCTGACTGAACACTCCGTATAGATTACTCCCAACGGTGGCGCAACTGGGGCATCGGCTTCGCGTACATTGGCTTCAACATCTTTGGCGCCGTGCTCCTGTACTACATGTTCCGCGTGCGTCACTACAACCCCACCTCTATCGTGCGGGGATTGTGTAATTGCGGCCGTCTGGTTGGGAGACTGTTCAAGCGGCGATCGGGACAGACGCCTCGAGGGAAGGAGTCGGACAACGGGCGGTTGTTCTAGTCCTCATTCCTACTCATCTACATTGGTAGGTACGGAGTAAGAGTAAGTCGTACGGAGGATGGACTAGTAATAGTCCTCCATACAGAAGTACAGAAGTGTACTGTACAGTCTGTACTCCTAGTACTCCGTATGTACTCCGTACTACTCCGTAGCACTGCTTCAGTAATAGTAATTAATTAATGCATTCGTATTACTTGACAGGTCATGTTGCTTAATCATGCATGGAATTAATTTAATATTATTTATAATAATTGAGACGATTAGAATAGAGTATGTAGTATGATAGTATGTAGTATGGGATATGCTATGCTAGAGTACAATGAATTATTCTCCTGCCTCAGGCATTTATTGATCCTCAGCATTTTCTGCCTCGGTTTTCTGCCTCATTTCTGCCTCAGGCTTATCGGTATGTCGGCGAGTGGAGCTCCGACCGGACCTCCGGCCCAATCGCTCCTTCCCTGTTCCGACGATGATCTGCACTTCTTAACGGGGCAATTACACATAATGCAGACGGACTAGCAACCTATGCATGTCTCACGTTCATTATTCCCATTGTTTGCTGCTCTCGACTCGTATCATGCCAGCAGGGCAGAGCCACAGCAGGGCAGAATGCAGTACGGAGGACCACAAGTCAACGCTGGAGTGGGGGGATTCCTCGTCACCACCTCGGGGCTCGGAGCAACAGAAATGCAACCAAGAAAATTGGAATGGAGGTCATATAAATACTGAACGGACGGAGCCGGGAGGGATGGAGGGAGAGGGTCGATTCCAACCATCCAGACATGTCGAAAATGGGGGAACCGTCGTATCTGCCTATTCCTGGGCCTCCTGGGCTTCCACTGCTGGGCAACATCAATGCCATCGACGCTGAAGTTCCGATCAAAAGCTTGGGGTTACTGGCTGATCAATATGGTGGGATCTCTCTTTTTTTTTACACAGTTTCCTACAGAGGGTTTTATCGGCGAGTGAGTTGACTGACGTTTCGTTTACTATCAGGCCCCATCTACCAGCTGAACCAACTCGGAAAGCCGACCATCTTCGTCAGCTCCCACGAACTGGTCGACGAATTATGTGATGAGGAACGCTTTCACAAGGCCTTGTCGGTCTCTCTGAACGAGGTTCGCAACGGGACTCATGACGGTCTGTTCACGGCCAACTGGCCGGGCGATGAGAACTGGGCCATCGCCCACCGCGTCTTGGTGCCGGCTTTTGGGCCCATTTCCATTCGGGGGATGTTTGACGGTAAGTTTCTTTCAACTCTCTCTCTCTCTCTCTCTCTCTCTCACACACACACATATATATACTCATAATGGTAGATATGTATGATCTTGCTTCTCAGCTCGCCATGAAGTGGGCGCGTCAAGGCCCCAAGGAACCAATCCAGGTGACAGAGGACTTTACCCGCCTTGCTCTAGATACCATTGCGCTGTGCGCCATGGGGACCCGCTTCAACTCCTTCTACCATGAGGACATGCATCCGTTTGTCAAGGCGATGCTGGGCCTGCTGTCGGGCTCCTTTACGCGCTCGCGTCGTCCGAACCTGTTGAACAATCTCCCCACGCGCGAGAATAACCAGTACTGGACGGATATCGCCTATCTGCGCGAATTGTCCCGGGAACTGGTCGACGATCGGAAGAACAATCCGCAGGACAAAAAAGACCTGCTGAATGCCTTGATCCTAGGCCGAGACCCGCAGACCGGCCAGGGGCTTACCGACGAGTCCATCATCGATAACATGGTCACCTTCTTGATCGCCGGCCACGAGACCACCTCCGGCATGCTCTCTTTCCTCTTCTACTACCTGCTCAAGAACCCGCACGCGTACCAAACCGCCCAGGAGGAGGTCGACAGGGTGATTGGCCGGCGCAAGATCACCGTCGAGGACCTGCCCAAGCTGCCCTACATCAATGCCGTCATGCGCGAAACCCTGCGTCTTTCCCCCACCGCCGCCGCCATCACCATTGGTCCGCATCCGGAAAAGAACAAGGAGGACCCCATCACCATCGGCAAGGGCAAGTATGTCATTAGCAAGGACCAAATCATCGTCCTTCTCCTCGGCAAGCTGCACCGCGACCCCGAGGTCTGGGGCCCGGACGCCGAGGAGTTCAAGCCCGAACGCATGCTGGATGAGAAGTTCAACAAGCTGCCCAAGAACGCCTGGAAACCATTCGGCAACGGCATGCGTGGCTGTATCGGGCGCCCCTTTGCCTGGCAGGAGGCCCAGCTGGTCATCGCCATTCTCCTACAGAACTTCACCTTCCAGATGGACAACCCGAGCTATGACTTGCGTATCAAGCAGACCCTTACCATTAAACCCAAGGATTTCCACATGAGAGCCACTCTGCGGCATGGCATGGATGCAAGCCAAATCGCCGTCGCTCTAAATACCGGCGGTTCTCAAGCCACTGCTTCCGCAAAAAAAAAGTCATCCGGCAAGTCTCACCACGGCGCTGCCCCTGGCGCGGAAGGCAAACCCATGTATATCTTTTACGGTAGCAACATGGGCACCTGCGACACGTTTGCCAGACGCTTGGCTGACGACGCCGTTGACTACGGCTTCTCCGCCCAGATTGGCCCTCTGGATTCGGCCATGCAGAATATCCCCAAAAAGGACCCTGTCATCTTCATCACCGCATCCTACGAAGGCCAACCCCCGGACAACGCCGCCCATTTCTTCGAATGGCTGAGCGGCCTCAAGGGCAACGACTTGGAGGGCGTCAACTACGCCGTGTTTGGCTGTGGTCATCGTAAGTTTTTTTTTTTTTTTTTTTTTTTTTTTTCCTTCTCTCTTTCTGAATGATTGGATCTAATTCTATAGATGATTGGCAAGCTACCTTCCACCGGATCCCCAAGGCTGTGAACCAGTTGGTCGAAGAGAATGGCGGAACACGTCTTTGCGAGATGGGACTGGCTGATGCGGCCAATTCTGACATGTTCACCGACTTTGACGGCTGGGGGGAGTCAATTCTGTGGCCGGCCATCGCTGCCAAATTCGGCCAGTCCGCTGCGTCCAAGGATGCATCCAAAACCCGGTCCGGATGGCAGGTGGACGTCAGCTCTGGGATGAGGGCGTCGCTGCTGGGTCTGCAGCTGGAGGAAGGCATCGTGCTGGAGAACCAGCTGCTGTCGCAACCGGGTGTGCCCGAGAAGCGGATGATCCGATTCAAGCTGCCGACAGATATGACCTACCAGTGCGGGGATTACCTGTCTGTGCTCCCCGTCAACCCGAACGCGGTCGTTCGCAAAGCGATCAGTCGCTTCAATCTGCCCTGGGACGCGATGATGAAGATCCAAAACACGGCGCAGAGCTCAACCGTCCCCGCCTCCATCCCCGTCGACACCCCGATCTCCGCCCTGGACCTGCTCTCGACTTATGTGGAACTGTCCCAGCCGGCCTCCAAGCGAGACCTGAACATTCTCGCCGACGCCGCGGCCACCGACCCGGACACCCAGGCGGAACTCCGTTATCTCGCCGCGAGCCCGACGCGCTTCACGGAAGAAATCGTCCGGAAACGCGTCAGTCCGCTGGATCTGCTCATGCGTTTTCCGGCCATCAGCATGCCCATCGGCGACTTCCTCTCCATGCTGCCGCCCATGCGTGTCCGGCAGTACTCCATCTCATCGTCGCCGCTGACCAACCCGTCGGAGTGCACCATTACGTTCTCTGTACTCAACGCCCCCTCTCTGGCATCCGGTGGCCACCCCGAAGAGCAACAGCCACTCTTCTTCGGTGTCGCCTCGACCTACCTATCCGACCTGAAAGTAGGCGAGCACGCGCACATCACCGTCCGGCCCTCACACACGGGGTTCAAGCCCCCGTCGGACCTGCAGACACCGATGATCATGGCCTGCGCGGGGAGCGGGATCGCGCCCTTTCGCGGCTTCATCATGGACCGGGTCGAAAAGATCCGCGCCAGACAGACGACGGCGGCGGCGGCGACAACGACCGCCGGGGGTGATGATGCTCGACCGGCCAAAGCGATTCTCTATGCAGGCTGCCGCACGCAGGGCAAAGACGACATCCACGCCTCGGAGCTGCGCGAATGGGAAGAGACCCTTGGCGCGGTCGAGGTGCGCTGGGCATACTCGCGGCCGACGGACGGGGGTGCACCACGCCACGTACAGGACCGGATGCGCGAGGACCACGCCGAGCTGGTCGCGCTGTTTGACGCCGGGGCGCGCATCTACGTGTGCGGCAACACGGGGGTGGGCAACGGGGTGCGCGAGGTGTGCAAGGAGATGTTCCTGGTGGAGCGGAGACGGCGGATAGCCACCGCTGCTGCTACGGGTGACGAGGGGATCCTGACCGAGTTTGATGATACGAACCTTGATGAGGAAGAAGCCGCGAGGAAGTTTTTCGAGAGGATCCAGGCTAAGGAGCGGTATGCCACGGATGTTTTTACTTAAGAAATTTCATAGTATATAATAATATCATATAATTGACCTAAAACACCAGTACCAACCAACAAATGAACAACAGCAACGAAGTATGAATTTAGAAAGCACAGCCAGACGGGGCAAGATCCATGACCGAGCCCGAAGGACGGATCGGGGTAGGGAGCGGTCCATCAGGATGAACAAAGGGAGGAGGACCATTCGGAGGACCATTAGAAGAAGAAAAAGGGACGGTAGGCGTCGCAGCGGGGAGAGCGATGATCTTGCTAAGGAAGGAGTCGAGCATCTCGTCGGAGGAGGAGGAGGTATCGCGCCTGTTGAAGAGGGAGGGCAGTTTGCTAGCCAGCATGGCGGCAGCTTGGGAGACGAGCGGTTCGAGGTCCTCGCCTAGTTCGACTGCTAGGGTTGCTGCTTCGGACATGGTGGGCGAGGAGGCGTCGAGGCTTGAAGAAGAAGAAGAAGAGGAGGAGGAGGAGGAAGAGAGAGAGGAGAGAGAGGAGAGAGAGGAGAGGGGGGAGGTGTCTCGTGCGTGGAGGGGGATGGAGAGGGCGGTCCCCAGGGCCATGGAGATGATGAAGAACTTCATTGTCGTCTGGTGATTTGAGTATGTTTGTGTTGAGTATGTTTGTGTTGATTCTCTGTAATGTAGTAGAGTTGACTTTATAGCCAGAGATGAGGGATTTAATGTTCTCGTTCTTGGAAAGTCAAGCGTATCGGGGAATAGATGGAAGGAACCCTTCTCAATGATGGTTCCTGGATTTGATATCGGGATAGCCCAATCCGGCGATTTGCCCCAGATCTTCATGCTGGACCCCCGTCTTGATCTACCCAGTGAGACCGATGTGAAACTCGGGAGTGTCCCTTTTCTTGTAGGATCGGCAGAACCCCGTCGGATCTCAATTTTGAGAGAGAACGTGCTCCGGATCTTATCTCGGTCTCTCGGCCTTCTCAGGTCTATGGATCGCCGGATTGGGAAATAAAATAAACTTAGTAAGCCATGTACTGTCTGTCATCTGATATCTAACACTGACTTACCTAGGTAATCAGTTGATAACTGGATTATGTATCTAGTCTTGTAACCGGACTCTGAAACACTGCCGAGGCATCAGGGATCCCCTATCCCGGATACTCGGAAGATGTCGTCAGTATGGAGTTTCGAGGCCTCGATCGTCGTGTCTGCCTTGGCTCATAGAGGCTGTTCAGCCAGGTCGATGGTGTTGAGGTGCTTGCCGGCCGAATTGAACAAGACATGAGCTCTTGTTTCAAGGGCAGAAGCTGAGTTAAGGTCGAGTTTCATTTGGAAGAAAAAGAGGAGAGAGAAAAGAATGTGCGATAGGAGGAGATTATCACGGGACGACTCTCGTGACTGTCGGGCCTGTCCCCAACGGGCAGTCGAGTGATAAACTATCTGACCAATCAAATAGATCAGATAAATGGGATCATGTGGATTCCCAAGCCCTGCCTAGCTACTCCGTAGATCGATACGGAGTACCTATGCTAAGTTATGGAAGCCCATATGGCATACTTACTCCAAGTCCTTATGGATGGGACAGTTTCTACGAATAAAAAGAACTCGATGAATTCTCGATGAATTCTCGATGAATTCTCTCTTCAAAATGTTTTGTGCATCTAATCTACTACTACATACATACAAGTAATGTAAAATGAATGGATGTAAAAAGAAAAAGCAAAAAGAAGTGCCCCCGGGGAGGATCGAACTCCCGGCCTTAGGATATCAATGGAGTTGCTGCTCCAATGTCATATCAGTGATATGAGACCTACGTGATAACCAACTACACCACAGAGGCATCTGCGAAACAGCGCTGGGATTTAGAAAATATAAGCCAGATTGACAAGATCTCCAAGAGAATAAATAGTATGTCAGAAATTCCGAATAGCAAAGAAACACAGCCACTGATATTTCCTTTAATGATGGAAATTTTCCATTGTCTTAGATCTGCTCTTAATAATGAAAATAGTCATGTAAATGAGGAATTATCCCACGTACGTTGGTTAAATCTCGGACAAGACTTAACAGGGGCGATTTATATATATAACGCAGACCTGTCATGAGTCGGATGACTATATCTGACCGAATAGGTGTCCAGCACGTCCCACAGTTGAAGACCATTCGACAAAATGTGAGCCCATTCTTGATTATTCCGCAACCAACCCTCTCATTCTGCGTAAATCCGGTTTTCCAGGGTCATTACTGTACAATAAATGTCAGCCGAGAAGTCCATGACAAACCCTAAGATCGGGGGAGGTGCCTTGCTCCTGTAGTCCATCCAATTCCAAAAGAATTGACCTATCTGGGCGTAAGTGGCGTGCGCCAGAGCTAGAGAGTGCTGTCAAGGGTCGCAGACGCGTCTTCGCAGGGTTCTACCTAGAACTCATCTTCTTAGACCCTATGTTTCTATTTCTTTGATGCCCTTACCTGCAAAACGGCTGAGCCGAGCGAGACGCTGACATTGTAGTTCCATACACTGGACAAGTGCTGGATTATAAAGAATAAAAGGGATTTTGTGTCTTCCGTGGATAGGAGATGCATCTCTCTGCAAACACTATATCGAATATCAGTGGATTATTCAACTTTTTGTTAGGATACTCACTGGTGCACTTCCTTGGTTGCCTTTTACCTCGGTAGCCAGTTCACACCTCTTCCGAAGCAACATGGCGATGAACCTGGTGAGGGTGATGAATATATCCAGATAGAGGGAGAGAAGAGTGGATAAATGAACGGGTGACTCACCAGAGAATAGGAGAGGTTAGACATATCCAACGTAAATGTGTATATATGGAAAGAATTGGCCTCATAATAGAATAGCAGGAAATTCTAAACCACTATTACACACTGCCGTGTTAATTCAAGGCGAGAATTTCAGACGCAGGACAACTGACATCTATAAGTCACCTTCCTAGTCTCAGGAAAATAATATCCGTTTCGCTGCCTGCATCAGTGTTGTACCCACTAGAAGAATAGCACCAGCGTCTAGATATTTCACGTACAACTGAGTAATCAGGGAGACTCACCTAGGACACATCAACACCATCCACCAGTAGTAGCGTCGAATCCGATATCGAGCACGCGAAGAGATTCGCGTCATTCGAAAGCATCCAGAGTCACCATGCAGCGTTCATCCTCTCTTGCTTTGAAGTATTCATCAAAACGACACAGCTCTAAAAGACTTATACTCGTATTAGAACAATAAAAAGCGATAGATATACTCAAATAGGTCACCGTGGCTCAAGCTGGTAGCAGGCCATCTGCCGGGAGGTAGAAGGAATAACTCCGGGAAAAGAAAGACTATACAGAAGGTTATATATGTGTACGGAAGGAAAAAAAAAGAGAAATAACTTAGCGAGAGATCAATCGAAGTATATATATGAAAGAAGTATTGAAGATAGTATCCATCTTATATATAATGAACAGAGTACTTAATAGATAGGCAGTGAATAAACGTATACCTGATATACTGAGGCAAATTAGAATACAATCTGTACTGTAGATGCAGGTATCCTGGATCATTCCAAATATTTATTTACATTACCTAATAACTAATCTGACAGACTTGTCTCAGTGTACGGAGTATGAGTTGTCTAAACACCACAGTTAGCTGCCATGTCACAACCAGATGTCGTTTGCAGATGCAGGTGTCGGCAATCGACAGCTTCGATTTTGATCTCTTATTTTTTTTCTTGAGTCTAGACCTGTCTTTTCGTCCTGTTTTAGTCATTTGTATTTCGTAATCTATTGCTCATTTGTCTGGAATTCGTAAGAAACGTATATACACAGGGTAAGGGTATCAGAGGATCTATCTAAGACACGATGTACATCAAGGCAGCTACACCGTATCATGTAGTAGTTAGTATGAGGCAGAGGTATAAAACAAGCCCAAAACAACACACAGAGAAAGATGGGTCACGTACAGAAGAAGACGACGAACGCCAATTTTGATCTTGACTGGCCATTGAACGCTGCCACGTTCGAAGTATAATTGGCGTTGTTCAAGGTGAACTCGGTTGAATCAAAGGTAGCCCTAGAAAATCAGTATCCTGCTTACAGAGTGTATAGAGACAAGAACATACTTTGCAACAGGCCACCCCTGGTCGTAATCCAAGTACTCCCAGCCAAGATGTGCGTCCTATTTGGTCAGCCTGATCTTCCTAACAGTAGCGGAATAACCATACCTTATTCTTAAAACCAGTAGAGGTGTTCACTAGTATCCACAAGTCAGTACGAGAAGATGCAGCTTGATCACACCAGGTTTCAAAACGCACGGTAATGGAAGTAGAGGATATCAGGATATGACTGATTCCCAGCCATCACGCCGATTCCCCCGGGGGCATACGTGACGCCCCGGTTCGAGCCATATATGACCGTGCCGCCCCCCTCGGTCAGATGAACGCCATCTTTGTCGACAAACGGGCCTCGGATGCTTGTAGATCGGCCAACACGGATACTATATCTGTAGTTATCCGTTAGACGGAATAAAAAAATTAGGCAGCTCGAAGAATACTCACTCGTGTCCCGGTTCCGGGAAGTTATCACGACCAAAGTGGCAGCACTGTCCATGGCTGAACCACAGGTAATAGAACGGTGACTTGTAGCTGAGGAAGGAGCCCTCCAGTGGTCTTGATCCATGGTATGGTTTCGGCTGGTACGCCGTGTTTATTGCGTCGGGCGCCGTTGGATTCTCGACCGAAAGCAGATCCTCCGACAAGGCGACCAGGAAGATATCGTGCCAATAACTTCCAAACGTCAGGTAAGGCTTCCCTGTGCTCTGGTCTCTCATGAAGGCCGGATCGATGGCATTTGCCTCGCTGTATGGCCAGATGTCAGACAGATACCCGGAGCCGGTGTTGATGATGGCGCCGTGGTCCGTCCAGGTGCTGTTTTCGAGAGACGTGGCGGTCGCGACGCCGATGGCACTGTTTGTGATGCCGTTCGCGCTGATGGCATAGTAGCAGTAGTACGTGCCATTCTGTAAGGTCGTCATGGGCGACCATGGTCGCGTCCGATTGACCTTGTGGATGATGCTGGGGCCCGAAAATACAGTCCCAATATTAGTCCACGGCCCGGAGAGACTGGGGGCCTTGTAGATCGGGAGGTAATGGCCCCCTTTGAAAAGGTAGAAGCTGCCGTTATCCTTGATAATACTGGGGTCATGAGCATGAAGGTTTCCCTGATTTGGCGCTGGGTATATATCGGTCTTGGGGAAGACGTCGCTGCTGATCTTGACGCACTCTACCGCGGCGATCTCGCAGAGGCAGGCGAGTGCCAAGGAGAGGGGGAAAAGGAATCGCATTGTTAGCAGGTTGGATTCTTAGCCATATAGCCAGTTATTGTCAGTAGTAACTATTATCAGTCATGTGCAAAATTTCCATTTATAAGATTGACTGGGTAGGCAGTATGTTTTGAGGGCCTTTCCCCCCCCCTTCCTCCCTCTGTAGCCATGACCAGACTAGTCATGTTTTTTAGTTTTATTTTTTCTTTGCCCAAAATAATGAGCAGCAGGCTGCAGTATTTCTCACGATGCATTTGATAAGCTCCACTGTAGCAAACCCAGTCTTTCGGGGGCACAAGCACGGGGGGGGGGCGGGCGTCCAGACCCTGCCCACCACGTCTGCCTTGTTAAGGCCCGGAGGGCCATCTGCTTAGGGGGAGACACACCAATGGAATGAGCAGCTGTACCCATGCAACCATCGTGTTCTAATAGCGATTAGCACTTGGTGGAGAATTTCCCAGGGTGACACTAGTGAGATTAGTATCTCAACCGCCATGAATAAGCCTTTTAGCGCGCCCAGAGCATGGTATGAAAATAGACCACCGGCAGTCTAGCAGGGGTGTTTCACTTTCCAAGGCCCCTCGAGAAACATGTCGAACCAGTCGCTGCACCTCTTGCGTCGGAAATTTTCACCACGGAGTAATCTTGCCTCCCGAGTCCGTCGTACGGAGTATTTCGTAGTATGTAGTATGTAGTATGTAGTATGTAACTACAGAGTAGTTATGCAGTAGTACAGCAGTACAGAGTAGTGTACTACCTACGGAATACTCCGTAGGCAGTCCATTACAATTAGTTGATTGTTGATTGTTGTTCGGCCGGTCGGATCCGCGAGGTCCCTGAAAGTTTGGAAGGCTTCTACCCAGGTTCGAATGATTAGCTTCGCTGCTCATTCGGTGGATTTCGCAGCTCACCTCCACCACTCTGAATCCTATCCAGTGCCCAGCCGGCGAGGGTCTCCACTGATGCTACACAGGGACTGACCAGCGTGCGAATAGCCGACGGTCGATCTGTCAGATCCATCTGTTGTTACTCCATATAATCTGACGGTACAGAGACAGGGTACAGAGGAGAGGGAGAGTGATGGAACATGAACTTTTGATTTGTGCGATGGCTGCCTATATTCCTGCCTGGAAGTTCAGGTATCAAGGTCACATGCAGGTTGACTCAGCAGGGCCGATGTCGGCAGAGCGCAGATGAGTCATCATTCAGCTCTACTCCGTACTATAACTATCTATTAGTATATCTTCTAAAACAGAGTCTCATCTAAAATAAAAGTATCTTTTCACTTCAGTCAAAATGACAGAGTTCAATGGTTCGTGCCTATGCTCAGGTATCCAGTTTTCCCTCCAGGGGGAGCCACAGGGTGTCTTCGCCTGCTACTGTACCGACTGCTCCATGAATGCGGGGGGACCGTGCCAATTTGTAAGAAAAAGCATTACATCAGCTGTCTTCAGCATATAGTAATCCCTGTCTATGTCTAGACATCTAGATTTTCCCGTTCCCAGCTGCAGGTTCAAGACCCCCAGTCTCTCATCAAGGTGTTTGTGATCACCCAAGGCACGGACAGTGGATATCCCAAGGAGAAGCACTTTTGCGGGACATGTGGATGTACGCTGTGGACAGTCCCGAGGAAGCATGGGGGCGAGGTGATTGTCGTTCGGACGAGTCTGATTAAAGACGGGTGGGATCCTTTCTTTTAGACCTCTTTGGAATCTAATTAGCTGACTTTTGTAACTCCCAGATTGACTCGATTGCCTCCTCGTACGGAGGTATTCGTGCGGAACAAGCCAGAGTATTTCACGGGTTGTTCAGATATCAAAAGTTTTGATGGAATGTTTACCTAGTAGGGAGAAAGAGAGAGAGAAAGAGAGGAATGATTTATCACCCATTGACTGTTAAATCGTACATATATCGTGTCTCGTACATAAGGTATCAAGCTAAATATCAAGCAAAGCAAAAAAAGCAATACAAGGCTGAATCGCTCACTCGGCAAATGCAAAACTTGCAACATCTTCCCAATCGAAAACATCCAGGAAAGCATCTAATTCCCCGGGCGGCTGTTGCGAGTTGTCAGTGTCTGTAGAAAGGGTCAAGGCATCAACCAGAGTACTCACTGTGATCCCAAAGTTCATTCCTGGCAAGATGGGTTCGAAATTCTCGCCATTCATTGGAACGATCATGTCCGAGGGAGGTGGGAAATTTCCAACCTAGGATCATTAATATGGTGTTTTCATCAATGGAAAGAGAGAGAGAGAGAGAGAAACTTACGGCTTTCGGCTTGAAGTTGCACATGTCAAAAGTATCTAGGTGTGAGCAGTTGGCATGGCGGGCGTAGAGCGTTGGTGTGAATGCGAGAATCCGGTCGACCACCTCTTGCTTAAACAGGCCGGCTTGATCCTCCCAGAGCCTGGTTTTAACAAGAGCAAGAAGGGTGGACATGAAGAAGTAGTCCTTGGCCCCCTTGACGACACAAAAGGCGCGGGTCTCAAGCGCCGCAATCGCAGCCTCGACCAGCAAGACCAGATTTTCAGCAAAGCCAGGAAGAGTGCGAGTCAGAGTGGTGGCTTGAAAGAGGTTTAACATAAGCTCATTGAAAACGAATTCACATAGACATCAAGGATGTGGGGTCCTACCATTACTGTTGCTGCTCGCATAGAGAGACTGACAGATGGAACCACATGCCTGAATGGTCCAATCGCCCATGCTGCACAACGCCAATGATTTCGAACTGTCCTGGAGACGTTTATGCGAGGAGAGAATATTGGTCGCCGCGGTGAGCCGGGCCTGTTCCGAGGGCACAAAGAGCGGCACTTTGGCCGACTCGATCGCGAAGGGGGTGTGTAGGCACAAGAGGGCCTGGGACATCCTCGTTTCCGACAGGGTCTTCCATACCAACAGTTTCCGCTGTTTAAGGAGATCGCCCATTTCAGCCTGGGCCCATTTGGGAATCGCGGCCAGGTGCTTGTTGAATTCCCAATCCATGCGGAGGACCTCCTCATAGGAGCAGGCTAATCGCGGGGAATGCATGAGATGGCCCACCTTGAGCCGCAGCATAAGTGATTGGCTCATGATCGCTTGAAACGAGGAGTCGGTTATCTCGTCGAGTGGCCGAGCGGCAGGTAATTCAGTCATGCCCTCGCGGAGGTCTACGTCGTTGAGATTTGATACGGGGGCGGTGTCGTAGTCCGAGGCCTGGATCGAGGGGGGCATCCCGCGGTCCAAGGATACCTGGAGATCCAGCTCGACGATCGTGGCCCAGATGCGACGGCGCATCTCTTTGATAAAGCCGGAAATCTTGGAGTGCCGACTAGCGTCGCGATGGTAGCCCGACAGCATGGCCTGTTTGATCAACGTACCGGTCGCCAGCCACGCTTTGCTGCGCTTCATGCCCAGGGAGTTCTGGGCGATGATCAGCAGACAGTAGAGGCGGATGGCGGTGATCTCAGGTCGCTTGACCTGCGCCGCTTGAATCCACTTCTCCGCGTGGAGAATCCATTCTATCGCCACCGAGCAGCTCATGGGCGACTCGTTCTTGTAATAGAGGGTGTTCTGATCCGCCAGATTCCAGGCACATGCCATCATCAGGAGCAGCTGGACGACAAAGGCGGGCGACACTAAGTCTGGGGTATCTTTCTTCATCCAGAAATCCTCCAGCTCGCGCAGGAAGGTCGGTACATGCAGGATCCGATGCACCGACTCGACATAGGCCAGATAAAGGCTGACCAGCTCATCGACGGACTGTCGACTCGGGAGCATGGAGATGAGAGTGACGATCGGCGACTCTGGCAACGGGTCGCTGAGCCTCCGTCTGTACAGACCACGCTTGACTTTCTCTAGGTCTGGCCGTAGTCGAGCCAAATTCGGGTTAGAAAGTCTGATCTCTTCGGCGAACGATTTGATATCCGCGAACTGGTCGTCAGCTCACCCCATACCAGAAAAAAAATAGAATAAAATGGATAAAAATAAATCAATTACCTGCGACATCACATTTGCCGAAATTCCCGACCCGTTGAAACGAGTTTTGGTCTCCTTCCCTCTCATCATGATCCGAGGTACCAAATCCACGGGCTGGGTGGGCGACAAGGGCGGCGACTCATCCTCGACGATTTGCTCCGTATAGGCAGGGATCTGGATACTCGAGCGCTTCAGACGAGGCAGCGACTCGGCGACATACGGCTCTTGGTCGACGGCGGCCTTGGGGGCGCCCAAGACGGTTTCCAGAAAGCGATCGCGACGCTCCTCTTGGGGCCGTCCCAGCACGGGGGGTTGTTCCTGAGGCCGAAACGGCTGGGGCTTTAACGCCGAGTCCGGGGGCGTGGACATGGAAGTCCGATCTGTGACTCGGCCAACGGACAGGGCTGTGGAACCTTGATCGGAGAAGACAGTGGAGGTGACGGTGGTGGGCTGCTGCCACAGGAACCCATCCTCGTACGTGCACTTGGTGGGCGTCTTGCTCTTGCGGCAGCGACCGCAGGTGGGATACTCGCGGTCGCAGCGGAGCTTCCTGCTGCGGCACTGCGTGCAGGCCATGGTGCGGCGGCGTCGCTTGCGCACCCGCTGCTGCTGCTCCGGGCGGGCGTCGAACTCGGCTGCGACCATGTTCTGCGTCGAGAGCGGATTCGTCGACATAATTGCGACAGCCCAGCGTCGCCGTCGGGGGGAGGGGGGGGGGACGCTCTGGTCAGGGCTCCCTCTAGGTTTGTTTTCTCCTCTTCGCAGCGGGCAGAGCTCGGGGATTTTGTTCCTTTGGCAGGGAGCGAGCCTCGAGATTGCGGTGGGCACGTGTTCCCGGGCGTCATGCCCGGATGAGGCAAAACTCTCCGGTCGTCCGTGCGCAGGCAGAATCGACACATGCTTAGTCATCATTAGCAAATCAACGGTTGCTTATTAGCTTCTCTGTATAGGCTCTAAGCTGAGCTTCTACTGGTACAGTCACTGTAACCACATTTACTGTCATACTAGTAATTATGTATTTCCTGCCATAATATAATAATGACTTTGATTAGAAACTTATTATGTACTACATAGAAGCTGTCGAGGTACTTACTCAGTACAGAGTAGTATGTAGTGCTCCGTACTATCTCCGTATCCGAACCCGAAATCCGGTTGTCTCCGACGGACAAACATGCTGGCATCGGATTTCAACAATCTTTTCCAATCCGTAGAGACGCTCTCCCACTTTGAAAAGAGATACCAAAGTACCCTCACACTCTCCATCGTCATGGCGAGACACGCAGAAGAGCTCGGGTATAGATAGATTGGCAGGGAGCAGCTCGGAGATAGATACCTCTCACCTCGGGGTGTTTACGGCTGTCAGGCAGCCATTACCTACCTACCTACTGATAACTGTCGATGATTTAAAGCCCGTGGATCAGACTCGAACCCCTAGATCGCCATTGCTGCACGGAAAATCCTCGAAATATGCTACGGTCACTGCTTTCCCGGGTCAGGGGCCAGCCCGACTACTGCTTCCCTTCCGTCAACGAAAAGGATGACGGACCAGACTGCTTGAAAGATTGCGCAGACTGTACCACCCACTATCCCTCCAAGGTCAAGGTTGAAACGTCGCTTCCGCTCTACGGCCATATCAAAGAATTCCATAGCCATGTTTTGGTGGCGACAGGCAAGTCTGACTGGGAGGAGAAGGTCGGAAAGGAGCGGGGGAGTTTGATGGAGGCTTTTGAGAACAGTCCAGCAAAGTCTCGATATGGTGTATGAATTTTCTCTCTCCCTCTCTCTTCCGCTTCCTTCCTTATTAAACTACTAACCTGTGAATGCATCTAGCGCTTCATGGTGTCTGCCTCGAATTTGAATCCACCAGAGCCTTCGGGGGAGACAACGCAAGGGTCTACAGTCCTGGTGCTACCAAGCTTTACATTCGTGGACTCTTTAAAACAAGACGACGTTTCAGAGCTGATCGCAACATTCATTGATGGTCCGCAAGACCAGAACAACCAAGATGCTACGTCTCATCTTCCCTCCCGGCCGTGTCCTCACGATTACGTCGTTCTGTTGTGTTCTCATAAGCGTCGCGATGCTCGTTGCGGCATCACCGCTCCCCTGATCAAACGAGAGCTTGAACGACATCTCCGCCCATTAGGCCTGTACCGCGACGCCGACGACGACCGCCCGGGCGGCGTGGGCATCTACTTTGTCTCCCATGTCGGAGGTCATAAGTTCTCCGCCAACGTGCTCATCTACCGGAAGAAAGACCAGCAGATGATCTGGCTTGCCAGAATCAGACCGGAGCACTGCGAGGGAGTCGTCAAATACACCATCTTACAGGGCAAGGTGGTGCATCCTGATTTCCAGCTCCGAGGCGGATTCGACCGACTCCGAGGGTTGACGAGTTGGTAGTTCTCTTAGATTAGAGTATTCACCATTAATATAGAGATTTCTCATTCAATTTTTAGAAATAATCATTCATTTCCTTATCTCTACATTTTGTAAAATTCCCATGTTTTATACTCCGTGCCTTCTTATTGGTCTGCAGGACACGCGACGTCACACCAAAAAGCACGCGTTAATTAATCCGAATTTCGCGCACGCGCCGCAAGGGTCAGCGTCATCAACTCCCATCTGCGTCTGTCGACAAGCCCCGAGCCGTGAAAATTCACCGATCGACTGTTTTGGATGTGGAAGAACATTGATTAAGGCTCGTGTGCGATATGGCTACCGTCGCGCTGACGGATACTTCCGACGTGGTGTCGCAGTCGACGATTTTACGCGCGGAGCTGAAGGAGTGGGAGAGGGCATTTGCAGCGGCGAATGGAGGGAAAAAGGCTGGTCGTGATGATATCAAGAAGGTGCCAGAGATTGGTATTTCTTCTTCTCTTTTTCTTCTTCTCTTTTCGCAACCCGGTTGTCTAGGAATAACTAACAGTGGTAGCTGCGAAATACAAGACCTACGCAAAACTCAAGTCCCTCGAATCGAAAGGAAAGGACATCGAATTGGAGGAACGGCCCAAAAAACGAAAGCATTCTTCCCCTACCGGTCCCGAACAGGCGGAAATTGCATCGACCCCGCGCAAGACGGTCAAGGGCGGCGGCTCTTTCACGACACCATCTGTCGACCGGGTCGCCAAGGCCCATCCGTCGCGACTCGACCCTTACGATTCCCCCTCTACGCTACGCAGATTGTTCAGCCCGTCGACTCACAGACAAGAAGAGCCGTCGCCTCAACCGTTAAAGACGGCGATTGGACCAACTCCACAGCGCGACGGCAAGGCGCTCGGTCTATTTGACCTGCTCTCTGAATCGGGAGGCAGCACCGCCACCCCGTCTTCCAAGCGGACGGCTGCCGCACGAGGGCGTGGTGGTGGTGCAATGCAGACGCCCTCGAAACGAAGGAGAAGCACCATGGATCCGATCGCAGAGGAGGCCGAGGATGATGATAGTCCCGTGACGGAACGAACGCCCGCCTCGTCAAGTAAAAAGTGGTACCTGGCCAATCTATTTGCAACGCCGACGACGCTACGGTACGCCGCCATGGTCGAAGTCGAAGACAACGCAGCCACCGCCGCACAGCACCCCGGCCGCGAAGCCGAGCCGCACGCCCCCGCCGCCGAACCGTCTGAAACCGATACGCCGTTCTTTCTACGACGGTCGAACTCGGGACGATACGCGGGCATGTATTCTGCTGCCAATGACGGGTCCGGGATGAGCCCTATCGCCGTGCGGAAACCCCCGGTGTTTGTAGGCAAGGGTCTGTCGGCCCTGGTGCAGGGGCTGCGAGACATGGAGGAGGAGCGGCTCGACGAGGACTGGGAGATCCTAAAGGAAATTGAGGCGGAAAACGCCGCGGCGAACGAGGCCCAGGTAGCTGATAGCCAGGCGGGAGTGGCTAATGGACCGACCCGCGTCTGGAAAAAGAGGGGTCAGAAACGAACCACGCGCCGGGTGAAGATGAAGCCCGTCATTACGAAACCGACGAAACTTCAGCCGGGCTGGAAGGATCCAGACGATGGGACTCCGGAAGAGTCAAGTGAGGAAGAAGAGCCGCCGACAGTGCCGGACACACAAGCGGAGCAGCCAGATGAGGAGGACGATGCATCCCTTCACACCGTTTCAGAACCGGAGCTAGACTCCGACTCGGACGACGATTATACCGGCGAGAACAAGCCGTTGGCCCGAAGCAAGAGTTTCGCCGAGAAGATGTCGGAGGCGATTTCGAGCGCGGTCAAGACCACGGCGACCAAAGGCAGCGGTCTCTTTGCGAAGACGGCGAAATCTGCAGCCAAGAAAGAGAAAGAGAAAGAGATCGAAAGCGAGAAGAAACCACGTCCTCGCAAGGTCAATCCCGAGGCACATGCCAATTACCGTTCGCTGAAAATCCGGAGTCGAGGATCAAAGGGTCGAGGCGCTGGGCGCTTTGGAAGGAGATAAGCCGGGGTCTTTTTTTTTTTTATTTTTGACACTGGCTGGCATAACGAGACACGACTAGCTAATATTCATCGATACCATAGACATAAACTTCATTCATATCATTTAAACTATGCTTCTATCCTTCATCTATATGTAGTATGTAGTATAGTGTAGACAAGTATTCCTGTCAATCAGGCTGATACCGTTCACGGGCAAACTGTAGTCTCCTCTCACGCACTCGCGCCTCTTGGGATCGACTACGATGCTGTCGTCTGTCGGGAGGACGGGACGGTTTGGTCACCCTGCCTGACAGCGGTCTGCTCTCCTGTCTGTGTACAGGAGTCGCGGTGCGGTCTCCAGCGGGAACTTGAGGGGGGGGTGTATCTGGAGTCCCGTACTGAACATGCCGGTCCCAGTCTTCCAGCGAGTTATACGGGCTGCGTAGCCAGGCCTGCAGCTCGTGCAGGAATAACCGGGCATTGTCCCGTCCCAGGAAATCGCGGAGGAGCTCCTCGGCCTGCCCGGCGCTGCCCTTCATATCGACCGTGCGCAGGATGGCGATGATATACTCCAGAAGGAACTCTGCATTGTTTGATCGACGGTTCTCCAGTCTCTGAACGCCGGCACGGGGCCGTCCATCCGACGATGCCCCCTCCTCCGCCTCCGGGCTCAGAAACGAAAACACCCCCAGTTCACGACGTATCCACTTCCTGGCACGTGAAACCAGTTCCTCGTCCCGGTTGAACATCTCCGGTATCAGTTCGCGGTACCGCGAAAGGCGGTTCGAGCCGACTCGCAGGGAGTAGAGCTGGTGGCGATAGATATGGCGGCGCCGTAGTAACGGGTCGTTCGGTTGCGCTGGCTCAACCGGTCGGGGACGGCGAGGTGGCCGACGTATCTGGGGACGAGCAACATGGGGATGAGCCGCGACGATCCCTGTACTCGCCGACGCCAATGGTGGTAGATGATATAGCTTGGGGCCGTGGGGATCATCAAGACGGTACTTGACTGCCGTCACGTCACTCTTGCCTATTGTCTGTTAGTTAGCATCCAACTCAACAACCTCCCCCCCTCCCCTAGTAATAATATATACATACACAGCGGACAAATACGTCGCTGCTCCAGCCAGCTAGCCAGGCAAAGAAAATCGAAATTTGCATGGTTGCAGGGCACAGCGATGCCTGCTTCACTGATAGATTCCAGGCAAATCACACACGGGTTGGCCGTCGCAGCGTCCTCATGAGCTACCTCTGCAAGCGTTTTCTGCAAGATTTCCTGTCGAAGATCGACATCGTCCGCCATTCGAGCTGGCACAGTGACTCATGCTCTCGTCCGCCGTGAGGTGGTTCGTCTTTGGTGGTGAGAGGGAAAAGAAAGAAAGCACAAATCACGTTGCCCGAAGCAGCTTCAGCCTTCGGGACTTTTTTCGCCTGCGGAGTTGGCGCCGGTCCCGGTTTCCACACTGGACTGCTTCTTCCCCCCCCCACAGGAGCTCCAGGGAAGATCGTTAATTCTTGATACTTTATAACTGTGGCTTCTACATGGCTGGCAGTTGGTAGGAGAGTGATGAAGTCTGCACACGCTGTGGTGTCGCAGAATTATTTTTCACGGCTTGCCATGGCGCCTGGCCAGGCAAACGGCTCCCTGCACGCAAACCAGCAGCGTGAGCCTCTGCGCACCATCACTAATCTCCGGCGGTGGTCAATTCTAAATAAGGAGATTCCAGGTAAATACCTTAGGACTGAGGTGATTTCAATGGATTCTGTGTCAGACTGACGAATCGGTTTGCGGTCTATAGCCGTGTCACAGGTCAAGGCCGTCCACGTTTACGACTTCGACAACACGCGTAAGAATCTCAACGGACGTGAAGCTTCGAGCAGCCATCAAACTAATCTCCTCCAGTGTTTATGAGCCCTCTGCCGAATCCGCAGCTATGGAATGGGAGTACGATCGGTTTCCTGCAAGCGTACGAGAGCTTCGCCAACGGAGGGTGGTGGCATGATCCGAATCTACTGGCGGCGACGGGAGAAGGGGTGGATATTGAAGAGCCACGCGCATGGGAAGGGTGGTGGAATGAACATATTGTGTGACCTGCACATAATCGCCCTCTCCCTCTTTGGCTCGCACCCAGGCTGACTGCGGAATACAAGGCGCGACTCGTGAGCTTGAGCATGGAACAGAAAGACGCTCTTACCGTCCTGCTTACTGGAAGAAGCGAAAATGGGTTCGCAGAGCTGATCAAGCGGATTGTGGCAAGCAAGAAGCTGGATTTCGATCTCATCTGCCTGAAGCCCGAGGTTGGACCCAACAGTGAACAGTTCGCGTCGACGATGAACTTCAAGCAGTCTTTTCTTGAAGACTTGATTCTCACCTACCAGCAGGCCGACGAAATTCGTGTCTATGAAGATCGTCCGAAGCAGTAAGTTTTTCTTCTTCCTTTTTTACGGTAGCCTGCGGCGGTTCTCACTGTTTTGTAGCACGAAAGGGTTTCGCGAGTTCTTCGAACAACTTAACAGGAAATTTCAATCCTCACAGGGCTCTCTTTTGAGAATGCCGATCCATGCTGAAGTGATCCAGGTTGCAGAAGGCTGCGCCTACCTCTCTCCCGTAACAGAGACTGCCGAAGTGCAGCGTATGATCAACTCTCATAACTTGATCCTTCAGAACCAGTCCCTGAACAGATCGAAGTCGCCTTTTGGTCGGCTTCGAATCAAGCGCACTATATTTTACACTGGATATCTCATTTCCAGCGTTGATGCCACTCGGTTGATCAACCAAGTGCTAACTCCCATTCTGCCCCCGGGCCTTGCTGAATCCAATGACATCAAGTACATGGCTAACAGTATCCTCATTACCCCGCGTCCGGCGCAAAAGACCATCCTTGACAGGGTTGGCGGACTAGGCAAAAAACTGACCTGGCAGATCACTGGCACCGGTAACTTTGAAAACAGAGTATGGGCTGCCCGGGTGTCTCCGATCCCTCACGGCCAGCAGGTGTACACAGAAAATCCCATCCCCGTGATTGTACTCGCGATCCGCAAGGGTGCCCGCCCCATTGATGCAGGGAAAATACATAACTGGCATCCCATCCCGGCTGATCGCGACCTTACCGTCGAAACGGTCATCGGCGAGAAGATGGTTCTCCGTGTCGAGCAGGACAACCCTCATGAAGGAGAATGGGAGAGTCAATTCATGAATAAGAGCCATAAACGGCGTCACCAGCAGGAACGCGATGAAGACATCCTGTATCCGCAGTCCAGAGCTCCGTCTGCGCCAAATGCTTCTTCTTTCCACCCCCCTGAAGGCCCTTCTTATTACAATCCAAGATCCAATAATCACTACTCACGCCATGATTACCACGACGACGGACCGCTGCCTCGACGTGGCGGCTCCAGTCGGGGTCGGGGTCGTGGCAACAGCCGCGGCAGAGGCGGCCGCGGACGTGGCAGAGGCCGTGGTAATCGAGGAGGAGCAGCAGGAGGAGACCAATCCGGCCCTCCTGGCGGGTATCGATCCCTTGACGACTATGGTGGCTTCGAGCCTGGAAATGATGACAAACGTGGTGGACCTAACGGCGGTGCGCCAGTGATGAACTACTGAATTTTTTTTCTCAACTGCAAGATTTAGGTTGTTTCTTTTGTATGATACAGGATAAGAGGGAACAAGACTCTGGCTCACCATGGGCAACATCATCATCATACACTAGCTCGCGTCGAGTTGATAGTACATGTCATGGCTTGGCTATTACAGCGTGCAGGTGGGATTCACGAATATAAGCTTCTACTCAGCATATCCTTGTATTCATAATTACTCATGATATTCTTCATCTAAAATATCTTCTATGGGACTGGGGGTGATAGATTATAATCCTCTAATCTGCTTTTACTACTGCTAATATTCTATTATGGACTGCCAGCCAGAGCTTCTTCTCTCCTTCCTAAAATATCTTATGTCTGTGAAACACTTGGAACCATCAACTGTGCGACAGATACTTTCCGATGCCTACCAGATGAGAATGACTTTTAAATATTCACCTGTTGTCTCTTTCTAATACTACCTGACTCTTTCATCCTCTAGACAGCACTCATTGCCCAAGAAACCGCGGAAATGTCTAGGTTTCTTTTCCAGCCATGGATTGCTCTCTTAGGCTTCTTCCAGATGGCCATGTCCATCCAGCTCATCGAATCCACTTCTCTCATTCAATGTCAAGAGAACTCCAACCTGTCGGTGACCATGTTCAACGTCCTGTTTACGCCCTCGAACCACACCCTCACCTTCGGATTCGATGGCTACTCCTCAATATCAGGCAACATCACACTTGACGTGGAACTGATGGTATACGGGTATTCGGCAATGAAGGAGAGTCTGGATCCATGCAAGTTGCGTATGGCTGGGCTCTGTCCGATGAACGCTGGCGCCATACACCTCCTAGGTGCGAACATCCAGGTCTCTGAAGACGTCACCAAACGCATTCCTGGTGAGTATTTTGACTGCTCCGCACTTCTTGTCTTGTCTTGCCTTGTGATTTGATTATATGGCTGGCTGACGGTTTTTGGTCTGCAGAAATCGCGTATTCGATTCCAGACCTGGACGCTCTCGTGCGATTTCACGTGAATTCCACACAGACACACCAGAGCGTTGGCTGCGCCGAAGCATACCTCTCAACGGGGAAGACGGTCTACCAAGTGGGCGTGGCATGGACACTGGCTATCATCACGGGGCTGGGGTTCCTGACCTCAGCTGCCACCTCTTTGCTGGGTTATACAAATGCAGCAGCCCATATGGCGTGGAGCTCGCTCTCCTTTCTAGCATTTATGCAAAGCCAGGCAATGCTCGGGATGTCCTCCGTGCACATGCCCCCGATTGCCCAGTCGTGGACACAGAATTTCCAATGGAGCATGGGAATTATTCACCGTCGGTTCCTGGGGAAGATATGCAGTTGGTATCAGCGAGCAACTGGGGGTACTCCGTCAGATGTTCTGTCGCGCCTGTCTACGGTCTCCGTGATTGCCCAAAAACGCTCCTTGGAACCTGTTACAGAAACTGTCTGGAAAAGAGCAATGGTGGACATCCCTAATACCAGTCAAGTTGTCGTCCGAGGGATAGAGAGGGTCGGTTTTCGCGCCTCGATTGAGTCCACAAACATCTTCCTCACCGGGTATATTGTCTACTTTTCCCTCGTAGCCTTGATCATACTCAGTGTTGTCTTGCTCAGGCTCGCCTCAAAGCTGCTGGCGAAGAGCAGATACCCCTGTTTCTGTTCAACAGCTGACTGGAAGTCTCTAAACCGAGGGATCCTCTTTCGCTTGGTATTGATGGGATACCCTCAGATGTGCGTTTTCTGTCCATGGGAGTGGACACGCAGGGACTCGGCTTCTGAGGTGGCGCTTGCATCGACCATGTGGCTCTCCATGACGTTCCTGCTCGCCTGGGCTGCCTGGAAGATCATTCTCCAAGCACGGAAATCGATTTCGATACACGACAGCCCGACTTGTATCCTCTACTCCGACCCGGCATTTCTGAACAGATGGGGGTTTCTCTACGTGCATTTCCGAGCATCGGCCTATTACTTCCTGGTACCGTTGCTGCTCTATTATCTTATCAAGGGCATGATTATTGGTCTGGTTCAGTCTGCGCCAATTGTTCAGATCAGCATGCTGTTGGTCGTCGAGGCCATAATGCTGCTGGGGATATCGATCATCAGACCCTATATGGATAAGGGCACCAACGCGTACTGCATCTCGATTGCGATGATCAATTTCATAAATGCGGTTTTTATGCTTATATTTGCGGGTGTGTTCAAACAGCCTGGGCTGATGACTGCAATCATGGGGGTGGCCTTTTTCGCCTACAACGCGATTTTCTGCCTCGTCCTGTCGATTCTCATCTTAACCCAGACATTTGACGCCATGACATCGAATAACCCGGACACCAGATACCAGCCTATCGCAGATGACCGCGCCTCCTTTTTCCCGGGGGAAAGGAAAAATATATCGACAGAATTGGCGGCCTTGGGTGCGGTTGCGAGAGGCGACCACGAAGAAAATGAAGATCTGCTGGTTCACAATGGGGATAATACTCGGACTCATGAAGAGGCTAATGGAAGCGTCTCCTCGGGTCATAGCAGTGAACGACTTGATGTGCTTCCTCCCCTGCACTCATTCTCCCCGTTTCAGTCCTCGGTTGCCTTGTCGGTGCCTTTGATTCCAGCCGCGCATCAGCCGAAGGACTAGGTAGAGGCAGTGAATATGTATGGCCATCCAGGCTACTGTACTAGTACTAGTTAATTGATTGGTGACTTCATACGTGACTATGAAGTATACCCCAATATTGAATAAGCAGCAGTGAGCAGTTACCGTTGTGGCCATAGTTAAGACTTCACTAGAGGTTAAGAAGTGAATGAAAAGAGTTGTCTATCCAGTGACAGGTGAGGCTAATGATGGCTAGTGGGTGCTACATCTTAGTATTTAAGAAGGCCCCCGTTCTATCTTCTGTCTGTTCATCTCTGTTCCTCCTCATTTCTTCTTTCAACTCATGTTCAACTCAGAATATTCCTTCCACTATCCAGGCCGCCTCTTTTTCTTCTCAGAGGACTGTTAACCAGATCCAGATTTATACGGCTAGAATGGCGTTTTTCAGTCATTTCATCCGTCTCAATCAACCGCCAGAGAGAAACTCTTGAATAGCTTTCCAGGAGCCGACATGATTTGTATGTCGAAAGTCAAGGCTGGACGCTTAGAGATCATGTTGACCACCAACTTCTACTGATATTTCCCTCCTTCGGAGATCTTACATTGAAGACGACTGTTTGAGACAATTTTCAAGGCTTATCTGTATGTCTACATGCCAATGGGTCTGAGAGATGGCCGTTTTCGCCAAAGAAAAAGACGAAGGAGAAGAACCAGGGGACATCGCCCCCAGTGCCTGATGTTGCAGCCTCGTCTTCCTCCCCCACCGGTGATACCAGCTAGAGGCGCAAGCAGGAACAAGTGTCGAATTTGTATCCTGCGAAGAACGAAGTGAGACGCTTGGTGGATTCATCGAATTACAGTGGCCTACTTCTGCCCAGCAACAGCACAGATGGTATTTAGGACTTGGAAGACAGGGGAGATATCCATGCCATACTCAAAGAGACAATGACAGCCATCTTAGATTGTCTCTTCACCCGCCGCAGTTGCAATATATACGTTATCTGAAAATGAACTCGACCAACATGACTGGGGACCTCTCCCCAGTGGTATCTCCCCTCACGCCTCAGCAGTCTTGACCACGAGAACATGGTTAAACAAGGAAGGGCGGTGCCATAAAGTGGCGATCTAGTCCAGAATGAATGTACTGTGATACAGAGTAGATAGTGAGGCACTACGTGTATTAAACCTATAAGAAATATCCCTCTAAAAGGGGGATCTACTAAGGTTCTTATCTAGATAGACTTTCCTTTCCTTTTGCCAATTCGTATTATCTCTTCTGTTCATTCAGATATCGACCGAGTCCTGTATTCACCTATCTATTCCACCCAGTGCTTGCAATTGTGCAACCACAGCAACACATTTAGAATCCCACCCAGCGGTTGATTCCTGTATAGACTAGAGGTTAGAATCTTCCTAAACTGCCGTTCCTGGACATCCGATTGATCACCGACTGGATCCAGACATTCCAAACAGAGCTGTATAGAGCGATTCGAATTCAATGACTCCAGAAAGAAAAAAAAAATAGTCTACTCGTCTATTGATTCATGATAAAGTACGGAGTATTCCATATCAAACCGACACTTAACTATACGGGGTACTCCGTATAGTATGACAGATTCTTTCTACTCTGCTAGCCAATTGCTCCATCGCAGATGCAGCGGTCAAGACCACAACGTGCTCGCAAAAAGGGGCAATTATTCGGCATGAAACAATAGTTTAACCCTTGCAAATTCCATTCCATTCAGCTGGAGATTCTCAGCTCAACACGTCATTGAAGATCAGTTAGCAGGGCCAGTGAGTGGTTTGCAGTTAAGGAGTAGACTGTAGAAGTACAAAGCATCCGTCTGTACTCTCAGACTATTAGAGAGGTATTTCCAATTCACCTGGATATTTATTCAATCCAATCCTCTCTCTCTATATATTCTAACAACAAGTCAAAAACAGTCTTTACAGTCTACTATCTTCATATCAACATGCTGTCTCTCCTCCTCCTCGCCCATCTGGCATACTCCATGCCATTACCAATCAGTCTTCTGTAAGAGAAGAATAGAAAAAAAAAAAAAAATAGCACACCATATTAATTTAGGTACCCAGCTAACTCAACTCACCAGAACCACCCACGCCGGCACCGGAACAGTGTATACACAAGACAGCGTCGCCGGGTCCTGCGGCACCGTGCACTCGGACTCGGACCTGATCGTGGCGATAAGCACGTACTGGATGAAAAAGGGCCAGGCCTCGAGCTCGAGCTCGAACACGAACTCGAATACCCTCTGCAGCCAAAAGATCAGCGCCACGAATATTCTCACAGGGACGACGGTCACCGTCGTCGTCGCGGATACGTGTGCGGCCTGTGGAGAGAACGATGTCGACTTCTCGGTTGGATCGTGGGATGCCCTGACGGGGTCGGCGGCCTGGGGGACTTTTGCCCTTGACTGGTATCTATCCCTCTTCTCTTACAAGATGCTATCTTTTATACTGAATTCTGTAGGAAATTCTGTGGATCCGGGGGTTGTTCGTGATGGATGCTCTATCCAGTTGGCTATTGAGGACTGTACATTTTAGACTTAGACTAGACTTAGATTGTTATTCTGTTAATATTGTTGAGTTTATATCAAATTCAAATCCTTGTGGTCTCATAAAATAACCAGATGACCATCTAACTAGACGAACGCCATCCCGGACGAGTCAACCATTCAATAGTCAGATAGGAAAAGTGGAATCATTTTATACACGCGTGAAATCATTGCAAACGTCAATTGGCAGAATATACAGGGTTGCCATAGCATATCAAAGTGATAATAGTAAAAAAAAAAAAAAAAGAGGTCGAGCATATTTGCTCAACCAAGACCATAACCATAATATCCTTATCCGTTTCCTATCCATTCCTGTCGTAAATCCCAGGTACCTCGTGTCCATTATATCATAGCTGGCAGTGATTCGTATGTCGGGGTATTTTTTATGTTTGTTATTTCTTTTGTTTGTTCTGCGGGCAAGTCCGCTATTATTACTCATCATCGGTCAATTGCCGGATGAGCTTGATGCTCAGAATCATGACGAGCAGACCGATGGTCACAACGACTAGACAGGCAAACCCGAACCAACCGAGCACCATTGCCGACGTGCCGACGCCGCTCTTGACGCTCCCGTTCCCCAAATCTTGTGCTATCGTGCTGGCAGCTACGGACGCGGTATGCTGCCATAGAACCGACACCAGTACAAACACAGAGGCAACGAAGATGAGCGCCAGTGCTGTCTGGGATACCGGTCGTGAGGGAAAAGGCCTCACTTCTGTTTCTTCGCCAGCAGCATTGTACTCCTCGTGCCACCCGGGGAAAGTCGCCAGCAGCACGAAACAGAAGAAGGCGAGAATGACGGCAATAATCCTGATGGGTTGTCATTAGCATTGACTTTGAGAAAGAGAAAAGAAAAAAAAAAGGCAGAGGAAATAACTTACAAAAGATAAGGAAACACGACGGCGTCCTTGAACGTGGAAGCAACCCAGATCAGGTTGAGAGGGTCTTGATCCACAGAGACAATCTCGGCCAAGGCGGTGGCATTGGCGTTACAGATGAACGACCCGGAGTCGGGCTGGATGCAGATGCCAAAGTAGCCCACGCGGACCTCCAGGTCTGCTCCACTCACGATGTTGGCTGTCGCAGTGACCACGCCAGGGTCCACCTGCGCCGAGCTGAATATCGGATCATATGTTTTGTAGTAGAGGGAGATGAGGAAGATATCTGGGATTCGTGGAGAGGACGACGAGCAGCCGGCCAGTAGGAGAGCTGTTTTTTTTTTTCACCACAAGTCAGTGACGCCACTCTCTGCCTAGCATTGTTCAGTTTCCACTCACATAATAGAATGATTGCAAGAGCAATGATAAGCATGAGCACATGGTGGTACCCGATCATCGGAATGAACCCTTAACGATGGAACTCGGTCAGCAAATCTCAGATCTAAACATTCCTGGGGAGTGGGGAGCGGATTGAAACATACGGGCCCATCCTGACGAGAATGAAATGGGCATCTTGAAAACGATAATGCCCTCTCTTCTCCTCCCCAAGTCAAGTCTTGGGTTTTTCTAGTCTAACTCGCTTCTCGGAGCCTCCGAGAAGGAGCGTCGAGTACCGGGTTCAGCGGCTCAGCACCACTGCAGCCGCCCTTGATGACACAAATAACACTCGAGGCTTTCCCAAGGGAATCGCCCGTTCACTGCGGCGGTCCGATCCCGAAATTCTTCACTGACAGCAGGTAGTGACTAACGTTGCCTGGATTCCCTTGAACCATGCAGCGTGGCAATGAGTAGTGGAGGAATGTGGGTGGAATGCGAGTGGAATGCGACAAAAGGCCGGATAGACGACAACGATTGATTGAAATAGCAGCGACTTCTTCTTCTCTATCTATGTCGAGCGTATAACCGGATTCGTCGCACCTAAATGTAAAGCCACGGAGTGGTTAGAGTCTGTGTGTTTGTCAAGGAATGGACTGCTTGTAGTAGTGGTAGTAGTGGTAGTAGTAGTAGTAGTGTTGGAGCGAAAGTGGGTAGTCAGAATCAGAGGGAAAGGGAGAATGGGAAAGCAATTCCACGTCACCGCTCGCTTGCCCACACAAAGTCTCTCTCGTCTCTTTCTCTCTTGCTCTCTTGGGTGCCCGTCGAGTGCGTCGACGATGATATTCACGGTGGCTGGTCGTCAGAGACGAAGAGGCTGGGCCAACGACCCTTTGTTTACACGCCCCTCCCCATGGAAACCATGGATAGACACTAGGCCTGATGGGGTATGGTGCAGGTAAGCTGACCCTGGCTAGTCCAAAGGGGGAAAGGCGCAGCGCTAAATCTCCGCGATTGCACCTCACTGGTCCAGCCGCACGTGCCTTACATAAGATGAGGCGGGTTGGGTAGGGAATTACCAAGTACGGAGTAGTCTATGTGGTACAGGGTAATTAACCACCAGGTAAGGATTGACATGAAGACTCTAATGATAGCAGTACGGAGTAGCTAATGAAACACTAAACCTAGGAGTCCAAGTGTGAAGAGTAAACCAGATTACAAGTAATCCAATAGGAACGAACCCCAACGCCATGGTGGTCCAATGCATGCGAATGATGATGATGGTAGGTAGAATGATGCAGGTAGCCTATTGCGGAACAAAAGAGAACCGTTTGAGATCCAATGTCCCCCGGCGGGCGTTGGTGGTCGGCGAACAATCCTCCTCGGCCTCTTCCTCGCTATCAGGAATGATCATATCCTCGCTACCCCGGTTCAAGGGCGTAGATACGAGTCTCATGGGTGCCATCTGGCTGGGATCGCTCGCGGTGCGAACGACAGCTTTCGTTCGCGGAAGGTTGAGAGATCGCGACCGGGATAATGCAGTCTGTCCGAGTCGCTGCAGAGGCGTCAACCGCTGGCGCTTCGGCGAGCCTTCTTGAGCTCCCCAGGTGATCGTTGACGGGGCAGTGTTGGCAGCTTGCTTCGTCTCCCCACAATTCATCTCGGAGACCGTCGAGCTGCCAGGTGACTGAAACGCGTATTTGGCGAGCAAAGCGGTGTTTTGCTTCTTGACGTGATAACCCAGTACCTGGTGAAATAGTTTGGGATCTGAGTCAATACTGACAGTCTTGCAAGAGGCTACTGGTGGCACCGAGGCCCCTTTGTCTGATCCATGCGGATCGGATTCCATTGCTGATGCCAGTTCTTGCTCCTCTTGTTTCTGTGAATCAGGTCTGGAAACGTTGCTCCTTTCTGAAATTTTCATCGCCTTATTATCAGGCTTGACAGGGTCCGTAAGCTGAGACATAATGTCTTCCGCAGCTTGATCGTCAGAGAACACATCAAGACAAGACTTTCGAGATTTCTTGCCGCGGAGCATCTTCTGTCCACTGGGGCTGGCCTCTTCAGTGGTGGCCGCAAAGAACGGACTCTTGTTGACTGGACGAGAAGGGACAGCTTCCTCTTCGGTCTCGAAGCAGAGTCTTTGCCGCTTCACGGGTTGAACAGTTGATACCCGAGAAGCTTGTGCCAGGAACGAGTCACGCTCAGCGCTTCTCACCAGCGGACTAGAGCGCGGGGTGAAGGAAGTTGCAGACCGCAGAAGGCTGGGACGGACGGGAGCAGGGCTGGCCTCCCAGGAGGAGCTGGCATGGCGCTGCAGAAGTCGTTGTTGACTCGGGGATGGCGATAGGCTGTTCGGGTCAAGTTCCGCCAGAGGTGTACGTTTCGGGGTGAAAAAAGAACTAATAGGCTTGCTGGGCTTCAGGTCGGCGGACGAGCCCAGTGTTTGCCTCCTAACAATTCCACTTGGGACTTTCTGCGGGTTGATTGGTTTCAACACGATCGGCTCCTTTGACATGGGGTCAAGATCTCCTCGGGCGACCTGGACGGCAATTTCTGGTTCGACGTCGTCTCCAATGAACGTAAGCTCTTCAAGCTCAATGCTGGTGTCCAGTGGTGTCAATGTCACCAGCTTCCCCGCTTTGGGACAGAACACTCGCTGATAGAGAAAGGTGCGCTCCGCCTGCGCGAAATTCTGCAGATAATCCGCCGGGACACGGAAGTGTCCTTCAAACTTCAGCATGCGCAAGGCCTTCTCCACGTCCTTGTATTTGCGAATGCTACGGTATGCAGTCTTCAGACCCATTTTTGGGATGTTGGGCAGGTAATCACACCCACTCAGAATGCACATGCGCCGGAAGTCGTCGTCGGTCCACCCGGCCAGACTGACTTCGCGACAGGCTGAGAAGTTGGCTCGGTTAATCTCAATGCAGTCGCCGTGTTGGTCGAGTTTCGACAAGAGTCTTTTGGCGCCGAAGACAAGCAAATCCGAGTCTTCAGAGATTATGCCGTTGATGATCCCCTCGCGTTCCAGGTATACCATTTGTGCGTCCGCTTCGTACGGTGCCACAACGTACTGGACGTCCATCTTCTTTAGTTCCTCGATCAACTGGCGAGCCATATACGGGGTGACATCGACGGCCTTTTGCAGCTCCTGGTACGCCTCCGCGATCTTGCCCTTTCGTTTCAAATCCAGACCCAATGCTTTACTCTCCTGTCGTCTCTGCTGCCGCTGAGCTTCGGTTCCAGCCTTACTTGGCAGATCATCGCCGTCGAAGATTAGGTAGGGCCTGACACCAAAATACAGCAGCATCCGAACGCGATTGAGCACGAAATCGATGTGCCTAGCACGCATGTCAGTGATATTTCTTTTTCTCCACGAACATTCAACAAGGAAGATAGCCACGCGTACTTTGTTGTCGGCCTATCGAGGACCAGATCGATCGAGCACGCAATGGTCCCACGATGTAGCCATCCATACGCATCGACCCCCAGCGTTTGACCGCTGAAGTCCCTTAGATGTACTGGTTTCTGGATCGATTTCAGAAGGCCATGGAGCCCTGTTTGTTGTCAGCCCCCAATCGACCACGAGACACACTCCAGTCTTCTTTCAGGGGTTGTTCCCACCTTTGATCCCCATCGTGAGCACCCTCCAGGAACGAGGAGCTCCTGGTCTTGTTTACCAGCACGGCAGGAGCGCGCATGAGATAGTCTCGACTCTATACCCAGCAGCGCGTCAGGTCATCGATGCCATGGAGCAGGCCACAAGGGATGTCCACGGGCGGGGGAGGCTTAAGAGGCAACAAGGGGACCGCGTGGGGGAGCAACCGTCTGCACTACAGCCTGCATTGGTAGCGCTGGGCCACTGGGAATGTGCCTTCGCTCGGCAGCGACTGACGCGCAGGACGCGAAGCATTGATCGGATGGGGGGCGCGTGGCACGTGATTCGTGATTGGGCCCTTGGAGGCGGTAGCTGCTCCCGTTCTCACCGCTATTTGTTTCTGCCGAACAAAAAGATGCCGCGCCGGAAAAAAAAAATAAAAATTGCAAAAAAGAGGGCCTTCGTTGGTTCCCCGCATATCAATCATCTCAGTCCACAGGAGAACTGCCCAGCATGCCTCGCAGTCTTCAGAAAGTTCAGAAGCACATTGCCAAGAAGCGCGGTGTCGTGGAGGCACTTCATGAGAACAGCCGCGATGCAAAGCTTTTGCGTCGTGCTGGAGCGCGAGATGACAGACTCTCTCGGATTGCTTCGGTCATGTCAAGGGCAAGAAGGTCATATGGTATGGCTACGTGATTACTTTTAGTGATTTGCAGGATTCTGCTGACGATCCCTGTGTTGTAGTGGACCGGGTGAATTATTTTCTAGAAGCACTGGGAGAGACTCCCGCACTGGTGTCGGAGGATGGGATGAAAGAGCTGGTAGTCAGGTTCGTCAGACGGAATTCTATTTCAATAAGCAGCGCTAACGGGGGAATTGGGAAACAGGTACATTGCTCGGGATGCCGAGGAGATTGAACAGTTACAGAAAGAAAGACGCAAAGGCCGCCCGCCGAGCAAGCGAGAAGAGGCGCTGTCGCAACGTACTGAAGCCGAGAACAAGGAATACAAAACAGGATTCTGGATGCCCGATCTCTCGAACCAAGACAATATCCGCAATCTATCACTGTGGAATGGCGACTGGTCGAGTCTAGTCACGGTGAAGTTCGTCCGCCTGGTCAAAGACGGGTCAATGCAGGCCTCCAGCTTCCCACCGAATGGACTGTCATGAAGCAGGGTATATGATACCTGCCCCAAAAAAAAATATTGCATTGGGCTGGCGTTTATAGCATATATACAACTCTAGATTCAAAAGTTTCATCCATAATCATGGTAGTCATGCCATTGTAGCTTTGGTGCACTAGGCCGTTTTGGAGCTGTTGGTCTTGGCACAATCGAACTTTGCGGAAACATCAACATCATTATTTGCCCCCGGAACCTTGGAGCCTCTTGTCTTTCCCCCCATCTCTACACCATCGCATATCTGGGCTTTCTGTCTTAAAGTTACTCTAGCCGCCATGATGTCCCTTCGCATGCTTGCACGCTCTGTGCCCCGGACCTTCTCCCGATCTATCGCCAGCACTTCCCGCGCCGCTGCTCTGCGACCTCTGGCCCCTAAGCCCGCTCTTTTCCAATCATCATGGAAGCAAGCCACGAAACCTTTCTATCCCGCTTTCTCTACATCGAGCACACTCAAGGAGACCGCTGAAGGTAAAAGATCTTCTTTTTCTTCCGTCATCATAAATGGAGTCGCTGACAGCATGGTTTTCCGGTAGGTGACGTTGAGCTGATTGCCAAGCTCGAGGATGAATTGAAGCATGAGAAGGCCTCCGGACTTGATGATCTCGATAGCTCCGTTCAGAACATCCAATATGTCCTTCAAAATAACGCATGGGAGGTATGTGTTGCGTCCGAGAGCTCCCTCCCGAGCAATTTCTAACAAGGTGTAGGTCAAGGATATTCCGGGCGAGCAAGAGGTGATCCTTACTAGGAAGTTCGGAAAGGAAGAGTAAGTTGCACAAAATCATCTTATGCCTTTATTTTTTGTCTCTAATAACATGACTAATTTTTTTTTCTCGCCCACAGTATCCGCGTTACCTTCACTGTTGCCGACCTGCAGAACCTGAGCGAACAAGAAGACTTTGGTGACTCTGCCCTCGGCGATGAGATGGACTTTGAGTCGCACCAGGCCATCAACCAGGGCCGTGGGGCCCCCGGATCCGTCTCCCAGCACCCCGAAGACCAGGTTGCGCCCGCCGACCGTGACCTGGAGGACCGCGATATGGAGCCCAGTTTCCCTGCCCGTGTCAACGTCACTGTTGAGAAGCCCAGCGGTGGTTCTCTGTTGATTCAGACCATTGTCCAGGATGGGCTATTCCAGATTGAGGAGGTCTCGTATTTCAACAAGCCCGACTTGGCTCAGGCTCAGACCGCCGAGAAGGACTGGATCAGGCAGAGCATGTACGCCGGTCCTCCCTTTGAGAACCTGGATGAGGACCTCCAGACCCTACTGGAGCGCTACCTGGAGGAGAGAGGTGTCAACACCGAGCTGGCCAACATGATCCCTGACTACATTCAAGTCAAGGAACAGAAGGAATACGTCCGCTGGCTCGAGAGTAAGTTGAAATTGCCACTTATATAACCCACACGTTACAGTACTAATGGCCTATTCTAGGTGTCAAGAACTTCGTTTCTGTCTAAATACTTCTCAACCGATTTGTTGATTCTTGCCGATTCCCCCCTCTTCCCGGTTCAAATGCCAATTTTGAACCCTTCCAATGAAATGTTGAATAGGGGGCTTGCTCAAGCATAGCCCTACGTGTAATAATAGATAAAAAGGAACTATTTATGGAACTCTTGATGTCGTGATATCATTTTAAATCATCATGGTAGACAGTATCAAAAACTCACTTACTTAGGCTGATGTGGGACTTCCGTTTTGGGACCCCGACTTCGATAAACCATAAAACATTCACATTATCCCCAAAATTCCAGTACGATAGAGGAACAAATATTCCCCAAATACAATCTTGTATTTCTGTTGATATTCTGGAGAACAGATTGCCATCCCTTATCATTCCAACAGTCATACAAAACCGATATTCTGTTCCAACCATCTGTTCGGGTCCCAGAGACAGGAGAATAGAAAGAAGAGATGGCTGAAAAGACACTCATAACCTTCATCCAAAACGCCCTCTCCCTAAGCAACACCCCGCTAACCATCCGGCGCGAGCCATCCATCGAGGGAGACGACCACAAAGTCTTCTTTATCGACGGGCACGACAACTACATATTGCGCGTGACGAAACCGCGGCCGGGCCGCGGATATAGCGGGTCGGAAATGCAGAGACGCGAGATCGCCATTCACGACCTCATCCGATCAGAGTACGAGAGACGAGGACTCTCGTCGGCAATGATCCCACGGTCTGTTGCGTCCTGCATCCTGGATGATGATAAAGACGGCGACGAAACCACTTCTGCTTCATTGGAGGTCGTTCTGAAAGGGGCGACGCTGGATGACGTCCCGGCTACCTCGAGGACATTGACAAATTTAACAACCTTGCTAGTGATTCTGAGGAGTATTCCTGTCTCACGATTAGAAGAGAGGCTGGGAGTCAAGGTTCCCATGCTGGAATATCCGGAGTTAATGCAGTGGAGGTCCGATGCGGTCGAAGCATGGCGACGACTCGTTCGCAATGACCAGCTAGGGGGTGTCAACTGGGGAGTCCCCCCGGAGACAAGCTTGGAAGAGTATATCGAAACAAAGACAGCATTCATGGAGGAGATACGGGCCTTTTCATTGGGTAATGGGAAAGACGACGAAATAGTTCTCACTCACAACGATATCAAAGGCGAACATATCCTTATATCTCACACGGACGGTTCCATAACTGGGATCCTGGACTGGGCGGATGTCGGACTAGGAAGTCCGGCTATCGATATTGCTGGCGTATTGCTGACCGTGGGGACAACAGCGACGATCAAGGTGGCGAGGGAGGCAGGCTATGGAGAGAAGGTGATCCTCGAGGGCATCATGTTTGGACGATGCATGTGTGTCACAAGACTGGATGATCGGTTGAATGGGAACGATACACAGACCCCAGTGCCGTTACTGAAGCAGCAGTTGCTCGTCTCTTTACAGGACTGAAGGGTTGGACAAGGGGTAGTCGATTGGTAGTAATTGCAGGTGCAATTGAATGACTAGCAGAGATATTCAACGCCGGGGAATTTCCAAACTTCCTAACACACACACACAAGAAAATGAAAACGCCCATGTCTTTCCAAAAAGAGAAGATGCTATAGAAGTCAAAAGAGCTGCTCGCTAAAACTCCATCTTAGTCGTTCCCCCAGTGACTGTCTCTTCGGTCCGCTCGCGTTTGACTGTTCGCTCGTCTTTGAGCAAGCTTGCAATAAACGACCTGAAGTAATCGACATAAGGTTTGAGGCTTGTCTTCTCGTAGTCTTGCAACTTGCGGCTACCCTTGGCATCAGATTCGTTGAGCGCGCTGTCCTCGACATCCATAGCCTCTGTGCCTGTATTGCCTGAAGGGTGTTCCGCATCCCACGCGTCGATTTCACTCAGGAGTTGTGTTACGGTAGGGACAGAGAGGGGATCAAAATTCTCAACGTTCCGAGGATCGATGGGAACACAGACACGTCCAGTGCCGGGGTGAATGACGAAGGGGCTCTTAAGCAAGTGAATCATCTTTTTGCTGACCTCCGAGTCGAGTCGTGGATAGGTATACTCCAACACAATATCTTGCTTGGCATCCAGAAGCGAAGACGTGTTCAGGTGACTGCTTTTTCCAGTTTTCGCCAGGGAATCGATGTCAGCCCACTTGTTCGTACTCGATCTGTCCGGAGAGGATCCCCATTTCTTCCGCAGCGCGTCATTGAGGCCTTTATCGGGAAGGAGTGAAAGTAGGCGGTCCGACTGCTCTGGTCCGGCGAATGTGTTTTGGTCATTTAAAGTGGTCTGCGCGAAATGTGGCTTGAGAATATCCAAACTACGGGACATGTGCGGGTGTAACGGGCGTTTGAGGTTGACCTTCTTTCCGGACTGGGAGCCTCCACGGATGAGATCGAGATATCCGGCAATTGCCCTTCGCCGGTCGTCGGGTAAATTCCTTGCCCTCTTGTCGCAAACCCAGGCGTGTGCACCACGTCGACCAGAGTAAACCCACATGATATGCTCGAATCCAAAGTCCTCGCGTAGTGCGGTGTCAATTACCTTGATGGCCATGGTAATGAAGGACCAGCATTTCCAGCAGATATTTGCCTTTGAACAGCAAGTTCGAATGTCATCATAATCTGTCAAATCGATATCGAACACGAGTTCTTTGGCAACAGGTTTCATTTGACCTCCCTTCATGGTCTTGCGGTCCCGAGGATTTGTGCTGTAGACTGGCCCGATTTCAAAACGTGACGGGTTCATTCGTATGATGTCCTTGCGAAATCTTGCATGAACAGATTGGTCAGTCTACCAGTCTCATACTTCACTAGCTTCTCATATTATAAAACAACTTACAGATCAGCAGTAGCATATGACTGATATCGTAGATACGCATCATTCTGTAGGGTAAGCGCGAATTCTCGGTTTCCAAAATCCGGGGACGGAATAATGCCATGGTTCAGCCATTGAAACAGGTATCTGAACGGAAAGAGTCGCTGGTAGAACGCAAGCATTGTGTCAGTATCGACACCTGTTGGTTGAGGAGCAGATGGGCTATGAAGGAGAGTCATATTAATGTCAAGGATGCAGCTACTTCTTGGAACATCTTATGCTTACTTGGCCATGTCTGGTGCTGGCGGTGGTGACGACGCCATTTTAACATCCACTGCACTTGAGGCAGGAAATTCATCATCATCGTCGTCGTCAAACATCTCCTCCAGCTTCACACCTCCAGTGCCATTCTGCGAGACAGCAGCAGTCACTGCGGGTTTGACCTCATCGGTTTCCTCCGCCGTAGGCGCATCTGGCAGAACCTCTTCATCGTGTTTCGCTGGGGGATCGACTTCATCAGGCGTTACAGAATGCGGCATCTTGATTTGTGTTGGCTGAAGTATACTCGGCACAGCTGTACCATGAAATTGTGATGCTTTTGGCCTCAATTGATGTCCAATACAGCCTCATTCAGAACGCGACTCCCCGCAGCGACGCGTCTCCACGCGTTTCCATTAAAAACCAAAGCCCTAAGCCCTAAGGGCCGGATCGAGAAAAGATCATGTGACTTTATACAGTATTGCTTATCTAATACGTATATAAGTCTTTCCGATCCGTTCCATATCCGGATCACCCTTGTTCTTGCCCGTTCTCCCAGTGCAACCTCAGCCTCATCCTGCAAACGGACGACACTCTCTTGATTTCGAACATCACCCGCACCGGCTGCTTCAGGAACAGTTGATTGATAATTTCTGCTTTGGTATCGGCAGCATCTTGCTGTCAAGCAGCTTACTGGATGCCGCCTTTGCCCATCACTGCCCGAAGCAGTTGGCTAGGAAGCTATATCACAATCCTGTCTTGAAGCAGCTAGCCAAGAGTGCTGAGTGCTATAAATGGCATCATTACTGAGATTTTCTCTTATTCAATACGTCCGATATATCTGATAGTCCACTCTTGCATATTTTCCAGCCTTGATCTATCTATCCCAAAGCGGACCTTTCGTCGCCAGTAGTATTGACTGTCAGTCATGATGCCATCAGTCTTTGTGAGCTATGCCTATTGTCACTTCCTGACAGGATATTCTCATATTCTTTAGAATCCTTTTGGAATTGTAGTAGGCTTGTCGCTCTGCTTATTATGGCTATTTTTCACAGCAATTTCCCCACATTCCAGCTCGACCTTGAGCGATGATGACTAGTGACTTGCTTTGCTGGCTGTAAAGCGCTCAATAAACACCATTATGTCCAGATTTTTGTGGCTGTGAACCGAGCCTCTTGGGCGTAGGGGATGGGATTGTCAGTGTCTGATCGCACACGAGTCGACTTTCCTAATGCGCACTGGCGAGTTCTTGCGGTGATTTTGTGGTATGGAGTCAAATTTCCATTTCCGGAAGCATTGACTACGCCCAAGCCGACCTGATCCGTCTATTGCTCTCTGCTTCCTTCCACCATTTCCGCATGCAGTAATACTCTGGTGCCTTCACTTTGTAAAGTGATGTTCCTGGTCTCTTTTTTTTATTGTATATTTTTTTGGTCTGATCCGCCGGATCCGTATGTTGGTCCTCTCTCATGCTGTTCCTGGCATGGCCGTGATGTCTCAAAGCACTCTCCCATGAAAGCTGCTATCTATCTAGGCATTGGAGTGTTCCCCACATCTATGGTAGAAGCTACTATCTGCTTCCAGCCGCATTCAACTGTCTTCTTCGATATTCGGCCGTGCGGACTTGTCGGGTTTGGGAATCTCCCTTCCAAGACAGACGGCTATACTCTCGATTGCAGCAGCAGTAAACGCCACCCTGTCCATACCTAACATCCTTTCCAGGACAAGTGTTCCTGCTCTCTTCTCTGGAACGTCTGGTGGATACTGTGGACACCTATTTCGGATGATACTACAGAATGTTACGTTGGCGGGTAGGTCGATGCTCTATCACAATTACGCTGTACCTCTCTCCATGCACGGGTAATGCTGCTTTCAGCCTTGTATAGACATATCGTGAAGAGCCTGAGTCTTTCCCGGATTCGATTAAGGCATTATTGCGATACTATTGGGTACTACAGTGGTATTGAGACACAATTGCCTGATGGTGACATGAAAACGAAAGTGGCTTTTGGCCTCAAGACTGGAGATATAAGACGGGCCTTGTATCTGCCCAATCCTCTACTCTCTCTTTCTACCATCACCTTGCTTTGAGATAGAAAAAAAAGTACACTCGCTGCTACTTCGCTCGTTTTGCTCCCCAAGCTTTTCCAAGATCCATTGCTTTAATTCTCCAGTTCTTTTTACTCAACCTGCCATCTCAATATAATCAAAATGGTCAAGGCTTCCGTTGCTCTTGTTGCCCTGGCTGCCGCCCCGGCATTCGCCGGCGTCATCGCTCGCGGTGATGAAGGTTCTGTGGAGGCGTGGGCTCCCACCACCACCACCTCGGAGAAGTGGGAGGCTGCTACCACCACTGCTGAGGAATGGGAGAAGACCACCAGCACTTCTCAGTCCAAGTGGGAGGAGACTACTACTTCTTCCTACGAGTGGGAGAAGACCACCTCCACCACCGAAAGCTGGGTGAAGCCTACCACCTCTTCCTCCACCGAGAGCTGGGTGAAGCCTACCACCTCTTCCTCCACCGAGAGCTGGGTCAAGCCCACCACCAAGTCCTCGTCCACCGAGAGCTGGGTCAAGCCCACCACCAAGTCCTCGTCCACCGAGAGCTGGGTGAAGCCCACCACCAAGTCCTCGTCCACCGAGAGCTGGGTCAAGCCTACCACCAAGTCCTCCTCCTCTGAGAGCTGGGTCAAGCCTACCACCAAGTCCTCCTCCTCTGAGAGCTGGGTCAAGCCTACCACCAAGTCCTCCTCTGAGAGCTGGGTGAAGACTACCTCCAAGTCTTCCTCCTCCTGGGTGAAGCCAACCTCTTCCTCCTCTGCCCACGTCTGGTCGAAGTCTTCTTCCACTTCCACCCCTGTCTGGACCAAGTCGGCTTCCTCTTCCACCCATGTCTGGACCAAGTCGGCTTCCTCTTCCGCCCCTGTCTGGACCAAGTCGGCTTCCTCTTCCACCCCTGTCTGGACCCAGCCCAGCAGCTCCAAGATCGTCGTTGAGACCACCACCTACCCTGTTACCTCGACGGTTATCACCTCCGGCACTCAGGTCATCACGGTCCCCGTCACTGAGACTCCTGTCTACCGCAACTCCACGGTCGCTCCTGTTACCTCCACCAGCGCCGCTGCGGCTGAGTCCAGCTCTGCTCACGCCTCGAGCGCTGCGGCTGAATCCAGCGCTGCCGCTGCCGAGACCAGCGCTGCCGCTGCCGAGACCAGCGCTGCCGCTGCCGAGACCAGCGCCGCCGCCGCCGCTGGAACTAGCGCTGCTGCTGCTGCTGCTGGAACGAGCGCCGCCGCTGCTGCTGGAACGAGCGCCGCCGCTGCTGCTGGAACTAGCGCTGCTGCTGCTGCCGCCGGAACCAGCGCTGCTGCCGCCGAGTCTGGTGCTGCTACCGCCGCCGCTACTTCTGAGGCCAGTGCTGCTGCCGCCTCTCCTTCCGAGACTTCGACTCCCGAGGGTGTCAGCCCAACCTACACTGGTGCCGGTTCCCAGAACATGCGCCCTGCTGCCGGTCTTCTCGCTGCCATTGTCGGTGCTATGGCTCTCCTGTAAACGGTCCACCATCCCTGACGGCCAGGACTGTGGGCTTAGTCCTAGCCCGCCATTAGATGAATGGAATGCGATCAGCGACTACCTATCTGTGAAGAAAAGTCACCTACCCGGATGATTCTTTTCTTTTTGATTTCTTATTAATTTTCGGTATGGAGTTCAGGGAAATGATGCGATCTTGGAAAAACTTGATTGAAAAGCAAAAAAAAAACGGGGGATTCTTGTTTTTATCATTAATTATAGTCTTTAATGGAAGTATTTAAAATGGTAATTTTCTATCTTAATTACTGCTATAGACCAAATAGATTTCGCATCTCATCTAGGAATAACAAGCCGGCATGATCTTTTTGACTCTCAAGACAGACACACAAATCTTTCATATCGAAGAATTGATGGACTTGAAGGTTCAACGATGACAACTTGATGGTTTTGTCTGCTTTTTAAGATAAGACGTGAGTCTATATCAAATGTTCGATATTCAAGCGCCAGGACAGCACAATGGGAGTCACTGGTTGAAAGCGCTCCATATATCATCTATTCATAACTATCTGGACATTTTTGTTGAAAACTCTCATGTCGAAAGAAAGAGAAAAAAAAACCGATAGCCTATCTAGTTTCAATCTATTCATATATAAAAACAGTTTTCAACGTAAGCCCTGGAGCTCCTGCTCGACCTCGGCCTTGACAATTTCCCGGACGACCTCCCAGCTGACATTGCCGGAGACAGGGGTGACTCTGCTTTCACGCTGTTCCAGACCGACAAACTCCTGGGGAAGGACTTCGGGGAAGCTGTAGCCGTCTTCGTCGCGGAGGGCGAGGTCGACCGCGCTGGCAAACTTGGCCGGGTGGGCGGTGGAGAGGGAGATGTGGCTGGCGGCCGGGTTGCGCTGGATGGAGCGCAGGGAGGCGGCGACGCCGACGGCGGTGTGCGGGTCAACGATGTAGCCGCCCGTCTTGGAGCTTTTGGCGCTGCCTGGGCCCAGGTTGGGCGGGAAGCAGGAGCGGTAAGTCGAGCGGATGGTCTCGATGGTGTCCTCATCGCTGACGCGCTCGCTCTCGAACTCGACCTTGGCGCCGTTCAGCACCGCCTCGGACACGTTGAAGCTGCCGCTGGTCTTCAGCTGGGTGAGCCAGCCGCTGACGGCCTCGCAGGCGTGCTTGCGCTTCTCCTCGGCGGAGCTGGATCCGTCCGCCTGGAAGGCGAGGAACCACAGGAGACGCTCGAAGTTGCTGCTGACGAGAATGTCCATGGCGGGGCTGTGAGTCTCCTTGACGCCGCCAGCCTGTGCGGTCTTGGAGTACTGGCCGTTGGTGCGGAAGAAGCGGTCGAGGATGTCGTTCTCGTTGGTGGCAATGACGAGCTTCTCGGCGGGGAGGCCCATGCTCTTGGCGAACCAGCCGGCAAGGATGTCGCCGAAGTTGCCCGACGGGACAACGAAGCGCACGGGGGACCCTGCCTTGTAGCTAGGGGACTTGATCAGGGAGAAGTAGGCGTAGAAGTAGTAGGTCATCTGGGCCAGGATACGGGCCCAGTTGATCGAGTTGACGGCCGCAACGTTGTGCGTGGAGTTGAGATCGGCGTCGGCGAAAAGCGCCTTGACGATATCCTGGCAGTCGTCAAAGGAGCCCTCGACCGTGAGGTTGTGCACATTGGCGTCCAGGACGGTCGTCATCTGGGCCTGCTGGATCGGAGAGACCTTCCCGGTGGGGAACAGAATGAAGATGGACACATCCTTCTTACCCCTGAGGCCGTAGATGGCGGCAGAACCGGTGTCACCGCTGGTGGCACCGATGACAGTCAGGTGGTGTCTGTCCTTGCCCTCCTTGCCCTGGTTCTTACGGACCAGGAAGTACTCGAAAAGGTTTCCGAGGAACTGAAGCGCAACGTCCTTGAAGGCAAAGGTTGGGCCCATAAACAGCTCCAGCAGGTAGAGATTGCGCTTGGGGTCCAGCTCGACCACGGGGGTGCGCTCGGCGTGGCGGAAGGTCGAATATGAGCGGCGGATGATATCTTTGAGGTCTTCGGAGGGGATTTCGGCGGACGAGATGTACAGCGACAGGACCTGGAAGGCGAGCTCCTCGAAGCTCAGATCCCGCCACTCGGTCTCCCAGTTGCTAGGAAGGGCAGGAATCTCCTCGGGAATGAACAGACCGCCGTCCGAGGCCAGCCCCTTCAACACCACATCCTCAAACGACAGCTGCAGAGCACACTCGTTAGCCAGCAATTCACCGCGAACAGCCCCTCCATGCGCCCTCTTACCCCGTAGGAGCCCCCCCGTGTGCTCAGGTACTTCTGTGAAAGCGTAGGCGACATGATGACGGCCAGAATATTGCAAGAAACTTGACTCCAGCAGAAGAGACGTGGTTGCGATGATTCATCTAAGAATACCAGGTCGCCGCGGGGCGAGGCTGTGCCTGTTTGGGACTAGCGCCTCCGAAGACGGCAGGAAATTCTCGAATCGTCACGTGCCGGAACGATAGGCGAAGCAAAGGCGATAAGGAGCTGTCCTGTAAGCAGCCGCTGTCTGGTAAGCACTGAAGCAGCAGCGTCAGCAGCCCCTCGTTGCAGGTTTCATCATTTCTCGTGTGGAATTATTGCATTTCTATCTCTATTTGGTCTATCTACAATGATATTATGATGTCAACTTCTTTTACTGTTCGTTGGAAAGCACGTAGCGGTAGCGTGCCTTGCCTGCGTGCATGTCGAGGATCGCCTGGTTGGCATCCTTCATGGGGATCTCCTCAACCCAGGGCTTGATGTTCTTCTCGGCGACGAGCTCGAACATTTCGCGGATCTCGTCGGGGCTGCCGATCATCGAGCTCTCGAGCTTCAGGCGAGGCATCAGGGGTTTGACCGGCGCCATGAGGGTGCCGTCCTCCGGCAGACCGACTTGCACGAAGTTGCCGTTGACGGCAAGAAGGCTGAGGTAGTCGGTCATGGGCATCTAGGGTGGTCCGTTAGCATTGTGAGCCCTGCGAAGAAGACTTGATGGAGGTGACTTGCCTTGCTGGAAGATACTGTGCAGATGATCAGGTCCAGGGACCGGCGGTACTTGGTGGCCCAGTCCGGCTCATCGTCGGTGGCGATGTACAGGTCAGCGCCCATCTTGAGGGAGTCATCGCTCTTACTGGCCTTGCGGGAGATGGCAACGACTTTGTCAGCACCCATGGCCTTGGCGAAGAGGACGCCAAAGTGGCCCAGACCGCCCACCCCGATGATACCAACGCGTTTTCCGGGCCCGCAGTTGTTGTGCTTCAACGGGCTGTAGAGAGTCACACCGCCGCAGAGCATCGGGGCAGCCTCGACCGAGGGGATGGAGTCGGGGATCTTGATGGCGAAGCGAGATGGCACGCGGTTGTACAGGGAGTATCCGCCGTAGGATTTGCCCCCGTTCACATGGATGCTGTTGTACGTTCCGACAAGCTTCTTCTGGCAATACTGCTCCCAGCCCATGGCGCACTCCGGGCAGTCTCCCAGCCGGCCCTGGCAGGAATCGCTCTGAGCACCAACGCCGACACGATCCCCGACCTTGATACCGCCGACGGCCTTGGAGCCGACGCGGACGGCGGTGCCCACGATCTCGTGGCCAACACAGCAAGGGTATTTGGTCGGGCCCTAGTTATTTATCTATGATAAGCATATTGGTGAAGATACGAATGGTTCGAGGGACCAGAACTCACCCAGCCACTGCCTAACGTGTGCAGATCTGACCCGCAGACACCGCAGTGAGTGACCTTGATATCAACATCGGTCTCTTCCCACTCCTTGGGCTCAAACTCCTGCCAGACCATCTTGCCCTCCACGGCGCTGGGGTCGAGGCCCATCCATCCTTCGAATTTGTACTCTGTTTGCGACATGGTGTAAATGGCAATAGATTGCGAACCTTACACGAGTTTCTCTCCTTTCAATCCTTGCAAAGCAACAACCCCATACCGAATGGGCCCTCGGTGCTTTTATACTATTCACTACGCTCGCCGCCATTAATTATTCCTTCCCGTGGATGCACAACGCCATAGAGCCATACGAAATGGAAACATGAAAACTCAAGCGGGGCTTACAAAAACCGGTACCCACATGTTTTTATCACTGTGCCGAGTTTCCCTTCTCTTTTCTACTATTATTGTTCCTTTCTCTTCAAGATCTCCATCTCAAGACAGGAACATCTTGACGGAATAGGATAAAGTCCCGCTCCCGTTTGAAAAACCAGTCCCGTTCCGAGAATCTTGCCACGCAGAACCTTGATATTGGATTAATAATAATAAATTCTCTCAGGCCCTGACTTGTTCTTTGGTTCTTTCTGGAATCGACCGAACTCTGCAGGTGGAACCAATCCTATCTGTGGTGTCAGAACTTTTGAAGCAGTCGGGGACTCGGGATGATGTCGTGCGATGATCATTATTCACCCATTCATTCCTTTGGGCATGCCGTGCCACTCGGAGAGATAACCATCCATCGGCATCCCCCCCCCCCCCTGGCGCGGGAGAGGTTCTGTCAGTCCGTTTGTGGCCAGACCGATACGTAATGCCTCCATATAAGTGGGATGTTCCACTCTCCTCGTCTGTGCTCTTCTAACATACAAAATCCTCTAGATGATTGATTTGTAAGATAACAGCTTTTTCTTTGGTTCAAAAAGTTTCATATCAGGATAGATGCCGGGCGTAGTCCGGCGTAGAGCCTATCTCCGTACAGTGGAGATTTCAATTTATTTTGATGCCATGTGCACTGTGCATTGTGCAGTAGACGGGGTACATATGCAATGTGTACGAAGTACCAAAAAACCTGCATGCATTTTGCCTCTGGCGATCTCACTCTCAACCTATGTGCTGAAATAGAGGAACTCGTCGATACCTTCATTCATATACATTTAGTATTGCTGTCGTTGTCGTGTTTAGTGCTTAATTGATACCGGGTGTCAATCACTGGGAGGTCTGCATATCAACTTTATAAATAGAAATTAAGTATAAATGGACAATAGAAATGTACAAGGTTAAAAGAGAAAACAGCAAAAGATATAGAGTCGGTAATAAAATAGGGTGGAATGGACAAGTTTTTGTTCAGGCCTCGTTTTGGATACGCTATCGACCTCCGCCATGAAAAAAACAAGGTGATCAGAAAGAGAAAAGAAAAGAAAAGGTCTATCTCATCTGCACAAGACAAGCTTGATGAATCAAGCAGTTAAGTTTTACTTGGATTCCCCCGACAGGCCGCTCAGAACAGCGACAGGATATCCTCGTTGGTCTTCTTGGGCTGTGTGCCCTGCGAAGGGAATGAAGGCGATGTCGCCGCATTGTTGGACGACAAGTCCAGCCCTGCGAAACCGTTCATGAGATCCATGGCGTTACTGCTGCCGCCGTTGACTCCAACACCCCCCGCGGCAGACGAGGGCACCGCGTCGTTGCTGCCAAACACGCCAAGCAGGTCGTCCAGGTTGTTGCTCGACGCGGGGACCCCGACAGCGGGCGACTCCACACGAACAGGTGTGCCTGCCAGTCCTTCCAGACCGGACATGCCGTTGGTTGGCTCCTTTTGTGCAGATGCCGGGGCCGTGCCGTCGAAATCAATGTCCAGGAGATTCTCAATGTTACTCTGTGCCTGTGGCGGGGGAGTCGCGCCTGTGACGGCAGCAGCGGCGGCCGCCGCCGCAAGGGGATTTTCGCGTGCGTTCTGGATTTGTTCCCTGAAGAAAAGCGAGCATTAGCCTTGACTTGATTCGCCTGAAGAAAGAACAGGGTAACGAACTCGATGGCAGCCTGTTGCACTGCGTCAGCACCAAAACGACCTTGGCCAACGAATTGCTCCGGAGGCTTATGATAGACGGAAGCAAGGGTCGACAGTTCTGTTAGCAGCTGCTCAAGCAACGCAGGAGGCAAAGATGAGACCGTCGACACAATCGGCGGCTTCTCGGAAAGCACGATGTTTTTGGTTGCGTTGGAATCACTGGTGTTAGATAGCAGGCGCCAGTAGATGTATGCGCGGTCGCGGACATCCGGGTTGTCATTCTCGGCCGTAGCAGCTTGCAGAACCTTTTGCACCAGGCCTTGGGCCTTGTCGGGGCGCTTCAGGAACAGCTTAACAACCGCAGTCAAGATCTGCAACTGAGTCTAGATCCAAGATTATCTGGTTAGTCTTGATTGGTGTCGAACCAGAAGGTAAGGCCACAAACCTGAGAGAACTCTTCATTGAATCCTTCCACAAACCCGGCTAGGATATCGCCAGCATTACTGATCTTCTCTGCATACTCGCCCACAATCCAAATCAAGGCAGCTCTAGCGTTGGGTTCATCCAGCTCGTCAATGCACTGGCAAAGGGTGGGGATGATGCCTTCGTAGCCAGGGTACTTGCGGAAAATGTCCCGGATAACCACGATCGCCTCCTGCACCACATAGTTGACTTTGGTGTTGATTAGATCCAGGAGTGTGTTCACGCATTTCTCACTAGCGCTCTCAATCTTGATAGCGACCTGGCCGATCGCCTTGACGGCACGGCGGACAAAGTCCATGTCGACTTCCAAGGCGTATTCCTTCAATTCTGCTAGAAGCTGATCCACGTTGCGATCGTTGGCGATTCGCACCATGATTTCTAGTTTCTGGAACTTGACATATGGCGGGTCATTGTACTTGCAGAAGAATACGCGGAGCTCCTTATTCAAAATGCCCGGTTCCTTCTGGAGCAATAGATCGATGTTCCTTAGAGCCACGTACTGAACTTCAGGAGCAGAAGAAACCAAGGTGACTATGAGAAAAGCACAAGAGTCAGCAGCTCTTCAGGGCCATAGTGTTTCTCCACGCAACGTACCTAGAGGAGGGGCCATCTTTTTAAGGAAGTTTTTGCTCATTTCGGCATTGACATTCTTCATGTGCAGAAAGACAACCTTGACTGCTGCCAGAACCACACTGGGATTCACATGCTGGAACTGTGGAACGACTCGCTCACAAATGTGCTCGGATTCCTTTACCTCAGTGGTCTTGTAATTCGCCAAAGTGGTAAGGATGGTGACGCGACCCCACTCGGTACACTCGTTCAGAGCCATCAGCAACTTCCGCAGTGTGCTGGAAGTGACTTGGAGTGCATCAATTTCGGGCGACATCTGATTGATCTCTGCCAGTGCAGTCACAGAGTTCGCAACGACCATCGGGTTGGGATCCCCGATCAGTTCCTGCAGGGTTTCGAGGAATCCGTTCTCTAGGCACATAGAAGGGTTCAGGTCGAATAGCTTGGCGACACAGATTGCTGCCGTCTTGCGCACATATGGTGACTCGTCCCGCAGCGTCTTCCGGAGTGGCTCCTCCATGTAGTCAACCATCTTGTCCACGCGGATGCAACCCATTGTCCGAATAGCTAGGGCTCTGATCAGAGGGTTGGGGTCTTCGGAGTCTTGCACGAAAGTATTCACAGCCAGAATACAAAGATCGGGGTGCGATTTGGCATAATTCCTAAACAGGAGTGGAGGCGATGAGCAACGAACAGCACACGATAATCCCCAAAGCATCCGGGGATGCTCACATGAGATAAAGATAGACAAGCTTCTTCTGCTCTAAATCACTCGTGGCAATATTCTTGAGTACGTCAGGAAACAGAGCCGACACGTCCTTCCCCAGTGTCATGGCCATGATGGTCTTCTGGATTGCCTCTTTTCTGTTGCCAGCATTAGCACACCTCGAACCATACAACTTCGACTAGCGACGACATATAGATTTTTTCGTAGGTTTCATAATGGCATACCGTTCATAAGCATACTGAGATCTTCAGAGAGGGTCAGCATTATTCCATCTGCAAGGTCTGATTTTTGGAGGGCGGCGGTGGGGGGGGGTGTCAAGAGCATTCATACACAAGACCAGCTCGTAATTCAAAAGTCTCGCCCTTCCTTGGTGCCGTGAAGGCACCGCGAATTTTGTTCATCGCCATCTTGAGACGTAGCGAGCTTCAGCGACGACCAAGTCGCGCCTCCGCTAAGTATCCGACTGAGGAGTGTTGGGAGGGGGGTAGGAAGCGTGTCGTTGCGGACGACTGCGGGGAATCGGCGGCGAGATTCAGGGACACTGTTGCGCAGTGAGAAAACCAGCAGACACACACGTATTTATCTCATTCCCAGCCGGGCCACACGGTAAACAGCGATGCAGCAGAGGGACGACAGAACAGGCCTGGACAGGGCAAGGATCCGGAGTGCTGCAGACAACGAGACTTCCGCTGCGTAGTTGGCGAAAGGGAGTTTGGTGGTTTAAGCTGTCCACAAATCGCGGCTCCAGTCCGGGGCGGCTAAGAGTGGCCAGCCAAACAGCCACCAGTGGACAACTCTCAATGCCATTCCCAGCTACAGAGTAAATAATAGCATTTGGGCTCCACGAGAACAAGCCGAGCGTGTTTTTACTGAAGAATGGTATGGAAATTCTTTTTTCGATTCTGGGGATGGTATTTACTGACTGTAGCAGGCCCAGCTTCCAAATCTACGACGGTTGTTCGTCGAGGCCCGATCAGAGGCCGAAGAGAACGAATACTCCCGAACAGCAGTAAGCCAGGATGCTTTTGTGGCTGTTGAGTATCAAGCTGACACTGGAGGCAGTTCTACAACATGGTGCTTTTCATCTCTTCCGTTGCAGTGTTCAGCCTGGTCGCTCAACGGATGAGTGGAGCGAAACTGGGCAAATAATCGGTATTTCAACCGAATGGATATCACCACCACCACCACTACTACTATTATTATAAAAGTACTCGGTAGCAATCCATACTACTTGCGGGTCTCGAATAGATCGGACATGCACGCCACAGGGAGCGCTGCTCGGCTTTCACCGGCTGTTCAATCTGTCTCTTCCCCGTCGTCGCTCCCCAAGAAAGCAAGGCTCTTGAGGCCTCGATTAAGTCTTCTCCGAGGCTTGCCACCGCCATCACTCCCTTCATCACCGCTTCCTGTGCCCCATCGCTTGGCCCCTTCTTGAACCATCTCGAGATCTGCCTGCAGTTCCCGGGCTTCTCGAATCTGCTTCGCTTTCTCGACTGAATAGCGGCCATCCATTCCTGCCTCCTTCAGCATCTCCTTGAGGTGTTTGATCTTGGCTTTGGAAGTTTCGTACGGAGCCAGCTCCCGCCACCACATCTTCCGAATCCCGCACTTGACAAGCCATCCTTGCAGCCGCTTGATCTCTGCTTGGTCCGGATCTAGGTCTGCATCTGTGCTCTTGGTTTCAGCGGCTTTTTTCTTTGTCTTCTTGGACGTCCCTTCGGAGCTCTTCCGTTTGCGAGTGGGCTGAGGAGCCTCGTCGAGCACTACTGACATCTCGCTCTCCGACTCAACCTTGTCTTCTGGGCCCGATTTTGTCTGGTCTTCAACATCGCTTCCAGGTTCGTCCGATGGACCACATGTCTTGGGAGCTTCTTTCCGGCCTTTATTCCCTACTACACCCGTAGATCTCTGTTTCTTGGCTTTGATGAGTTTGCTCTCTACATCGCTCTCGTCTTCGAGGGGGGAGAGGGCCTGATCGTCTTCAGAGTCTGGCGGGCTGCTTGTCTTTCGGCGCTTTCTCGACTTCGAAGAGTTGTTGATCTTTGATCGTTTTAACGGTGACGTCTCTACTTTGTCCGCCTTCTTGTCTGTCTTTTCTTCTTCCTGTGGCGCCTTGTCTTGTACGTCCTGCATCAGAGTAATATCAAATCAGCCTCGGTTCTTATTCTCTCCGTCTCCTCTAAATACCCCACATACCACTTCACCCCGGATAATTTCCTCGCTTTTTGCTTTCCACCGACTGTCGCCCTTTAAATAGCCCTCGTCGAGTCCTAGGGTCTTTTCTGCCGCCAATCGCACGCGTTTGACAGTCAATTCCTCCATCTTCCCCGACTTGTAGACCCTGGCTACTGCATCGCGTAAAGCTTTCTCGATCGCGGCGTCTGGAGGGACCATTGGACCTGTTCGTTCATCCTCCGACTCGTCCGAATCAGACATGGCATAACGCGGTGCCATCTTGATAGTCCGCGATTTGCAGTGGGTTCCGGGGTTCTCGGGTTAGAAACGCGTGCCTGATCTTTAATAGTACTTCCAAATAGATCGTTTCTTCTGCAAATTTGGAAGAAACCGAAGGTTTCGCGCCAGGGTACGCACTCGCGTCTTACTCTCAAGTCGGGATCGCGACCTGCAGATCGGCGGATCTGATGCGCCGAAGCTTTGTCAGCTTCGGAAATAGCTTCGTAACTGCGGAGTAGTCAAAGTGATGATAACCTTCAAGTTCTTTTCGCGCATGCCTTGATTCGGTCCACTAGATTCTACATTCATTTATTTTGAAAATCTAGTATTGTCACTGTTTTGAATTGCATCGTGCCCTCCGGAAGATCTGCAACCAGTACTCTCCAGGTAGTCGCTACCTGCTGTCCCGCACTGCTCTATCACCTTAACCAGCGCTACAAACCAGCTGCCTTCACGATAAGATGCCCGACCCAGTCGCATCGACGCCTGAGATTCCCAAAGGGCTATTCCCTCATCAACCAGCAGTCCCTTCTAGCTCGACCGAGACAAAAGGCCATGATCCGTCCAAGGCCAAGCTCCCGAACGGACTCGTCCTAGATAAGGACGGAAAGCCGTACGTTCAGCCCCAAACCTATAAATTCATATGGGGAAAAAAAGGCATGCTCGGTAACTAGTGGCTCACGTTTTAGATGTCGACTCTGCACCGACGCAGCATCGTGGCGGTCTCTGACAAAACAAGCAAAAGCATCCTCCTCCACCCCTGCATCAACCAGCACGGTAGCAGCAGGTACGGCAGCAGCAGCAGCAGCAGCAACAACAACAACAACAACTACTACATCCCCCACTGCCAATGGCTGCCCTCCAGACGTTGAAGAGCTCGGCCGCTCAACATGGACCTTCCTCCACTCCCTCACAGCAGCGTACCCGACCCAAGCCTCGACAGAACAGCAGACGGAGATGCGGTCCTTCCTCAAGCTCTTCTCGCGACTATACCCATGCTGGGTATGTGCAGATGACTTCCGGACCTGGATGGCGGAACCCAGTGGGCGGAACGAGCCGCGGCTCGCGTCACGGGCGGATTTCGGGACCTGGATGTGCGAGGCGCACAATGAGGTCAATCGCAAGTTGGGCAAGAAGGAGTTTGACTGTCGCTTCTGGGAGGAGAGGTGGAGGACTGGCTGGAAAGATGGACGGTGTGATTGATGCCTACCTACCTAGGTGTCCATGTATGTCTGTAATATAGGAAGTATACTACTTAAGGTATGTATTGTATAGAATAGAATAGAATAGAATAAAACTCTTCTCATAACTATAAGACAAAACAAACAAGAATACCATTCAGCTGGAATCGCTAGTAATTATCAAGCATGATATACCCGTTGGACCACGGAGCATACATCTAAGGTAGGGTTGCATCAAGTGTACCATCCATATCCTATCAATTCCCTCCCCTCCCCCCGGCGCCGCCCCTCCAACGTAAGTAAAACTCTGCCCCCGCCCCTTCACGCGATGAAAAGGAAATATGGACTAAGATAGGAGAGAACTCAGGGGGGGGGGGGGGGTTCTTTTTTTGTTTGCGTTTCAGGGATTCGGAAGCAGGGGTTTGAACGTAACAATCCGTCAACCCGGTTCAGTTCTGGCTGGGCACGAATAGCCGCAGTCCGCTCGCCGGGGCGCCAATCTCAGTCACTTGAGATACGTGGCACACAGTGCCCTTGTACTGTTCATGGTACTTGGCACCGGTGAACGGATCGGTGACGCTGGGAGAGCCGGTGTAGATCGGGGTATGGGAAGCGGCGCAGATGTCGAACTCAGCGAACTGGTCGAACTCGATGTCGATGGCGTCTTGCGGGTTGCGCTCGCATTGCGCTTTAATTTTCCTGGCCTGCGAAAAGAAAAGTCAGTCTTGATGCGTTCTTTTCGTCAATGATTCAAATCTCTTACCTGATCGAGAAGCTTGGCAGAGCCTCCGTTGGCTAGCATGCGGTTGGCAAAGCTGAGAGCAGAAGAATAGTTGCGGTTGGTGAAGGCAAACTTCATGGCAGAGATCAAGGCAAGCTGGCGGTGGGCAACCTCCAACTTGGGCATCGTGAAGTAGGCAGAGAGCTCTAGACTTCTCTTCAAGCCCTCGGGCGTGTCTACCGGCAGGGGACGACGCTCCAGTTCGATCGACATGGCAAGAATGTATTCCCTAGCAGTGGCGATGATCTTCTTCGCTTGTTCCACCTCGGCCTCGGAGGAGACGGTGTTGACCAGAAGGGTGTGCAGAATACCTCGGAAAATTTCCACGCCTTCTTCCAGCTTGTTCGCCCGCATTGCAGCGTATCCCCTCTGCAGGTCGTCGTTGGCAATGGTCTCCAGATCCCGAGGGATAATCGGAAGGACTTTCCGGCTATCCGTCTCCTCGACGGTCCGGCGAACATAGTTCACTAGAGGAGGCAGGCTAACAGTGGCGGGAAGGTAGGTCTTGGTTGCCTTGTACACCTCGAGGAATCGAGGCTTGAGAGGAGCGAAGTGGACAGCACCGACCTGGCGATTCAGCAGTTGCATCGCAGTGTCAAAGGAGCCGGCAGCCACATGATCGGCGGCAAGCGGGGAGTTACGAGCCCAGAGGTCGGCCTCGGAGCTTCCTGCACCTCCCTCGACACTGTCGACGTTGACAAAGTCGACGTCCTCCTCGACATTGATCTCTTCACCCATGTCCCATCCAGCGACGTCCTCATCCTCTTCTTCTAAAGCGTCGTGAACAGCTGCGGCTTCCTCCTCCTCTTCCTCAATATCATAGCCGTTGGCAGCAGCATCCTCGCCGGCTGCTCCGACTTCTCCGAGAAGAGCCTTCTCAAAGGAGGAGTGGGCGGCAGCCTTCACGGGCCAGTTGGACTTGAAGGTTGGGACAATGGGACGGGGGACTTGCAAGGGCTCATCAACCGTGCACAGACTGATCTGTTCTTCGGTGAGGCCACAGGCTTCGAGGATAGACTCAGCCTCCTCTGTCAGGCCATGAGACTTCGCAGTCAAATAGGCGAGAGGGTCTAGATTTTCTGTTAGCGAATATCATCAAGATAACAGGCACCATTTCACATACACTGATCAACTTCCTTGAACATCTGGATCCGGTCTTCCACATCACCACGGTAGATCGCGTTCTGGAAGCGCGAGATGAAGTCTCCCCGGTGCTCGGCGATCTTAGCCATCCGGGAGAGCTTTTCCTGGTCACCGGTCCCCAGATATAAGAATGAAAGCTTTTCGAAGTTACGCTGCTTCTGGTAGGTCATCTCCACGGTCTGGTGGTTGCCATGAGCCAAAGCCTCGGTGCTAAGTCGGTCCCAGAGCTTGGGGCGGTCCAGCTCTTTGGCCATCTCAATAGCGACATCCAGGTTACCGCACTCAAGGGCTAACTCGAAACGGGTCTGAGGGTCCTGCACGAATTGCAGAGCGATTTCCGGGTAGCCCTTCTTTTGCAGGTAGGAAATGATGCTTTGGCCAACCAGGCTCGAGTTTTTGATAATCTGCAGCATCTCGTCGTAGTTTCTCTTGACAAGGGCAAGTTTGAAGCGGTATTCGGTAGGATCGATTTCCAAGATTCTGGGCTTAGCGTTGCGATCCAGACAGTAAACGTTCCTTCCCTTCACCCGGACCAGGTACACTGTCTGATCCAGGGTACGGATAATGCCGTTATCGCTGTCATTGCCATTAGTTTTCGTCCGCCAGTTCCTGATCTGAAAAGATTGGAGCAACATACCCATTGAGGAGAGAGTACTTAACATGGTTCAAGGTTGAGTACAGGAGCACACCAGCATCGTCCCAGGTAGCACTCTTGATACGGATGGTCTCGTGCAGAGAGCTGACTTGCTCGAGGGTCTTGGTAACAATAGTCACATTATGCTTGCTAAGCAAAGCAGCATACAACCCATCATTGGACCAAACAACATATTTGACACCACTGACGGCAAGCTCGGCCAGCTGCTTCTTCTGTTGGATGTCGAATAGAGCCACCGACGTAGGAGTGATGAAGAGCAGGCAGCCAGTTCCTCCAAAGAAGATGTCTGTCGTTCCAACCGGGGGCTTGATAGTCTTGGTAGTGGAGTTGCTCAGGTCCTTGATATCAACCTGCTGGCTAGACTGGTTGAACACGGCAAACCGGTTGCGAGCGACAAATACAGCTGAGGTGCCTTGGCCGCGCTTCGAGTCGGTCGGTTCCACAGCACCGGTGGCATCCCGAGGGAGGTGGATCAGCTCGTAGGTGCCGTTGTCTGCAGGCGAGGTCACGAGAATGGCCCGCTCAGCGGGATTATAGGAAAGAGTGCGGGGCGGCACCCATGGGGAACCCAGTTTGCGCAGTGACAGCATCGAGGGAGATTCAATGTTCTTGGCGAAATCGTACGACTTGACGTGCTTCTCCTTGGTAATGTAAAAGAGCTGGTTCTGGTAAATGGCGGATGCGGGGCGCTCTCTCTCCAACTTGAAAACCATCACACCAGTATCGTGGCCAGCCGCGAACAGGTTGATTTCGGGGTGGGCAGCAATGACCCAGAAGCGATCCAGATCGCGCTTGAATGACTGGACCGAGGTGCGCTTGTTCAAGTCCCAGACCCGGATCGTCTTGTCTTCGCCAACGGATAGGATGAGATCCTGATGCGGGTGGAACAGACAGGCTGAGGCGTTCTGGAAGTGACCACGACAGGTATCGACTTCCCAGGCCTTGGTGTCTAATTCGAACATCATCAGCACATACGCATACCCTTGCAGGACACTTTTTTTTTCTTTTCCTCTCACTCACCACTCATTCTCCACAGCTTGATCAAGCGGTCATCACCCGCCGAGACGATCAATGGCAGGGTAGGGTGGAAGGCAACCCAGTTCACACCACGATCATGTCCCTCCAAGACAAATTTAACCACCGCGTCCGTATTTCCGAACATGTCTGCCTGGTTGGGGTTGGCGCGGGACATCTGGTCTTCGAAGGTCATCGAGGTCGGCGCCGAGTGCTTCTTCCGCAAGCCGGAGATGTCCCAGATACGGACCGACTGGTCGAGGGAGGCAGAGGCAATCAGGTCCTCTTTCGGATGGAACTGGGCTGACATGACATAGTGGTTGTGACCGGTCATTGTGCAGACTAGAGAGAAGGAGGAGAAAGTCAGCAAAGCTTGTGGGAACAGGTGGTCAGTCAATCGGCAGCCGGGCAAGCTCACTCAAGGACCTGTTCTGCCAGTTCCATATCCGGATAGTCTGGTCGTCTGACGCGGACAGAATCCACGGCAACTCGTGGTGGAAGAAGACGGTTCGCACGTAGTCCAAATGGCCATTCAGAGTGAACAGACACCGCCGGGTCTGGTAACTCCAGACCTTGATCTTGTAATCATCACCTCCCGAAACAAACAGCGGCTGAGTCTTGTGGAAGTCAATGCCTCGCACGGGACCATCGTGTTCTTCAAAACGATCAATGAGCGTTCCCATGCGATAGTCCCATAGCTGGATAGTGGACGAGTGAAGAGACACCAAGATCCATGGCCTGAATCACGAGTTAGTGGGTGGTGTGGTTGCGACGCGTGGGGAGAGGGGGGTTAGGGAGGGTTGTGATGCGACAATGCACGAACCGCTTGGGGTGGAATGCGATTCCTTTCGCCCTGGACGACTTGGACTCGAACTATTCAACCGAATCTAGTCAGCAATGCCGCTGAAGGCCGCCTTCTGGGGGGAAAAGGGGAGTGCAGAGAGGCACTGTACTTGCCTTGGTGAGCATGTTGGGGGAGGACTGCATCTTGAAGGAGGGCTGGCCGGAGCCGCGCCTGAACGTAGCAAGCTAGCTCCGCACACTGAGCAAGGAAAGATCACTGAAGCTTCCACCACATCCACTCTCGCACGGAGGGGAAGATCAACAGCAGCGATGTCGCGGTGGTGAGAGCTGGTCTGGAGTCTGGAGTCTGGACGCTGCCACGGATGGCGGTAACGTGGACTTATTGTGGTTGCCCGGTCGTGAGCCAATAAGCGAGTGGCCGCTGGGCCAATAACGGGCCCGGGCGGTGAGCGAGATCGACCTGGTCCTGTTCGTCTTCAGGGGACGACAACAACAAGATGGACAACCAAATACTCGGCCGGCGTGTGGGTTCTCAGCGTGGCTACGAGTCTTGTGGCTGCAGGGGTAGAAGACAAGATCGTGGTTCAGTTAGAAAAGGAGAAAAAGGCAAATACTACCTTTGGATAAGAATCAAAGGGTTTATTCGGTACCCTCTCGATTTTTTGGTGGTTTTTTGGTTGTTCCGCCGGTGTCGGGACGTGTGTTGATAAGACAAGACAACCTTAAGAGATCCCCATGTCCAGACAGACTCCTTAACGGAGTACATGATGAGGGAGATACCCTAGCAGCCACTGAGATTGGCATTCAGAAGACTCGGCGTAAAATGACAACGTCCTCCATCAACGATATTCAGGGGCAAGATACAGGCTACGATGCCGACGTGGAAGTGGTCAAACCATACGAGATTGAAGAGCCGGACGATGAATACGCCATCGAATCTCCTAGACCAGGGACTCCGGTGAAAGCTCTCGAAGGAGCTGGGGGATGGCAGGAAGAACTGGTGGATTCCATGCAGGAGCTGTACTGCGACTCGGATACCACCCAATCACCTCTCCGAGACGGCTCAAAACGGGGTCTGAAACGGAAACCTACAAACTCGTCGAGACCAGAGGTCGGGTGTCAGTCGCAGCCAGCAGAGAAGTCCAGCGAGACGACGGCGGCTCTGAGTCCGAAAAGGCTCCGCAGACGAAGCAGACGGTCGAGAGAAGGGTTTCGACCTGGTCGTGCCGCCGCTGCCCTCTGGCACATTCACAGTCGAACGCCGTCTTGTGAGATTTCTACGCCGGCGGGTCGGTCTACGAGTGCCAGTACATTTGAGACGGCGAATGAGGAAGTCAGATGTAGCGACAACATGGATACTAGTATTGATTGAGAAGCGCCGTCTTCTTGTCGGAATTGGCCACCACACAGGGATCATCACAATGACACCCTTGGAATAGTAATCCATTTCCTCTGCATGGATGGCTTTCCTTCATCTTTCTGATCTAAAGAATATCAAACATTAATACCACAGATACTGAGAATTATCATGTCCAGTGCTCTTGAGAGGCCTCTGTGTTGGTCTGGACCTCCCAAACCCGATCACGTGCACCTGCAGGGCCATCATGCGCTAAACTAAAAATGGACCTCCAGCATTGGTGAATGACGTCAGATGGCTCTCATTACATGGATGTTATTCCCTAGTGCTCGCGGCCGGTCAGCATGGGCTGTTTCTACTATTGCTACCCCCTGGAGGCACAGATTATATGACTTCTCTGTTATTTTGTCGGCGAATTCTGAATTTCCCCCGCCCAATTGCCCTGTACGGTCTCCATCAGACAACTTCCAGAATGGCTGCTACCAGAACCTCCTCGCGCCAGGCCTCATTAAAGGCCAAGGAGGCAATTTTCGAGTCTTCTGAGAAGAAAGTCCGGGCTGCTCCTGGTGCTAAGCGTAAGAGTTCTTCAGACAAGGGGCCCGAGCCCAAACGGGAGAAGAAAGAGGAAGAGGGAGCCGAAGAAGATGGAGGAGTTATGGCAGACAGTGTCACTCAGCCGCAGGAACCAGAAGAGCCAGTCAAGCGGGAGAATCTTCCGGAGATGTCTACAGTGAAGGGAGAGGAGCCGGAGATCGAGGAGATCGAGAAAACTCAGATACAAGAGCATCCAGTCCTTGAACGTAAGTCTAGGAGATGCTTATTATATTCTTCACTTGTCTCGTTTCTCGTTCTAACTATAACTTACCACCACTTAGAGCGCAAGGCTGAAGGGCAGTCACCCGGGTTTCGGAGCTCGCAAGAACGGGAAGATATCGTTCCTTCCAATATCTTGGAAAAGGGTATTATTTACTTTTTCTACCGCCCTAGAGTCAATATCGAGCAACCAGTTAGTATGGGAGACATCGCGCGCAGCTTTTTTGTCTTACGCCCAACCCCCCTCGGGGCAGCCCTCACTCCTGGGTCTATGGCACCCGGGGCGAAGTGCCGGCTGATGATGCTCCCCAAGAAGAAGTTCCCCACGTCCGGCAGAGAGCGAGATATGGGATTCGTGGAGAAGGCAGGCGTGTCTATAAAAATGCTAGACGAGACCTTCATCGCCGGCGAGACGTATGAAACCTCAACTCGCGGGGAACGCCACCGACCCGAGGCCCGGCCGTACGCAGAAGGAGTGTATGCAATCACATCGACGAGACGCGCATCCCACCTGGCGTACGTCATCACCATTCCGTCTGAAGTCGGAGATTTGCAACACGACTTTGGCATCGGTTCTCGTGGCAGCTGGATTGTGCAGTCGAAGAATCCCAAATTCCCTGGGCCCTCGTACGCCCGGCTGCCAAAGGATCCAGAGTACCCCGCCCAGTGAGTGGCTTTTCATTGAATACATACAGATACATATGTTTTAATGTGTTGACCACTGTCAAATAGTGTTGTGGAAAAATTCAAGGATCTCCGCTGGGTGCCTCTTGAACCCGAGCTCATCGACTACCCGAATGCCCAGTTTCTCATGATCGGTGAAGCACAAGACGACCTGGGCAAGGCCGCCACTGCAGAGCCCGGTGGGAAACAGCCGACCGAAGAAGAACCCGGCGAGGAGCTGGAGAAGCTGGAACACGAGAACGAGGAACGGATCGAAGCACTATCAGGTAACAACACCTCACAACACCCCTGTCAGCTACTTTTACTACATAGCCATTCGGTGCTGATTGGGCGCTCCAGGAGACCATACCGTTTACCAGGACCTTGGGCTGGACGCAAAGAACTACCCTGACGTGCCGACGACCTGGAACAGCGAGTAAGCGTCCAGGAAGATAGATTTGTCGTACTTCTGCAACTATACTGTACCCTCAAAAAGTAGAGAAAAGCAATAGTAAGGTGGCATCTACCTAGGTAGTAGTTTGTGGTTTCCATACCGAAGTCCAAAGAGGGGAGGGGTCCTCACGTGTCCGGCTAGAAGTACTAAGCATCTTTAGCAGGGGGCCACCAAACGGGGCTGAAGATCGATCCTAGCAAGTTCTACTTTAGTAATTTCCCTGGCTTCTTTCTAGACGGCCGCGCAACGCATCCTTCTGCTTGGCACGCCAAGAGGAGGCATTCCTTCGCTTCATTAGCACAGCGTCCCAGGCAAATCACCATGTCGGATCTCATCACGTTCAGGGCCGTTGCTGTACCCGAGTCTTGGCCAGGCAGGAGATGAAATGAACTCCGCGATCCCGCGAACCTGTTTCTATGGAATTCATCACCAGACGCTGCTCTGGCCGCAGGAACAGCCCCTTAGCAGATCGCGATTGGGTGTGTTTGGATGACATGACTGAGGGGGGCATCAGGCACTGCCAGCTAGTCTGCCCAGGATCGATCCGATGTAGGAAATAATTGTCGGTTGGATCTGGGATGGAAGGAAGACCCTGGGTATAAATACACTTGCAGCAGCGACGAACTGTTCCTGGGGCACCCGGGATCTAGGATTCTCTCATTAGTCGCTCATTATTCTTCCCGAATCTTTTCTGACCTTATTCACTCATTATGAAGGCTCGATTCGCTTTGGCAGCGTCCCTGCCGCTAGCCGTGACGGCATCGGCTGTCGTCAACCAGACTGTCTGTGGAGGCACCACCTACTCCTACTTGGGCCTGGCTGGGTATGGCTACATCCCATCCAGCTTCCGGGACAAGTACGGAGATACCATGGGTGGTTGGGGAAGTGCTGCCGCCATCGAGCAAGACTCGTGGCGCAGGACGGGCGAACTCACCTACGAGGGTATCCTTTGGGTCTTGCCTGACCGTGGCTGGTAGGTTCTTTTGCTTCAGAGGACGTTCTTCTACTGTGACAAGTGTTTTTTTGGAGCTGATGTTGTTGTGTTTCTCAGGAATACCAACGGAACTTTGAACTTCCAGAACCGCATTCACAAGGTTGCCTTGGAGCTGGAGCTGGCGCCGCACGCGTCATATTCGAACCCCTCTAAGCCCAACCTGAAGCTCACCTACCTTGATTCCATTCTCTTTACCGACCCAGATGGGGAGTACATGACAGGTCTGGATGCCGATGTCACCGGCACTGCTCACTTTGATGGATTTCCGCCCCTCCCCGTTGCCACCTACGAGGGAGATGGCTTTGGCAATGCCGGTCCGGGAGGTAGACGGGTCTCCCTGGACTCCGAGGGCCTCTTCCTGGGCGACGACGGTTCGTTCTGGGTCTCAGATGAGTATGGCCCGTATGTGTACAAGTTCGACAAGAACGGCAAGATGGAGCTGGCTATCCAGCCTCCCTCGGCCTTCCTCCCTCGCCGTAACGGGACTCTGAGCTTCAGCGCCGACTCCCCTCCCTTCTATGATCCGGATGAGGTCATTGACCCTGCTGACCCTGAAACCGGCCGCGATAACAATCAAGGCTTCGAGGGTCTTACCGTCTCCCCGGACGGAAGGACCCTGTACACCTTAATTCAGTCCGCCCTCAACCAGGAAGGTGGGCTGAAGAAGGAGTATCGGGAGAACGCCCGTCTACTGGAGTATGACATTTCCTCCGGCACGCCCGTCTACAAGACGGAACATGTCGTCGTCCTGCCCAAGTACGACGACTACACCGCGACCAAGTCGTCCAAGATCTATAAGACGGCCGCGCAGTCCGAGATCCACATGCTCCCTAGCGGCGACTTCCTCGTCCTGGCTCGCGACTCTGGGTTCGGCCGTGGCCAGACCTACTCGCGGTCCGTGTACCGCCATGCCGATATCTTCTCCATCAACCGCACCGCCACCCAGATCCAGTTCACGGATTATGACTACGCCAACGGATCTATTGCCTCCTCCAAGGGAGTTCTGGATGACGGCATCACCCCCGTCGAATACTGCACATTCCTCGACTACAACGATCCGTTACAGCTCGCCAAGTTCGGCCTCCATAACGGTGGCAACCAGAACCGCACTCTGCTGAACGAGAAATGGGAGAGTCTGGTGGTCGTTGAGGCCGACCCGGACGCCTGCCCCGATGAAAACGGCGAGAAGGAGTACTTCCTCTTCAGCTTCAGCGACAACGACTTCATCACCCAGGACGGTGAGTTTTAGCTCTTTTCCTTTTCCTTTTTTTTTCTTCTTCTTCTCTACTCCAACCGACACTAACGAATCATTAGGATACATGAACTTTGGTCAGATGCAGTATGCTGATGCTTCGGGCTACAACCTCGACAACCAGGCGCTGGTGTTCAGCCTGAGGTTCTAATCTTGTCAGACCATCCACTCGGCATATACATCCAACGTATATTCTTTTTCGTTGTATTATAATTCTATCTAATTAGTATTCCGGACTGGATATGCACAGCCCTGGTGTCAAGAAGACATCTCATACTAACTATATTTAAAGATAATAACTTTTCTCCAAATCACCATTTCAATCTACTTCCAGTCTAAACAGAAATGTAAGGCCATTAAATTAAATATCTAGTTAAGGTAATACTAGAAAGCCAACCCCGAAGCCGTCCATTCAATCCTGCATATACCCCCACGCCTGAGATAATATAAAACGCAACAGTCCTTGAGATACAGGTCAAATAAGCCTAATTAATGAACAAAGGTACAGAATTATGATCATAGTAATAATAGCATAGTGAAATAATGACAAATTTGGAAACCATAAAAAATAGTACCCAATATTACTACTGACTGATCAGTTTCGTTGCGCGCAGAATATCATCCAGCGACCAGCCCGGCCCGCCAGGCACGATCTCCGCCCAGACCTCTTCAGGCACACACTCGCTCTGATTCAACAGGCTCCAGTTGGGGCTAGGCTCAGGTTTGATCCACTTGAAATCCTCGATTTGGTTCCATCGGTCTTCATGATCGGCGTGGTTCTGATCCAGGGCCTGGAAACGTCAGTTCTTTTTCTTTTTCTTTTTTCTTTTCTGAGAATGGTGGTGTCGGTAAAGTAATGACTCACGTAAGCTTTGGGAATCCGTCCAAACCGGACGTTATGGCAGTCTTCAATGATGGGGTTGCTCGAGCAACTGAGGTATACGTCCACGTCCTTGCAGTTGTGCATGCGGAACTGGTGGCAGGAAACCACGATCACGCTGTGTTCTACATCCGTAATATGGGCGGGCCCGTTGACCTGCCCGCAGATAAGAAGGCTTTCCTTGACCCCCTTGATGGCCAGACTCGCGTATGGTTTCCCGTTGGTGGTTGGGATCGACATGTCCACCACGCAATGTTGAAGGGAGGTGATGGACGCAGGCACCGTAGCGCTGGATGCTGAGACCGGCAGCATGATATGCAGGCCAGAGTGGTTGTTAACAGTCACAGAGGTTGCTGAACTGGGAGCCAGCAGTTTGGCGGCCCGTTTCTCTGCGGCGGCATTATCCTCTTGTTCACCAACCACCACGCCGGGAAAAGATGTCGGGGTGATCTCAGGCTGACTCCGTTGCTGTCTGTCCGGCTCATTAAGGGGGGTGGATGGATACAGCGGCGTATTGATCGCGGATGAATCGGCGGAAGAGGGTCCAGAAGACCGGTATCCTGGAATCCCGCGACGGCCCTGCGCAGCCAGCTCTACCGCGTCGGACAGGGAAATCGCGGAGGGGTTTTTCTTCGTCTTAAAAGAGAATTTGGGCCGCGGCTCCATGGCGGCCCGAGTTTCGATCAACTTGTCTTGGAGCGCCTTGATGGCCTGGATGTAAACGATTAATACCCGTTGCCTTTCTCCTTCTCGAGCCCAGGTCTACCTACTTCGGCATATATCCGTTGATCATAGGTCGGGATATAACTTGCGGCATCTTTGACCTCGTTGGACAATCGTGCAATACCAGCTAGACAGTGATCCGTTGCGTCGGCCCGCTCGCCACCCACGAGTGAAGTATCGGCTAATCGATCCATCTGCTCCTGCAGATCTGAACAGCAAAAGAAAATCAAAATATCAGCCTGAGGCTACCTTAAAAACACCTTCACAACCACAGAGAGAGATGGTTCATTACCGGTGATCTCATGCTGAAAGTACCGGAAAAAGCGGTCCTTCAGTGGAATCTCCGACTTCAACGTCGTCTGATTCTCGGCGAGCGACGGCCTACGGGCCTCCTGGTACTCCGTCTGCGACATTATGATCGGATATCGATTCGAGCTGATGGGTGAAAGAAGTAGTATCCAGTAAAAGATTCTTGTGTTCAACCTAGGGAGAAACTTCCGGGCGTTGTGATGACGTCGTGTGGGGGGGCCGGTTCTTGTGGAATGAGACGATCGTTCAGCTCCAAAGCAGCCCTGATAGCATGTAGAATATCAGCTATCATATATAGAAAATTTATCGCAGGAGGGAAAAAAGATCGCGTGGTATCACGCCACACACATACCTTGGACTGAAGGGGAGGATCGGCTAGGTGGGAGTAGGTTGTATTGAGGGGTACTGGGAGCTGCAAGCTCGGAATAAGCAGAATCGACTCGTCCGTGGTACAATTTTAACTGGAGTAGATATATATCATGGGATCAGCAATCGTATGCCACACCTCGCACGCTCTAATCCATGTTCTCCATCCGCTGGCGATCGAAACTGTTCAGTCTCATGAGGAGGAGCTGCGAACTGGTGACGTCGATCATTCGCCGGTTCGGCGCTGTACAGCACGTGATGCTATCCCGAGTCTGGATCTGCCGCTAGTCTTTAAATGGGCTAGTGTTATAAAAGACACCTTAGGCAGAAACCGACTTGATTTACTCCATATGCAATACGACAGAACTCGACGGGCTTTAAGCTGCTCTATTCATCACTTGGGGAACTCAAAGTCATGGGTATCAAGATTGAGGAAATCTAGCTGAGTACTAAAGCCGCTTTTGACCTGGGGATACAGAACGGTCGCCCTGCTACACACTCCTTCACGATGACAGATCCATCCAAAACCACCTCGGCTTGAATATCTGCAACTGTTTCGAAGGTCACAGCATCCGCATTCCAGCTGATCTTGACTTGTCCCACTGGGGTACAAAAAGTGCCTTGAGCTGTCTCCAAAAGCTCACAGCGGGGCTCGAGTCGCAAACACTGGAACCCAGGCTTGGATGGTTTCAGCCCAAAGACCTGCGTTACAATTTCGTGGATTGGACCGGCACTCCAGCCGTGGCAGTCGCTACGAGAGTTCAAGGCATGCTCGGCCCATGTGGTCAGATTGTCGGCCATCATTTCCCTCCATGGCTCCATCAGCGGCTGGAATAGTTGGGTGTAGAGGCCAGTCTTCTCTACGGCGCGGAAGAGATAAAAGTTCATGGAGTAAGAGCATTGGGCGAGCGACGAGTCCTTCAGGGTGCGCTGTATGAGTTCCTGCGCAGCAGGCCCAGTTGTCGTCTCGGACAAAATGGCGAACACTTGGCTGTGTTGGCTGTACTCGTCTGTTGCATTGGGGCCATCGAGATAGAGCCCGTCCTTGAAACAGTGGCGGTTGACGGCTTTCCGGATGGAATCTGCGCGCATCCGGTACTCATCTGCGGTACTGCTTCTGCCGACAAAATCACAGAGCTCCGCAGCTTGCATTAGAGCAACTGCATATAAGAGACTGTTGAAGGTCGCGGCCCCCTTGACAGTATACGATTGTGGCATACATGATTCTGCAAAATTACCCGGGACAATCCACTCCTTGACCCAGTCGATGAAAGGCCAGGAATTATCGTCAAAACGACCAACAAGGCCCAGGTCATTGATACGCTCTTCGAAGTGGCAGAGAATGCTGTCCACTGTGCCAAGATACCGCCTGACCAGGGGTTTATCGGCGAAGTAAGACATATGGTCATACACCATCGAGACGTAGAATAGAGAAAATTGAGGGATTTGCGTTGAACGGAACCCTGCAGGAAACTGTGCTTTGATTAGGCCATCTGGACCACGGCTGGCATGAAACTCTTCAAGAGTCTTCCTCGCCAGGCGGTCATCGGAGGAGATCTGGTACGTGAATAGCATTTGCAAACGCGAATCTGAGGCGAACTGGTTCTGCTCATAAAACGGACAGTCTTCGTAGGTCTCATGGCGGCAATTCTGAAGTGTCTTCAAACTAATGTCCCAGATTTTGTCCAACTCTGTTCCAGTTCTGATCTGCGTCGATATCTCGAGCGGATAGTGCGTCTGCCGCAAGGTGAACTCTTTTACCGTCAGAGGCTCATCGGAACAAATAATCTCCAATTGGATGTATCTGAACGCTCGAAACCAGAAGGGCTCGAAAACCTGCTCTTCCTGGCCGTCGACAACCAGATAGAAGTCCTTCATGCCATAGAGTCGACCGCTGGAATCAGCTCGATTCGATTTCGTCCGGGGCATGGGGAATGGCGCAGTTTCCACCCCAAGATCCTTCTCATAGCACTCGGAATATAGCAAGGAGATCTTAGATCCCTTTCCTCTCCCCAAACGCAAAGTGACAAACGCAGTAGTCAATGATTCGCTCTGAATATCGACAACCACTGTTGTTCCCGCCGGAACGACTACTTTTTCGTCTTCTTTCAAAAGAGCATTCCACTGGTCCAGGGTGATAGACCCCCGGCATTTCACTACCCCGTCAAACCGTCCAGGCTCTTCCGGCAGAGCGGGGAAAGGACGAGGGGAAAGCTTCCACGGGCTCTGAATAGGGAGCATCTTCGTCGCTGTCAACTGCAGCACCGCGTTGGACCACGCTGAGTCGCTGAATCCGGGCAAAGTCCAGTCTGTCATGGAGGGAGCAGCTTCTATCACCCGTTCATTGTTTGCCGTAAAGGGTGGACCAAGAATATAATTCCATTCGGAATACGGCACGATCTGTCTTGACGTTTCTTCCACACACTTCCACGTTTCATCCGTTGAGACATTTATCCCCTGGTTTTTGGGTCGAGTTAGTCTGCATCCTCTCCATAACTAACTGACTGACTATATCAACGTACCTCGCTCTCGCCGTATACCATCAAACCAGGCAACTCCGTACTGACGATAGACGCCGACCCGGCATGCGTACAAGAGTACCGCAACACTCGAGCACTGATCACATTTTCCCCCTCGACCAGATAAGGGAGGATATCGACGGTTTCGTAATACCATTTCTCGGGATAGCTCTTGCAAGGCCCAAAGCTGACTCGGTGCCCATTAACGAAGAGTCGGTACCGACTATCCGCCGACACATGAATGGAGAATCTCTCTGCCTTGAAAGAAGAACGAGACCACTCAAAGAGTTTGCGGAAGAGAAAGTATCTCCCTGGCCGGTTGTCTTCTTCGTGGTAATTCGGGGTCCAGATCCATTGTGCGGATTGTGTCCAGGAGGGAGCCATGTGCACTGTATTGTACACCCAAGTAGCAAGGAGCTGTACGTGTTGATATCTTCTTCAGTTCATCGAATCTTGAATAGACAGGAGCAGTGCATGACATTCGATTCAATAATAGATGCTAAATAATATATATCTGGGGTCAATGTGGGGGGATTATTGAAGCTTCTCGGATATCCCGCTCGGTAGAGTGACTACCGAGACCACATATTTACCAAAGTGATTTGGTATAATCGTACGAAGACGGGATTGATTTGGGATAAATACTGAGAATCTGAAAGGACTAAAAGCTGGAGATTGAGTTTTCTCTCTCTTTTTTTCGATACTATATGTTGTCAGGATGCTTCTTGGGCTGTTCGGATATTCCGAGATCTCCTCGGTATTAGTATTGACAAACGGCAATATTGAATGCTGCTAACAGTTTATAACTTGCTTATGAATAGTTACAAGATATATCTAGACCTTGAACTATTGGTTTCCTGAAATACCCGGCCAGACCTGTTCGATAAACTCGACTAGGTCATTCGTAAAGTCCTGGGGTCGTTCGAGAGCAGCAAAGTGGCCTCCCTGGAACAATACTATGGTTAGAACTCATCCAGTGGTCTGTTATTCGATGAGAAATTCATACCTTCTGATGCTCTCTGAAAAAGACCAAGTTTCCTATAGTCTCCACCCATGATTTGGGGAAGGGCGCCAACTCCATTGGGTAATACGAGTAGCCCAGTGGTTTGTCATGAAATGGGAAATCGGCAGGCTTCTACAGGGGATGAGTGGCAGGCTTTTTAAGAGACATTAATTTCCAGATGGGGACAGAAGCACGAACCTGCCTGTAATGATAAATGGAGCGCGAGAATGTGTTGGTAAACCAGTACAGAGAAACAGAGTCCAAGATGGTCTCGGTCAGAAGAGGTTCGCCAACCCAGTCCACAAACTTCTCTCCAATCCTATACGATACCAGTCATATTAGATCGGATTCCACAGGCTAGAGGGGTACAGATGTTACCAGGCGAGTAATGCAATCGGATTGGTTGACAAGGCAAGGCCAATGGTACTTGGCTTAGTGCGTTGTTCGATAGCATAACCCATACCGGATTCCATGAATCCCCGGTATCTCTCTAGTCCCTTCTGTTCGGAGGCAGAAAGGGATTCATCTGAGATACCATCGGGGCGTTGCATGTTGCAGACATTGACTGTTTTATGTTATTATGACCCGGAAGATGATGAGATGAGACAGAACTTACGGTGGATCGCTGGGCACAGAGTCAGCTTTCATACATTCAAAAGCAAAGGCATTCTGTTTGAGACCCGAACGAACCTTTGCAACCATCATAAGTGACGCCTAGTGTTCTCGCAATCCTGCTGCCGATGTCACCACCTTGGGCTATATAGCCTCTCCCAAACCCAAGATCGCTCATGAGCTGGTTTACAATGCGAGCGGAGTCCGAGGTCGTAAAATCTCGGTCCAATGGAGGACCCGAAGAAAAGGCATAACCCGGCAATGAGGGAACAATGAGGTGATACGGCAGAGTTTCCGGGGTGAATTCCTCTCGCAATAATTGAAGCATCGGAAGAAACTCCAAAAAGCTACCTGCTGAGAAGTCACTATACACGCCCAAGCTCAGGTGTCGCTGGCAGGCTACTCTACCTGGCCATCCATGCAGCAGAACAATCGGAACGGCATCCTCTTTCTTGGAGAACAGAGCCACAAAATGTATGGATAGGTCCTCGATCACAGTCTTGAACTGAGGGAAAGTATTAATAGAGGCCTCCAATGTTCTCCTAAATCATAGTCATTATCAGCCATCTCTCAAGAAAGAAAAACAGGTCCCATGGCCTACCAGTCAAACACTCTCAGCCACTGCTCTTTCATTGTGATCAACCAGTCCGTCGTGACTCCATAGCGGCCATCCATCTGCAGACTCTCGAACGTATGTGGTGCGATCTTGGACAGCTTAATCAGTATCTTGAATTCCTCCACTTCTTCCTCAGGAATGGACACTGTGAAGGGCACCGGGTGCACCTTCACAGCCGAAGGAAGCGTGCTGAAAGGCAAAGACATGGCCTAGTCTATGAATCTGCAGTTGACCGTCAGAAAAGAAAAGCAATAAATCAACTGATCCAATTGCCCTCTCACCTTTAAAAGACTATAAGTAGCAGGAAAACATGTTGGCTGACTAGTACGCACCATTTGTCATCGTACGGTCCGTCGTCAACGCGGGGTTGGCCACGACGTCATACTCCCCAGTAGATAGGGCAGAGGAGAGACATTATTGATCGGCTTGATGGACCCCAAAATACGAGAAGTCCTACCGTTGGGGGGATCTAGAACTGAGATGATACCGTATGGCGTAGATACCGGTCTATCATGCGATGCCCCACGCTCACCGCCCGGAATATTTTCGGCCTCCTCATTCTTGATAATGGGAACCAGTTCAGACGAATCAAGTGGAAGAGGAGAAGAAGAAGCAGGAGAAGCGGAAGAAGCGAAGAAGCATAGGAAAGGCCGCTTTTGACACGTGGGTGCTTGCTCCTTCCTGCATGTGGGATCCTTAGAACTGATGGCGTCTCACAGATTTAGCTCTTACCAATCAAATGAAGTCTCGAACAAGCTGAATCATGGCTGCTTCTTCTATTCAGCATCCAGTATCCTCGACTACGGTCTTCCTAGACCAACCGCCGAGCTGTCTTCAGTTCTGTCCCGGCTCGCCCGACTATTTTGTTGTGGGCACATATCTCCTGTCCGAGTCCAAACGGGACGATGGAGAGACGGAGCAGAAGAAGACAGGCAGTCTACAGTTGTGGAAGGTGAATTGTACTTCAAATGAACTGTAAGACATGCGTTTTGGGGGCTTGTTACATCTCTTGGTCAAGATCAATGAGACTAACAGGACCACGCAGATCTCAAGTTCAACGACTGCCTCTCCCCCACGCGGTTTTCGACCTACATTTTCACCCGAGGGAGCCTACGATTTTTGCCATCGCGACAAGTGCTGGCTCTATCTCATTATTTAGCGTCTCCAATTCCGACTCTACATCTTCACAGCCGTGTATCAGAGAGCTATGGACCCTCTCGGTCCACGAAGACCCCTCTATTCCAGCCCTATTCCTGGCCTGGACCCCGCAACACTGGTTCTCTAGTAGCGCAATGGATGGCTTCGCCGTCACTTTTTCAGACGGCCGGACCACACTGTTCGGAACCACAGAACCGCTGGCCCAGGAGAAGAACACCGTTGCGGAGCTGGGCTCCTTTCAAGCCCGACAAGCTATTGAAGTCTGGTTCGTTGCCACGGCCGCATACAGCGAATGCGAGGACGTGGAGACCATTCAACCTTGCACCCCATACATGTTCACAGGGAACGACTTTGGATCCCTGCACACTCGTCGATTCGACTCGTGTTCTGCAGAAGAAAACGACGAGGACCTCTCGTCCCGTCTTGTTCTGGACCACGACGACCGTGCTCGCCACCATACCGCCGGAGTCACTTCTATCCTCCCGCTTCCTGTGCCGCTCCAGGATGGAGCTCCGCTGATCCTGACCGGAAGCTACGACGAATCTCTACGGCTGTACCACGCTTCGCCGCGGGGCTCCGTTCTCGCAGAAACGTGCCTGGGGGGTGGCGTATGGCGTCTCCAACTGTTAAGGTCGGAGAAAGTATCTGCGTCTGAGTGGATGTTCTTGGTTCTAGCCAGCTGCATGCATGCGGGGACGAGGTTGGTTCGGGTGACGAGAGCCAACGACGAGTGGACGATGGAGGTGATGGCGGAATTCACAGAACACCAAAGTATGAATTACGCATCGGACGTCTGGAAGGGGAATGCAGATGGGTCCAATGAGCTGGTCGTTGTGTCGAGCAGTTTCTATGACAAGAGAGTGTGTCTTTGGAGGGCACGGGATCAATAGATCTAGGCTATCTATTCCTCTCTCTGCATTGCGTAGAAGTAAAAATAAAATAGAACAGACTAAATGGCCACACTAATACTACTACAAATCTTCCCTACGCTGTCACTTTCTCATAAGCATGATTTAATTGTCATACGTATACAGAAGACGCTGAACTATGACCAGGGATGCAGAGGCCAAGGGGGGGAAAGACATGAAGAAACAGGAGTAGCAGCGAGGAACCGAGAAGACCTATAAGGGAAGCCGTTGACAAGACCCTTGCCTCAGACAATCGTCTCCAACTCGCGGGCGTAGCCTATCGTGTTCTCAATGATGGTGCCGCTAGCAGCCAGGATATCCTTCTCGGACCGTGCAGCAGCCTCGGGCTCCACGGGGAAATATATCCGGCCATCGCGCAGAATCCAGCCGCGTTGCTGGGCGAACTCGATAACAGCACCTTCGGATTCGAGAAAAAGGAGATTCTTCGCGTTCGAGATGGGAAGTGAGGGGTAGGCCTTTTCGGAGCAGTCTGCGATTTCGCTTCGAATGGTGCCAACAAGAACCTATTGGTGAGGGAAAGGAATCACTGTTAGCTGTCCGTTCCATATACTTGTGCTCGCGAGATGAAATAAGGTGGCCTTACGTTTGAGAACAAACCGAAATCCTCGGACGGTACTCTCTCTGACTTGGTTTCGCGCCACACCTTATCATAGCTTCCCTCCATCAAGCTCCGCTCAAGATCAACCGGATACTTGATATAAGGATCATCTTCAACGCTCTTGCCCTTCAGACTCGCTTCTTCGACCAGACCCTCCAGGACGGTGTGGAACCCGGTGCTGTTGCCCATACTCAACAGGAGAAGCAGATACAGCCCCGTGATCTTGCTCCGTTGGCTAGTGCTGAAATCAACATTTACCCCCTCACCAGTCGCTTCGACGTGTCTCTCGATATCGTAAAAGGGCTGCAGTTGCTGGTAGTATCTTGTGAACGAGGGGGCGTCGGTCTGTCGGATAGATGCTAGCGCGCCCAGCTCCAGCACTTCACGAGCCACAGCAACCAGCTGAGGAGGGGTTTGGGGTGTGGGGATCAGAGCATTCTGTAGCAGCAAGAACCGCTTCGCACGGCTGAGGAGGCTGTTGGTCGCATCGAACTGCTGACGCTCAAGCGCAGTATGGAGTTCAGAGAGTAGAGACCGGAAATCGGTGTCGGTCGACATGTCGAATCGATTTTTGAGGAGAAAGGATCGTTACTTCGTCAGTGAGTGGGAGACAGGGGCTGCTGAAATTTAGCAGGAACGCGAGAGAGATTCTGTTGATCGGATTGTGCTATTGCAAGGCAAACAGCTTCATGACGGAGCTCCAACAGCGCAAGTCTTGGCGCCGCAGCCGGAGAAGTCACGTGGTGACTCCGCCCATTTGGCATTGTCCCCTCGCTGAGTCTACAAGAACAAGCATTTTGACAATAGTACAGCTCTCGTCTTGAAATACAGCTCACTCGAGAATATCATGAATCTGACATGCGAAAATACGAAAGAATAAATAAAATATACACTATTATAAAATGATAATACTCCAAAAATACTCAATACCGCAGCAGATCCGTGAAGCTCTGAACGCCATCCAAACACCACCAGCCAAGTCGTTAGACTAATCGGTTTCGACGAGTTTGACTAATGTATGAAAGAAAGGCGTGCCTAATCCTGTGACTGGATCCCATCCTGTGGTTGCGTTCCAGCTCGCATAGGGTACGTATGGAGTGTTCGACCCCTCTGCTGAGGTCCCAGCGCAACCGGTAGAGCCGCCGTCCACGATATCAGTGAAGCCGGTCTGGTTGAGAGAATACAACCAGGGATTTAGGAACCCCAATCTCGGCTTACCACGGGTCAAACGGGCAGAGTTCAGTTGAGAGATAACGGCGGCAAATACAGGAGCAGCAGCACTATTGCGGTATATTGTTCAGTATAGCCTCTCTGGCATTCGGTAACGGGGCATTCAGCACTCACCTGGTACCCCCTATCTTTCTGGTAGCTCCGTGGTCGATAATGAGGTAGTTATCGGCTTGGGCAGCAACATCCGGGAAACCTCTACCCTGTCGATTATAGAGACCATCCCACTGGTTACCTAACTGCGTCAAGTAACTCTCGACGGCCTTGTTCTGCCATTCGGGACGTGGGAATCGCTCTGAAAACCCGCCGCCAGAAAAGCTGATGGCTTTCTCAGGGTTGATGCCGTAGGTGCCTCCTACCGACGTGACGAAGGGACAAGACGCAGGAAACGTCGGCAAGAATCTGGTTCTGTTCGATCCATCATTCATGAGACACGAGTCGCCCACTCCAGAATCTCCACTGCTGAAGATGATGGAGACGCCGCGGGCGCCTAGCTGAGCAAACATGTTGCATGTGATGTTGGAATATGACTCGGGGACACTCTGCTCATCTTCACCATACGAAGTGGACAGGACTGCAGGCAACTCATCGTCTGTCAAGTTTAAAAGGTAATGGAGCTGATCCAAATAAGGCTCGTTGGTGGATTCGTTCGCGTTTGGTTGGTCTACTTCTGGTACAAGAGGACCCCGACCAGCGGTTGTGTAGAAAGTCGACAAGGTGTCATACGCCAAGGAAATAGCATACTGCACATCGAGGCTGGCTTCTGTGCTTTCCAACCCAGATTTCTGCTCGTTCAGCCCGCCGTTAATCGACACCACGGTGAAATTGGCGTCTGTGATGTTGGGCGAGTACTTTGCCAGAAACTGTTCAAAATCACCAAAGCGTGCATACTGTTCCAGGAAACCAGAGATGCCTAGTCTGTTCTGGGGGTCTGGCTTTCCCTTGGCGTCATACAGCCCATACAGTTGCCGGAGACAATCAGGTGTGATTGCGGATGAGCAGTTGGCAGTCAGGTCCTGGAAGGTGGCTGCAACCGCTTTGATGGCAGGAAGAGTTCTCTGGGCACCAAAATTACCGAACCGCGTGGTTGGCTGGATCATCTGGACGTCCACATAGACGTTGTCCGGCACCGAGTATTGAAGTGTCCGGACAAGCGTCGCATCGGAATCCATATTGTGAAAATAATAGAACTGGGTGTTGAAAATCTGTTCGGCCTGAGATACTGGTACAGAGAATGTGATCCAATATCCGTCTGTCTGGATCGAGTTTTCTGGAACATGTTCGGTGTCCAGCCACCCAAGGATGTTCTCCAGGGTTTCTGTCGCCGGCTGCAGAAAGTCTCTAACATCGTCACGCTTCATGTGGTGGCCATAGCTTTCGTGACCCGGGCTGGAGAGGTCGGTGACCTTTTGCTCAAACTCGGCTGCTCTCCCATGCTGCGCCGCCAGCCGAAATCTGATTTCCTGATTGGGAGGAGGTTTTCCCCCTCTTGTCCAGCCATAAGGGGCGGAATCTAAACGCTCGACAACCTGGTAGTGGCGATGAGGTTGTTCCGCAGCGTAGCCAACCTGCAAAGAAGACACGAAAAGGGACAATGTCCCCAGAAGCGAGGGAATGGACCGCATGGCGTTCTCAGTAGTAACTGCTAAGTACAGTTTGCTCGACAAGACATCAGCCAACCGTGAATAGCCCGGTTGAATAGATCAGACGCAAAGACGATGGCCACCGCACATGGGCGTCAGATCAGTTGGCTACCGGGAAGATACAGTGATACCCTGTGTAGACGGGATGACTGTTGATTATTGAACCCATCGTCTCGAGCGACGGAAAGACGCGCTGACCCTGTTAGGAATTCTAGAGGACATGGTCGGGAGAATGTAACGCTTGGAAAATACCCACACCTCTCCGACAATAATCCAGGAAGCCCTCTCGCCCTGGATAATGTCGGACGGGGGATATGGAAGGGCTAGCAATGATCGACATATAGTGTTGATAGTCTGTCTCTACTGGCTCCACCAAAACAGTCTACAGTTTGGAGGTTCCTTACCCCGTCCGGACTATTGAGACTCGATTTAGGAAATGAGCTGATGTAGGGCGAAAACTCTCTTGGACTGACATTGTCATACAAGACCGGACTGTGTACTCCCAGTACAACTGTGAGGAGATACTCCGTACAAGCTGCGGAAGGAAGCTCTACTGGTAATTGGGTTATTCTCGTCGCATTCCAGACTGTCTCACTCGTACCAATCACGACGCGTTCCAGGCATCAAGGCCATCATCTTTATTGATTCCCCAAGGAGGCGAAAGATCAACAATTTTGTCTTTTTCTTCAAAAAGAGTTTCTCACATGTTCTTGACGTAGTTGGCATTTTGAATTTCTGAAGAATATCATACTTCGAGTAACTACAGAGTAGTAGGACTTGGTTTTACGGAGTATTCTTAGTTGGATAAAGATACTGGTAGTAATCTCCCCTGGTGGCACAGAGCCCAAATAAGGGGTAAGAAATATACTAGGAGACTTACAGGTAACTACATTGTTGATGTATAACTAAGGGTCCGTCTGCAATTCTTTCCAACTAATAAATAACACATTGCTCTGCCTATATAGGCTCTACCTATATCGCTTATAAACTTTAGATTCCTTAGCATGCCTAGCTGCTAATCCTTGAAAATCATTTGTATTAAGTAAATATTCATCATATTAGTGATGGTCTAATATCTCTCGTATCTAATATACAAGTTTAAGTATTCATACATGGCTATATAGTACATCCAAGGCCAATTGGGCCGTCAATCCAGGAGCAGCGGGTTTCGATGTAGAAGTAAGTATTCGAGCACGGATTCGAACCAGACTATGCATCCGGGTGATCCACAGGGTCCAGCATAGGTGTGTATAGGGAACAAAGAACACAGAGAAGCTTGCTACCATCATTTGAGTTTGAGTCTAATACGCTCTTGTTGAATTGGCGACTCGCCTGCGCGGTATGCGGTCACGGATCCTCCCAAAGCGCGGGTTAAGCGCATATCATCGAGCTTGAAGGGCGCTTTGTCGTATTCCAGGACAATGTCCCATAACACGCTGATTGGGAGTGACCGCATACGGACTGTGCCGAGGTCGTACTCTAGGAGTTCTCGGTCAGTCTGGTCTGCCTCAACAGGTTCAACTGAGGTCGAACCGAGTTTCTTTGACGCAAATTCTGCCAAGCTAGGTATCGTCTTGACGAGGTCGGTGCTTGAGCGTTCTGGAAACAAAATCCGAAGAAACTCGGCTGCTGTGACTGGATTTTGCGTGTTCATAGAGTTGATAAAGATGTTCAGGGTATCGAGCAGCTCGCTCTGCTTAGCCGCGTCCATTGCACGGAGCGCTCGTGGGATCAGTGCTTGGGTGTCCGGTTCAAAATAGACCATGGCGCACGGCATATCGAGCGGATAGAGCTCCCGAGGGTGGATCTTGAAGGGCTCGAATGGCCGGCGTTCCCAGTAGAGTATGGAGTCATCGAGACTGCCGGTGCTGAAAGTTGCGCGTCGATCATCTATTCTCGTGATAACTTGGACGCGTGAACGAGACTCGATTATTTCAAGCGCTGCTGCTGCTTCCTTCCTCTTCTCGCTCAATTGTTCATCTAGATGCTTCAATTCGGAGAGTTCCACGGCTGGATCTGCTACAGCCCTCGAGAAAGCCTTCTCCATGTCGTCAGCCTGCATGTACAGGTCAACAGCGTGTTGGATCTTATATGCACGGGTATTATCTTGATTCAAGCGAATAATCTGCCGCGCAACATCTTGTGATTCCTTTTCGTCAATATCTTTTTCTGCCTTCTTTCTGGCCTTTTTGGGCTGTGGTTCGAACCCCACTAAGGCTCTATCGTGCCAATCTTGCTTTGGACGTGGAACAAAAGGCTTCCCCGAGTTTCCGGGTTTCGGGCTTTGCGGTGCCATCAAGAGAGGTGGGGGGATTCGGTCAGCAGGTATGGTATCGTTCAATTCAGCGGCGCGCTCAGCGGCGCAGGCAGCACTTTTGACAAGCATGTCCCATTCTTTCGTCAGAAGGGGTAACGCTTCCGGATCAGACATCCCCACGATGAAGGCACGTTTGCTCACTGTTTCAGTCAGGAGCGCCGCTCGCTTGCGACCTGACACTGACTGGGGTACGACGCTCAAAGCCTCGCTCGTCGGCATGAGGGACAGTATGCGTACAGATCCATAAGTATGTAGTCCACTCTGACGCAAACATTGATCCATAACCGTTGACCACCATCTCGATGCGGTGAAGTGGTCATTGGCAGCCGAGGTAGGTGGATTAGCAAGAATAAGCAAGGTGTCGTTCTGCACCACCGTTCCGTCCGTTTTGCTCTTAGACTGCTCCTGTTCCGGGAATGACTGGGCCAGAATTTCTTGCCATTGTGACAGCCTATAAGGATCTTCGGATCTCAACACGTAACAAGGCTTGCTTTGAGTTAGTGGAGCCAGGAGCGGTCTGTAGCATTCGATGCGAGGTTCAACAAGGATATGGCGTCGAGGCTGGAGGAGCTCGTTGACCTTCGAAGACCAGAACCCAGACCCCGGCCAGAGGTCAAGTATATCGATGGGAGATTTGCAAGAGAGGAATGGAGACAGCCGGCGAAGAAGATCATCTAGTGCAGAGACGCTGGATTAGAATCAAGAGCTTCAACCTGTCAACAGCCAGCCGGACCCCATACAGACTTACTACAGAGTTCCGGGCTCACAATGTGCGCACTTTGCTTTTTGAAGCGTCTAGAGGATGCATCCATGCAATTGTAGATGGATTTAGTGACCGGATATTTAGGGGAAGTCGTCCATCTGCTGCGCATGTACCTCGGACGGCTCACCGACTGCAGGACGGAAACTACAGCTAGGCGCCGTCGAATGGACAGATCGGAAAGGATAGGTGCTCTGCATGTCTCATGGGCAATGCAGTAAGCTGATCGCATTGTTTTTCATTCTCCCAAAGCCTTGGGATCGTCTTTTCCCCAAGAACGCCGCAGCTCAATCCTGCCAGAGGCCGCCATTTGTTGTATCTTTTTTGCTATTTATTTCTGCCGGCAGATCTTGTTGGCGGAACGACATGAACTTCCCACCGCCCGGGATGCCGACTTGCACTTGGTGATCCTCGTGCCTGCAGTGCAGAAGAGCATGGTTGATCTACCGTGCGCTCTAGGGATTGAGAGTGTCTCGCTTTGATAGGATAGTGACCTCGTCTTCCTAGTTGGAGGCCTGCTCGGAGACATCAAGGTCTCCCTCGAACTCGGGCCGCCTGGATGCGGCTCCTTTCATCCCACCACGCTACCGGGCTGCAGCCAGGCTCCCGACGTCTACCACCCGCAGGCTTCTAATTCTCAACTCTATTTTACCCGACTCGTGCGATATCAATCCAGTCTTACTCGTCGTATAATTCTTTATATTGAATATTTAGGTGGCGTTGTCGTCACTTGTCACTCGTTTTGTGGTCTGCGAACATCTACCCCGCGATATGGCATCAGCGTTGCCCTCCGCCTCGTCGGCCACTACGTCGTCGGCACCTCTCAGCGTGGAAAAAATCAGCAAAAAGGCACAGGAATATGAATTCAATCGGTTGATACCTCTTCGTAATTGGCTCCGCTCCTCTGCGGCATTGTTTAAGGAGGTTCGGCTAGCCTGCAGCCTGCTCAAACCCCCGCATACACAAGCTAACGTTGTCTCTCTATCACAGGCTCAAATCTATGAACGAGAAGGAAACGATGAGCAGGCCTACCTCCTTTTTTTCCGCCAAGCGGAGCTTGTACTTGTCAAGCTCGCGACACACCCCGAAGCCAGGGACGGGGCAAACCGGAAGGCGTTGATGGAGGCGGAGGAGCTGGTCAAGACAAGTCTCGAGAAACTGGAGGTCCTCAAGCCTCGAATCAACAAGCGGTATGAGCGGTACACGAAGCTAGTGCGTGAGCGAGATTCACGGAGATCGTCACAACTGGCAAACCAGAGTTCGTTACCACGAGCACCGACACATGCCGATCCAGCTCTCGCCGGGGTTGCCAAACCCTTGGAGGCGGGAGAGAACAGAGACTTGGCCGTGCGGTTGGCAAAGACGGAGATCAGCAGACGTGCCACCGTCCGGAGGGCGATCCGTCAAGCAGGCATATCCGAGGAAGTGGAACGCAGCCGACGGACCGGTGGACTGTGGACTGATTGGGAGAACACGTCGGACAGTACTGGCTCTGGAGCTGGCGATGACCTGAGCAAGCGGATTCAGGAATTGCGCGTCAACCTTGATCAGGGCTCTCACCAGCACCCGACTGCCCGGCCATCTGCCGTTTCACCATCGTACAAATATCCGACGGTTCCCCAACAGAAGTCGGTGGACACTGTCCCGCTTCCACCCGTCAGCATTTCAGGCGGGTCAGTCCGTCTCGATCCGCCAAATCTGCCTCCTAAAGAACAGATTTTATCCAGGGATCAATTTGGCTTTGACGGGCTACCGCCACGACCAAGTAAATTTCTTGAAGCGCCTGCTCTCCCTGCGAAGATTGAGCAAAACGAAACATCTTCCCCCGCGGAATTGGATCCAGGGCATTTCACGTTCAAGCCGTCTGCGTATCTCGAGAATGGGACACCCTTGCGCACCGTCTTTCTCCCGCCGGATCTTCGAACACGGTTCCTTGCAATAGCTGCCCCAAATACGCGCAACAATCTAGAGACATGCGGCATCCTGTGCGGGACGCTAATTTCCAATGCGTTGTTCATCTCGAAATTGTTGATTCCCGAGCAAACAGCCACCTCCGATACCTGTGAGACAGTCAATGAATCGGCCATCTTTGACTACTGCGATTCCGAGGACTTGATGGTGCTCGGGTGGATCCACACCCATCCCACCCAGACTTGTTTTATGAGTTCTCGCGACCTACATACGCACTGTGGCTACCAGGTGATGCTGCCAGAAAGCATCGCCATCGTCTGTGCGCCCAGTAAGAGTCCAGACTGGGGTGTGTTCCGGCTCACCGATCCCCCTGGGCTGAAGAGCGTCCTGAATTGTACCCAGACGGGGCTCTTCCACCCACATACAGAGCCCAATATTTATACAGATGCTCTGCGACCGGGTCATGTTTTTGAGGCCCGTGGATTGGAGTTTGAAACAGTTGACCTTCGTCCGGGAAGCTAGAAGACGTGAGCGAACCTGACAATACCCTCTGCCTTTTTTTTCTTCTTCTTTTTTTTCCTGGTCTACGGGTTGCTTCTGGGCACTTCTTTGCGCTATGTGCACTGATCTGCTATCTATTTGCTGATTCTCCCTGTATAAAAACCCACTTCCAATATCTTTTATCGATGCATAAGCAATAGACCGATGAGTTAATGAGTTATGAAAAAAAATATTTCTTTCTACATCCTACTACCAATCTTTTCGTTCAATGTTTGAAACAATATATCTTGTATGTCCATGTACAGGTGTTACAGATCCATCTATGTACACGCCACGAAAAAGCAGATATCTAGAGTCCAGCCTAAACCCGGGCCCGCGATGGAGTGCGAGATCGAGTCCGAGACCGAGTTCGAGATCGCCGCTGAGCACCAGAACTGGAGCGACGGCCAGAGATCCTGCTGGGAGTAGGAGACCGTCGACCGACAGAGCCTCGACGCCTTCCGAGGCTTGTGCTCTGCGTGGCCCGCCGATCTGCTATTCTTCTCTATTTGAATACCATGTCAATCTCTGACTATTAACGCCCCCGCTAGTTATCAGTTCTCACCAGTGTATCGGCGTCGAGGTTTCGCACATCAGATCGATGGCTGTTATAGCCACCGCGTCGACCGATCTCAGAGACCTGACTGCGAGGTCGATTGGCGAAGTTGCCTGGGTTGAGGGAGGAACTATCCGAAACCATGACGAATCCTATATATATTGGTATATAGATGAATGAAATTGTAAGCGAGGTCGACAGTTTAAAATGGGACGCTTATAAGCACTTGGTAATGTAGGCTACACCCCGCCATCATCGATCATTATATAGGCTGCGGTGGCTCGTGGCTCGCGATCTTGTGGCTAGACGATGGATCATGTTTGCGTATTGGATGGCAAAGTGGAATATCGCTCCGACAATATGCATCGACTTCGTGGTCTTCGGGTCTCTTCCAGGGGTCCTTTTGTAAGAGCTGGCTTTCCTGGTGAGTGACATGCGCCACTCTGATATTAGACTTGTCTGGAGATACTAGTTTATGTGGTGGTCAGTGGAAGAAGGGTGTCTGCCTCATAATACAATAAAAAGTACTTGATCTCTGTCAAAGCCGTGTAGAACTCGACATATGAAGCTGTGATATATAGAGTACTCCATAGCTTATCTGTATAAATTATATGATTAGAGTCGGAAAATGCGTGGCGAAGATCACTCCTCTAGCAGCAGAGCATTTCGATCGTGCGAAAACACCTCATGACTGTGGATGATAGATGCAGGGAAATACTTCATAACCCAAATGGCTGTCGGGTCTCGACCCTGACCCTGGGAATCTGCAAGCGATAAGCCAGTGACGTTGAGTGGATTCACGACTTTCCCGCCAACTTGTTTGAAAGTCCACATCTTTCAGCCCACCTCCGATCAGACGTTTTCTGAACAAACCACCCTCGTTTCCCTTGCCATTGGCCGCCGAATGAGCTGATTGCTTTTTCCACCGGGGGTTTATCTTGAACATCACCGTGTCTGCTGCCAGCAAGAAGCCCCGTCGCCCGTATGTCGTCGTCCACCGCGCACGAAGCCTCCGTCGACCACCCAACCTCCTCCGTTGCCAGCTCGAGATCGGGATCCCAAACGCCGCATGCCTCGAATAAACCGTCGCCGCAGCCCTACCATCAATCTACCGCCTCGTATCTCTCCTACCCGGTCAGCCACGTCGTCTCGGGGCTCTACCGTCGCCTGACGGACCCCAACGTCGGGAAAGACAATAATAATAGCACCAAGAAAAATGGCGCCAGCAAAGCGTCAAAGACCACCCCTTCCTCCATGACCTCCTCCTTCTCTTCGGCTGGAGGTATCTACACCCCGCATCGCACCGCGTCGCCGTTCCAGCCCCCGCCTCTCACCCCGCTGACCCTCCTCACCTCCGCGACGGGCCTCCCCTCCCAGAGCCTGCAGCAACAGCTGCTGACGCGCGCTCTCGCCGAGGAGATCCGCCTACTGGTGCCCGCGCGCCTGCAGCTCGTCGACACCTGGCGCCTGGCGTACAGCCTCGACCGTGACGGCGCCTCCCTGGCCACCCTGTACGAAAACTGCAAGGAGATCTCCCACCGGAGCCCGCGGGCGGGCTACGTGTTGGTCGTGCGCGACTCGCTTTCCTCCGCCGCCGTCTTCGGCGCATACATGACCGACCCCCCACACCCATCTCCTCACTACTTCGGCACGGGTGAGTGTTTTCTGTGGCGCGCCAGCGTCCTCGCCCCCCCGACCGCCCTGGGGCTCGCGCCCGGGCCCCAGGCAGAGGAATTGCTCGAGTTGGCCGGCCTGCCGCTTCCCCCATCCGCAGACACGACGAATGCAGGTCGCTCGACAACGCTGCGCATGGAAAAGGCCCCCAGGAGGGATACCGAGAATGGCCTTCCCGACCTGTTGACAACATCCCTGCGCTCAGACGCCGGTGCAGTCTCCCCCAGTGGAACAAGTACCCCGGAACGCATCCGCTTCAAGGCCTTCCCGTACAGCGGAGTCAACGATTACATGATCTTCTGCGAGACGGGGTTTCTCAGTCTAGGCGCCGGGTGAGCTTTTCTTCCACCCAGCATCCCTCCCTCCCCGCTGAAAAAAGTACTATATTACATACTAACTACTACTAGTGACGGCCATTACGGCCTCTGGCTGGACTCCAGCTTCGAAAAGGGTGTCAGTGCCTCCTGCGAGACATTCGGCAACGAGCCCCTCTCTGACGAAGGCACGAAATTCGACGTCCTAGGCGTGGAGGTCTGGTATGTAGGTGCTTGATTGGCCCCGGGGGGGAGACCACCTGTCATATAAGCCATGTCTATATCCCTTCCATTCTATAACGCCAAATCGGTAAGATAAGATGGGCCCCCTATACGGATGGAGTTACGCTGCTCTACAACGACTTTTTGCGTATTTTAAATACCCTGTTCTTGAAATATAATCTCAGTTTTTATTCATTATCCTTCTGTCCTTCTGCCTATTCTACCTAAATACGCAAACAGTGTTCAATACGACCGAGAAGTAGAAATATTGCATATCTGTTGGACCATAGTCTCTGCTGATATATCAATTTCATTTTGGGAGTTCCGAGTCGATGGTCGACCACCTAGCATCCATCCACGATTAAATAGTTGGAAAAAAGCAGGGAGAAAGGCATCAAAACCATAAGCAGTATCATAAGGGACATGGGTTATATGTACACTGACGGGGAGAAGAAAAAAGAGTTAAAAATCATGTCATTAGTAAAAGAGGAGAACCAAGAGAAATTTAGATATTAATAAGGAGAATTGACGATATCATTCCGTCCAAGGCGATTGCTGAATCTGCTGCTCATACGGCTCGGAGTGACCGGCCCGGCGATGCTCTCGCGCGTGGGTTTCAAGAAGGTCTTCTTTGCCACCATGTTGACCTCGTTGGGCAAGGCCACGATGACGTTCTTGTCGGACCCGAAGCGGAAATTATCCGCCATGACGTTCTCGGCGTACCGCTTGATCGAGTAGGGATCTTTGCGGCCAGCCAGTATCTTCTTCAGGCTCCAGGTCACGATGAAAGGCCCGGTAGCAGTGACAATAGAGGTTTCCTCGCTTTCAACACCCGTATTGAAACGGGCCGGCGTGAATGCCAGAGGTTGTTTTGTTTCGTGTTGGAATTGGGCAACATGGGCAGGCGTGAGACCCAGACGACGGGGCTGAGGCTTCGAGTCCTTGGCAAAGGACTTTTCAAATCCAAGTTTGCCTTCATTCTTGCCGTCCTTCTGCAGTGAATCAATTAGAAGGAGATACGTGCGGCAAGTGGCTAGGACCCAGCGTCCGTCGGCCGACACATCAAGACCGATGATCGCTTCTCCCAGAGCTGGGATGTGCGTCTTGGCGTTGATTCCAAGACGATCAAACATGCGGATGTCACCCTTGTTGGACGCAACGGCCAGATAACCCTTTTCGGTGGTGGCAACGGCAGAGAAATCGTTCTTGCTGGCGTATTGCTTCAAATCCGCATCGACCAGTTTATTTCCTGCAAGACGAGGATCGATCCGGTACAGCGCATTGTTCGAAATACCTACAAATGTCTGGGCAGCGGTCATCTGAGAGAATTTCTAGAGAAGGGTTAGTGCCAGCAGCCAAAGATGCGATAGGTCAGACTTACGGTTTCCGGAGCAAAGGTGTTGACAGAAATGTCGTCATGAACCTTCCACTCATCCACAATCTTTCCGTACTCCAAGTCCATGCGGTACAGAGAGTTCGGTGCCTCGGAATCTTGAAGAATCATATTTGAGTCTTCAGCGTGAAGCATCACCTTCTTGGGACTAAACAGTTTGCCGCCGGGAGTTTCAACCTTGGAAATGTTCGTCGAGAATTCGAGGTTGTTGTTGGGCGTATGACGGAATACTCCGATCTTAGAGCCTCGCACCACGAAGGACCGGTCATGCTTATAACCGACAGCCAGCTGCGAGTTCACATTGCCATCCTCATCACGGGTCGCAACATCGTCTTCCTCTTCATCAGTATCATAGTGTTCGCTGCGCTGGCCATCGTCCTGATCTTCCTCCTCTTCCTCCTCCTCTTCTTCCTCTTCCGCACGCTCTTCAGCCTCCTGGTCCTCCATGGTAAGGTCCTGGAAGGCATCCAAAACGTATTCTTTCTCTTGCTCCTTGACCTTGCCCCACTTCATCTCGTTCAGCTGCTCCCAGAGAGCTTGCATCAAGCCTTCCTGGAATCTCTCCACCATGGCCTGATCCTTGAACCGCAGTAGCCAGGAGTACGCTGATCCGTCTTCAGTGTAGTGATTGAAGATGAAGGAGAGGTATTCAAAGTTGAAGACAGGGTTGATGTCGGCCACAACAGCTTGCCCCAACCAATCCTGATCTTCCCCACTGATTTGGAGCCAGTACTGCCAGGTCCCAATTTCAGAGACAGTTGCAGTGACACTGGGGTCCTTCATCATGAATGTTCCACTTGAGAAGTCAAACATATGTAATTCTGCGTTTTCTTTGGCCAGAATCTCCCTTGCCTCTGGCTGCACAGCGGCCGGAGGAGCAGCCGTTGGCTCCTCGGCAGGCTTGATATGGCCCTTCGACCGCGCATACTCGACGTCCTTGGCCATAGCTGCAGTTGACTCCTCTGCAGAGGCCCGAGAACCGGCACGTGACTTGGTAATCGGCGAAGACAGGGGGCTCGCACTGGGGATCGGCTTCTCCTCCTCGAAGGAGAACTCCTGTAGCTCTTGCTCTGTCGCCTTTTGGGCGCTCCTTCGGTATTTCCTTTCAAACTGGCACTGGAGAGCTGCCAGCTCAAAGGTGGCGACTTTGTCTCCGGGTACCGAAGGATCGCAGACGAATTCAAACAGATCACCAGGATCACCACTCAAATCGCGCCAGGCAAGAACCTTTGCGCCGTTGTCCCGGATTTCTGAGCGAAAGTGCAAGGCGTGATCGAGCAAAAAGACCTTCTCGTCCTTGTCACCTAGACCGTCACTGGCGCCTGGATCATCCTCGTCATCAGCAAGCTCCTCTTCGCCTTCCTCAAAAGCACGCTGGATGACCAGCTGATACTGAAAATCTTGCCCGGTTCTCCTGATGGACGCCGCCGCGTCTTTGAAGATAAGCTCGGAGTAGCCCTTGGGGGAAAGCGGGCGAACCAAGTAGAGCTGGCCCTGGGGGATTTCGATGATGGATTCTTTAGACGTATCGCCAAAAAGAAACTTGCTCACTGTGTTTCAAATAACAAACGTCAGTAAAAAGAAGGATATCCCTATTAACTAGATATCAAGAAAATAGGGCACTTGTGGCGCGATAACTCGCTTGGAAGAGTGGGTGGCGGGGTTGGAGATAGCAGTAGTGAAGCTTACCGTTGCGGAGCATAAACATGTTTGCGAGAGGACCGGCTGCTGAGCAACAGCTAGCGGGGTTCTTTCAGGTAGTAGTTATGTAGCAATGAAGGAAAGAAAAACGGTGTCTTGGGTTGTAGATCAGGGGGAAAGAAGCATTGCCGAGAAGCCAATGTGGATGATGGGACGTATTGCTTCGGCACTGAGAGATGAGGAAGGAGTCAAAGTTCTTTTCCCCCCTCTGCTGTCCCAAATCGTTTTTCTTGTGTTGTTTTCCCAGCAACGGCTGCCTTCCGTCATCGACCCTGTGTGGCAAATGCCTGTGCTGTGGCGTCTACACAGCCACATTGACCTTAGTAATACATTCACATGTATCTGATGCCTCAGGCAGCATTACTGTCTACACGCAACTAAACCGCTCTATAATAATTTACTTGAGGTCTCTTTAATGATTGGTATTATTCTTCTAAAAGAAGGAAACAAGATTGTTTTGTTTGTTCATTCCTATATAGGATAAAAAGAACTGTATTGGCAGTATTGACAATGTACATAGTGGTGAGTCTTTATGTGGTATTTGTACTCTAAGCCTCTTGAGACTCGTTGGTATCGGCACTGGGATCATCATTTGTGATGTCCTGGGAAACTTCAGCATCTTCCTCCTCCTGTTCTTCCTGGTCATCGTATTCTTCCCCGTCGTCTCCATCGGCGCCCTGCCCTTTCAGAACGCCACCTTTCCTCTGGGGAATGACCTTCATGAAAGCTTCTCCCCAGTCTCCAAGTTCCATCCACCGTAGCATAATCTCGACGACATGGTTGGTAGCGAGAACTGCTCGATGCGACATCTGGATATACTCTCCAATTGGGAGCTTGGCAGTCTTGATGCCGAGCTCGACCGCACGTTTGTAGCAGATGCCTTTATGCCGGTTCTTATCCACCAATCCGCCAATAATGTATGTACTGTAGGGCTTCAGCTCCATCAATGTATGCTCACTTTCACTGCTGAGATAGACGACCTCTCCATCCTCGGGTCTGGCATCCGTCTTGTCAGCGAGAGCTCCGACCATCTGACCACCTTCGGGACCTGCCATCCACTCCTTGGCAAGCTCACTCGCATGGACAAAGTCCTCTTGCATGAAGTGAACACCCCTCCATTTTTCATGCACTTTCCGTAGCAGGTTATCGAATCTCTCCTTGAGCTTTTTGTCGAAGTTAGAGATCACCAGGTGGGATCTATACGGCGCTTTAATATTATCGGAATACGACCGCGTCAGCTGGGATCCTAGAGAGATGCGTTCCTTTTCCAGCATCAGGTCATCAAAGCCGCAGTCGATAACCATGGTGATCGGCAGGAGCACCGAACGCTGGCGCTGCATTGCTTTCTCCTTGTCCTTTCGCAACGTTATCTCGGTGGCTCCAGCAGCATCTCTTTCCGCCCGTTGCCGTTGCCTCTTTGCGTGAAGCTTTTCCCTGCGCTTGACTTTGCGATCTTCGCGACCGGCTTCCCAGTTTTCCCGTCGTCGTAACTTCTTCAATTGGCTCTTTGATAGCTTCGGTTCCGTCTCGTCGCCTTCTTCTGCACCGGGCCCCTCATCCGACTTGCCATTGGCATCTTCCGTAGCGTCCGGGGCAGCTGATGGTCGGGCTGTGTCGTCCTCCGCACCTTGGTCGTTCGTAGCCAGAGCCCCCGACATGACAGGCTCTCCGTCTAACTGGCCTCCGCTGTGATCCAGCTTAGCCAGCTTCCTGGGTCTTCCCTCCTCTTCCTCCATGATTTTACAAGCGCAGAGCGGGGTGGTTGTGTCTTGTCGTTATAAATTCCTCATCATCAAAAAAATAGTCAAAAGAGTGGTCGGGCGTCGCAGTGCAAGAGGAATCGGCTCCAGCCAATGAAATGCTTTCCAGCCCACATTACCAACGACCAGTACATCACGTGATCTACACCCGCCAACTTCGGTTGCATCTCCAGTTGTCGAGGCAGCGAGCTGCGACTTTCTTCCCCCAGACTTCCTCTCACCCACCCTCCGTCACAATGCCTCAGGATATGCCCCCAGCGGGGGGCTACGCTCCTGTCCAGTACAAGGTAGGTGCTTGATCCGGCAGGATTGAGCTCCCCACGCTCCCACAATTGCCCGACCCGATGGGCTGACCGGCCTCTTTCCACAGCGTAACATCCCTGCGCGCGGCTTCAGACCGTCCATCTACCTTATCGGCATGCACCTTGTCATGGCCTACGGATACTACAAGCTCTTCTACGGTATCCGCGAGAAAAAGTATGCTTCAATTGGATTTGCCCTTGCCCTTTTTATGGCCTGCAATCGACCTCTGCCGTCTCCAACCCGCGGATTGAACGCAGAAGAAAAGAAGACACGGTTGAGATGGATAGAATACGGTGACTAACGATCTTGCTTCGTACCAGTGAACTTGTCCGCGAGAAGGTGTGGGCCCGCCTGCACTTAACCCCCCTCCTCCAGGCCGAGGAGGATCGCGACCAGGTCCGCAGATACTACGCCGACAAGGCTCGTGAGAAGGAGCTCCTTGGAACGGAAACCAAGGTCTACAACTCGGACCGGTATGTGTACCGCCCCTTGCAACATGGCTAAGTTCTACAAAACATTCGACTCTAACTATGTCCTTTTTTGTTTTAGCTTCATCCGCCCTACCTTCGGCTACGCCCCTGCCAACGTCACCAAATAAACGAGACGATATCCACGGTCTCGGGGTATGTGTGAAGAATACCCTTTCGCAGCCAGATCGGTCTGATCAGTATACCGCAACAATTGAATCTGGAGAAAGAGGGGGGCGGGAAAGGCGAATTTTTATCGAATTGAAGATATTGGACGATGTATCAGCTGAACGAAGTTTTTTTTTTCTCCTCATGGGTTTTTAAGGGGCAAAACTGCGTTTTGAGCTTGTCAAGAGAATCGTGTAGATATACTAGCTTTGCAAGTCATATTTCTTTTTTTCCTTCTTAGTTTCAAGTGTGCTATGGTAGAGGGTATTTTGGTAATGTTCTGGTTAACGTATTATTCTATCAAACTTGCTTCGGCCCCGTCGGAAATATCAGACGAAAGGGCTAAGTATATGTGGAAAAGAAGGAAAAGACAAGTAGAAGAAGAAAAGGAACACAAGTAGGAGGTTGCCTGCCAAGATAGAGAAGAGGCCCGTTCAAGTCATGATATGATACAGTGCGACGCGATGCAGAAGAAAAGACAGTCGATAAAGAGAAGAGACGACCAAGTGAATCGAACAGAAGTGTTATTCCTTTTTTCCTTTGCATTGTATTGCTTCCCCCCCACCCTTTTGTTGACTCATCCAAACATATCCGCCAGTCCGCCCAGGTCAGGCCCATCGTTGATGTCAACTCTGGTGGGTTGCGCCTCCATATCGCGACTCATGTATCTCTTCTGCAACACGCTGCGGGCCTTGCGCCGCTCTTCACGCGTACTGAAGATTTTGCCCTGCTCCGCGACGCTTACGCCGCAAAGGCTTTCCAGAAGTTCCAGAACTAGGGCACGCTGCTGCCGCGCAGAAGAAGAGCGGACTAGCGAAGCCTCGGTGGTGGCGACATGTTCTTCAGTCAAACCAGGAAGACTGAGAATCACAGCCCGTGGGGTCGGGCTGCTGGAGCCATAGAGAACCCAGATGGAAGCGATTAACTGGGCAAGGTCCTTTTGCATATCGACGAAGTAAGGCTCGTTGACCGATGTGATGCACGCCTTGAGAACTTCGGAGCAGATAAACTCGCGGATCGTAATGACGGTGGGAGTGTTGTTAGGGGGCGCGAAATCCTGCAAAATCGAACGGATTACACGGGTGATGATGCTGCAGCATCGAGTATCACGCATGCGCAGGGCGTGGGTGCAGAAGAGCATCACTGGCTCGAAAATTTCTGGCGAGGAGAGGACAAAATACCGAATTGAATCAGACTGTGCAGGGGCACCCTGGCCGCTGGCACCGCTGGCATCGACTTCATCCGGGTCTGTAGACAAGACAGAGTCAGTGCAGGCACAGACATAAAACAGTAGAAAATTGATTCGTCCAAAGAAACTCACCCCCTCGCTGTGGATCCAAAAGGCTCGCTACCATAATGACCGCGGAATAGGTCAATTGTCGGAGAATACTTTCCGATTTCATTTCATCTGCCAGGTCATCATCGGCAGCTCCGGCTTTGCGCTGTTCAATGATCTCCCACTCAGACGTTACCTTCTTATCGATTTGAGTGAACAAGGTCGAGAGCATGGGCGGTAAAAAAATGCTTCGGAAGCGAACAGGACAGTCGTCGATCAGACAGCGCGATATGTTGAGTAGAACAGAAAACTGATGGGATGACAGATGAGTCGCATCGTTGAAGAGAGCCTCGGACAATGGCCCTGGGAGTTCTGCAAACCCATAGAAATTCTCACGTAGCCTGCTCATACTAAATAGCATCGAGTAGCATGATTCACGAACTGCTCTGATCTTGCCTCGGACTGAGGAAGCGAAGCCCTCAAGGGTGAACCGAGACGATGTGATCTTCGCGTAGAACTCGTCTCGGCTACCTGTCGATATGCCGGCTTGCCAGAATCTATCGGTCAAAATCCGCTCAACGACGGCCTGCATATCTTGGGGAAGACCGCTCCAATTAGCAGGATTGTGGAATGCATGAGCATGGCTATATGATAGATTCGTCGTTAGTGGGACAATTTCTATACTCTTGGAAAACAAATCTCGTACCTCACGAGTTGCAAAAGGGTTGGCAAGATGATGGGGATCACGTTATGCCACATATCACAGGCGAGCTGGTATGCGCTATCGGTTTTCTTTAATTTTTCCGTCGAAACCGCCAACAGCGTTTTCGTGCCTCGTAGAGGCAAGAGCTAAGTGAAATCGCAGTTAACATATGAAGATGAAAGTGAGCAGTTTTGCGATGACTTACTTGAAATTTCCGTGTCATTTCTTCCTGAATGAGCCTGCCTTCATGGTCCAAGGCAACTTCTGTCCAGTCCACCACCTTCTGCGCCTCTTTGTCTCGCATATATCCACCGACACTTTGCAAACCCAGAAGGCTGCAAAATCCGTCAAATGACGAACTCACGCGTTTAAACTCCTCGTCTTGCCAAGCCTGCTTGATCGGCTGCAGAAAACTTGTCAACAGAACTTTGCGTTGATAAGAATCGACGTTGTGGGCACGTTGCCTAGGTTTGTTAGGATATAGTTGGGCATAGAGCACCAGAGCTATAGGACATACATGATAATGAGAAGGACAGATGTCAACTCCATTTGTAACTTGTCATCGACACGGTTGGCCAGACTGATTTCGTTGATCTTTGGTTCAAGAAGATCGTAAAAGGACTTTGGATTCGAATTAGTAACGGTGCCGAACCCTAACATAGAGAGTGTCCTCACAGCAAAATAGTCTGCGTAACGCATTGCAAGTCGACGTAATTCATGACTTGTTAGACCATGCAACTCTTTAATAGCTTCGGAGTATGCAGGGTAGGTCGGCTCATCCGGCACTCGGGAAACAAGGATATGCTCCAAGACTTTCAGCGCAAAACTAGGTGTCTTGTCAAGGGCTTTAGATGATATGTCGACGATGAGCTTAATCACTCTTTGCTTCATTACAGGATCCTTGACACAATCAGCATAAAATGATCTTAGAACCCTTGGGAATCAAGGTGCAAACCTCGAAATTTCGCGACATCAGTCTATACGCCCAGGTTTCCAAGACTTGTTCCAACTCTCCTCGCTGTTGCTCCTGTTCGTGGATGAGATTTTGTACAGCAACTGAAAAAACACGGGAGAGAGGCACATACATCTTGCTGTGGCGTCTTACCATGTGACGCCACCCATCTTCCATAACCCTTCAATACCGCATCCACGACAGTGAATTGACTATCAGCGCGCATGAGGGGAACAGATGTCTTCGAGAATTTTTCCACTAGAGAGAAGCCCAATTAGCATAGACACATATAGACGCTGTCTTTTCACATACAGCAGAAAGGTTCGGCCCCATTATAAAGGTTGTCCAGGTTGCCATCCACTTCCGAGAGAATATGAGGGATCGCTTCATGGGGTCGCTTCTGGACGATCGTTTCAATAATGGAGGAACAATATCGCCGAAAATTTCCGACAAAAGCATGACGCTCAGGAATGGTATCGATATCTTCGTCCAAGAACAGGACTGTGGGGTCATCTGAGCCCTCTGGGAGAGACTCCCAGCGAACTAGCCGGCGGCTGCAAACCCCCAAAAGCGAGGGAACCAAACTGGTCACCAGTTCCGTATTGCCGATTTTCTCTGAGGTTAGAAGTTTGGACCAGACATGCAGAACGGGGATGGCAACAGAGAGACTCTGGTGTTGGATAATATTGAGCATTAAGTGGAAAAAGGAGGCCAAGTTCATGCCGTGAGCGCTTTGAAGGGCAAACCCCTTTTCTTCGAGGAACCCTGCAATATAGGACATAACCTACGACGAGGCACCCTGGTAAGCATGGATGGAATTTTGGTTAGCTGGGATAACCTCCTACCTCAGAGAGTTTTTTGGAGATGGTGTAACGGGTATCGACTGCATCCTCGGGACCGACAACCGACCATTCATACAGCTTTTGAAGAACATTGAGGTATTCCGTCTCGTACATTAGATGCACTAGGGGCTGGAACTCTTCGATATCAATGTTGGATCTGCTGTATAGAGTATTGAGTGCTTCGACAGCGGCCTAGATGGAGCATTAGTGCCATAATTCACTCACAGTACTGCAAGAATGCTTTTGGATTCCCTTCATACCAGGAGTACCTGTTCGTTTTGACAGGTCAAAGCGGTGAAGATGCTTGGGACACACTGCGAGGTGATAATCGCCTTTGGGATAGACCATGGGAGGACTGATTTCAAGGTTGCTAGGGCCTTAAGTGCGGCATCGCTGGCCTCCTTGGAGTTGGGAAGATTCTGGACGCAGGTGCGCAGAAACTCGCAAATCCGAGTCAGCCATCCCTCCGGGCCACATCGAAGCTCGACATGTTGATCTCGATCCGGATAGAACTCCTTGAAGATGGATAGTGGCGTGATAATCTCGACCATCGCCCTGTTCAGATCCGAACCTCTCAGCGACGAGACGGTGTCTTCTCGCAAGAAGATATCGTCAGACAGCGACTCCAGGACAGCGAGCACGAAGTTCTTGTGAATGAGACTGGCGTTCCACAGCTTCATGAGCGACTCATCCATGTTGATCCAATCGAGGCCCCATGTCCGCTTCGCGATCTCAGCCCAGAGCTGGGGGATCTTGTTGCGGATGAACGGCGGGTCCTCGGGTTGCAGGGACTCTGCCACCTCTCGGACCATCTCCTGCAGCGGAATCAGAGACTCCGTGGAAGTGAACGACCTGTTCCGCAACACATGGTCCAGCAGCGTTAAGCCAAAGTAGCGGACCATGGGCGGATACTCCCTCCGCGAGACCAGTAGAAACCCATTCCGCGCCGCCGCCTTGCTTTGCTTCTGAGATTCGATGAATGCGAAGATATCCTGGCGGACCTCGTTTGACGCTGATGGGCTATGGGTTAATTCCAGGGCCTGGACTAGCTGGGCTATGCCGCTCTCTGATAGCTCTTCTGCCGCCATTGTTGTTTGACCTGGGCCTGGGCCTTCTCTTATTGATCTGGAATCCTGTGGCTTAAATCGCAGGCAACTGCATGATCTTGTCGAATCCGTTCCCCGTTATCCCCCCTCTTTTTTGTTTAAAAATAATTTTTTTCTCCTACCTAGATTCCCTCCCCTTGTGTTCTGTTCAAATTCTCCGCTCTAACGGGCGTTGGGCCAGAACAAAAAGCCTCACGTACCACCACCACCTCAGCCTGACCAGAGGATCTTGTCTGACGGCGGGGAAGAGTCGTCGTTCAGCGTCGAAGATCCCTGCGGGCAAGCCAACGGTGGTCTTCTTATCTTTTCCGTCCTTCCCGCTCTGACACACTGCGTGCGCTCTGCTTTGTTTTCTCCTTCTTTCCCTTTGTCTGTGTACGGGACACACACTGTTTAGAGCGGCGGGTGATTTCCTAGGTCACGGGAACGCGATATCCTTTTTCGCGCTGAGATTTTTCCCACGCGCTTCCCTCCCCGCCCCAATAATAACCACCACTCGACGGCCTCAACCTCACCGCTCCCCGCGGCCGCGTTTTTGTCTTACCTTCTTGCCTTGAGCTGAGCTGTTGATCTCGCCTCGGAGATCCAGTTGGCCTGTACTACTTTGTGGGTGCTTGAAAGAACTCTGAGTGGCTCATGCCTATGAAATCTACGTCTTATCTCTGCTCTGAATACGTACCTAGCTAACGCAGATTCTGTCTCGGACGACTATCTACGCTTGATAAACGTCGAGTCATTTTCGGAAATCCGATATGCTTTTCAAGTATCGATCCAGTAAAATGCGACGTCTTAAAACAGCATACATGTAGCTATTGAAAAAAAGCAAGGGCTTCAACTGAAGACCACGGAACAAGCGCTAGAAACGAAACAAAGAGGAGACCCAGATGATAGTAGAGTGGTAAATATAGAAGTCAAAGGGGAGGGGGACACTGCTGGCGACATCCTCACATCACAGTACAGGCAGCCCGCTGGCACTGTTCGAGATACGTCACTTCTTCGGCACTGCCATGGGTGTACTCGCCTGGCTTGCGCTTCACCCCCTGAATCTTAATATCCTGCTCTCCCTCCGCATGCCACCACCGCAGGCGCTGCAGTCTGGCTGATTGAATGACTTCGTAATCGATAGTCCATTTGCCCCCGCTGACTGCGATCACGGTATCGGCCGACGGGAAATGGAATTCTGGCAGGTAAATCTCGGTGGGTGCATGTTCCGCCGTGGCCGCTTTGGCGACCAGAGCCATGGTAAATGTGCAGTTGCGCAATTCAAACAGGAATTGGGTCACTTTGCCGTTGGTGTAGACGGGGCTGGGCCGGATGTAGGCCTCTGCGGCTCGGTAGCCCTGGTTCTCCAAGTCTGTCATCTGGGAGCAGGCAGACGAGATGGATGGCGAGGTCAGCGCTCGCTTCAGATTCTGAGGACCAACCTGCATGTCGCTAGCGTTGTTCTGACTATCCGAGTACCCCGGCGAATGAGGGTCCGAATGGTTTCGTATCTCGGCTCTATTTCCCAGATGCGTTCCACTAGGGAGCTCTGGATCGTCGAGCGAGAAGATAGAGAGGTCTTCTCCATTCCATTGATCACCCCATTCGTGTGAATTCTGAGCCCAAAATCAGCCATTGTTACCGTTGCACTTCGAAATAGTCTCGGACAAGCATACCTGTGTCATGTACAGCCAGAGGGTAAACCCATTGCCAGTGCTTCCTTCCAAAGCAAAATGGTTGGCATCCATGGCGCTAGTTTGGCTGGTATAGTCGCCTGTTTTATATGCATAATCTTCATCCATGTCGAACGGAATACCAATCTCGGTAAAAATGAGCGGATGGTTGCCCATGTATTTAAGACTTTCATCTCTGAGGAACTTGAGTTGATCCCGTAAACAATTCCTGATCGCTGTCTCGCCGAGCTTCACCGCAAATGCTGGGGTAAGGTATTTGCCACGGAGGACTCCGATCACATCGACATTATAGAATCGATTCCTGGTCGGGTCAGCCCGTAATCACAGATTGTTAGAACGCAACGGCTTACTCACCAGTGTTTTGTGAGAAGTGTCAGACCATCATAGAAGTGCACCGCGTGGACCATGTTCGAATCGTCATCGACTGTTCCTTTCAAATCTGGCGGCACCTCCATCACCGGGGGTTGGCAGAACATGATAGACTCCGGCCAAACGCCCCGAATCGCATCTCTATAAGTTCGATAATGATTGATAAAGTAGGTGTTGGTAAACTTCTCGTAATCGAGCTTCTCCCCTGTCTGCGGGTTCTTGGAGAAGTAGTCCTTTTGTAGAAGTTGGTCGGTGGCAGGGTCCCAGACGCCGTGTTGAGCCCAAAGACACTGACCAAGTTTCCAGTCAGGATCTCGCTTCCAGCCATATCTGCTGTCGTCGAAATCAGCGGGCAGCCATGCAGACTCGCCCTCAGGGTCAACGAGCTCTCTTCCGGTCTGATGAGGACCAAAACTACCAAAAGACCAAGTCGTTACTTCACAAGCTCGCCCGGACCCACTGAGCATAGCCTGAAAAGCGGTCGGAGAGGTCCCCAGTTGAAGCTGTTGTTCAGGAGGAATCACAGAGATATCTTTAACCCCAATTAGGCCTCGGTGTGGCTCGTTCAGAGTCTCCCAGCCGATGACCACCTCATGCTCCAGATCGCCTGCATCGTGGATCTTCTGAGCAAGGTATTTTACGGCTGCAATATAGTGACTCTGCAGATAGTCTTGGATGTTGACACCATCAATGATTGCTTTTGGTGCGAAGTCCCGCCCTGCCCAGAAGAGAGTAAAGATCGTTTGGCAGACAAGGCGGGTATAGTTGGTAGCCCAAATCATCTTCGGAAACTGGGTAGGGTCATCCCAAGTATTTTGGACCAACGCAGCCTCTGTCTTTTTGAAAGCAAGTGGATTGAAGCCTGCTGCATACAGTGTCCACATCGGGGCACCTGAACCACCGGAGAACCTCGACCACTGTATACGATCAGTAACCTATCTCCCCTTGACAATCGAATCTGCATGACATACAACATCCTGATGTGGATCCATGAAGACATAGAACCCATATTGCTTCGCCACTCGCAGAATCTCTATCGTGAATGCAATCCACTCCTCGTCGTATACGCCAGGGCCAGCATGTTCAATTGCTTCCCAGGTGAACAGATACCGGATCGTATTATAGCCCCATTTGCGAAGTCTTGCAAAATGTTTATGCGCATCCTCTAAGGGAAATGGACGGCCGACAAAAGACACACTATCCCCATCAAAAAAACCATCGGAGATGTGGGTTGGCACGTTCGGGGCTCGCGGATACTTTGCATCTCCAGCAACATTGATCCCCCGAAAGGTGATCTCTCGGTTCTGGGGGTCCCGGAAGATTTGGCCATCGATGCGAAGGCGTGGAACGGTCATTGTGAGTTGTCAATACGTGTGGCTTCTGCTCCAAGGGTGACTCGACGTCAGGAACGTGACCGTCGATCGGGGCTGGCGGTAAATTCAACAGAAATAAGACAAACTATTCCAAAGCTCGACCAGTTAGATTATGTACTTCTTGAGGATAGATTGAGAGGGCATATACTGTCGATGCTTCGGTACTCGGTACCTACCTTATTCACTGGTCAGGTCTTAGGAGTCTCCTTGGCCCAAGTATGAATAGATAATATCGCCAGTTAATGATGACACAGGGTCATCAAAAACCCAGAGACAAAAGACAATAGCTCAAAGTAGCCAAAGCAGGATCCACGCCTGGAACAGCAAGCTGTGCTCAGCCACAGGAGATGAAGAGGTGGTGAGAGTCCTGGAAGACGGTGACGACCATAGTCGATAGATACGCAATACGAGATAAGCCGATACGAGCGCTCTGACGTACCAGCCCGCCTGCCTCTTTACTCCACATACCGCACGATTCTCGAGCAAAAGTCTTATCATCCCCCGCTCGTCAAGCACAGCAGGGAACAGCTGCCATTGCTTAGAGGATGGCTAGTAAGGCAGCATTGAAAGCTGTCAGAACAGCTCTTGATGCGAAAGAGTTTGAGGTTGCAGCTGAGAAAGCGAAGGCGCTAGTTAAACAAGAGCCAAAGAATTACCATGCGTGAGTGGGAGCTGGTCCTTACACATCTTCAATACAAATAGCGAAACTGACATCTCTTTTCTGGACTAGCAATGTTTTCCTTGGTCTTGCGCTCGACAAGCTGAACCGAATTGAGGAATCAGAGAAGGCATACCTGGCTGCAACGCGATTAAATGAGAACGACAGGACAGCGTGGCAGGGTCTCGTTAAAGTATACGAGAGACAGGGAGGCCAGAAGCTGGAGGACTACCGCACTGCTGTGCTAAGATTGGCCCACATCTTCGCCGAAGCGTATGATTGAGTCTATCTTTTCTAATTTTGCGGGTGGATGGATTGCTGACTTGCCCACAGCGAAGACAAGCATCGTTGCCAAGACTTGGTCGACAAGTTCGTCAGCTACTCCAGGAAGAATGGGTCACGGACTCAACTGAAACGAGCTCTCGAGCTTCACTTGCCAGACAGCCCCTTTTACTCGTTCCTCGAGGGCCGCGTGCCGCATCCCTCGCACACGTACCTCCGTCTCATCGAACTCACCGAATCTGAGGAGAAAGAATTCATCAATAGGGAGATCGGAGAGCGACGGACTCGTTTGGGTGCAAGGATAGATCAAGTGACTGTTGAGGTCAAACGAGAAGCCTTTAAGCGAAGCGAACTTGAACGACTATATCGCGGGATAATTGACTGGTCGCACGACGACGACACACGCCGGAAGTATGAAGAGAAACTGCTGGAACGATCCTTCAACTTGCTGTCTCTTCTCCCCTTGGAGGAAAAAGCAGGGAAAAGAGACGAGGTGTTACAGGCGGCTCGCGACATGGTTATTATCAAACACCCGTTTGAACTCGCCTGGAAGATCGTCCTTGAGTGGCAAGATGTTGAAAGTTTTTCGCAATGGGACCTTGGACTTCTGGAAAACTACATTGAGTTTTTCCCCGAAGATGGGCTTTCAAAAGTGCTCAAAGGTTTCCTAGCTAGCAACATCTCTCCTTTTCCAAAGGAACCACCTGCCGATGACGAAGATTGTGAAGAGGCTAACGGCGACAATGGGGAATTGGCTGTTCAGGATCAGCTCATTATGATGACTGAAGGCCTCGAGTTTGCTCAAAGTTCGATCATTGCTCATCGGATCATGGGCGAGTTTTACCTCTCCCTTGACGAATTCGAAAGTGTTGTGGATGTGGCTCGCAAGGGACTTCGCAATGTGGAAAATGTGGTGAAGGCAACAGGGCTTGATCTGGTGAATACAACAGATATGATTAACATTGTTCTTGCAAACGCCTTGGTCACTTATCAATCACCCCGACACCATCCAGAAGCCAAGTTAATCTTCGAGGCGATTCTCAAACGAAAGCCAACATCTACAGAGTGCTTGCTTGGCATCGGATTGATCTTAAAGGTTGATGAAGACTATGCGGAGGCTGTGGATTTCCTTCAGCGAGCATCGGAACGGGATCCCTCCAACATCAAGATCCAAGCTGAATGGGCATGGTGCAAAGCCCTTAACGGTGATCTCGATACAGCACTTGGATCCTTGCAACATGTGCTTTCTGAGGCATCCGAGATGCAGCCCGAAAACCGAGACTTCAAAGCCGAAATTCACTATCGAATTGGTTACTGCCAATGGGAAATAGATCCGTCTCCTTCCGCGCGAAAGGATCGCAACGGTGCATACGCGAGCTTCCTCGCCTCAATACAAATGAACATGAATTTTGCGCCGGCGTACTCAAGCCTAGGCTTTTATTACGCAGATTACAAGAAGGACAAGACACGCGCACGAAGGTGTTTCCACAAAGCATTCGAACTGTCATCATCCGAGATCGAAGCGGGTGAACGTCTTGCGAGGGCTTTTGCGGATCAAAAGGAATGGGACTTGGTAGAAGCAGTTGCACAGCGTGCGGTTGACTCTGGAAAGACAAAGCCTGCCCCTGGATCGAAGAGAAAAGGCTATAGCTGGCCGCATGCAGCTCTTGGTACGGTGCAGATCAACAAGCAGCAATACACTAAGAGTATTGTTTCATTCCAAGCCGCATTGAGGATTTCACCTGATGATTACCATTGCTGGGTTGGCCTAGGCGAGAGCTACCATCACTCAGGGCGGTACATTGCTTCCATGAAAGCCTTTGAGCATGCTCAAGTACTCGAAGAAAATATTCCAGGTAGAGACAAGGAGCAGGTCTGGTTCGCTCGGTACATGCTTGCCAACGTGAAGAGGGAACTCGGTGAATACGATGACGCTATTGCCAGATATGAGGAAGTACTTCAATTGCGACCCAAGGAAACCGGCGTTGCGATTGCACTGCTCCAGACCCTCACAGAGAGCGCATGGAGAAGTCTAGAACTCGGTCTCTTCAATGATGCCGCCGAGTTGGGGCGCAAGGCCGTTGAGACGGCTACCACTCTCGCTCAAGAGAAAACCAGCATGTTCAATCTCTGGAAGGCAGTTGGCGATGCCTGTGCAGTCTTTTCTTACGTCAAGATGAAGGCTGAAAAGTTGCCGGTTTCCATGGTCTGCGAGCTGCTTTCGATCGAGCTCGATACTGCCGCATTCGACATCATTGTGGATGTTGATGAAGTGGGAAAAAGCACACTGTCATCATTGAAGCCCGACGCCGACGAGGCGGGGACGTACACCCAGTCGAATGCCTGCATCTATGCTGCAATTCTTGCCTACAAACGAGCCATTCACGTGTCCCTGCCGGACATCCATGCACAGGCCGTTGCTTGGTACAATCTTGGATGGGCTGAATATCGAGCATTCAAGTGCCTACAATTTGATGTGGGCAAAAAGGGCAAAAAGCAGCTACGTCGGTTCTTGAAGGCTGCCATGAGATGTTTCAAACGGGCGATCGAATTGGAGTCTGGAAATTCGGAGTTCTGGAATGCTTTGGGCGTTGTGACCACAGCCTTGAGCCCAAAGGTGGCCCAACACTCCTTTGTGAGAAGTCTCTACCTAAATGAGAAGAGTGCTCAAGTTTGGGGAAACCTTGGGGCGCTGTATATCCTGCATAACGACATCCAGCTCGCCAATGAGGCCTTCACGCGTGCCCAGTCGACTGACCCCGACTACGCTCCAGCCTGGATCGGCCAGGGCCTTCTCGCTCTACTTGTTGGTGATGTGAAAGAAGCGCGGGGGCTGTTTGAGCATGCCTTTGATATCTCGAATTCATCGGCGGCTCTGCCAAAGCGCCAGTTCACGCTCAGCTTGTTCGATCACCTTCTCACGGACACATCTATTTCGAATGAAATCTCACAGCTGATCCAACCGCTCTTTGCACTCCTTCAGCTTCGATGCCAGGATCCCTTTGACCTGCCCTTTGTGCATCTGTCTGCTCTTATCGCCGAGCGAGTCGGGGAGATCTCAGATGCGGAATCCAGTCTGCAAGCCGTTTGCTCTGGTGTCGAAGCGGAGTACGAAATTGCCGAGTCCGCATCCTCTTTGGTGAGGTACGCACAGGCGAATGCCGATCTGGCTCGCATCCATCTCGCACAGGGCGAATGGAGTGACGCTGCCGAGCGGGCGGAGACTGCCATCACATTGTCCGGCGAGGAAGATGCGGACAAATTCGATGCCGAAACGAATGGCAAGCTGCGTCTGTCTGCACACCTTACAGCCGGTCTGGCGTACTATTATCTGAAATCGATGGACCGGGCGATCGACATGTTCCGCGATGCTCTCCAAGAGGCTGACCACACGCCTGACGTAGTGTGTCTCCTTGCGCAGGTTCTGTGGGCCAAGGGAGGCGAGGAGGAGAAGGATGTGGCGCGGCAGCAGCTCTTTGACTGCGTGGAAAAGCACCCCGACCATATCGGTGCGGTGACACTACTGGGAGCAATTGCGCTGCTGGACGCCGACGAGGACGCGATCGAGGCCGTGGAGTCCGATCTCCAGAGCATGCAGACTCGCGACGATGTTGAAATCCACGACCGATCCAAGCTGTCCAAACTCCTAGCCGCCATCTCGACCTTGGGCTTTGCGACCGACCGCACCGTCCCAGAGGAGGCGCGACAGCTCGGCGAAGCCACCCGGGCCGTCATGATCTCTCCCGGGCAGCCGCAGGGTTGGGTGCAAGTGGCGGCCGCGTCACAGGAGGTGTATCCGGCAGAGATGGCGGTCAAACGAGCGCTGAAGAGTGTTCCACCACATGGCGCCCTGGATGCCGATGATCTCAGCCAGGCCTTTTCTCATACAGGCAAGGCCAGTGATGCCCTGCGGGCGATCATGGTCGCACCATGGAGAAGAGATGGCTGGGAGGAGTTGAGCCATGCAGTATCGGGGGTCTAGATAAAAATGCATTAACCTTACTTTACGTTACGTTCTGTAGCTTTTACTTGAGTATAGACTGCGAGAACCACACTTTGGAATGCATTGTCGGAATATTTAAGGCTGGTTCTCAGACAGTCTGCTCAGAAGCCTCTCCTTCCTCCCCTCTCTCCACGCCCGATCCATAGCTTCAATCTTCCCACCCAAATACGTGACTGTTTCTGGTGTCAAGAGGACCATGCCGCGTGCGACGCTCGCATTGCGTAGTAGCAGCTTGGCTCCGATCGGCGTCTTATCCACGGCGACTCCCTCGACGGACCTGATTTCAACCGCGACGGCTCTCGTTCCCGCTGCATCCTGAACGATCAGACGGTGCGGACCATGCGAGGAGGAAGCACTGCTATTGCTAGTTGTATTGTTTGCATTGGTATTTGCACTCGCAGACGCATTGTTGGATGGGTTGTCTCTCTCCTGATTGCCGTCTTCCAAGTTGACGGTGCGGACGATCTCACGACCACGAACGGCTTCGCCGCGCTCAACACGCTCGATCGCCTCCACCTGACTCCAGAGACTGGAGCCTATGTCTTCGATATCCAGGATCTGAACCGGGACAACGCCCTGCAGTCGTCTCTCTTGGATGGTTGGGTCGAACACATCGCTTGGGAGGAGGGAGGGGCGGTTCGCCGTGGAGAGGGTTTCGCGGAAATCCGAGGCCAGGACGCGAAACAACGCGGTCCGAGTGAGGCCTGAGATGGGCACGTTCACGTTCGGTTGGGCGGTCGACGAGGTGGCCACGAACCGGTCCAGCCATGCCTGCGAGATGGGGAGAGAGCGAGTGCTTAACAGCTGGGCGGCGATCTGCTCTTGGGGGGTCATGGTAGTCGTAGACTCGTAGCTATCAGCAGGTGGTAACTTGACAACCCTGCCGGGTTCATCAATCACCGGAACGACATGAATTCTAATCCAGAATCAAGTACTCCGTAGCGTGCCTGGATAACATACGGAGTAGAGGCAAACGTCGGGGGTAGCTACTCGGTAGTTCAACACTGCTTTGGATCTTCCAAGCACGGGCCACGTACGGAGTACAGCTTCACCTGAACACACCTGGAGAGTCTCAGAGTACGAAACAACTCCACTTCACTACTCGTCAGAATGTCGACGCTTTCATCTCCCCGCCCGTCGATTGCATCGTCGCGAGCACACTCTCCGACGCCCGCCTCGTCACGTCGGCCGTCCGTCGATACTCTCAACACGGGGACGCCCACCACGCGGGCGGTCTCGCCGTCACTACGCACGCACCGCAACCGAACAGCGCTACGAGACTACTACAACCTCAAGCCCGGGTCGTCTCCCGTGTCTGGCTCCGGAGCAGCAGCAGGGCGGTCACGGAGCATCCCGCGAACAACAGACGCAGGCGACCTGTCGAGCCCGTCGGTGCTGACGGCGGCAGCGGCAGCGGCGGGGACGGAACTGGACAACCCGGAGTTCGACGCAGAGGGGTACGTGAGCCAGCTTCTGGCGACGTCGTCGCTGTCGACGGTGCTCAAGGCAGAGAACACGTTGGTGGGGGATATCCGGACGCTGGACGGGGAGCGCAAGGCGCTCGTCTACGACAACTACTCGAAGCTGATCCGGGCGGTGGAGACGATTGGGAAGATGCGACGCAGCATGGACGAGCGCGGCACACCCCTGACCATGACCAAGACGCTGGGGCCGGCGATCTCCTTTGTGGCCGAGACGGCAGGCAGCCTGATCCGCCAAGGCGAGGAGCAGCGCCGGCGCATGAAGGAGGCCAAAGTCTCGCAGTCGTCGGCGGAGCAGGGCGCGGCGGACCGCGAGACAGTGCGGTGGGTGCTGGCCACGCCGGCAAGACTGCGCACGCTCATCGCGGAGGGGAGGCGAGAGGACGCAGAGAGGGATTGGACTGAGATCCGGGCGTTGCTGGATGGATGGCCCGGCGTGGGGGGGGTCACCGAGCTGCACGACGAGTGCATGAGAATTATGGACTCAAAATTTGACAGTGTATAAAAAAGGCACGGGATGGATCTGATATCATTGCGCTGGCGCAAGAATTGTCAATCAAATACTATCCTGCCCATGTACATAGAATAAACTATATCTCATCTCGACTCGAGTAGAGACTCGCCTTGAGTCCGTACGGGTTATTGGCCTTGATCTCCAAATACGTCCAGGCATCGCACTTGTAGTAGATGGTTCTCCGTCTCTCCCCTTTCCCCCCCATCACTCCCATCTCCTTCAACCCCCCCAGCACCCTCGCCACGTCCCGTCTATCTTCAAAGTCACGCGTATATACGGCCACGAGCCTGGAATCATGATTCCCACATTGATTGAGATCATCCCTCGCCACCTTGGCCGCAACACCTAGTTCCCCGGCGCCCGTGGCCTGAGCAACAGCCCTCCAGACAGAGCGGATCTCCTCCCTCGAAACGAAAAGCATCCATTTCCCACTCACCACGCCTGTTTCCCTGGCCAGCGCGAAGAGATCGCTCTCCAGCCTGCGCGTGAGAGCTGCCTTTTTGGCCGGATTCGGTGTCGACCTTGTCGCCGTCTTGTCCTGTACATACCCCCTGAGCAGATGGGTGCCCTCCCGTACAAACATGGGGATGTCTCCTATCTCGTCGGTGCTTCTGTCGGGGTGGAATATACGAATCCATGGATCTGAGCTGGTGGTTATCTTTGCGTGGTGGTTGTCAAAAGCCTCGTTCTTGTTCAAAGAGACCGATCGGTTCTTTTCTTTTTCTTTCTCTACATGTTGGATCGTCGAGAGACGAGTTGCGTGTCCATCCCAGTATTTCTCCGGATCGTACGTGTTCACGAGCTCTTCGAGGCGCGTTTTCTCGTCCTCGTCCCCTGGTGAGTTAGCAAACTATTACCCTGGTTTACATATGCAATTAAGTGATAGGAATAATTCACCGTAAAAGCTTGACTCGGAGGTCTCATCCTCGGAGGCCATGATAACGAGCGGTTAGCTAGCTTCAGTAGAGTTAATCATGGACGAGTATTCAGTCTGTACGGGGTCTGTAAGTGTACTACTAGCTCGTACAGTCAGTCCACATCTCGACTCATCATAATTGATAGATCCAAATAATAGGTATATAGAGTACGGAACATACTAATAGTGTAATCAATAAACAGTCTTGTGGTCTACAGTGATGTGTATAATGCTAATAGTATATTCTTCTAGGGTATCTTTATTTAGGATGCAGAGTAATGCAGGTACAAGAGTAAAATAACAAAATGTTAGTACAGAGTAAATCTACTGCCGTGACAGGTCCACCCATTTGGCAGCAGTGATACGCTGGCTTGGTTCCTTCACGGTCGCCGGCTGGACGATGCGTTCCACGAGACCCTTGCGCGGGATGCGAGTGCCGTTGGCTCCTGAGCGGGCAAAGTCAAGCACGCGATGGCCTTCGCGTGCCATTGCCAGCCGCTGCATGTTGCTCGAGCCCGGGTACACGAGCAGGTCGCCCGTTGCGGCCGCCAGAAGAGTCACGGCCAGCGAGAAGACGTCCGAAGCAGGCGTCGGGGCCGAGTCGGGAGACGTCAGCGATGCGACGGACAGCAGCTCGGGAGCGGTAAACGGCGGCGTCATGGCGGAGATGGACGTTCCGGTAGCTCCTGGAGACGCACACGACATGTCGTAAGCTGATGAAAAATCGGCAAACACCGGGTCGTAGGGAAAGTCGTCCGAGTTGCTGCTGCTGCTGTTGCTGCCGCTGCTGCCGCGGCGAGGCCGGAGCAGGAGATTATGCGGTTTGAGATCACCGTGAACGATCTGGGCCTCGTTATGGAGCCACGACAGGCCCGCGATAAGCCTCTCTGCCATCTCGTGCCACGCGCTCAAACCCTGGACGGGGTCGAACATGGTGCGAGTAGACATGTTCTCGCGAGCGATCCCAGCCTTGTCTTCGATGTAGGTGGCCAACGACAGCGGGAGGGCGGACATGACGATCGACTGAGAGCGCGAGATGTACCCACGGAAGGGCACAACGTAGCGCTTGTGTCCGGGAGTGAGACTCAGGCGAGTCAGGATCTTTGCTTCGGCGTAAATCACGGCCTGCGCATCGCGACGCACCGGCGACTTGACTGCCAGAACCCGACTTGCAGTAGCGGGAGAGCTGGGTGGCGTCATCGAGGAGACGGTCGACGGCGCACGCGACGACGCCATATACACAATGCTCCAAACCCCACGCCCGAGCTCAACACGGGAACCGGATCCATCGTGATGGAATTCGACCTCCTCGGGGAATTCAAGCGGTGAGAACACCGCCGCCTGGTCTGTAGCAGTCGAGAGCGATTCGTGAGATCGAGGCGTGGCGAGTCTTCTAGACGGCGGATCGGAATCACCGGTTGGCGTCACTGGCGGGGTGAGATGGGAGATCGAGGCCGCGAGCGACCCGGAGGGATGCTTGTCACCATGCTGGGTATCGAGAGAGAGATGGAAAGGGACATTTCTGGTGGTCATGTCTGACCAGCGTGACAATATGTTTGCAAGAAAATGCTTTGTAGCAGTAAACAAGTATGCCGAAGGTACCGTGTAGTTAAATACAGACGGAGGAAAAAAAAGGAAAGGACAAAGAGTCAAAAAAGAACGGTCATTCAAGAGGGGCAGCGAGACGAGACCAAAGACAAAAGGCCAGTTCTCAAGGGCAACTGCATGGTCAGAGGCGTAAGTTGCAACCTACGCGAATAGGTGACGAGGGTGGCAATGGAAAGACGCAACGCGGATTTTTTTTCGAACGAATGGATTCGGCGGGCGATACGCTGCGGTTCGCCCCAAAACCGGAACGCAGGAAGGGAAAGAATTGGCAGGGGAGCGCGTAGAAGCCGTAGAAGCCATTATTGAACCCCGCCGGGTGAAAGACAGAAATAGAGAAATCCCAGCGTCTGTCCGGTCTGGGCCTTGATGGACGATTCGGTTTGATATGTCCTTCCGGTTCTGGCGCAGCAAACCATGGAACAGAAGTGAAGTTTTAAAACGTCTCAGTACTTTCTACAAAAATTAATTACATATCACCTACGCTATATAGTATAGAGTATACAATACTCGAGCAAATAATTATTTTGATTGTATGCGTAGTATAAATACTGAGCACTGCGACATTGATAATATAGTACTCAATGTCACCATCCATGTTACAATTCACTATGTTTAATATTATCGTCGTATGAACGATCGCCAGACGGGCACCTTTCCATAATAGGTAAGGATCTGTTTCGGGTACTCAATGCGAATCCGGTCAAGATAAGAGAGGGTAGATAACAGTGCACTAACTATGTAGAAACCATGTAGTAGGTCAAATAGTTATCTATTTAAAGTATTTCAGGTAGAGTTACAGAGTAGCTAGTTAGTAGTATAGTAATAATTATTTATAGTGTATTCTAAGGTTCTAGATACCACCTACCTATGTATGGAGTATTTCAGTAATAATATTAATACCCTGTCTCAGCCAATCCCCACACCCACGTGCGGGTCTTTGTGACGTGCATAGGGAGAATTAAACTTGGAGATTGAGGATTTATTACCAGGTACCTACCTGTACGGAGTACCTAAAGGTAGAGGTAGATGGATACCTACCTGATACTTAGTACTATTACGGTATCTACTAGATTATTTGAACACTGTAAGAATACTAGGTAGTTGCTTGATCTAATTATATTCTAGTCTGCAGAATCTGCTCTGCACTTAGACTAAGGTACCTATCTAACTATGTAGTACTATCTAGAGATTAATTTATTGGTCTTAGATAGCTGACATTACCTTCATTATTATGCTTTGTCATCTACTAAGTCTTGGCAGTAATTACCAGAATACTAAGGTATGTTGTAGTGTTCTCAAAGAACTCTCCTAGGCATTATCAGAAAAAAGATCTGCTAGTAAGTACTGCTACTACTGGCTTCAACATATTTCTTTAAACCCTCTACCCACTTCCGGAACACAATCACCAACTGATCCCCATATTTCCACCGAACAAGATACGCCAGATATCCCGCCTGGGCCTCCCAGTTCTGCACCTCTGTCCCGCGTCGCCCCTCTACCTCCACCTCGCTCAGCGTGTGTACGCGCTCCGCCTTCAGGAGAAACCCCGGCATCGCCCCCTTGGCCATCGGATCTATCCCCCAGACAATCCGCCCTGAAGAACTCGTCGTCGGTTCATTATTGTTGTTATTGCCGTCATCGCTTTTCGTAGGAGGCTCGAATTCCATAATCACCAAAGCCACATCTGTGCACTTGTCCGACGTCGGATCCATCCGCACGTGGAACGTCAGTCGCGTTCCATTCTGCAACACAGGAGAAAGCGATTGGCCATCACTCCCCTCCTCGCCGGGTTGTTCGTGGATCGTCACCCGCGGGCAGAACACGTTCCACGTCGGCCAGGTCGAGGTGTCGATCAGTGCATCCCACACCGCGGCAGCGGGAGCTGCGATAAAAGTCGCGCTGCTGGTGTAGTTGACCGTGTCGGAAACGCTGATCGTCGGGGTGGGCTTGGGAGGGAGCACTTGGCTAGTCATTTCGAAAAATGAGGCTTGTATTAATATTATTATTAGAGGGTTTGATCGTAGTCTCTAGGCTACTCACTAGCAGCGTTGAGCTTGGTGAGCTAGTCCACTTTTGGCACCTTTGTAGAGGAACTATTTCTATACGACTCGACTCTAGATATTACTCATATTTGTCCTTGATGATTATTATTGTAATGCTTGACGAGCTGATATTACTGGAAATTAATAATTGTTAGTTTTTACTACTATGTATATCTATTCAGAGTTATAGTACTGGTATTTCTGTAGGTGTCGTTCCTTCCATTTACATTTAGTTGCAAATGAGTCGCTCCTTCCTGTTGTTCTACGTCCCTTCCCAAAAAGGAAGGCACTCAAAGTCAGGCTCCAAGGTCAGGTCGCCCGCCATTTACTTTCTGCTCTCGACTGTCTTGCTTCTTCCCTTTATCCAGTCTCTCGTTTACTGCATCTCTTAATTCTCGTTATACTACAAGGCTAGTTACCATTCGTTAAAGTTATCTTCATCCATCAGTCGTTACCCTCATACCATACGCTCTCATGTCTACAGAACCATTCCCGCAACTGCATATGCAAACAGGCGAGTATCATCGACCTTATCGGCTCCAGGAGCCCTTTCCAAGATTCTGTGTCCTCCGGCCCAACGAGGAACGTGTTCCGCTCATCGCTCTTGACGAACTGCCCCGGTGGGTGCAACTCGTGCGCCCCTGGGAAAAGAACGAATATGAGTCTTTTTACCCGTCCATGATCCCCGTCACCTGGATTAAACTGCCCAGAACTGGAGAGTACGATGTGATTTGCTCCTATTGCTCGGCCAGCATCGATAGCGTCATCCAGCGTACCATCTCCCAGCATAGTGACAAACCGGCCTCTCCTTTGCCAGCATACGCCGAGACCCAGACCTTTCCAGGGGGGTTCCCAACCGCTGTTCTTCGTCGCTCTGTGCCCACGTCCCATAATCTGTCATATTCTACCTCCTTGACGCAGCCCCCCTTTCACGCACAACTGCACAGCCCGTTCATCGGCATGTGCCTCGTCGATCTTCACCTCCCTGACATCTCATTCGATTTCGACACGGTGATTGGACAACCACAGGTACCGCAGATAACGTCCCCAGAGGGCAAGGAAGAAACCAACGTGAAGCCTGTCCTGACTCTCAACCCGGAGGCAAATGCCTTCAGCCCCTCGAGCCCTTCGGAGAGGTTCGGACCACACAGCTTCCCATTAACTCCAACGAGCGAAGCCGGTCAGGAACTTCTCATTGAAGATACCATAGAGGCCGTGACAGTTGAAGCTCTCTTCCCTCTGTTGACGGAGAGCAGCACGGCTTCGGACCCGGGCCAGCCACTCCCTGACAGCACTGATACATCTGTAGAAGTGCTGGCGGCAGACGTTGAGAACAGCCAGTTGGAACCCAAGTCGATTCCTAAGGATACCGAGATGCAGATTGCAGACGTTACCACTGCTAAACCTCGGCGGTCCAGACGACGCAGACGGGTCAGGAAGCCTGGGCATGTCAGAAAGGCCATTCGGGCCAATCGTCTCCGTGAGGGTGCAGAACGGCAACCGGTGGATTCATACTACTCTAGACGGCAGTGGAGGGTGAAGATGAACCGTGTCAACACAGACAGTGCAAACAGGAGAGTCCTGGTGAGGCGTTGAGGTATTCGAGATGTTATTCTTATCCACAGTCACCATGTCTTTTGGCTTCTGAATTTCCACAGGATTTGTTTGTTTAACGACGAGTATGCTGTATACTTAACTAGAATAGAGGCCAGGTCAGGCATCCAATGATATTCAATCATGCTTTAGACAGGACTGGTAGTAATATCAAAAACTGAATACATGCTTTGTGTATACTAGTATGAACAAATAGATACAGTTCCGTGTATATGTACTATCGTATAACAGGCTATTATATACCTATTTATATAGGATCATGATGCGCGGGCGCTATCTTAGGCAGATCTACGGCACCCGCAAGATCAGACTCCATCCGCAGCTCCTGGACGACCTTGATGCCCTCGAGTTCCGGGTGCTCTACGTTTTCCTGCCCGACGACACTAGCAGCGTAACCGCTCTGACCCTGGTAGATGCTCCAGTTTGGATCGTAGGCGCCGAGACCCCTGTGGACGGAGCGTTTGCCGCGCGGGCGCGACGAGCCGGGGAAGTGGCGCGAGCCGAAGCGGGTGAGGAGGGGATACAGGGCTGGTAGGCAGGAGCAGAGGATGGCGACGTTGGCTTCTATATTTGACCAGGCGGCGACGGGGGCGTTGTTTTCTGACCATTAGTATTTCCTTTAAAGAAAAGAATTCAAGAGGGGGGAGAGAGTACTTGAGATATCGGGAGTGTTGATTAGGTTGCGCATGACGACTACTCGTACGGCACTTGTCACGCATACACTGTGTAGTAGTTAGCATTGCATATGAGTGTGCTCGAAGGTATACTCCGTATATAGAAAGGATAAGGGAAAATACAAAAATCCGATGCTGAACATAGACATGACAGCGAGCTTCTGCTTGAAGGGCATGTGGGTGACGCTCAACAGCGGCATGGGGAGCAAGAAGATGACCAGGTCGGTGACGATGTTCATGGAGGCGTTAAAGAACCAGACCTCCTTCTGCGGCAGACAGGAGGGATGGCGAATGGTCTGGTCCCAGAAGGCGTGGACGGGGTTGCAGAAGAAGAACGCGCCGACGACCGCCCACAGCCCGAAGAGAATCAACACGCCCATCACGGCGTGCGTGGAGATGACGAACCATCGCTGCGGGAAGAGACGGAGGTAGAGCAGGCATATCGACAGTTTGGTCAGCACCAGGCTGAAGTTGTATATCGCGATGGTAAGCCAGAGGGCCTAAACAGATCAATCAGAATCCCTGCCCCCCAAAAAATACGGTTTTATATTATAAGGTCAGTAATACTCTTAGTTGCTTCCTGAGGTGGTCTGGGGGAAGCGTCGCCTTCGGTTGACCGAGCCCATAGTGGATTTCTACCATCAGCGAGGCATAAAATACCATGCTCATAATCTGCTAGTCAGCTCTCTCTCTCTCTCTCTCTCTCTGTATCTCTCTATATGGAAAATCCTTACCATCGCCATGACGATTGCACAATCGTCCCATCCTGGTGACCTGGTGACCCGGAAGCGCGTGTACAGACGTAGTCCGACAGCGATGAGCGAGAGGGCTGTGAATACCGTCGAGATGGCCAGGACCTGCATCGTCACTTGGAGGCATCCATTTCGACATTTGAATCAATTGACTGGAAGATGAGCAGAGATGGGAGTTGGAGTGAGGTTAGGCTATATCTGACCGAGGGGACGTTCCATTCTTGCCTAATCCGGCCGTTTCAATGGTCTCATCCGATGACTTGGCCATAATTCAGCCATAATTTAGCCCTGTGGGACACGAGGGAGCCCGTCGTTATCCTTGTAGGACCCTGGGAGACCCTGGGAGACCCTGGGAGAGGCTGGGGTAAGAGGCAGAGAGAATGACGTCACCACTCCAAACTCTAAAAGAACTCTCTTTCTACAAAATCATTTCTGTAAGCTTGTTATGCCCAATAATCTTGATATATACTATCCAAGCAGGCCCTCCAGAGGAGCTGTCCTCTGAATCCCAAACTAGATATAGAGCAAAAATTTCAAATGTGTACACATTAGTGCAAAAACATGGTTCTGGACTGTACAAAAAAAAATGGTTATGCAGGGATATCGCTATGGTTAGAGCGATGCGCTCTCAGCCGTCTTTTAACATGTAATCGGGTATGGAGCGAGGACGACCTGGTTTGCTCAAGGTGGGAAAGAGGAAGAGGAAATCGTCGCCGTGTTTTTTTTTTTTTTTGGTGGGTTTATTTATATGATGAGGTTGTCGGAATTTACAGCTTGGCGGCGGCAAGGTTGGACTTGAGGCGCGCCTCGACGGCAGCCAGGTACTCCTTGGTGGTGACCCAGGCCTCACGGTCCTTGCGGCCACAGGCCAGGGCAAGATCCTTGGTCATGATGCCCTCGTCGTTGACGACCTCAATGCAGGCACGCTCGAGCTCCTCGGCGAAGGTGACGACGTCGGGGGTCTCGTCGACCTTGCCACGCTGGACAAGACCACGAGTCCAGGCGAAGATGGAGGCAATGGGGTTGGTCGAGGTCTCGCGGCCCTTCTGGTGCTCGCGGTAGTGGCGGGTCACGGTGCCGTGGGCGGCCTCGGACTCGAAAGCCGACCCGTCGGGGGTGGCCAGGGTCGAGGTCATCAAACCCAGGGAACCGAAGCCCTGAGCGACAATGTCGGACTGAACGTCACCGTCGTAGTCTGAGATGTCAGTTAGTCCTGAGTAAAGAAGAAGAAAGGGAAGATTGAAGAAGGGGTACGCACTCTTAAGAGCCATGACGAAACCACCCTCGCTCTTGATCATCTGGGCGACCATGTCGTCGATCAGACGGTGCTCGTACCAGATGTTCTTGGCCTCAAACTCCTTGCGGTACTCGTTCTCGTAGATCTCCTGGAAGATGTCCTTGAAGCGACCATCGTACTTCTTCAGGATGGTGTTCTTGGTGCTCATGTACAGGGGCAGACCCTTGCTCAGGGCCATCTTGAAGCTGGAGTGGGCAAAGCCGGTGATCGAGGCATCGGTGTTGTACTGGGTCTGGGCAACACCGCCAGCCTGGAAGTCGTAGACAGTGACGGTCTCGGGCTCACCGCCGACGGGGGTGTAGACGAGCTCCAGCTTGCCGGGGCCGGGGATCACACGATCGGTGGCACGGTACTGGTCACCGAAGGCGTGACGGCCAATAATGATGGGCTTGGTCCAGCCAGGGACAAGACGGGGGATGCGGGGGATGACGATGGGCTCACGGAAGACAGTACCACCGCTGTAAACATGTCAGTTCAATGCTCTTCAAAGTCCCGACAGACTGGAAGGTATGCGCCACTTACAGGATGTTACGGATGGTGCCGTTGGGCGAGAGCCACACTGGACAAGGTCAACGACGGAAACCGAAGGTGGTGAAAAAACTGCTGAAACTTACTCTTCTTCAGCTTGAACTCCTCCACACGGGCCTCATCGGGAGTGATGGTGGCGCACTTGACACCAACACCGTACTTCTTGATAGCCTCGGCGGCCTCAACGGTAACCTTGTCATCGGTCTGGTCACGGTACTCGATGCCCTGATGAAATATGTCAACTATCATTCTCGTTTCCCTTGTCACCAGCTGATTCCTACCAGATCGTAGTACTTGAGGTCAATGTCAAGGTAACTATTGTATCGGTTTAGTTGAGAGATTCCGGCTGGTTGACGATCCGAAGCACTTACGGGAGGATCAACTATTGGAGGGAGAAACCCGTCAGTAACGAGGAAATCACAAGCATCGAGGGACCAAACTTACTTTCTCTCTGATCTCCTGCCAGATGATTCTGGTCATCTACATAGCCGAGGAAACTCGTTAGCCACATGTTCCAAAAAAGCAAACAGAGATTCTAGACGATTGCCCGCCTTGCAGATCTTGTGCCGAGGTTGACCTGGGCCCGCGATACTGCATATATAGTTGAGGACGACCTCCACGAAGCGCGGCAACAGAAACTTGGATCAATTTGCATCAGGGATTACCCTACCTCATCACCGTCCAGTTCGACGACTGGGTTCTTGACCTTGATCTTCTGAGCAGTAGCCATTGTGCGGGTAGAGGCGATATTCAGCGATGTCACACCGGACCAGCGGGAGGAAGCAGAGCGAGTAGAGTAGTTGATGAGCGAGGAGCGAGCAGCAGCAGGACGAGCAGCAGCAGCAGCAGAAGAAGAAGCGATCGAACGTGAAGAATAAGAAGCAGCGGCGGAGGGGAAGCGACGAGACGAAGAAGAGAGGAGGGGCGCGGAGAGAGGGGTAGTAGAAGTCGCAGCAGCAGCAAGGCGCGCCGAAGCGGAGCTAGACCGGAGGGCGATCATGGTGAATTCTCGGACGATTCTCGTCGGGAGTTCAGTATGGAACGAAGCAGAAAAAAAAAATAACACAAAAGCAACCAGTAGGCGCAGAGGGAAAAGTCACCTACTCCTGTTTCGAGAGTACCCGAGGGAATTACGGCGGCGAAGGGGCTCGGCTGGAAGGAGAACAGTGGAGAGTACCTCACTAGATAGCCGGAACAATGTCTGGCGGTTGGTCTGGGGCAGCAGGCAGCGAACGGGGCAGAACGGACCGCCGGAAAATGTCTTTTGACGGCTTGGAGAGGGGGGGGGGTGGGAATGGAGGCTTGTTCTTGAATTCAGGTCGTGAGGCACTCACTTCCAGGGATTCGCGCCATGAAATACAGCAGGAAAAAGCCTTGCCCGGGGAGCTTGTGCTCTTCTCCCCCTGTTGGGCCGGCCCCAAGCGCCGAAGCCGGCGTCTTTCCCCGCCGTCGGAGATCCACTACTATTCAGTAGGTATTGGGTGTATGTTGTAGTAGTGGTAGTGGTAGTAGTAGTAGTGGTAGTAGTAGTAGTAGTAGTAGTAGTACGATGTAGAAGTAGGGAAAAGTGAATTCTATTCTATAACTACAAGTATGTAGTGTTGTAGTCACTACAGTACTTCAGTAATGGTCGCTTGCTTCGGGTAACGTAATTCCTCCGTATGCGGCGATCGTCCGTTGGCGGAGTAACTACTTGTGTACAGCAAGGGCCAAAATAATATAACTATACGGAGTACTTCGTAGTGCTCCGTAGAAGAATAGATGAATTTGAAGAAAACCATGGCTCTCTAGCCGTTCGTAGATCGTGTTGAATGCGCTGTTCCTCTCGAAGACGCCCCAATATACCCATGCATGTATGTGTTGAAATCAAACCTGCGTTTGGCTCTGAATTCTAGATTTGCCAGGCGAAGGTTGTTGAAAAAAAAAAAAAAATTAGAAAAGACCGTCGATATCTCCAGTCTCCGTGTCAATGTCGACGTTGAGGTAGCCTGGGGCAGTGGGCAGGCCCGGGATGGTCTGGATGTCCGCCGCAAGAGCGTAGAGATATCCACCGCCGACGGCCAGGCGGACATCGCGAATGGGCACGGTGAAGCCGGTTGGGGCGCCCTTGAGGGCCGGGTCATGACTCAGCGAGTACTGCGTCTTGGCGACGCAGATGGGCAGATGGCCGAAACCCTGCTGGGTGTACGTGTCCACCTTCTTCTGCGCCAGTTCGCTGAACTCCACCTTGGCCGCCCCGTACATGAGCTTGCCGATGCGCTCGATGCGCCCCTGCACACTACCCTCCAGCTCATACAAGAATTTGAACTCCTTGGGCTTCGAGCTGGCGGCAAGCACCCCCTTGGCCAGATCGACCGCGCCCGCGCCGCCCTCGGCCCAGTGGTTCGCCAGGATCGCGTCCTCGGCGCCCGCCGCAATGGCTTCCTCCCGGATCACCGCGATCTCGGCCTCCGTGTCGGTCGCGAACTTGTTGATCGCGACCACCACCGGCACGCCGTACTGCTTCGCGTTCTGGATGTGCTTCCGCAGGTTCACGCATCCCTGGCGGAGGATCTCCACATTCTCCGTGCGGTAGACCTCGGGCAGCGCTGCGCCGGGACTGATCTCCGGCCCACCTCCGTGCACCTTGAGCGCACGAACGGTCGCCACAATGACCACGGTGTCGGGAACAAGGCCCGAGGATCGGCACTTGATGTTGAAGAATCGCTCCCCACCCATGGTGAAGTCGAATCCGGCCTCGGTGACCACGAAGCCTGTCTTGGCGTCATGGTCCTCCTCGGGTTCCGTACCAGCAAGCTTCAGGGCAAGCTTATCGGCAAGCACGGAGCTCGCGCCAATCGAGATGTTGGCAAAGGGTCCTGCATGCACCAACACGGGCGTTCCCTCCAGACTCTGCATGAGGTTGGGCTTGATCGCGTCCTTCATAAGAGCCGCGAGGGCACCCCCGGCACCAATGTCATCGCAAGTCACGGGATCGCCGCGCCGGGACGTGGCGACAACCATCCGGCCAAGTCTCTCCCGCATATCCTCCAGACTGTTGCTGAGAGCAAGAATGGCCATACATTCGCTGGCAACGGAGATATCGAAGCCGGTGTCGCGGGTGTGGCCCTTCTCGGTAGGCGCCTGTCCCACGGTGATACCACGAAGGTGTCGGTCATTCACATCCAGCACACGGCGCCAGGTGATGGTCTCCGGGTCAATGTCCAGTCTCGCGAACCGGTTGATCTCTTCGGGGGTCAGCTCGTTGGGGTCGGTCTTGGTGATGCCGAGTTTCTTCAATCTCCGGAACATGATCGGCTTGAACTCGCGTTTGCCATTCTTCTCCGGCACTAGTCGCTTGTATAGAGGTCCGTCCTTCTGGGTCGACTCGTGGAACATGCGGGTTTCGATGGCGGCGGCAAGAAGGTTGTTCGCCGCAGTGATCGCATGAATATCCCCGGTCAGATGCAGGTTGAACTCGTCCATAGGGATGACCTGGCTGTAACCACCTCCAGCGGCACCTCCCTTGATACCAAAGGTGGGACCCTGACTGGGCTGCCTGACGTTGGCAAAGACAATTCTGTTCAAGTGGGCTCCAAGAGCCTGGCTGAGACCCAGAGTGGTCGTAGACTTGCCCTCGCCGAGAGGCGTGGGAGTGATACCGCACACGAGGATATACCTTCCGTTGCGGCGGTGAGACAGCCTGTCCAACACCTCAAGGCTGACCTTGGCTTTGGTATGGCCATAGGGCTCTAATTCGTGAGGGGCAATGCCAATCTCCGAGGCAATCTGCGTGATGGGTTTGGGGTGCTGAGCCCGGGAAATGGCAATATCAGAGGGCACAGGCTCAACCAGCTTGAGAGGCAGAGGAACAACATGACGGTCCTTCTGTTTCTTGAAGTAGGCCTTGGCAGAGTTGACCACGTTCTTTAGCAGCATCGCCACAGTCATGGGGCCGACACCGCCGGGGACTGGGGTGATCTGAGAAGCCACCTGGGCAGCACTCTCGAATTCGACATCGCCGACAAGTTTCTGGCCCGACTTCTTGGTAGCATCCGGCTTGTAGTTGATTCCGACGTCGATGACCACGGCCCCGGGCTTCAGCCAATCACCGTGGACGAACTCGGTTTTGCCGATAGCGGCGACAACAATGTCTGCGGACTTGATAAGACGTGGCAGATCGGGTGTCTTGGAGTGGCAGACGGTGACTGTAGCGTCGGCATTCTTGAGCAGGTAACTGACGGGGCTTCCGACGATATCGCTGCGTCCGAGGACAACTGCCTCCTTTCCCGCGGGATCCACCCCACTTACCCGGAGAAGCTCCATCACGGCCTGAGGGGTACAAGGAACGAACAGGGGGTGACCACCCCTCTTTGCCAGCTCACCGATGTTTACGGCACCGAAGCCATCGACATCCTTCTCGTCAGCCACCGCGGAAGTGACTGCATGCTCAGACATGTGACTAGGGAGAGGGAGCTGGACGAGAATGCCGTGCACAGAGGGGTCATTGTTGGCCTTGGTCACTTCCTGGATGACCTCGAGTTCGGTGCTGGTCTCGGGGAAGTTGACGATCTTGCAGGAAATGCCGGCCTAATGAAAATTCTGTTAATTTGGAATCTTCAACCCGTATAGTGTCAAAAAAAAACCGTACTTCTTCGGCAGCCTTCAGCTTCATGCGCACATAAGTGCCTGCAACTGTTAGCAAGCCCGCCGTTACAGGGCACCAGCAATCAAAAGGTCGAGCTCACTCGAATCAGATCTACTTCCGACTAGATAAATCACCATATGTTAGTGTGAAGCTCTTGAGACACCGCCCAGTATCGTAGCACAAGAAACCTACTTTGAAAAATCACCAGGCTCGGCTTGAACCTAGGGTTTGACTCCTGGATCTTCAAGATCTCCAGGCGCAGATTCTCCCGAATGTCTTTGGCAATGACAGTGCCATTGATATTGGAAGCCACCATGGCGACGCTTGTCGTGGAAAATTCTCGCGGAATCGACAATGCACTCGTATGACGAAGGGAAACGCTACCAGACAATGGGATACGGCGGCCGAGGGAACTCACCCTGCGTCGAAAGCAGGCGCTCTGAAGCTTCTTCAACGGCGTTGACGGGGAAGAGAAAGAACAGAAGGCGGGACGTGAACAATATCGGTGACTACCAAGATAAGGATTTGCTGCACCACGGAGGGGTAGCGCCGCAGCTGAGCGGGCGGGGGCAGACGGCATCAAGTTTGAACAGCCTTTAGGTAGAGTTCTAGGATTCGGGATGCAGCTGATTCGCCGTCGGCCTGGGCAAACTCCTCGCCCAGATTGGTTGGAAGATTTCGATTTCTATGCCTGAGTAGAAAACCCCCTTCCCTACACCATATAAAAGTCACCTTCTGTCGACTTTTTTCGGGTTGTTCTCCTTGGCACTCTGAAAACTGAAGCCGGACCAGTCACGGGCCGGGATCGGAGAGAGATTTAGCCTGCCCGTTGTAGTAACTGTCTAGGGCTAGGGTCTTGAGTATCACGGGACCTGCTGATCTAAGCTGATACCGGACTTTCTCTCGGACCGGTACGGAAATGCTGTATGTACCTGTAAGTGTAAGTCTTGGCGCGCTTGCGGACTGTGCGATGAAATTCAACACTAGTTCAGTTGTCGACGCCGACGAAAGAGTGCCGCCAGACCTCCCCCCCCCACCAAACTCTCCGCCTGGGCTACGACTTGTGGACGCAAATACAGTCACAGTTGCATCCTGTGACATTCTTCGGAACGCCTTTCTTTCTGCTCTCTCCCAAGCGCCACATACTGGTCGGCCCCCGATGCGGCCTATCTTGCTTTCGGGCCATGTGCGTTAGCCTCCTCCAGCGGACATGGGAAGATTTTTGTTTCCTGCCGCCTCCCCCCGGCGGGTTTTGAGTACTGACGCGGGTTTTTTTTCTTTCTTCTTGTCGCAGGAACGGTCCCTGACTCAGATCAAATTCAACCACGATGGCGATCTCTTGTTCTCCGTCTCCAAGGATAAGGTTGTGTGCGCCTGGTGGTCTGCCAACGGCGAGCGACTAGGCACTTATGCGGGCCACCTGGGTGCGGTCTGGACGGTGGATGTTAGCCCCAACACAGTTCTCCTAGCGACCGGTTCGGCAGACAACACTGTGCGGTTATGGAACGTCAAGTCCGGCGAGTGCGTGAAGGTCTGGGAGTTCCCGACAGCCGTCAAGCGGGTCGAGTTTTCGCCGGATGGGAGCCAGCTGCTGGCGGTGACGGAGAAGCGGATGGGCTTCCTGGGCTCCATTGTGGTCCTCGATATCAGCTATGGCGAGGGCGAGAATGCAGGCTTTGAGGCCCAGTCCGAGGAGCCCCGCCTGAGGATCACCTGCGAGGAGAGCAAGGCAACGGTTGCCGGCTGGAGTTATCTGGGCAAATACATCATCGCTGCTCACGAAGACGGCAGCGTCAGCCAATATGATGCCAAGGTGAGATGAGGGTGTTTTTCCAGAAGAGATGGTTTCTACAGTGTACTAACCACGCACAGGACGGAGAGCAAATTAAGAACGTTCAGGCCCACGAGTTCGACCACCAGATCAACGACATTCAGTTCTCCGCTGACCGGACATACTTCATCACTGCCTCCAAGGACAAGTCTGCAAAGGTATGTTTAGTGACTTGGTACTCAACCCCCGAGTCATCGCTAACATCTTTCAGCTCATCTCCTGCCGCAACCTCGCCATCCTTAAAACCTACGTCGCCGATACTCCCCTGAACAGCGCCAGCATCACTAGCAAGAAGGACTACGTTATTCTGGGTGGTGGCCAGGCTGCCATGGACGTCACGACCACCTCGGCCCGCCAGGGTAAATTCGAGGCTCGTTTCTACCACAAGGTTTTCGAGGACGAGATCGGCCGTGTGCGTGGTCACTTCGGTCCCCTCAACACCATCGATGTCCACCCGGCCGGCACGGCATACGCCTCTGGTGGTGAGGACGGGTACGTCCGCATCCACCATTTCGACAAGCCCTACTTTGATTTCATGTACGAGGTCGAGAGAGAGCAGATGAAGAAATAAATGAGACCAAAACAAGAAAAGAAGAAAAAATAATGATCAACGAGAAACCTTTTTTCTAGAATCAAATCGAGCATTCTCTGTATGTGTTACGAGGCGAAGACTTCCGCAAGAAGGAAAAGAAAGAAAGAAAGACCGTTTCAAAAGAAAGGAGAAGAGGGTCGGGGTTTCTCAAACAAAGGGAAAACTCGACGCAGGGGGGTTTCGATTTCGAATTTCATTTTCTACATGATAAATAGGAGTTGGCATCACATTCTGTTTCTGTTATCTTTCTCCCTTTTTTTTCATCTTATATCTACTGTCCTCCACCCTTGCTATTTAGGTAGTATTATGTCGACTAAAGGCGACTGGACTGGTCGAGCACCAATACTACTTTCTCTACACCTATCGGTATAAAGCGTAGACAAGGACTTGCTTTAGAGGTCTATTGACGAGTACCAGGTAAGAATATCATGGTATTCTAGCATCTAATCTATGCATTAGCAATAGCAGATATCTCCTAGGTGTATTCTATTGTTTTCGAAGTCTTTAAATGCAGATCGAAAAACGCAGAACCCATCATTCAGCCCCTTTGTAGGCTCACAAAACCAGCCGTTCCGAGTTCTGGTATGTGTAAGTCAATAATCCCAATGCCCCGGTCAGCGCTCTTCTGACCAACCAACCCATGCAAGAGACGGGGAATAAGAATTTCAAAGAAGGGAAAAAAAAAAAAAAGCACAAAGTAGCCGTCGTCGTCAAAACCGTGAAGGGATTCGCAAAAGATAAAACCCGAGACAAAAGAAACCGGAAAGCGAACAACATCTCGTTTCTCCCCGAAAGAAAAAGTCGCGGGCTCACCCCCGAACAATAATTTACTTTTTCTTGGGGAACTTCTCCGCCCCAATATCGGACCCTCTCAGTTTGACGTTCAGCACACGCTCCATGGCGCTGAGAACCTTCTGGTCCGGCGTGGCGGTGCCGGCCTCAAAGGCCTGGACGATCGAAACAGTCGTGTTGCACTTGGTGGCGAGATCCTTCTGCGACATCTTGACTCCCTCCGCGTTACGGCGGCGCTTGATGGCGTCCGCAACGGCGGTGCCGACGGTCTTGGGCTTGACGATATCATCGCTCCGGTCGACCTTGGTCAGGTGTTGGCCCTCCATGGTGCCCGCACGGCCAGCCTAAAAACATTAGTTATGACGTTTAAAATGACGCGTAGGTAAAACGCCTGGATTCTAGTTATGGACGTACAGCATTGCCAGTGGCGTACTTCTTCTCCGTGCCGACGACCAAACCCTGACGCTGGGCCGCGTTCAGGGCACTCTTGCCCTTGACGACGGTCTCGCGGGAAACACCGCCACCACCGGTGTGCTTGGTGCCGATACGAGTGACGTTATCCCAGTCAGACATTGTGAATTATGGTTCCTTTTGCGGTAAGAAATCGAGGGGCGAGATGTCCAAGGCGGGGTATCGGATCGCACTCGTGGGATGCGTTTTAATGTCGTGGACGGTAAAAAGATGTGATTGGTCGGGGAAAGCTCGTAGATGATGGAGACGGGGGGGGGGGTTGTGATATAATGTGTTTTTCCTGCAATGAGGTATGCTGAAGCGAAGTGAGCCCGTTGAGACGACAACGAATTTATATGAACGACACAGAAGCTTCTCGAGCCCGGCACGGCGGAGTTGGGGAGTCATGCACTAGTCCGTGTTTGGTTTAGGGCTCATACAGATTGAATGCAGAGGCGAAAAAGCGATCTTGTCTGAGTAATACTCCATGCCGAATAGTATTAAGGGTGGCAAGATATCTGATGAAATAGAGTATCTTCTATAGAGTATCTTTTGATTTACAGTCCACTGTCGCCAATATAACCAATGGTTGCTGAGTACTGAATGTAAATCACTAAATAGTGACCAATGACTATGTGAATGTGTCACGTGAGCACTTACTAGAGTAGAAGAGGTACAGTACCTTGTGTAGATAGTTTATTAGTACCTGGGTTAGTGTACAGAGTAGGTAGTTGGGATCAATGTAGCCAGAGGGATCAAGCAGTGTGTTCGGGCACCTAAAAAGGTCTAGCCAGGATAAATTTGGATTGTTATCGATAGCCAAGGCAGTAAGGAACTACATACATTTGATCGTCTAACTTGGCAGTCATACCACGCAACTAATATGCAATTAACTTATTTCGGGATCGTATTCAGACCACTAGACTGGTCTAGGGAGACTCTTTGCGGCTGAATACCCAATGAATCCGAAATCTTGGCGTAGGCAGAAGGTACCTAAGTACCTTATAGTTACCTTACTCCGTAGGTACGAGTTACCCCGACTCAGTATGATTTGTCAGGATGGCTGCTTGGCTTCAGAGTCAAGGTTCAAGGAAAGAAAAAAGCCATTGACCGTTGATAAAGCATCTGAGATGTGAGATCTTTCCTATATCAATTTTGTCCTTGTGAAACCGTCGAGTTTAGTCAAGTATCAATGTATTCAGTAGTAATCAATATCAAAGAATCAAGGTGGGTAAATTGTATATAGAATTAAAGTAATGACAGACTCCTCTATAGACTTGTACACATCTCTGGAGTCATCAATGTTATAAGGAAGGACCGTCTAAGTCTTAATCATGTGATCCAGATCTTACTCCGTACAACTCCCGATTGTCCCAAGCAGGACCCGAACAGACAGACCCAAGGGCCAACAGACCCCCGCTCACGCAATCCTACATCATAGGAATGAATCCCTGGGAAATTATTATTAATAATAAAGGGGATTGAAACACTAGAAATGGACAAGAGGCCGTCTGTCCAGACAGGACGCGCAAGAGGAATGAACCACCCAGAGGAGTACCACAGTCTGACTCTCACTAGTTACTTGGTATAACTAACTGCGGTGCCATTCTCTGGTACAACCCAGTCTTCAGGTACAGACTCCATCCAGACTCCATCCAGACTCCAGCGTTCTTCGTCGTACACCTCCGATCATAGTGTGGCGGTGCTTGTGGATACAACCAAGGCGCGGTCGGCAGGACTCTCTCCACCAGCCTAGGAGGATATGTAGTAGTAAATACCAAGCAGGGAATAATTAGTTACTATCTGACGCATTCTTGATAAGATTGCTTGCCCGTCTTTGCGTGTCTCTTGCGTCTGAACTCGCTGGCTGACACGGCAAGAGTCGCAGTCACCCTGGACGGACTACCTAGTAACCACGCCCTAGGTGGTTTCTTTAATTTTTTTTTTAGTGCATGCTGACAGGATTTAATAATCTCTCCTCCCTCTTGACTCTGAGACAGCACCTCCACTCGACATCTTGGCCTAAAAGGGCGGCCGGTTGACAATCCGAGCAATCAGTCACAGCCCGCGGCATCCACGTCTGCATCCCCGTGCTCCTCTAGTCGGGTGTCCTGCCCCCAGTCTCCGTCCCTAAACTACGCTTCCTTCGCTTGTTTTATCCCAACTTCCCCTCTCCGAACCTCCTTCGGCTGAGGATTACAATTTACAATATTGTTATTCTTCTGCTTTTTTTTTTCTTTCCATCGCCGGCTTCTTCGATCCAGTATTTTCTCTCTCTCGATTCAACTCTCAGTGCCGCTGCCGTTCCCTTTGAGATAAACCACCACCTCCCCCCCTCCCCCCTCTCCAATCTTCGTCCGTTGACAACTCGTCATGGCGGCCCAGAACGAGTTCGTGGCTGCGATGACCAACCGGTCGCTCCGTACTATTCAAACGGTTTGTTCATGATGCCCCCCTACACACCTGGAATGAAGACAGACTTGGTTTTCTTGAGCGAGTTCTGATTGTGGTTCGCCTCTAGGAGCTGGAATTTCTTGCAGACAACTCGGTTATCACGCCCCAGCAACTGTCGTCGATCCTCGCTCAGCTACCAGATCATACTCCCCTGCGAGCTGCTCGGTCGCAGGCCGTTCAATCGGCCCAACAGCTGCCAGTTCAGCCCGTGTCGGTGCCATACTCGCCGCCGACCACTCAGTTCGCCAATACCACCCTGAACGAGAAGACTGCGTTACAAGAGGCCTACAACCAGCCTCCCCCTCCTGCATATCAAGTACCCCCGGTTCTGTCGATCGCTACAGCTCTATATGCCTACACACCAACAGATACAGGCGATCTGGCCTTGCAACCACGCGATCGGATCCAAGTACTAGAGCACATGAACAACGACTGTACGTTTCCCCCCCCCCTCCATTGGATTTGGGTATAGCTGATTTTACTTTCTAGGGTGGCGTGGCCGCAATGAACGCACAAACCTAGAGGGTATCTTCCCTCGGAGCTACGTGAATGTCGTCGAGGAGAAGCCCACCATCGTCGCTCCTCAGCCTACGAGCTATGGTAATTTGCCTCTGGAGATCAGCCAGGGCACTTCTACCTCGGGTACCGAAGGAAAAAAGAGCAAATTTGAAGAGCAAGGGAAGAAGTTTGGAAAGAAGATGGGCAACGCTGGTATGTCACAAACCGAGCCCGCTCTCGATCACTTACTCTGCTGACACTGGAATTCATAGCAATCTTCGGCGCTGGTGCAACCATCGGTTCCAACATCGTGAACAGCATCTTCTAGTTGCCTTTTGTTTTTGCTTCCTCCGACCCAAGATGGTCAACACATTCACGACTGGGACTTGGAAATATTCTTGGCCGAACTCCGGCACAATTGGGTTTTGATCTGAGAATTTTCAACTTACTTCTTTTTCTGTTGTTTTGGGAATCGGCGTTCTGGTGGTTGAAACGTACAGACTCCTGTTTCTGTACTTGCTGTTGGATTAAACTGGATTTGCTTGGAAATGCTCGTCGCAGGTCGATGTTTCTCTTTTTCCTTCTCTTTTCCTTTTTTTCCTCCTCGGGGCTTTGATCCTCTTTTGGGCCATTCTTACTATAACTATGGCAGAAGTGCTCTATGTTTAACTTCTGGCATGATTCATCCTTTGAATTACTATCATTAATATGGGACTATCAACATGTCTTTCTTTTCTGCAAGACCAAAACACTCCTATCTTGATTAGATTAGGGCTACAAACTGTTGCAATTCTCCTTTTTTTAGACAGTCCTTTGTCTTTTCATTAGGAAGTTCTATGAAGCGCCCTAGGTATGAGTGCACCCACCTGAAACGTACCCTGGCGGTTATCTAGTACAGTCGCTGCGGTCAGGCAGATCTACTCTTAAGGGAGTTCCAGATAATTTGGTAGTAAGGCTGATTGTTTACTGCATATGTCTACTCCATACTGATTAATTCTAGACAGACAGATAGACCATGAAGCGACTTTTCCCATAGCTGGATATCGCAAGTATCGCCTGGAACACCAAAACATAACTAACAGTCAATGACTCGTACCTCAAGGCAGAATTTTCGCCTTACATACCCCTCCAGCCACCTGCAGCTCTGAAATACGCCGAAGGGGCCAAGTCCCTAGATGGAGCCTGCTAAGCGCCGTTATCCGCAAAGAGATCCACGGCCTCTAGCTTACCAGTCCACAACCAACGCAGAGTTCAACAAGAGATCTATACGGAGTATACAGTCTATAAAAAATAAAGTTTTATTCCAAATGCCCCATCGGAAGATACCACACAAGGCAGATCCAACATTTGCTTTCCATGTATAGCAGCCGAGCTAACACCGGTGCCCCCTTGTCTCTGACGACGGGCCAATGATGTCTCTAATAGAAACCAAATCGCTAGCTCTGCTTGCAGGCTGAGCAGCGACAAGGCTATGGAATGGAGCTGCTGTCGGCCTGTTATAAAGTCGGTGCGTGTCTAACATGCAGACATTTTGTGGATTATTTCGACTGTGGGCTTTTCCTTATAAGTTCTATCTTATTCATATATATATATATATATATATACACATCTGCTGCTCTCAAGACTCTTTGAAAAGAGGTCCGCAGCGGAGAGAGAGATATGTACTCAATTTTACCGTTCCTCCTACTCGTCTTGATACCCGTTGTGGAAGCTGAAAACTGGGGCAACTTCGAGAACAATCTTGCCTCAGATATAGTGGGTTTCCTCAATACCTTTGCAAGGGGAACAAAAGCCGTACTGATGAAAAGATAGGCACCCCTGGTGAGTCTCTTCGGCGACGAACTCTCCAAGCAGTTCCTTTCAGAGTCGATCAGCGTGCTCGACAACATCATCTTCGCGCTCGCCCCGCTGGGAATCCTCACGGCCGTGGTGTCTGCGATCCGCGTGTGTGGGAACTCGTCCATCAAAGCCTTTGTGGGTCGCGCGTCCGAAGGGCCCGGCGAAGTCGAGCACGAGCTGCTCTCGTGCGTGTCCGAGACCACCGCCGAGGTCTTCAACAATGCAGGCATTTCCCGGGTCTCCGGAAGCCCCCAGATCTTGGAGATCGTGACCTGGGAGGAGGAGGACCCTAACTTGCATGAAAAGTCCCGCCGGATCGGGACCCTGCGCGAGGCCCTGCAGTGCAAGGCCTGGGGTGCTAATAGGCAGGACCTCTCCTTTGAACACGAGGACTTTCCTGAACTGGATATCCCGAATCTGTCGTTGAACAAGGGTATCAGGACGAAGAGCAAGCTCTGGTTCGCTCTCGCCTTTGTCTTAGGCTGTATTTTGCAAGGGGGTACGCAAGGACTACTACTCTCGAATCTGATTCTGGTTGATAAGAGTATGCTAACGAAGTCAAGGATTGATTATATATGCGGCAATTACTGTTTTTGTATACCCTCAACTGTTTTTACAGGATGGAAGTCCTGTTCCTAGCTACGCCTTCACGCTGTTCCTCGTCGGGACTGTCTTTCTGTTCGCGGGCATGTTTTCGTGCGCTTTCATCATCGAGCGTGCATCGAAAGAGCTGTTTTTTCATCCCAAACAGCCTAGCAAGGTTTACTGGTTACAGCCGGGTCGCCAGAAAGTCGGGGACCAAGTGTTTGGCCCATTCCTGGCAGTTGATCAAGGACCCAAGGCCCAGCCTACCAAGGACCTGGTATATATCAAATCAAAGCCGAATCGTGGCTTCCGTGTCAGCCCTCCACAGCTGATTTTCATCGTCTTTATCACCATGGTGGGCTTTATTGCCCAGTTTCTCGGCCTGAGGCGCCTGCATGCGTCGGTCAGTTTGACTCAACTCGCTGCCACGCTTCTCATGTCTCTAGTGCGCACGGGGCTTCGAACTGATAGAATCTCCCAAGACGAAAATGAAATGGTCGTGAAAGACAGAGCCCTCACATCCCACTATCAGCAGGAGTTGGACTGTTTCGCATTCTACCTCGACGATGTACAGTCTCTCTCGCTTCTTTGCAACCTCGCGGAGTCGGCGAACGGATCGACACCAGCCCAGTCTATTGCGTCTTCCGCATCTTCTGCATTGTCCATGCGATCAGGCACCAGCTCGATCCGCAGTAATTCCCAGCTACCGAGCAATCTCATTCAAACCAGGGCCCGCCTAGCCGAACTCACGTCGCAATCACGCAAAGGGGAAGAGGGTGGATGGAGTGATCTGCCCATACGCAAGATGGCTCGGAACCTGGCACAAACAATCGAAACCACGATGGATCTGCTATCAAGCTGGAAAAATAAGCATGACGACACCGCTACCTTCAACTTGACATTACTATGTCAACCCGGGGATTGCAGGTCCGCGGCGCCCTCGGTTCAAAACCACCCGGTCGAACTCAGGAGATCAGGCGATACCCTGCGCTGGAAGATTGATCCCAACCAGCTAGAGGCAATCTTGGGATTGTGGGTGTGGTCTCTGATCAAGTCCGACGAAACATGGCTGCAGGGTGACCTGTGCCGTCTGGTCGGGCTGACTGAAGCAAATGCAAGCAAGGAGGAAACAGATCTATACTTCCACAAATGGATCTTCCGGCAGACAGAAGCGCGGATGGTCGCATCGAATAAGTTCTCGCCTTCTCATCCCATGTTTCGCTTGTTTCCGAACGATTCTCAGCAGATGAAAGTGCTTGTGGTCAAAACGGAGAATACTCTCGAAAAAATGGCTGCACAGGATATATATATCCATTTCCTCAATGATGCCATCGCTGGACTTGAAGAACTTGGCGGTGAGACCAATATCCAGCAGCTAACAAACACCTCTTTCTGTGCCTCAAACAATCGCATTGACGAAGTGCTGAAATGTTTCGAGACGAGCGGTCTCGGCTCAAGAGAAGATGCTCTGTTATGTATCATGCCAGTTTTGAAGAGACATAATCTTTTACCAGAACTTGCTGCCGATTCTCCAAATTTCCGACGCCTGGTGGAGGGCTATATTCAGCAAGGAAAGTGGCCAGATGCCTTTGGAGCCATGCGGTGGCTTAGTGCATGCTGCCAAGGCGATGAATTTGAACGATCCATATCTGAGTTTGGTTACCTTTGCCGTCGTGCTCTCATTCATCCAGAGTCTGCTGTTCGCCAGATAGGATTTACAGAAGTATGCCGAATTCTGGGTTCTGACATTCGCATCAACTTCATGCAAGACGCACCGATGATCTCTCGACCCCGGGACTGGATACGCTTGAAAGAGGAGAAGAGCTGGAAACTTTTCCAAACCGACATCGGCTGGCTTACTTGGCACATTTGCAATAAACTGGTGGATGGCAAAGCCAAACAACAGGCCTTGGAGCTATTGGGTGCTTCAGAGAGCTCAGTAGTTGCAGGAGTGCTTGAAGGAAGCCAGGAGCAAGCGGATCTAGCAAAGTCCGCTTTCATTCAATTGATGACCAATAAGCCACAAGAAATCGACGATCTAGACTCTGTTGCAGAGTTGACGTTTACTTGGGCATGCCAGGATGACCACGAGTTCTTGCTAAATTGGCTCCTGACATTCTTCATCGAAAAAGGGGACAAGGACTGGAATTCTTTATATCCGTTACTTCTGATGGTAGCTCGAAGCTCCACGAGATCGAGTATCCGGCTAATGGTGAGCCATGGGATGGATATCAACATGAATGATACAAATGAAGGAACGGCCTTGACTCAAATGGTTCATGAGAATAAGAAAGACGCCATCCTCAACCTACTCGCTAATGGTGCTAGTATCGACGGCGGAGCGTGGCGGGGAGTGACACCACTAATGAACGCAGCCAGTGAGGGAAACCAAGAAATGGTCCAGTTCGTTTTACAGTGCGGGGCCTCGATCAACGCAAAGGACCGGCTCGGTCTGACTGCTCTTTTCTGGGCCACCTGGATGAATCATCCCGAGGTGGTGAAATATCTTCTCGCTTCTGGGGCGGATGTTGAGGCGACAGAAGTCGATGGATTCACACCACTCGCACTGGCGGCTAAAAACGACCAACTCGATATGATGCTTCTGCTGTTGCAGAACGGCGCAAATATCAACTGTCAGATCGATGACGGTTCTACACCGCTGATCATTGCGGTGCGAGAAAACCGTCCCGAGGCAGTAAAGTTGCTCATAGATTGGGGTGCCGACTGCCAAAAAAGGAACCGGAACAATGAAACAGCATTAAGCTTAGCACAGCTGTCAGAAAAGCACAGTATCGAAGCGATTATCAAGGAGAAATGTCATAGCTGATTTTGCGCTGCTGGTAGTGTTGGACGACCTGCGTTCTTAGATCATTGAGGCAGGGTTTCAATCATATGTATCATACAAAATATAAAGCAAAATGATAAATACCTTCTATTCGACCCATTATGTACTTCCAAGCTCCCACTATCTGACAAGGATGTGTGCGAACGGATTGTCAGGAAGTCAAGCTATCTCATCTATCTATATCTCGCAGGCTGTTGACTGCAATTATGTAGGGAAAGTGGCATTGCCAACCAACCATCGACGCAGCAACCCAAGGTTTGATAAAAAAAAGTGTACTTATGGAGTATCAAATAGAAACTTCTATGCCTTACTGGGTACCTACTAGTAGGTACAGTACTCCGTGCCTGTTTTGTGGAATATTACTACATAAATCGAGGAGAGCTGTGCTGCCAATGAGAGACTTGCCCTCCCTGCTCAACCTCACCTCTAAGCGCCTGCCTCCACCACTAAAGACTAGGCACTGCAGTCTAGAGTTGCTGACTTGCCCCTCGGTTGTGCCAGCTACTGCAGTTAAATTGACTGGCCATCCCATTTATTTTGCTTCCAAGATGTACAGAGGTTATTTAATCATCTCCCGCCAGCCTTTCTTTCGGCCGCTGTCAGGCGTTTTTGTGCCACCTTAATCCTCTCATTCAGACGAGAACGCAGGCGTTCGACGTGAAACTAGCAACGATCCGTCAATAAAATAGATTATTTCGAATCGATTCACTTCGTCAAAGTTATGGCCCAGCAGATGCATTTCCCCCCTCGTGTGTTCCCCAGATCCAATTGCTTTGACATCAATTGAAGCGATATACTAACCATGGGCAGCCCCGGGCAGCGCAGGTGGTATTGATCCCTGAATATAAACGCTCTCCACAGTAATAGAGCTATACTTACTGATTCTCTGCTATTAGCTTTCCCACCTCCACCACAGAACTTCAGCTATCCTCCCCCGCCAACACAATTTGTTCCGAACAATGGATACCCTGCGCTACCACCCTCTGTGAGCCCGCCCACAATTGCGGACATCAATGCCGCAGCATCACAGGCGAACAACGAGGTATCTTCTATTCTATCTGCTTCTCCACCGCCGAAAACATTGGAGCAGACGCCGGGTGGCGCGCCGCCGCTTGGTTCTTTCATTGGAGCAACCAATACATATGCGGACAATGTTGGCCAATTCAATGGCGGAGCGTACAGAATCAGCCATCGGAATACGAATTCGCTTCTAACCGTTCAGTTGGCCATGGGATGCCCTTTGGTTGTTAAACCAGGTCGGTATGATTCGAAGTAAACCTTTGGACTGTGTCATTGACGTCTCTCCCCGTCAGGTGCGATGATTGCAATGTCTCCCACCATCACGGTCCGGGGAACTTGGAAGTTTAATGTCAAGAAATTCGTCACCGGAGGGGAAATGGCTATATCTACCTTCACTGGTCCTGGTGAACTGCTACTCGCCCCCGGGGTTCTCGGTGATATTACAGTACTGCGCCTGAATGGACAAGATTCATGGAAAGTCGGCAAAGATTCCTTCTTAGCTGCAACGAGTGGCATCAAAAAGGATTACAAAAGCCAGACTATATCCAAGGCATTTTTCTCTGGTGAAGGCCTTTTCGTTTACGAAATGTCTGGAGTTGGGCTTATATGGCTCCAAAGTTTTGGAGCGATAATCAAAAAAGATGTAAGTTGGGACATTGTTTTTCATTACCGGCGTTTGAGCTGAACCTTTTCTCTAGCTTATCGAGGGAGAGACTTACTACATTGACAACGGCCACTTGGTGGCTTGGAACTGCGAATATATCATGGAACGCGTCGCCTCTGGAGGTATTATCTCCCATTTCGGTTCCAAGGAAGGTCTTGCGTGCAAGTTCACCGGGCCTGGCACGGTATACTTGCAAACACGCAACCTTAATACTTTTGGACATTACATCGGAGCAAGCACTGCAAGTGGATAGTGTATCATATTGAGGTCCAAGCTTGTTCGTGTGGAATGGTTTCGTTTTAGGTTTGGTTTGGTTTGGTTTGGTTTGGTTTTTTTTTTTTTTTTTTTTTGATATATGATATCCAGGAGGGCGTTATATAACCACTGAATTCAATCCCTACTATCTTCGTCACAAGAATATCTCGTAGAACAGACACAAGCTTATGTAAATGGAATATGCCATGCTATGTTCTTCATTTCATTCTGTTTGCTTTTCCTGTGCAACATATAGAATCTGATTCGATTCCTCGTTTCAAACCCAGTCATAAGATGAATCATCCTCGCTAAGATGGAATCAACCACCCTTGAAAACAAGAAAGTATCATCACACAAGACATAAAAAACGATGGTAAAGACAAGGTGAAGCAGGGCCGGACAATTTAGCCCGTCCTCTTTCTGCGGCCGACCTGTCCACGGAAACCAGTCTTGATCGCGGCGACGGAACGGCGGGATCCGCACGAGTTGCAGGTGACGAAGTACAGACGGTTCTCACCCTTGTTGAGCTCGGTGTCGGGGCTGCGGCAGGTTTTGCAAGTAACATACTCGACTGTAGATATTAGAACGACTGAAAAGTGCAAAGTATGAAAGAGAGAAAAAAAAAAAAAACCAAGCACGTACCGATGTATCGTCTGAGAACGTTCTCGATCTGCTTCTGCTGGAAACGACCCTTGATGACGAGACGTCTGCTACCGTCCACACTGCCGTTGGTACCCAATTCGGCGAACAGGAACTGCATGACGTGGTCGTCTGACCGCTTCATACGCTTGCAGATGTCGGCGATGTTGGCGAAGATGGTACGGCGGTTACCTTCACGCAGACACTGCGGGGGCGGGATCTTGTACGACTTGGTGCCGCTGGAGAGCAGGTCCGGGTGGTGGCTCTGGATGAGCGAGAAGAAGCGCGAGACGAGCATCGAGTAAGGGATGGTTTGCGTCGCGTCGTGAGCCCAGATGCCCGTGCCGGCCTCCGGGTCACCCTCGGCCACCTCCTCAGCCTTCTCCTCGGCAGCCTCCTCGGCGACACCGGCCTCGGCGAGCTTGGCCTCGAAGTCACCCGTATCGGCCTTCTTGGTCGACTTCTTCTTCTTCTTTTTCAGAGCGGTGGGGTCGAACTCGCCGTCTGCGGCGGCGGCGGCGTCGTCACCGTCAGCATCTGTGTCCTTGGGCTTCTTCGTCTTCTTCTTCTTGGAAAGTCCCTTGAAAAGCTCGGTAACCTCGTCGACTTCCTTGTCAGGTGTCCCTGGGCCTTGTGATTAGAAATCTATCAGTGTCTCGTGCTTCGCGAATAATTTTATTTCATCGAAAAGATATGAGACGCGGGTGTGGGGGGATTCCAAAATAACCAGACATACCAGAAGAGTGCTTCTCGGCTGTGGTCTTGTCGACACCGTGGGTCGACTCTGTGATTTCCCCGTTGGTATCCATGATGCTTGTTCCTTCACTGAATGCGACGGATTTGCGTTGCTTGATGATCGTGGGAGGTTCAGCGTCCTAAATCGAATCCCGGTGAAAAGATTAGAAGGGCCAAAAAAATTTTCCCCGCAGTGAACTCGTCACAAGCGTAGCACAGGGATTATCTGTCACTCTAGAAAAGTGGCAGATACAGGGGGGCGAGACAGTCGTTGGGCTGCGCCGAGGGGTATGAATTGTGAAGACGCTTGAGTCAAATAAAATGTGGGAGGGACATCGGCAAAAGGGTCCAGAGGGTGACGTACAGGCTCCGCCATCTTCAACTCAACAGGCGCTCGAAACACTCGGTTAGTCTGTGGAATAGAGGTGTTTGATAAGCAGCGAATCTTCCTCTTTCAGAGAAGCAAGGCGTTAATCTGCCAAATCCTGGATGGTGGTGACTAACCCCGATGGCAGGACAGTTTATCGGCGGCGTCGTTTGCTCACGTGACTATTTAATCGACTAGTCACGTGATGCTACCCCATTACGTCTGTCCGCCTGGGATTATCGCCTCCCCCCAGCAGAAGGAACGCGAGCAGTAAACACGTCTCTTGCGAGTATCTCGACGCTTCATGTTGCTGCTGCCCTCGTTCAAGCGGTAGGCGGGCCACTGCTTTCACGAATCAAGTGCTGTCAGCGTCCTCTGCGCACTTTCTCCATAGACCAATTCATCTCAAACATCATGTCCTACCCGTCAGCCGCCGATTCCAACCCGTCCCTCGGGACGTCTGCCTACATGATCCCATCGAGATACGGATCGTATTCCTCCCCATCGGACGATGAAATAGCTTCTCTCCCGTCGGAGTCGACAGCGTCGTCGGACCTTGACTCCTTTTCCGACGACTATTCCGACGCCGAAGAAGAATGGAGAGAGAGCATCGAGCAGCTCGAGCTGCTTTTGACAATGGTTATTGTGCCTTTCATCGGGAAATATATGGGCAGGAAATGCGCTTATTGGGGTATGTTCAACTCTCGAGACAATAAAGAAATGCATTGCTTAATAAGTTGGACAGGCTGGACTAGGTTCATGGAGTGGAAGTATCCTGTTGAAATCGTCATGACCAACAAGGGGGCGTTCAAGGGGGCTGGCGTCGTTGGGGCTCTTGCCAGTCTATAAAGAGGAGTTTTTCAACATCTGCCGAATACATCCATCAGCATTCTAATGAAGTGCCTGGAAACATTCAACCAAGGATAGGCTACCGGAGGATGATATCTTGGATCACGGTTTCAATTTTGACAACCCTTCGATTTTATGGATTTCATGTACCATATGCATGGTCCAGGGAAAACCAAGGCCTAGAAACCATCTTTTTAGAAGAGGCCCACCAAGAAACATGCCTAACAGGATAGACTCGAACACTGATGGGTGGTGGGGGCTCTAAAAAGACGCTACAATTGTACAAAGCACACATTTTGGCAATATCATAACATACACAGTTTACCTGTTGGCAGCTTTTATGGTGGACCAGCGCAAACTCTGCGGTCCGCTGGCACAGTCTCAACATACTCTACATCAATAATTAATCGAGTTTCGGTTTTGGTATTTCAAACACATACTATGGACAGTTTTTATCCCCTTCTACCCCCTCAAATATACACAAACCCTACTGCTTCTTATTCTCCCGGTCGTATTTTCAAGTCAAACCCGAATACTGCTTGCGCATTTTTGCCATTGATTCCAATGACGTTTTTACCATTTGAACTCTCGCTTCTTTGCCTTCCATGCTGCCAAAGGGAATACCCATGCGCTGCAAGGCAGGCAGAGCAAAATAAAGAGGGTCACTGCATCCATCTGGAGTCAGGAAGCGCTCGATGGGGTTCACCATGGACACGTCCTGTGTCTCTTCAAACATCCAGTGGCTGAGACCTATCAAGTCCAGACCAGGAGCATCACCGAGAAGCAAATCCAGACCATCGAGAATATCCCCTTCTTCCTGGTGACCCACATCATTGCTTGTGAGTTCAGAGAAGAGCCAGTGTCTCTGCTCCTGCCTGATGACTTTGTCAACCCAGATGTTGATGGACTCGTCTCGGGCCTGTAGTGGTTAGACCCTTGGTTTCATCTCCAGAGGGGACACTTAGGTCTGTCAACACTACCTTTTGCTGCCAGAATAGATTATACGCAGCGAGGTTCGACTCTGTCAACCGGTCTCCGCTGGTGACCTCAGGCATTGCGTTGATATCTGCGGTACGTGAGGGTTTAGCAAGTGGTCGTCTCGACTGCAGTGGATACACTTGAGTCATACCTTTCGAAGTGACTGGCTGCAATGGTTCAATAATGTAACTGAGCTCAAGGTCTGCCTTGGATATGAGCCTTCTGATGATCTGATATCGCTTTTATATGTGCAAGACGCGTTCGGCAACGGGATTCCATCATGCTTTCCCAACCGAACCATCCACCTGGAGCCACCAGACCAGGCCTTGCCCACTGGACTGGCCATCTGGTATGTGGACCGACAACGCCTGCTCGACCCGGGCCCTAATGCACCTCAATTTAGCACACGCGCGCAGAGGTGCAAAGATGCCTTGAGAGGGGGAAACACTTGCACTATTTTGCTGTGCCCCCTCCGTCGGAGAGGATAATTACCCCTTATTACATCGTCTTGCTTGGTCTTGCGGTGAAAGTTTACCCATTGCCCTGGTTCAAGACCAATCGTGCACAACCATATCTCCCCAGAAAAAGAGCCATCTATCCCACAGCAGTCGTCACGTTGCAGATCCCGAAACGACGGGCTCCGGGGGGGGGGGGGACTGCGAGATGACCGGGGCACTTTCGGCGTACGTCTGGGAGGCCTAAGCAGCATACTACATACGGCGTTATACTTCTCGTCTTGGCTGTGCTTTGAGCGAATTTTCCGGACTCGTGTTTCGCAACGATGAGGTCCACATTACTGCAGTACGATGCCTGCCACCTTGTCTCTGGGATTTTTATCCAGCCTATCAATTTCCTATCGAGGGAAGTGCTCTCTCTGCCTTTTGTGGTTCTTTCCTTCATGCACTTCTACTTGCATAGTGGAAAGGGGACAGACTGTCGGACTTATTTTCCTTCAAGCGCAGGGAGAAGGGTTCCAGACGGAGCAGATGCTGCCCCGACGCAGTATCTGTGCTTTTTTTTAGTTTTATTCTGGTTTTATCTCTTTTTTTGTTTCTTTTTTCTTTTTTCTTGGAAGGATGACATCTCTTCTGGACCCAGCCCTCTGGATCAATGTGGATTGGTGGCAGCCTTGCGTGGTTCCAGACGGCGGGCCGTCATAGTTTACCAGAGCGTCGGAACATTCCACACGGCGTCCGTTGAACCAGGCCATATCTTCCAGCTTTGCGTGTACTACATAACAGCAATAGCCTGATGCCAGCAACCCTGCTGCGATTCATCCATTATTGCGATCCCAACTGCAAAGGGTACGTGTCCATGGGAAGGGGGGGGGGGGGGGGGGGGGGGGGGGGGGTAGAAGTGGAATTGTTCTTTACTGAAGGGATGAAGAACCCTGTTCTTGGGATGGGGTAGCTTGTATCGGGTCTTCTCTTCCATCCTCCCCGTACTCCGGTTTGGGGGGAGGGGGAGGGGGGAGGGTACAATACGATACGAGAGCTACTCGCGAAATGTTGCTATGGAGTCAAACTTGTCGGACGTTACACACGTTCGTAAGCTCCATCACCTCCGTCATTGCAATCTGAGCCGAGCAGTTACGCTGGTTTCTGGCCGAGCATGGCCGGTATTCTTGTATTCAGTCATGACTAAGTGCCAGGTAAACAGATGTGTCTAGGGAGTACGGATTCAAAATTCGTACTTTTGTCAAGTGCCAGATCGGATCCGGCTGAACGGTCGAGATAAATACGCAGTCAGAGAGGGGAGCCACTTTTTGTGTTCTCTTTTTACCCCCTTGGCCTTGCCTTGACCTGATGCACGAGCCTGATCTGGTAAGAGGTGGTCAGGGCAAGTAACGAGTTAGCGGCCAAGTCGACATTTCTTTGTCTTGACTGTCGGTCAGCTCGAAGGAAACTTGGCACTTGGTTAGTGACTACTAGGCAGGGAATCTTACTACCTAGTACCGACTGCCTAGTCACTGCCGCCAGGCAACCGGGGCAGAAAGATAAGTCTCCTCAGATCCCTGTCGAACGCCCCGTTACTACTCCGTAGTTACTACGGAGGACAGAGCTGGTTCCTCCGTCTTAACGGGCGGTCAGGGCAGGAGTATTTCCGTCCAGCGTTTTCCTTCTCTGTCGAGTCCATGACTCCATCTACTCCTACGCCATGTGGACTTCTACCCAATTGTCTATTTGTCCATGCATCTAGTATACTATATCAGCAAGCTCCGGGTCCGAAAATAAGTTTTAGGTGACAAATCTCGAGGCATTGAGTCCAAGTCTTGCCGCACGACGAGAAGGGATACGAATCCTGGTTCACCTATCTACGGAGTATCAGGACTCAACCTACTCCACGACTGACTATACTTGATACTATAGTTACATACTATACATACATTAGATTAATCGACACACCGTCTCGCGTCCGAAGTCGTCCCCCCCCAAGAACCAGGTTGTCGGGCCCGGCCAAGGTCCGTTCCGTTGTCCACAGAAACTAGCAGGAAATTAGCTATTTTAATATCACCCAGTTAGTCAATAATAATATTAATACTAATAAATAAATAAATAAATAAATAAATTCGAGACCCTCCACTAGCTGTTCTGTTGTGCAGGGTATACCCTCGAGACCAGACAGTCGCAAAAATGGGTCCTGCACTTCCTCCGTAACTACAGAGTAGTACTACATAACTAACTGCATACTACATAGTAATATCATACCGAATATGTAGTGGTACTTTCCATAATGCCGGAATCCGGCTCCTATGAATAGAATCCCTGTATAACATGGAAGAAAGCACCGGCGCCATTCATTAGTATTAGTATTTACGGAGTAGTATTATCGTGTCGAAAGGGAGGAGGGGGAATGCATCGGTTGCAACTGCACTTGATGACCTTCCCAAAAGACTCATTGACTCATTCCTGCATATCTTGTACAAGGTACAGGGGCATTGATGCATGATTGTGTGTCGGTCGAGATCGGATGGTGCGGCTCGAATAGACCGGGCAACAAAGAAAGGTACCCAAGGTAATCAATAATAGACTTCTAGCGTTACAGGGAGAGGCTCCGCAAAGGAGACAGAGAGAATAAAGTCAACAGCCAGCGGTATGACCTGTTGCATTTTAGTAATTGGTTTGGCACGGAGTACTAGCTACAGCTTTTAGCCTGTATACCAATCTTTCTGATACCAATAAAAACCTGACAAATACTTCAATATTCTGAAGTTCAATACAGCCGATTCTGTCGCCAAAAGTTGGCCGGCGCGATGTCCTCCAAGTGAGCTGTTGGGTGCTGCTGTTCAGGATACAGCGATTGATTGACCTTGAAATCCCTGTCTGTACGACTAGCCAGCAGGGAGTTTTCCCTTGCTTTTCTCTGTGGAGATAGCATGGTATCGAATATGGAATCGAGGGATCGAGATGTAGTGTCTTCGTAGATAGGCAGCATGGACGTGATGTGCCCTGCAGGCCGCTCATATCTTTGGCTAGATGTGTTGGCTTGTCTGTTTGGCCGTGGGAAGCGACTAAATCTGACATTCTCATCTTGAAGCATCTTATCCTGGTAAAGATTGGTCGACGGGGAGTAGATATATTGATCATGGATATCGTATTCATGTGCTTTAATGCCTCTTGGTTTCTGTGGCGTTCCTGCAACCTGAAGAAAAGCGTCATCTCGTACTTAAGTAACTGTTAGTAAAAAAGACTCTTCATTGAGTAGTAGGGTGCTATCTCTTGCATTCTTACATTGAACTTGCAGCGGCTGTTCCCGGTGAACATCCCCCTTCAATGCCGACAGCCCTGCACTCTGGTGGGTTTGCGGATGGGCTTGGATTTTGTCGACTACTGTTACGTTTCCCGATGATGCTTGCCATTCTTCTTTCCGTTGGTCAAGCATCTGCTTTAGGTCTGCAAGGTACAAGTATGCTCTGTGCTGTTCACTTTTGTCTTCATTTGAGGTATCCTGCAAACTCAATCCAGAGAGTAACAGATTATTCAGAGTCTCGTCCACCGCGTCATTCGTCCCCATATCCCTTTCTGGGAGTTCCGGCCAACTATAGAGCATCGTCGGGCTCAAAGTTCTGGAAACTTTCTGCCTTGCTGATTGAGACTCTGGAGCTCTCAGATTGGGAAATATTCTTTTCCCTGGAGAAGAACGGTGGGATTCTGAAACTCGATTTCTCGGACTTTGCACGTCCATGGGGATGCTTCTCGGTGATCCCTGGGCCCCGCGAGTCGTATTAAAATACTCCAATGGAAAATTTGACAGCACCAAGTCGGTACCAACGACTCTAGATCCGTTGTTTGCCAAAGACATACTGTTTTGGTGACGCTGTTTTCCTCTATCATATCTTGCTAGTGATGAGATTTTACCTCTTTGAAAGAAACCGAAACTTGGGGTGGCCGGAAGCTGCGAGACATCAGTCGTGGACTCGCATTTTCGAATAGAGAGGTCTCACCGTTAGTCGACCATGCATCACGTTGGGGGCATGGAATTCTTCACTCAAAAACTTTGAGGCCTGTTCCTTCCTCTTTTTTCTGCTCTTCGAGCCATCAGCTTGATTTGTCTGAGCTTTCTTATACGCGTAGTGATCTGGGTGTGGCTTGTGTCGCGGCTTCTTGCGATACTTGTCCCTCGTTTGGTCCTCAATGTCTGTCGTCGTCTCGAAGGATTCAATTCTTGGATAGTCTTCTGTATCTTCGACCGAGCGGGCTCTTTTCCGGTCGTTTCTGATAGGTTGGCCCAATACCTCAGAGGCAGATTTGCGATACTTTTTTGGGGAATCATTTTCAAGACCTTTAGTGGTCCACAGATAGGGTGGGATCTGTGCGGTTGATCGTGACTGAACGGCTTCGTCGTCGACTCCCAAGAGCCAGCTGTGGACTGGATCATTCGTTATTCTCTCCATCTCGCGGGCCGTCTTCAGCCGGTTATTTGTAGTATTATATCCAAAGATGGTATTTGAGAGTGTTGGTTCAAGCAAACTGGCTGCCAGTCTCTCTCAGGTTGTTGGGACTGCTGTTGGATTTCTCTTTTGGGAAACCGCTGCCCACGTGAGCCACGCCCGCTCCTTCTTATCTTGACTTTCAGCCTCCTCGACCGGCGCTCTTTATTGTTTGTTCATCAAGCCATTACATACTCCAGATTCTGTAGGGTCTAGTTAATCATGATAGATGTTCTACGGAGAATATGAGTAGGGAACTCCAATATCTTTGTACTACTAATGTAGTAACTGTACCTCGGTAAGACCCTCGCAGAGGCAGTGCCTAGTCACTGTCTACTAGAGGTGACTACTAGGTAGGTAGTTACTTATGTAGTTCACTACCTGACTAGTTAGTAAGTAGTAGTTGTTTGGACAATCTCGGTTGACTATATGTAGTATTTAACCCGAAGCTTTGAGAAATCCGGTTAGTTACAGGCTAATCAGTAAGCAGTTAGTACCGACACTCCCTTCAGTTCACTGGCAGGTATTCATTAGGTACTTACCACTAGTACTAGGAAAGAAAGATGAAGACGGCGCAGTTGCTAAAAGGGCCAAGTTTCACATTTCTAGTGACCACCTGATCATCCAGATTGGTAATGATTCCGAGAGCCGTTGGGCATTCCAGCCAGTCACAGGCCGGCGAAGCATGGCGTGCTGGTGGCCAAGCACTCGATGATGAGTCAGCACTCGCTAATACAATAATACTAATAATGATTACCTCGGTATAATTCTATAATAATAGTATAATAATTATAATAATTAATAGTCATAAACATGACAATCTCTGCCAAGTTACGGAGTACTGTATACATGAATAGTACCAACTGTGGGACGCTGCACTTCTTATCACCTTTTGCCGGAACTTGCGGCCTGTCAGTGTCAGCCTAATGATCTAGATCTTGAGCCCACAGTGGACGGAAGGGCGCCGCGACGCAAGCCACCAGCAGCAGCCCAGGCAACAAACAATTGAATATACCATTACCAGGTCGATGGATCTTTCACAGTACCTAGTTACTAGATAGTTAGGTAGGAAGTACGAGTACTACCTGGGTACAGAGTACTCCGTAGTTAATCCGTAACTACCTAGGTACAGCGTCCACGCCTTATGGAAATGTACTAGACGGCTAATGTAACGATATGCGAGGTACGACACAAGCTTCGCATAGATAGACAGAGATATACACAGGCATTTGGCTAGGTTTATGGGCCTGAATAATAAACCCATCGAGGCTATGCTTATTGTGCCATCAAGACTCCACGGGTACCTTGGGGTAGTCCCGTACCAGATTGGCGATCTACTCCAAAGCACATAGTAGACTGTTGTTTTATTTCAGTTTACAACAATAGTAAATAGAGAATACTACTATTAATTCTACTATTAATCCTACTAAACTCATAAACAACCATTAACCATGTAGTAATCTAAACACGAAATCGCCGTTTGAGGAATGAGGGGTTGGCGTAGCTGGAGGGGCGCCTCAGTTATTGCTAGCGTCTGCTCCCTCTCCAATCCCTCTCCGTCGCTGCGTTTCTTTTTTTTTTTTTTCCTCGGTCAGCGCCAGTGGTGTGTGGTGTGTGTGGTGTGTGTGGTGTGTGCACTGCGTGTTGCCCTCCAGCCGGTGCAGCGAGTCGAGCATTTCTTTCCCTCCCCCGCCCTGGATGGTTTCACCGGCAGTTGATCTTCTTCCCCCCAAGCTCGTTTCGCTCCCAGCCAGGATTTGCTCCCTCCCAAACTCTCCTTCGTTTTTTCCCTTCTTACTTTAATTTTTCCTTCTAAACCTTCCTGTCTTTTATTCTACCCTTGCCCTCTTATCTACAGAGAACCTGTCAAGGAAAACAGTAAGAGCCTACTCCCCTCTCCCCTCCCCTCCCCTTCCCCCCCCCCCCCCCCCCCCCCCCCCCCCCCCCCCCCCCCCCCCCCCCGGTGCCCCTCAGGGTCTGGCCAGTGAGACCCGCCTCAGCAGAAGAGGTGAGAGTGATAAGCAGCAACTTCAGCGTAACAGTTGCGCCATCAATTAGGCTTCATCGCTGCTACTTATTGCCAAGCTTCTTCACTCCTCGGGGTTCTTCTTGGTCGCCTTTGTCTTTTTTATCTTCTCGTTTCTTCTTCTTCTTCTTCATCCTTCGTCCCTCTTCGCTGCTTCTCCCTCCCCCCGCTTCGCCATTCTCTCACTTTTTTTTTATTCCAGACGCAAGACTAATCTATCGCGCTTTTCAGCTCTCGTCAAAAATGTCGAAGCTTTTCATCGGGTATGTAGAGAGAATCAAGCAGACCGGTCTCCTCTGTCCATTTTTTCTTCGTCTTTTCTTTTTTTTTTTGGGTTGGATCTGATTTTCTCATAGCGGCCTTGCCTGGCACACCACTGACGAGACTCTCCGTGAGGGTTTCGAGAAGTTCGGCTCTATCCAGGAAGCAGTCAGTAATTCCGAGAGATTTTCACGCCCTTTGACTTGATTAATCGGTTTGACTCACTTTCTCAGGTTGTCGTCAAGGACCGCGACACCAACCGCAGCCGCGGCTTCGGTTTTGTTCGCTTCGCTACCGATGAGGAAGCCGACGCTGCGATGCAGGCCATGAACAACCAGGAGTACGTGAATAAAACCTAACAACTCTGCTGGTTGTTTCTAACCGGCTTCTCTGGATTACCGTCTGACGTGAGTAGGTTCGATGGCCGCACCATCAGAGTCGATAAGGCTTCGGAACGCACTGGTCGCGGCGGCGATGGAGGCTTCCACGGCCGCGGCGGCTACAACCAGCGCGAGGGTGGCGGTTACAACCGCGGCGGCTATGGTACAGCACCTATCTTGATTCCACATTTTACAGCATAACTAATATATTATAGGCGGTGGTGGCTACAACGGTGGTGGTAAGAATTTCCAATGAATCTCAGCCTGAGGCGTCCAAAACAGTCATCAAATGCTCAGATGTCTTTTTTTCTCTCGCTTTTTTGCTCGCTGTTTTTCTTTGCCGGAATGATCCCAAATACTGACACCGCATCAGGATGGCGCAACCCCAGCAACGACCAGGCCGATGCTTAATCTCCTCTCTTCGAAACAGCGATCTGAGACGTGCCAGTCACCCCCCTCCGCTCCGCCTTCTTTCCTCGAAACTGTTTATTAGTAGTTACCCCCCTTTGCCTCACTCGTGTTTTCTAGCATTAGGCTACGAGAAATGACCACTATGGAATGGGATCGCGATTGCATCAGTTAATGATGAAATGAATGACACATGATAGTTTCACTTAGTGTTTTCTTCCTTCTCTCTCTCCGTCCCCATGTAACTTCGTTCCATATCAGTTTGAGAATACCATGCGACTCGTCTTCACCATGTGGAGTACCTCTTCACTACTACTCATCAGTTCCATTCACCTAAGCTTTAGCATGAGAATCTTGAATTGAAATGAGGATAACCACAAGATCTATCGCCTTCATGACGAGCTACCCGATGAGAATCTGTATGAAGCAATCAGGCGACTACCTACTCACTGTAACTATCATTAAGATGGATCGAAATAGTATTCTGTAGAGCCAGGAGGCTCAGGCCAAGAGTCCTTCTTGCCTAATTGGGTTTGCTTACTGTACCCCAGGCAGCAGCCTCTACGCTAAACCGTATTGAGTAGCGTATTGAGTTGCTGTCAGACCCGAATATAAAACCCCCCCCATCTTTGTTCTGCGTTTCACCTCTGCTTTGATTTCTTCTATTTCTTCAAGGAGTAGGGTCTCATTAACTTACTGCATATTGCTCTAGTTCCAAGGTTGGGGTTGGTTGACTTTGATCCTACAGTACTCTGTACCTTACTTGCTACTGCTACAGTTTATTGACTCAATCTTTTCTCTCTCTGTCTCTCCCTCTCCTCCTCCCTCTCTCTACCTTTCATCATGTCTTCTAAAAGCGAGTTCTCGCAAATGCTCCAGCATATCACCAACACCAAGCTAGACGAGTTGTCCAACAAGCGACAGATCTTTCTCCAACGTAAGGAGGTGGCCCTGCAGAAAGCAGGGTCTCTCGAGTCAACAGTCGACCAGCTATGTGCTCTCTCCGATGGATTAAAGGCATGCTTCGGTATTCCTGTCGTCAACGGACGCATGGTTCGCGGCCAGACCAGCAGTAAACGGCTGGAAATCACCCTAGCCAACCTAGACCGATTCCTCGAACAGGCTCGCTACGACCCCTGTATCTCGTGGACAATGCTGGAACGCTGGCGAAATACCCTACTCGGGTATCTGAACACACAGACGCTGAAATACGAGTATGCTACGCTGTTTGCCAAGTTGACTATGGAATGGCTGTCTACCAAGAAGAAGCTCTCCGATGAGGAAGACGTCTCCATGACGGAAGACTTTGAGGATGTATTGGGTGCAAGCAAGCTCGAGTCCAGAAGGAAATGGGAAGAAGCTGTTTTCACACCTGCCGAGGTCGACGGAAACGCCATCCGGAGTGTGCTGGAAGAGCTTTTCCAGGGCACACCGGAGAATACCAAACGGCTCGGTGAAGCCTTGAACGAGCTGCGGAGAGTTGTGTCCGCCTTTGAATCCACGCTTGCACATCCCCAGCAGTTCAATGTTACCACGCTGGGCTGGGTGATTAGCGGCCTGGTGGCGTCGGATCTTCTGACGGAAGAAAAGCGCGCAGTGCTCCGAGATTTCCAGAACAACAATATCATCCTCATCGAGCTTGCCGACGTGCTGAACATGCGGATGATGGCACTGCACACTTGGGGCTGGGGTGCCGAGGTGCCTGTTGAGCAACGACGACAGCTCAACGGCACATACAATATTTACATGCACGAGGACCTCATCCAGGCCATTTTCCTGCAGTACATTGGCGTCAAATGGTCTGTCTTCTTCAAGGACGCCTTTGTTAAGTTCCGCCGAACCAAAGACGTCTGGAAGTCGCCCAGGGCGGCGGTCTCCCTTGTGGACAAAAAGCGCCGGGAGTTCTTCCTGGGCAACCATCGGGCGACACACAGCGTCCTGAGCATGAAACAGGGCATCTACCGAGCAGGGTTTTTTGTATCGCAACTCCTGGACTCTGAAACACAGGAAAGAGACCAGGCGGAGGGAGAACAGGAGGCTCAGTTCGATGCTACACTGCAAGCGCAACAACAGATGCCTAGGGCTACCATGGCAAATTTACCACCACCGCCCCCGCCGCCACCGAGGGCATTGGCAGCAACGAAAATGAAAGCCATGAAACGGGCTATGCCACAGTCAGTGGCGTATCGAAAGGCTGTGGTCTACAACGATAATGGGAGCGAAGATGATGACAACTATGATGACAACGACGACGACGGTATAATTCATTCCATGACCCCAAAGAACCCAATGGAGGCAAAGCAGTATCTCTTGCATCTCCTATCTACGGACATCCTGATCAAAACCCGTTTACAGGGGGGGTTGACATGCTTCCGTTCCCAGTACGACTCGTGGAATCCGAGATTACCCCATACAACCATTCTCACTGTCCTGCGCTTCCTCGGCGTCTCGGAGAAGTGGATCGGTTTCTTTGAGCGTTTCCTCAAGGCGCCTTTGAAATTTCTTGACGACGATAACGCCGAGCCCCGCCTGCGCCAGCGTGGGACCCCCGGAGCTCATGTGCTCAGTGATGTCTTTGGCGAGACGACTCTCTTCTGCCTTGACTTTCTGATCAATCAAAAGACGAACGGCGAGTTTCTCTGGCGTGTCCACGATGATCTTTGGTTCTGGTCGTCGAACCACCAGACCTGTGTGACGGCCTGGAAGGCGATCCAGGAGTTCAACAAGATCTTGGGTCTTTCCCTTAACGCGGGGAAGACAGGGAGCGCGACGATCTCCCTCCCAAAGACCAAGGACGCACCTAAAGCAGACCCGGAACTACCTACCGGCCAGATCCGATGGGGCATGTTGTATCTCAACCCGGAATCGGGCCGCTTCGAAATTGATCAAAACATGGTGGACAGCCACGTGGAAGAACTGCAACGGCAGCTGGAAGATCAAGAGAAAAGTGTCTTTGGTTGGATCCAGGCATGGAACTCGTACGCGACAACCTTCTTCACGTCCAACTTTGGCAAGCCCGCCAATTGCTTTGGTCGCCGCCATTTGGACATGATGCTAGAGATGCATGAGCGCATCCAACGCAGGATCTTCTCTCTGGGTCCAGATGGGGGCAAGTCCGACAGCAGCGTGCTCGAGTTTCTGCGCGACACGATCCGCTCCCGCTTCAACATCACCTCCACCCCAGACGGCTATTTCTTCTTACCGATTGAGCTTGGAGGATTGGAGCTTTCCAGCCCTTTTATCCATCTGGTGGGCTTGCGTAACTCGGTGCTAGAACTGCCTGCAAGCCAGCTGGACAAATTCCTCGCTGCCGAACGTGATGCCTACCTAGCAGCAAAACATCGCTTCGAGCAGCGCTCTGTACTCACCCAACAGGCCATGATGAGACAGCGACAACTCCAGCAACAACAGCAACAGGCCAGCATGTACAACAACAACAACAACACGGGCGGAGCCCTCCCGGATACGCAGGCTTTCCTGTCGTTTGAGGAATATGTGCGGTTCCGTGAAGAAGTGGATTATGGGTTCAGCGGCCAGCTGGCTGACGTGTTCGAGACCCTTCTGCAGCGGCCGGAACAGCAGCCTCTGATCAGCGACGAGGATGGCGAGGTCTGCGGCGAGCTCGCCCGACTTGCCGGGCAACCGAATCTGCGCGGGATTCAGTCGAGCTGGCACCAGATGGACCCGTACTGGAAATGGGTTGCCCAGCTGTACGGACCGGAGGTGATCGAGACGTTTGGCGGACTGAACATTGTCGATCCGGGGCTCCTCCCTATTGGCATGGTGAGCTTGTTTCGCAGCGGGGGGGTGAAGTGGCAGGAAGATTGATCTATGTATTTACTACTAGATAGTGCTGATTGAATACATTCTCTCACCAAAAAGGTCCTGTAGAGAACAAGCGTTAGTTTTAAGTGAGAGAGAAGAGGATGATGCCTGTAGTGACTAGTCACGAGGAAGTCACCTGATTCAGTCACAGGACTGGGGACTCATCGCAGTCCTTGACTCCTTCTATCACGACAACTTTCACTCTCTCTGCTGAGAAATTGACCTGACCAGACAAGAACTATACCGAGGCAATTCATGGAGAAAGTAGGTCAGCAAGAGAGTTCCTACTATCCTCTGGATACTATATTGACGCGTCTTAGAAAGGGTTGGAGCCGGATGAAAAGCCTTGAAGGAGACCAGGAATAGATGCTGCAGTCCTCTTACTCTTATCTGAGGAAGGTGAGTCGAGTTGAATCAGCTTAACCTTCCGCAAGCGGCCGGCTCGTGGGTAGTGACTAATTGGTTAACTAGTAGTTGGAGACTTGATATCGCTTTCTTACCGAGATGGTTTGGGCTCCCAGGTCTCTTCCTAGTGCTTGGTCTTGATTCTTCATCCTTAACACTACATGACAGCTTCCAACGCTGACAAAGTCTATCAAAGAAGGTCATTATTGAGCTCATACAGTCATTCCAAGACACCATGATCATACATTGGCTGTGACCCTCTTGACTAGTAAACAAGGGAACCCCCCCCCCCCCCCCCCCCCCCTCTCTCTCCACTATCAATCCTTCCCCGATTCCCTCTTTGCCTGTTGCCTAGAAGTCAGAATGGAGAGTGGAGTTCAATCCACACGAGTCCTTACTACTACGGTACGGAGATTGGTTGGTGGCGGGCATTCAAAATAGGGAGATTTCTTATCTGGTGATTCCCCCCCAGGCGTGAGAAACCGCAAATGGTTCTAATTTTAATATAGCTTGGTGTATTTCTTGCTCAGGCTTGAGTCGGTAATTAAAAAAAACACCAATCCAGATCTCTCTTCCACCCTGATTTGCCTGATTCTTCCTTCGAAAATGAAGATCAAGCGATCTACAATGGCGCTAGTTATAACACACGTCGTGGCGCTGACGAAAACTCGTGGCGTCTAGCCGCATAGTTGGCGCCCTGGCCAACAGTTGGACAGCTTGGGACACTGCTCTTGGCCTACTCGTTAACTACTAGTAGGAGTATGTACTCCCCGATGTCGAAGAGTGAGCACTACTACTACTCTAACCACTACCACAATAAAGCAGTGTAGAAGCGTACGAAGCATGAAGCCTGCGTGTGCAATTCAGTGCAAGTAGGCAGATGCATTAAGGTTCAATAGAATCGTCTTGTCAAAACGCTGCCTCTGCCGAGCATTTTAAGTCCTTGGCTCCAAGACTTCAACTTCCTAGAAGGGATCAATATTTTTTCCCCCGATATCACGTGACTGGGATACGTTGCCCCCGTCGGCCAACCTCAAACACTGAAACAAGAGACATCTCGGGGCCAGAATAGATGGCCCGAAAGGAGGGAGATCCAGGGGCTTATACTACTCCCACCCTAGGAACTGGAAAGGGCGTCTTCAATTTCTCGCGGTTCTCCTAGCCTCCACCGATGTCGACAGCTTCTGGGCTACTAGGGCTAGTACTGGTCCCAGTGGGGCGAGACGTCGTCATGCTGCCAACGGCTAGAGAATTGTTATTTGATGAGAAGCAAAAATTCAGGAGATGGGCTATGAATAGCCTGGCATCTGTACTGGAACCTCGCCGCACCGAGGGTACGTGGACAGTTGTTGCTGCCGCGACCATATAAGCCTGTCCAGAATCCCCGATTCGTTGCTGGCCCTCCCCTCGTACAGCTTCGTCATTCTTTACCGAACCTGCGACTTTCTTCCAGTCTTTCGTTTATTTTGGTTGTGTGACATATTTATTCCTGTTTATTGGAACCTGTTTCTTCCTTCCTTCCTTCCTTCCTTTCCCCCAGCTCTTTTTCTGTGGCTTTTGTGCATGCGGCTTTCAAGATGAGATCTGCTTTCGTTGCTGCCTCTGCGGCGCTTTTTGCCGGCTCGGCCCTGGCCATTGACCCGATTGTTATCAAGGTAAGATGGGAAGAAAGGCTTGCGGTCGTTCTGAGGGCTAACGTTGCTTTAGGGATCCAAGTTCTTCTACTCGAGCAACGACACTCAATTGTGAGCCTCTTTAGCCCTAACTCCCAGTAACAGCTCGCTAACTTTCATTCTAGCTATATGCGCGGTGTGGCATATCAACGTTGGTGTCTCCATTCTCTTCTCTCAGATTAATGCCAGGAAGAAAATCTGACCCTGTCAAATTAGAGGACTATACGGGCAGCAGCACCAACAGCTCAACCGACTATGTCGACCCTCTTTCCGACAAGACCACCTGTGAGCGGGATATCCCCATCCTGCAGGAGCTGCGTACCAACGTTATCCGTACCTACTCGATCAACCCTGATGCCGACCACGATGAGTGCATGCAACTGCTGGCAGATGCTGGTATCTATGTCGTCTCGGATCTGTCGAGCCCGGACATTGCCATTGACCGGGACGACCCCGACTGGACCACCAAGCTCTATGCCCGGTACACGGGTGTGATCGACGCCCTGGCCGGTTACAACAACACCCTTGGTTTCTTTGCCGGTAACGAAATTGCCAACACGGTGGCCACCACGGACGGCATGCCCTTTGTGAAGGCGGCCGTGCGAGACATGAAGGCCTACATCAGCGCCCAGGGCTACCGCGCCATCGGCGTTGGATATGCTACTGCCGATGTTTCCGCGATCCGTGTCGACCTGGCTGACTTTATGGACTGCAACACCAAGGCCAGCAGTGTCGACTTCTGGGGCTACAACATCTACTCGTGGTGCGGCAACTCGACCTATGAGGAGTCCGGCTACAAGGCCCGCACCGAGGAGTTCCGCAACTACTCAGTCCCTGTCTTCTTCTCTGAATACGGATGCAACACCGTCTCGCCCCGCACGTTCACCGAGGTCAAGGCGCTCTATGGCGATACCATGGCCGAGGTGTGGTCTGGAGGTATTGTCTACGAGTACTTCCAGGACACCAACGACTATGGTCTGGTTTCGGTTGTCGACAGCACCAGCGTGAAGAAGCTGACCGATTTCACCTACTATTCCGAGGAGATCGCCACCGTCGACCCGTCCGGCACCAACAAGGCCTCTTACAGCCCCACCAACACCGCGCTGCAGGCTTGCCCGACTGAGGGCTCCGCCTGGGACGCCCTGGCCAGCCCCCTGCCGCCCACCCCGGACGCCGAGCTGTGTGAGTGCATGGTGTCCGCTGCCGGTTGCGTCGTCGCCTCCTCGGTCGACAGCGACGACTACGCGGACCTCTTCGCCGAGGTCTGTGGCTACATCTCCTGCGAGGGTGTGACCGCCAACGGGACCACCGGCGAGTACGGTGCCTACAGCATGTGCACGGCCAAGCAGCAGCTGATCTTCGTGCTGAACCGGTACTACGAGGAGCAGAAGTCTGCTGGCAACGGCGCCTCGGCCTGCAGCTTCGCGGGCTCTGCCACCACCAAGGCCACCACTTCTGCCACTGGCACCTGCAGCACGCTCATGGCCGAGGCCGGCACTGCGGGCACTGGCTCCGTCACCGCGACGGTGGCTGCGGCCGCTGCCTCCACCGGCTCCTCGTCCACCGCGTCCTCCTCCACCTCCAGCTCCGCCGCGAGCGTCAAGGTGAGCGCCAGTGGGTCCATGATGCTGCAGCTGGCTGCGTACTCCATCGTTGCGCTGGTGACGGGTGTGGGCATGGTGATGCTGTGATTTAAGATCCCCTTCCTACTACTTACTACTATATAGATGTACTCTTTCGAATCCCAGAATTCTTCTTACATTTTTGTATGTGTTTTACTCTATTCTCTTCGCTTTTCCCACTTAACAAACCAATTTATTATTTTTCCCTCGCCTCGTTTTGTATACGTACTCGTCTCCTCCGGCCGCGTCATCCAGGTCTACAGCACGCCGCTAGCGCAAGTCGCCCAGGCCAAGCTTTTTGGCAGTCCCACATGGTACGATTGACTGCGAGCGAACTATCGCAGGATTCAGGTGAACCATTGGTCGGCAGGTTGGGCGGGTTCGATGAGGTTAGAGAGGCGTGCGTAGACTGCGGTTGCTCCATATCTTGGTACGGAGTACTGCGCCACGTAGTTACTCTAGATTACTATGATTGAATGAACTGAGATTTGAAACAGGGGTTGACTTGATACTGGTTTATTACTTTTTACTATATGTACGGAGTAGTATGGAGTAGTAATTACTACTTCAAAATTTTTCTGTACCAAGAGTAATAATAATGTGTATGTAGTGGACACCAAGTGGACACTATGGATCCAATTTCATTTTCAATGAAAAGTCTTATGCATAATATTTATGCCTTTAGCCTGTGAAGAACAGACTAGATCGCTTTAATTCTAGATGGATATACTATATAGAGTATATAGCTATGCAGATGTCATGAACAGGTCTAGTCGTCCCTGAAAAACCCAGCGTGTGCATCTCTGGAAGCCTCGGCAAGGTATTTCTTCACTTCTTGCTCCGCTTCTGCCTCCTCGACTACTGCGCGCTCCCTTTCGATCGCTTCGACCCTTCTCACCAGCTCTGTGACGTGCACATCGGCACTGCCGAGGCCGATCCCCTCGAGGGCCTTCTCCAGTAGATACAGGTACTCGGTATTCTTCCCGCTCTGGCCGTGGCCCCTGCTGATGACCTGTGCGACGTCCTGCGGTTCCCGACGTGCCGGGTCTCGTAGAAATTGCGGGTTGGAGGGCCGCCCGATGTAAACCATGCAGGTTATCGGGGACGAGGATGAACCCCCGGCCTGCGTTGTTGTTGTTGTTGTTGCTGCAGAAGCAGGAACGGCTGAGATGGGATGAAATGGCGTATAGTGCACTGTATACCCGTCTATCTCGCGGATGTCGAGATAGTCGTGCACTTCTTCCGCGTGGGAGGCAGGAATGTGGTATGCTGCGCCCCAGACCTTCCCGCTTGCAGACTCGAGGTGAGCTTGCTGTGATGGTCAGATGCTTTACATATGATTTTCCATAAATCTATCGGGCGAATACCGGGTCGTCGAGTGTTTCCCAAAACTCCCTCTCAATCACCGTCACGACACGTCCAGGCACCTCGGGGGTTCCTCGATGGTCTGTACTGGCCTTGACATAGTTTAGCATACTATTCAATCCGCATCAATGCCTCATGCAGTATCAGACACCGACCTGCCAGAATCTCCGGACATATCCATCGATGTACCCGGGGATCCGTTGGTCTGAGAGTCATCAGCTTGCTACACCATAAACGAATTCTCTAGACACCTCATACCATAGTGAGGCGGCGGTTTCCAAATAAGACTCCTAAACAATACCGGAATTATTTAGAGCGAATTATGAAGCTCATGTATTTGTATCTGACTCACCCGTATCCAAACACCCACAGATCCCCCTGCGGGAAATATGTTCGCCACGTGCGCCCAGCTGGCGGTTCGGAGGGATTTGAAGTCGATACCATGTCTGGCAAATTATAGACAGGTCAGATAGGAGGGGAAAGCGAGGCCTCGCAGACTCCCGTTAGGATAGGATAGGATTGTGTGGTTCCGAAACAATCAATAAAATCAACGCATCTGGATCAGAATTCAGATCTGGTTATCGGCGAACCGAACAGAAGCCGCCTCGCAAAAATCGACAGTCTTCTCGACTGAAACAGTTGCACAATGCCAGTTGTTTTGTTGTCTGTTCTGCAGTCTGCCAGTGTTATTGCATTTGTCAGATGTGGCTAGACCTGTTTGCAATGTTTGCTTCGGTCGTCATCGTCCAAACAACTTCATCTTTGAAGCGCCGCGTTTTATGACCAGTCTGGACTTGAAATGGTCTATAGTCTATGGCTAACAAGTAACTATCCGATTTGGTGAGCAGTTGACGTGTTTATAGACAGAAAAGCAATTCACCCTTGTTGATCAGTCTCAGCTGTGAACATGGCAGGCCTTTTCCGCCTCCTCCGCATGCAATTCACACCACCTACTGACCCGGTGGCTGCAGGCGTCTCCTTTGCAGGCAAGACGGTGCTGATAACAGGGGCAACATCTGGGCTGGGGTTTGAAGCTGCGATCAAATTCCTCAGGCTGGAAGTTGACACGCTCATCCTCGGGATCCGCAATCTTGAACGCGGCAATGCCGCCAAGGAGGAGCTTGAGAAACGCACGAATCGACCCGGGGTGGTTCGGGTATGGGAGCTGGAGATGAACAGCTTTGCGAGCGTGCAGCGGTTCGCACAACGGATCAACCGTGAAATCGACCGGCTGGACATCGCGGTTTTGAATGCCGGTCTGACGAACCGGGAATATATTCAGTCACCCGAGGGTTGGGAAGAAACGCTGCAAGTCAACGCGCTTTCCACGTCGCTGCTGGCGCTCCTGCTGCTCCCCAAGCTTCGGAATAGCTCGTCCGCTTCGTCTGGGCCGGCTCACCTCTCCATCGTGTCTAGCCAGCAGTTTACCCGCGTCAAGGCGGACAGTCTGCGGACAGAGGGGGCACTGCTACAGCATCTCAACGACCCCGTCAATTACCATGGTCGGAAGCAATACGGGATCTCCAAGTTGCTTGTGGAGTATGCAGCCAAGAACCTCGCACAGCTCACGCGCAACGAGGATGGAAGCCTCCAGGTCATTGTGAACTCGGTCAGTCCGGGGCTGTGCATATCGGGGCTCGCGCGGCAGTACAATAGCTTCTATGAGCGATGGCTATTATGGGTGATGTACCGGATCTTTGCTCGGACGACTGAACAAGGCAGTCGGTCATTGGTGAGTGCCACGTATCAGGGGCCGGAATCGCAGGGCAAATGCTGGCGAAGCGATGGATATTTGGAGTACGTTTCCATCTTGTCTCTGTCTCTGTCTCTGTCTGTCTCTCTTGGTTTGTTTCTGACTCTCTACTGACAACAGCGAATCCGCCGCTCTGACGGTCGGTCCAGAAGGTAAAGCATTCCAGACCAAAGCATGGAGAGAAATCACCGATCTGTTGCGTCTTCAGGACTCGAATCTTGAGGTATTTTAATTGAATAGAATCTGTAAACTAATACTATGTCATACTTTGTCATTTGCTATTCTAATTACTCATACGAACAGTCCATCCAAATTAGTTAAAGAATACGAGCGTGCCCGAGGCATACTCCGTAGTCCATATTAAGTCTTCTCAGTGTTTTCTCTTGAACTCCCTACCACATAACACAGAATACACTCCCTAAGCCTGCTTGTTGAGACTGGCAGGGCGCAGGGCCCTTTGCATTCCCCCCCCCCTTAACTAATAATTGCGGCGCTGCCTGCACTAAATCTCTCCGCCCCACGCCTTCACATTTCCTAAGCGCGATCGACGTCGTCCAACACGAGGGAGTGCTTCTACGTCAGTACGGAGTAGAAAAACCCTTCTGCCTGCCGTGTCTTCGGTCTCTTTGACTCGGAATCTTCTTGACCACCTCCTTCAACCTCTCAGATCCGCGTTGTGTGCCGCGAGTTTATTGTTGCGGCGAGGGTGCCCCTCTTTTTCCTCTTATTTTTAGCATCCCTGCGCCCAGCTGGTTACGTCAAGATGGCCTATAACAAATCCTACAATCCGGATGCCCTGCCAGCGTGAGTTGAGCTCCGTGAATGAGAGAAGTTTTGCTCAGATATTCTCAGATATCCCTGACATATATTTGAATAGACACGCCGAACCCGAGCAGGTACGGATGCTACTTGGAGAGCTGCTAGAATTCAACCCCCCCCCCCCCTAACTGTGTTTACAGGTCGCGCAAATGATCGGACAGATGCAAGTCTCGCATGCTCAGCACAAACCCGTCTCGTCTCGACTACCACTTCCATCTCAGAGTTCCGCGAGCAGCGGGGTACCGCCGCGGGTTCCCGTCTCGCACGCTTCTTCGCCGGGCCCTCAACACCAGTCGTACAATGGCCGGGGTGGTAGCACCCCGGGACATCTCAACAACCGACCACATCCTCTGCATCCGTCACCGCCGCCACAGAATTACGGGTTTGGCCCGCCACCCGTGCAGCCGGTGCGCAACCGCCCGCCGCCGCAGTCGCGTCCTCCGGCGAACTCGCACCCTCCCGCGCTGACCACGCCCGACGATGACCCGCAGCAGCTGTTCCCGCTGTTCCGGGCTGCCAATTCGTCTCATTCCGGGGCGCTGACGGAGCTGGAACTGGGTTCGGCGCTGGTCAACGGGGACTTTTCGTCGTTCCACCCGAAGACGGTCAAGATGATGATCCGCATGTTCGACCGGAACGGCAGCGGGACGATCTCGTTCGACGAGTTTGTCTCGTTGTGGCGCTACCTCGCGGCGTGGCGGGAACTGTTTGAGCGGTTCGACGAAGACCGTAGCGGTCGGATCAGTCTGACGGAGTTTGAAAAGGCGCTGGTCGCGTTCGGGTACCGACTCAGCCAGCCCTTCGTCACCGTGCTCTTCTCCACGTTTGAAGCCAAGGGACGGCAGGTCGCGGGCCACAACGCGCCGGGAATGAGCTTTGATCTGTTTGTGCAGGCGTGTATCAGTCTGCGCCGCATGACAGACGTCTTTAAGCGGTACGACGACGACCGCGATGGATACATCACCGTCAGTTTCGAGGAGTTTCTCACTGGTATGCTCAACTTGAACCACTATGAATATAAAAGCAAAGCTAACCATGCGATAGAAATCCTACAATTGCAGGATTAAATCCTGATCATTCTTCCATTGCATATACCTAGTTCTAGTTATACCCTATAGATACCATTCTGATACTATTTCTAGTATACTCTATCGTACCGTGTAGTATTCTTATATCATTACTAAATATTTACTCAAGTTCTCATATTAGTATATTTATAGCCATCGGGGTTAATCTCGCTCGGCGCGGACGTTCGGCCATTTACGGAGATAACTTTCTTCAGGCAAATCTGTATGATCGGCCGTGTTTTGCCTCCGAGTAGTACTAGCAGCAGTAGTAGTAGTATCTACTAGATAGTTACCTAGATACCTAGGTAGTTATGTAACTTGTAGTAGGAGGAGTATAGTTACCTATATTAGAACCGCCATGTTTTCTTGTTACACAGCATATCCGACTCACCGTGCTACTCCTACATTCCGACTCCGTAGTACTCCGTATAGTACTACATAGTATACTCATCAAATAGTACAGTACATATTACAGATATCATAGATTCTGTACTCAACTGATATTTGGACAATAGTAAATAAAGAATAAATAAAGAAAGAAAAATTAATAGATTGATTTTCTTAGAAATTAATTCGCCTCTGGCTGGTCCGTCGGCCTTTGGCAGCGCCGAACCGCCGCGCGTGATTCAGTCCATTTTTCTTCTTTAAGGCTCGATCGATCTGGATCATCATCGAGGCTGATCCTGTTTATAAGCGTTGAACTTGGATTCTTCGCATCCGATCTTTTATCATCTTACGTTCTATATATTATATTCTTCTATATTGTGTGATTTTTCTCTCCTTTCCTTCGTTTTGATATCTTCGAGATGACCGCCACCGACAGAACGAGCGACACCGCCGTCGAAATAGACGGACCGTCTCAGGAGCAAGGAGACAACCCCCTCGCAACTCTCGAAGACTCGGACAATATGGCCCTGCAGGAGGTGGGCAAGGAGGGACAAGGCGAGGAAGATACCGGCGAGGAGGGGATGGGCGAGGAGCTCGCCCAGACGGCCACGGGGCAGCCCCTCGACCGGGTGCCCTCGCAGGCGCAGAAGCTGGGCAGGAAAAAGGTCATGGTGATCATGACGGCGCTTTGCGTGGGTTCCCAACATTTATATTAAAGGAGTTTTTGATATTTTTATATATATAATGCTGACAATGTAGTTGGTGGTGTTCCTTGCGGCGCTTGATATGGTAAAGTCTCACTCAATTCAGATACACTGTGAAGAAAATGACTGACTTTTAGACCATCGTCTCTACTGCCCTACCCACCATGGCATCGCATTTCAACGCTACCGAGAGTGGTTATTCGTGGATGGCGTCGTCGTACCTCTTGGCCAACGCGGCTTGTATTCCGCTCTGGGGGAAAGTGAGTGACATCTGGGGTCGGAAGCCCGTCATCCTTGCCGCCAACTTGATCTTTCTCGTCGGCAGTTTGGTCTCCGGACTGGCGGATAATCTGGCGATGATCATCTCCGGCCGAGCGGTCCAGGGGGTGGGCGGTGGTGGAATCATCATCTTGGCCAATATTTGTGTGACGGATCTGTTCAGCGTCAGGTACGTGCTTAGAATGAAGCTAAAAGGTTGACACAAAGCTAATGCCTGCGCAAGGGATCGCCCGCTGTATTACGCCCTGTTCGGTGCGACGTGGGCCATTGCCAGTGCGCTGGGGCCCATCATCGGCGGTGCTTTTACCACCGATGTGACCTGGAGATGGTGCTTCTACCTGAACTGTAAGTGTGATGATCATTATTAATTAAATGAAACCAATCTTGCTAATCCAATCCCAGTACCCATTGGAGGTTTCTCATTTGTCGTTCTATTTATCCTGCTCAAGGTGGAATCTGAAAAGGTGCCTCTCCTCGCCGGCCTGCGCAGCATCGACTGGACCGGCACGCTGCTCATCGTCGGCGGCACGCTGATGTTCCTGTTCGGGCTCGAGTTCGGCGGCGTCAACTACCCGTGGGCCTCGGCCACGGTGATCTGCCTGATCGTGTTCGGCCTGGTGACGCTGGCCCTGGGCATGGTCAACGAGTGGAAGTTCGCCAAGTACCCCGTGATCCCGACCCGGCTGTTCACCAACTGGCACAACGTGCTGATCCTCCTGGTCTGCTTCTGCCACGGGTTCGTCTTCATCGCAGGCACCTACTACCTGCCGCTGTACTTCCAGACGGTGTTGCTGGCCTCCCCGATCCTCAGCGGCGTGTACATCCTCCCGCTGGTGCTCTTCCTGTCTCTGCTCTCCATCGCGACGGGGATCATCATCCGCAAGACAGGCCGCTACCGCGAGGTGATCATCTTCGGCATGGCCTTCATGACTCTGGGATTCGGCCTCTTCATCATCCTCAAACCCTACGCCGCGTGGGCACGCATCGTCCTCTTCCAGTTCATCGCGGGCGCGGGCGTCGGCCCCATCTTCCAGGCCCCGCTCGTCGCCTTCCAGGCCAACATCCACCCCTCCGACATGGCCACCGCAACCGCCACCTTCGGCTTCATCCGCCAGCTGTCCGCCTCCATGTCCGTCGTCCTGGGCACAGTCGTCTACCAGAACGTCTTGGGCCAGCGCATGCCCGAGCTGGTCGCCGCCGTCGGCAAAGCCACCGCAGAGGAATTCGTCGACTCCTTCGCCGGCTCCGATAAGGATCTCATCGCCGCTCTCGCTCCTGCCGCCCGTCGCGTCGTCCTCGACGCCTTCACCTATACCTTGTCCCGCATGTGGATCATGTATACCGTCGTCGCCGGCCTGGGCCTTCTTTTCTCCCTCCTCGTCTCCCCAGTCGAACTCAGCAGGAAGCACGTCACCCACAAGACGGGCCTCCAGCAGCAGGAGATGGCCAGACAGGAGATCCTTGCTGCGCAGCGCCAGGACCAACGCCAGGATCCTTCCAAGCCAGAACTGGACGTTTAATCTTCTATACTGTTCATCTTTATACTCTTCATCTTTATACTTTTATACCCTCATACTTTATATACTTATCTCGGGCTATAGACTAATACCAAATGAAACTATCAAATGAAAATATTGTGTAAAGAAACTTAGTATACCTAAGAACTATATACAACGCCGTGAGGACGGGTATAGCAACCAGATTAGCGAGAAGCAGAGCAAGAACCAGAAGAGCAAGAGAATAACAAGATTCAATAGTCAGCCAGACCCAACGCCATCCATGCACTGTTACTAGAACCTAGGCCGCACGTCAACAGTAGACTACACCTGGAGAGAGAGAAGAAAAGAAAAGGAAACTGAAAAAAAGGAAAAAAAGGAAAAGAAAGAAAAGGAAAGAAGGGAAAGAGAGGGAAAGGAAAGATAGGTTCAAGTTTTCGTCCTCTTCATCCCCCCCTCAGGCGACTGCCCCCCCTCTGGAGACTTGCGTTTCTTGTCTGCGTCGAGGTCATCGCGCGCGAACCCCGGGCCCATCGGGACGGCCGGGGTGGGAAAGGTCAAGGGGCTAGGCAGCATGTTTGTGTCTGGGCCGGAACGGCCGAAGCCCCATTCCGGGAAGAACGAGGATGGGGAGGGGAGAAGGGCGTCGGAGACGAAGCGGCTGGGGAGGGCGGAGATGGGAGTATCGATATTGTTGTTGTTGTTGTATGCTGAGTTGTTGGTTGCTGCCGCCACCGCGGCAGTGGAAGAAGAGGTCCCGTTGTTATTCACCGCGGTGGTCGCTGTTGCATTACTGCCTCCGCTGTTGCTACTGCTGGTTGTTGGTGGGGGGGGAGGAGGCCGTGCAAACGGGTTGGGAGGCCCCGTGGCACCTGCGCTCAACACGACCCCGGCCGAGGGCGAGGGAGGAGGCAGCACGACGCCCGAGTGATTCCCATCCGCCGCCGCGGCTTTGGCAGGGGTCATGTTCCGGGTATGTCCTGTCGAATCGTGCGACGAGGACTCGGCCGTCGCGCTGCCCTTGTCCGAGGTCTCGCTGGGGATCTGCACCTTGAGCTGTGGTCGCTTGGGTGGGATCTGGCTGCTGGTGCTGGCTGTCCGTACGGGGGGGGCTCGGACGTCGGCCGCCACCGGGTGCTTCGCCGAGGGAGCTTCACCGGCCCCGGGCTTGTCTTTGGCATCTTCCGGCTTGAGCTCGGATTTCACCGTTTGTTCACCGCGAGGGGAGTCGGACAGCGGGGGGCCCACGCCGAAATGTCGCGCCAGCACAGATCCACGATCGTCAATGGGAGTAAAGATACTGCGGGACTTGGACGAAAAAGAGCGCTGCAATGGTGGAGACTGGCTTCCTTCCGCCTTGAGCTGGCCCGGCATTTGTTCCTGTGATGATGTTTCAAGTAAAGGACCGGCGCGGTGTGCCTGTTGATGTGGCTTTTGTTGTTGTTGCTGCTGTTGTTGTTGCTGCTGCTGCTGCTGTTGTTGTTGTTGTTGTTGTTGTTGTTGATGTGGCTGAAGCTGATGTTGTGGGTGCTGTTGGTGCTGTTGGTGCTGCTGGTGCTGTTGGTGCTGCTGGTGCTGTTGGTGCTGTTGGTGCTGTTGATGTGCATGCGCGTGCTGCTCCTGAGGGAACGCGGGTGGCATAGAGCCTCTCCCCTGGTCATGCATGTACACCGGAGCCATGGGTGGCTGCGACTGCGGTGGCAGACTGTGTGGATGGGCAGCATGGGGGGGGAGATGCGGAGGCATCTGCTGCTGCATGGGGTGCGGAGCGGGCTGGGGATGGACGTAGTGCGGATATTGCGGGGGCCGCGGGGGCTGCTGGTTATACATGGCTGCTGGATTGGGCACGTAGGCGAAGCCATTCGGTGCCGTTGGCTGGTGCGGCGGGTGTGGAGGGGGCGGCGGAGTCGCAGCGTGATGCTGCTGCGGCACGAGGTTGGAGCTGACCCGACGGACATGATTCCTTGACGATGGGCGGGAGATGTGCTGAGGCTGCGGTGTTCCATGGCGGGGGTGGTTGAAGGGCACGCCGTTGTTGATCGGCGGAGAGGCAGAGGGCGCCTGATTGATGTGCTGGAAGCCCTGCTGGGTCTGTAGATGCGGCGGGACAACGGAATGCGGGGGGTTCTGGGGAGCCAAGTCTTCTGGCGCCGGAGTGAGCTCGTCATCATCATCGTCGTCGCCATCGCGTTTGCCGAGAAAGTCTTCCGGTCCTTTGTGTTCGTGAGGAGGGCCGAACTGAAGGGTCAGTTTATGTCTATGGATACAGAGAGAGAGTGCTTGGGGGAATTACATATTGGTAGCGCCCCAGTGTCTCTCGCATATCACACGAGGAGAACTCATAGAGCTTTTTATTATGACCGAAGATGATGACAGCCACATCGACCGAGCAGAGCACGGCTAGCTCATGGGCCTTTTTGAACAGGCCGCCTTTGCGTTTGAGAAAGGTGCTATCGGGAGCGCGTCAGCAATCGAAAATTTTCCCCCAATCTATGAGGCGATCCCCCCCCCCTTCCCGCGTCGCAACAAAGCTACTTACACCGATCGGTTGCGATCGTCCTTGATCGCCTTGATCTCGATTTTCCTCCGACCCATGATGGCCTATCACGCGGATGTCGCGGGTAACTTCTGGTTGGATTCGGACGGGGGGTCGAGGGACGGTAGTGGTGAGACGCACAACGCCGGGCTCTGGATGGACAAACGAGGGTAAAACAGGCAGCCTTCACACAAGCTGCGTTTCGAGCAGCAACTTCTTCCCCCAGCCAACGATGGAAAGACAAGGAGCCGATCGGTATACGGCCGGCGGGTAGGCGACAGAAAGAAAGGGCTCTCCCGGTCGCGAGGAGGCGGCGCGCCCGGCCAAGCAGCGACAGTCGCAGCAGAAAGCGAACAGAAACAAAACCGACAAGAGAACCGGAGCAGCGGCGAGACGCGAGATGCTCCCACGGTCGAGATTCAGGCTGCTCACCAACACGGAGTCAATCGGAGCGCTCACAGCTCAGTGGGGGATGGTTGAACACGCGGCGAGCAGCAGATTCTAAAGATAGAAGATGCTGAGTCAGCGGCGGCTAGCTGCTTAGTAAGAATACAATCGTAAACAATAACTAAGGACTCTGTAACAATAGTTAACAGTTGAGCGTCAGTTCTGCTTATCGTTTATATCATTTTGAGTGAGACTATACTTGTTGAAAAACTATTCTACTAAATACTATATAACTAGGTACGGAGTACTACATACTAACTACTATGTAGTTACTACGGAGTAAAAAGACCCTGCTTATCAGAGTACTAGAACAGTCTAGGCAGGGACTATTGCTGCAACAACAATAAAATAGATCATTATTGTATATACTCCTCCATAAAAAAATCCCATCGGGTCACTGGCTCAAGAATACATATGATAGATATCCTATGAAAGCACAATGAGGCAATCCCCAACCACGGCTCACTGTCGGATCACCAAATCCCAAATCCTCGCCGTGTTTTACCCCTGATCGATTCGCATCGCCCCTGCCAGCCCGTCTATCTCGACCAGCGCGATCAGCTCTGCTAATTAATTTCTCTTCTCTTCTCCTCTTCTCCATCCTCTTTATCCTTTTCATTCTTCTTCTTCTTCTTCTTATTTTGTACTCTTCTTCCCCCCTTAAATAATTGCTTCTCAAGTCTTTCCCTGAATCCCTGCCACTCCTTTGAATCCGTCTGTCCTTGCCGTTTCACCTCCAACCCTTCGACCGACCCACTGGCCCTGTGCTGCAGTATTTGACGGTGACAGCAAAGGCCAATCATCCAGACCAGCAAATCGCCTCGTCCAACGCCCGTTTTGGGCTGCTGGCCTGGCAGCTTGGAACCTGCAGCTGAATCTCCGCCAGACCGTGGCTCCGACTTGGGCTATTGACACGCTCTTTCACCTCTTCTTTCCCCGTTTACATACTTTTCAATTTTTTGAGTGGTTGGTTTTTGTTTTTTTTTTTTTTTTGTTAAATAAAAAAAAATACAATCCACTGAAAGACCCTGTCTCGATCGACCAGTCTAACTGACATCGTGAGAGAGTTGTTGTCTGTTTGGGTTGTCCGTCGCCCCTTTTCCTTGTACACGCTGTCCACCCTCACCTCCTCCTCCTCCTCCTCCCCCCACCGCGAGAAATCCTCGCGATCCCCGCGAGATGCCCTTCTTTTCTCGCGTCTTCCGCGGCAAGGACTCCGCCGCTGCGAAGAAGAACGCGAAAAACGCCCTGGTGGAGAATCTCGGGCCCGCGAAGCCTAGATGGACGGACGCCTGGCAACGGACGGAGGTTGCTCCCGAGGAGGTCCACGACCTCATCCGAGGCTGCACCCAGGAGTTGAAGGCGCGAGGTATGTACCAACAAGTCCTGACGTACTGATTGATGATGCTTGCCCTTGCCCCGCCATGTGCGTTTGCGTTTGCATTCCTCCGATCGCTGCTGATCCGTGCTGCGGCGTCCCAGCGCTCGATACCCCCTTCCTGCTGCTCCCCTACCGTCCCGCCTCCGATCCCAGTGCCGCCCGCTCCTGGGTACGCAATTATTTCACCAGCGCCGTCGACAAGTCTGCCCCCTGGACCGGTGATGTTCTGGTGCAAGAACTGCGCCTCACGGATCCACTGGTGAGCTACCCCCTCCACGTTTCTGCCGCAAAAACAATCACAACAACAACAACAACAACACCCCCGCTAAGTCGGTCGAACAGGTCATTTGCAGTGTTCTGAAATGGTGCTGGAGCAGATTGCCTGGAGGTGTCGTCACCTGGGAAGCTTATGAACTGTTCAAAGTCGGCGAACAGGGTATGTACTCATCCCTGTCCTGTACCTGACGGATGAAAATACTGATAGACCACCCCTCCTCCCCCCCCCCCAGACTCGCAACTAGCCCGCGACGCATTTTCCACCTTCATCCCCATCAGCGTTGACTCCGATGCTCGTACCAGAATCATCTTCGATTTCTTCGATCTACTCTCTGCCATTGCCGCCCATGGCAAGTCCAACGGCCTCGGCGGCCGCAAGCTCTCGCGCTATGCTGGATGGTGGGCCTTTGAGCATACGGACAACGGCAAAGGCTTCGAGGCCTCCTACAAGAACTGGACTGCGTATGTTTCATCGAGATTGCTAATTTGCTAATTTGCTAATTTGCGCAGAGCGGCGGACGCGACTAGCCATCTGTTCTTCGCTTACCTGCGATCCATCTCCCCCGATTCCCCGCGCGGCATCAGCGGTATCTCGTCTCTTCCAATCGCCCTTCAAACCCTCGTGCAGGCCACCGAGTATCCCCCCGAGACACCCATCTTACTGCAGATGACCACCACTAAAGTCATCATGATTGTCGACACCGTCTCCCCGACCCCCTTTGCCCTCCTGCGCCGCGCCAAGAACTTCGAGTATCGCGACAGCGATCGCCACCTGCAGGAGTTTGCCAGCTTTGATGACCCAATTCAGGCCTTGACCGATGAGTGTCTGCGTGTGCTGCGCTGCATCTCCTCTCTGAACCAATCCGCGGTCTCTAGCTCCAAGACCTCCACGAGTCTGCGTGACGCCTCGTGGTCCCGCTTCGAGGACATTGGTTTTGGCGGCGCCATCGAGTCCGACATGGATGACGAGAGCTCCGAAGTGACCACGACCCGCGCCGAGTTTGGGGGCATCAGCGGTGGCCTCCGTTCAGCCCCCCACTCGATAAACGGGGACCTCGGCCGCCCAACCACCCCTTCCTGGGCCGATTTCATGTCCTCTGGGTTTTCGGACGAGAATGGCATCCGGCAACCGCCGCCGCTGCTCCTACCTCCCGACAAGGTCCTGCCCCCCATCGCCACCGTTCGTGGCCAGAGCTCCCAGTCGCACAAGCGTTCCTTCGATATGGGCGGGGACCCCACCCTCCAGCCCGGCGAGCTGGCCAGCATCACGAACTTTGATCTGGACGACTCCTTCTGGTGGGTCTGGATCAGCAGTCTGGCTGGCGAGGAGCCGGCGGTGCGCAAGGCGGTCTTTGGCCGCTGCGCCCTGCTGGAAACCATCATCCAGGGCACCAAGTGGCTCGTGCTTGAGGAACAGGTCAAGGGAGCCGCCCCGGAACCCGATCCGAATGCCTACATTGTCGAAAAGAAGCGCTTCTTTGGCTTCACCACCCGTAAGACCAAGCTGAACCGCAGCAAATCCTCGGCCAAAAAGATCGCCGGCGCCGCCGCTTCTTCGGTCGAGGACTCGTACCGCCGGACCAACAACCCTGGCTCCCAGAGCAAGACCAGCATTGCCCCGGATCAGCACGCCCGCATCCAGGCCGCCGCCGCCGCCCTGCAGCGGAAACATCGCGAGGAGCAGGAGGCTACCAACGGCCGACAGACCCAGGTGCCGGATGATGCCTATTCCACCAAGACGAATTCCATGATGACACTGCAGCCGACGATCATGAATGAGGCTTCGCATGCGCTCAAGTGGGCCAGCAACTACGACAAGAATGCCTACCGAACGGCCTACCTGGCCGACAGCCGCGCCGGCACGGGTCTCATGGCTGAAAAGCCCCTTGAGAAGGTCTCTAGCCATGGTCCCCCGTCACCGACCACGACCAAGCAACCTCCGCCGGCACCCGTGGCGGCAGCCGCAGTGTCCGCAGTGTCAGCACCAGCCGCCGCCGCAGCAGCAGACAAGGATGTTCTTCCCCCGACCCCTACTTCTCCTACGACGGTGGTTCCTGAGACGGTCCCGGTTAGTTCTCCTCCCGTGCAGTCTGAGGTGAAGACCCCCGCGGAATCAGCACCGAAAAAATCCGGCGAGTCAGTTGAAGACCCGCACAAGAAGTTACAGAAGAAGAAGCCGGTCGCCACCGGGTTGAAGGGCATGTTTGGCACCGGTAAGAAGAAGGGGGATCACCCCCCAATGAGACCGACGGAGGCTGAGCCGTCGGCTGTCGCCGCCGCGCGCGCGGCGCTCGAAGGCAAGGCCCGGGCTGCCGAGCAGTCCGTCAGCCCTCCATCAAAAACGACTCCGCCCCCTACCCGAGTGCCTGGCTTGAAGAAGAAGCCCGTCCCCACGGACGATGACACTGCTGTTACTGTTCAGCCCGCTACCAGCCCGGAGCCTCCCACGTCTCCTCGTGCCGCACCCGCAACCGAAGCAGCGACGGCGGCCGCCACGCAGCGTTACGATGGCCCCCCACGCACTCGGCGAAACATGGAAACCGATGCCCTCTCACGGGTGGGCACTAACGAGCAAGCGGCTGCCGATCGGGAGTTCTCGCGGTTCGATCAAGGACCGCTGACGGAGCAGCCTGCCTTTGTACCGGAGGACTCGCCGGTGATAGAGGAGGCCTCGGTGGCATCTCAGGAGGAAGCTCCCTCCTCGCCCAGCAAAGGCGTGGATGGAGAGGCCTCATCGACGATTCCGGCGGCAGCGGCGGCGTCCTACGACCGGTGGGCGCAGATCCGCAAGAATGCGGCCGAAAGGGCGGCGATGCAGAGCGAAGAAGTTGCCACCCGATATAGCCAAGACCGGACGGATGATGGTGACACCAGCGGAGAAGAGAGTAAGTTTCTCACGATGACATATATGAAAATTAGGGCTTTCGTTGCTAACTTTTTCAGCCATTGAATCGCGTGTTGCTCGGATCAAGGCCCGTGTAGCTGAGCTGACCGGTAACATGGAAGCCGCTCGATAGTTCTTCAGCTCTTTGTTGTTGTTGTTGTTGTTGTTGTTGTTGCTGTTGTTGTTTCCCCCTTCTTTTCCCCGTCTTCATCTCCTACTGCTATTCCTTGTTCTCTTGTCTTTTTCCTTATGATTCTGCATACGACGTCAAGTCTATATGCCTGATGAGTACTCCCCCGAGTACTATTCGTCTTCTTGTCAGCCTACCGTCCCTATTGATCGATTTTCTTTGTCCCTTGGATGCCCTTTCAGCCTGAAGATATCCCATGGCGTCTGACCAACCGTCAGCCTGTTTATTCTTACCGTCTTGAATATTAGTACGAATATTAGTATAATAGCTACAAGACTCGTGATTTGTAAATACTCTAGAGATTTATACGTAGTTAATACCAGGCTACCTAGGCTACCTAGGCTACCTTCAACGCCTTTAGAATCTCCAATGCCACACCTCTTGCACTCCGCGGATTTTGTCCCGTAATCAAGACGGATCCCGTCCCCGCCGCACACGAGACGACGACCTTCTCGTCCCACGCCCTGCTGGATCGAAGATACCCGCCGCCCGAAACGAGCTCGAGTCTCTGTTGCAGGGAGAAGGGCATCGCCTCCACCATTCCCGTCGCTTCCTCCTCTTCGTCCGCGAACCCGGTCACCTCCGCGCCCGAGAGGAGCGGGATCCCCGACGGAGCAGTTGCGTTCAGCAAAGCTGCTGGGCCGTGGCATACGGCTGCGATGGGTTTCTTCTCTGCAGCGAAGGATTGGAGGAGAGCGAGACTGTGTTTGTTGGAGGGGAGGTCGAACATTGCTACTCCATTAGCTGATTGCATAAAGTGGAGTAAAAAACAAGGGGCATATATATATATATATATATATGTCTTACGTCCATGTCCACCTATGTAGAAAATTGCGTCAAAGTCATGAACCCGCCCTACTATCTCGCGAAGAGGAAGAGTTCGCATCCATACATCCTGGTGATCTTTTAGAAAGGCTTGTGCTTCTTCGTCGTCGTGGAAGAGCTTGATTGAGGTCGGGTCGAGGGGGGCCTGGCCGCCTTGCGGGGAGGAAATGGTTAACTTGATTTTATCCTTGAGGGTGTAGAACGGGTGAGCTAGTTCTGGCTGGAAGAGTTAGAGACTATGAATCTTTTTTTTTTTTTTTTTTTTTTTTTTTTTTTTTTGGAGCTGTTACCAGGTACCACCCTGTTTGGGCTTTGGTGGAGGGGATCTCGGCTTGGGAGGTGAGGACGATGAGGAGGTTCATCTTGAGGGAGATGGATGGAGTAAGCTTGTTCTAGACATGTCTTGGGTAATATTTATAGAAACGGATACGTCATTTATACATTATTACAGGGTCATTCATTTATAAGAGATGGACTCATTCTATTTACATCAGAATTATATAACGTACTCTGTCCGCCGCAGCCGGCGCGTCGCTTCCGCCGCCACCAGCGCACTCAGCGCCCCGATGAACAGACACACTGCGATCCCGTTCGGCGAGTCGCTGTTGACGTTCATCCATTCGGTGTCGGCGGGGGGGGTTTCAACACCCTCCGCACCCGCGGGTTGCTCGTTGCGCGCGGGCTCCAGGATGCTAAACACGATCCAGCTGATGAACGTGCCGACAAACTGTGGCAACGTGGTGTATACGTTTAGCACGCCTAGGTAGATCCCCGCCAGCTCGCCCGTCGAAGCAAAGTTGGCGGCGGGCGATGATGATGAGGCGCGAGCAGCCGTGGGATACCCGGCCTCTTCGTCGTCGGTGTCGCTGTCTACGTCGCGGTGATTGAGACGTAGCACGTCCAGTTCTGCGTCGGCCACGGGCGCGTCGACGTGGTGGTGCCGGATGGTCGTCGAGGTGATCATGGTGATACCCGAGCGACTGTCGGCCGTTGGCGACGTGTTAATCGCCAGCTTGTTGATCTCGACGCCCATAAAGGCAAACGGCGCCCAGCCGCTGATCGCCCAGGGGATCCCGCAGATGGCAACAAGGCTGGTGGCAAAGGCGCGAGACCGGGCCAGCGGCGCAAAGATCATCGTCGCCGCGAACATCAGGTCCGAGATCAGCCATGCGGTCTGAAGATCCGGTCGGATCGCCGTCAGCCGGGTGAGCACCGCGGCCAGCCGTTCCGGTGGGCGCGGGGTGAAGTTTGGCCGTTTTTTGTTCTTGTCCGGCGCCTGCACGCAGAACGGCAGCAGCACGGAGCTGAGGAAGGTAATGGAGGAGAAAACGACCAGAGACAGACTGCCTAGCCGGCCGACTTCTCCGAGAATGTCCTTTGACTCGGCCGCGCCCTGAGGAGCTTCGTAGCGAAAATACGTCTCTCCGACCCATGTCGTGCTGTAGAACAGAAAGGGGAACCAGCCAATCCATGCCCAGAATTGAGCCCAGCAAATCGCTTGGATCCGAGGCGGTAGGTCTAGTGTCGTCTTGAATAGCTGCGAGAGGACTTGGATCGCCCCGGCTTTGCCATCAGAATCTCTGCTCTTGGTTAGAAAAGTTCAATAGCTGTCAAAATGACAAACTTAAAGACTGACCGAGCGGATATCAAAACCCGTTCCTGCACGGAAATAGAGGTAACAGATACAGCCACGATCAGCGACAGTGCTGCAATCACCGTCATCTGCTTGAACTGCGTGTCACCAATCGCCGTGCCAAACAGGCCGACGGTATCAAGAGACCCAATTGCATATCCAATCAATTGACCAATGGACGCCATTCTACTGGCTTGTAAGAATTAGCGGTGCTCAGAGTGTTAGTAGGGTACGGAACATGCATACCCCATGCTGATCCGGCCTGTTGTTGTGGAATCGGTAGCGTGTCAACAATCAAGCTGCGACAGCATGCTTGGACTAAGCAAAATTAGCAAACAAAAACGGTTCGGAGTATGTGTTGCGCGAGTACTGACCGACGTTGATGGCGAAATCGACCGCGTAGATACTCAAGACGGCAAGAGCAATAGTAGCTTTTTTGGCCTGGAGAAGTCAGCGACGGAAGTTCAGATTACCACGTCAATACCACCCGGCAGAAATAATAAGGAACAATCACCCTTTCTGGATCCGAGACAAACATGCCGACAATCTCTGTAGTCCAGCCTAGCACCAACAAGCATGCGGCGACGACAAATGAGCCGACGACCATGAACGGTCTGCGTCTGCCCCATTTCGAACGCGATCGATCCGCAATCACGCCAATAAGAGGCTGAATGATCAGCCCGGAGAGAGGGCCGGCGATCCACACGAGGGAGATCCGTGATTTCGTGAGGCCGAGCTGGAGGAGATACGGCGTACAATCTGCGATCCCGTCAGGAAAAAAGACCCTGAGGAGGGGGAGGCGGCGCGCGGCATACATGTCATCTCAATACCCCATGTGAACCTAACCGGTCAGCGATAGCTTCCATCAACAACAAGTACACGGTAGAGAAACGCACTGTAACCCCGCCAGGCTGCACGTCAACAGCGCCATCCGCGCTGATTCTGTCCGGCCCTTGATGGATGGCGTGCCCACCCATCTCGCAGCTTGCGGCATGATGGCCAGCCCAGCATCCGTCTAGATATCCCTCAGAGACCAACAGCTTGTCTGCTCCTTTTTTTTTCCCCCCCCGGAATAAACCTAGATAGCAAGAAACGCAAACGCGACGCTGATGTCGCACCGCAACTCGCTCCACAGCTATACGTATGCTCCGAGAAGCTAGTAGCTACCAGTCAGTCAAGATGAGAGTCTTTCTTGCCTGTGAGGCGACTGGCAGAAAGTATAGAGAGGGTAGGTAATAGGAAGAACCGAGTCTAGATGACATGCGACAAGAAGAAAAAAAAAAGAAAAGAAAAAGCAGAAAAGAAACCCACGGCTGAGCGCTTGCGGGCCCCCGTGCTGGGAACCTGGAAGCCATCGCGCGACCCGCAACGGGCGACCAGAACGAGGCCCCCCCCCGGCTTCAGGGAGCGGCGCCGATCGAAAATCATCGTGGGACACAGCCACGTAGCTGGGGGGTGCTGCAGTTACAAAGTGAGTAAGGCTGTCATGGCTGTGCTTCCAGGTTGCTCTGCTATCCACTGATTCGATTTCAGTCGTTGGCATCAAGGAGGTGGAAACAATCTTCCGCATGCGAACTGCTGCGTGGGCTTCCCTTGCGTGGTTCTAATTAGGGAGCTTATGTCAGCTGTACCATATCTAGACTCATCTTTAGTTACGAGGTAGTTACCTAAGTCACTAATGTGAGAAGATACTACCTGGTTATCTTCCTGCACCAATCATTCTGCATAATTCTATTGTGATTCGAGTGCTAGGATCATGAGACAATCCCTTGTTAATTTAACTAGTCCATTGGTGGCTTGCTGATAGAATTGATGGCAGGCCAGCTATCGTCTGCTTATCTGCAAGGACTGAAGCTACATTCAATATATTTCTAGCCATAATAATAGTCGTCAGTTATGTCAAGGCTTGTATAACTAGTACAATTGACGGGTATGATCTAGTACAGATGAACATCCTTACCATGAAGGTTCAAGTTGGTGAATCAACTAATCACCTCATCTACTAGCATCGACCCTACACGTTGTGCGTCTCAAATACCAGTAGGTATGTAGTATACCTGTGTAGGTGCATAGGGTAGGTCGATAGTGTCAAACTCCGTCTACTGAACAGCGGACATACTGGAGATAGAAGTCCAGAGTCTATTGTATTCGGCCCGTGGCACATGAAGTTATCACTTTTTAAATCAAAACAGTATGGTATCCACCCGCGCGGCCCCTTCGAGAAGAGAAAAGAAAAGAACCCAAGGCGTGCTGCGAAACGATTCGTTGCGGAGACGTTGAAAAAAGTGGTTATGGATTTGGTGTTGTCTGATGCGGTTCAGGTACACTTGGAGAAAAAGCAGCGATGCAGTCGCATCCGCTTGGCCCAACTGTAGAGAGAATTGGAATAAAAGGAGGCAAAAAAAAAGAAAACAAGACACAAGGCCTCGCTAGATCGATAGCTAGAGAGGTTGTAGTGGAAAGTAAGAATCAATGTGGTAGAGAATAATTTCTTTCTTTTTGTTTCTTCCTTTTTTTTTATTCGTAAGGCTGGGGTGATGGCCCTGCCTCTCCCACGAACGTGATCAAACCCGCCAACTCCATCACTTTCAACACATCGGCTCGTACCGTTTTTGAGACTCCTTGCCCGTCACGACTGCGCGAAAAAATGGGAACCCCCCGCTAAATACAGAAAGCCATTTAGATGTTGGAGGGGTAGAGCATGATGCGCACGGTAGCGCCGAAGGACTTGGGGGGGAGGTTGTGGCGGAACTGTGCGCGGACGACGCCCGAGTTGCCTGGGACTGTTAGTTCCTTGATTTCTTATTTCCCCGCCCAAAAAATGCGTAAAGCATTTTCTGGCTGAAGCCTTCATCCTTTTCTCACGTACCGTGTGTGCGGGTAACCTTGCCCCAGATGACCCGGATGTTGGAGCCACGGACCTCACGCTTGGCCCGGTAGACGAAAGCGACCTTCTTTCCGAGGTAGAAGCTGTGTGAAAGAAAACCGTTTAGCTGCTGTCCATACGTATTTTCTTCCTCCCACGTTTGCCGTGTTATATCCATGTTCAACTCACTCGGCAGCCTTGGTGTCAGCAACACCGTCGATCTGGATCAGACTATACGCAAAATTGGGTCAGCCACTGCACTCATTTTCTTCTCGACTATCGCCACAAGGGTATCTACCTGGTGTTGGGGTTGGTGTTGCGCTTTCCACGCTGGTAGCTCAGGTGACGACCCCTGGTGAAAGAACATCGCATTAATATCCATTATTCCCATCACTGTCCCTGGCTGTGCGTTCGATCGGTCGGGGCGATATTCGACGCGCCACGGATCACTAGGCGATGAAAAGGGCATGAAACTTACTTGACATATACTAGCAACGCACAAACAAGTTAGCATCGTCTTCCACAGATTATTGCGCGCATCTCCAGGCATCAAAACTCGGAAGGGTAGCTAGCATGGGCAGGGCTTCAAAACTCACGTCTGTGACCGGATTCCGAAGACATTGTGACGGTTATTTTCTGAGCAACAGCGGGCAAGGCAGACAAGTCGATGGAAAGCAAGCTGACCCGCAAAAGTCAGGTGTCGTACGTCCGGGTGGTCGTGGTTTGTCGTCGCTTCGATTGAAGATAGGCGAGCGGGCGGACGCACAACGTCCAATTTGCAACGGTGTGTTCGGCGGCGAGTGTGGCGCTAAACCCAAACGGGACCCTTAGCGAGTGCGGCGCCCTCAAGGGGGGCCAAGGGCTAGGCGAGATCCCGTGATGTCCGATCTAGTCTGTTTTGGTCTGTTCCGGGGACCTCTCTCGGAAAATTAGTATCGCCGACAGCCGGTGACAATCCGCTTATCTAATCTACCGTTAGTCATCCGGCGGACTGTCCTCCGGGCGAGTTTCCGGCGAGCGGCAAGACGTGGAAACTGGAAAGCCTGGCCGGAGGCTGGATCTTTGTCATGAAGCACATGCTGACAAACGCAGAAAATAAACTCAGCATGACGACAGATCCATCGACGAACGACCCGGACAGCTGGCCCTTGTATGGTGTGATGGGAGAATTAACCCCTGTTGAGCATGAGCATGAGCATAGAGGCGAGATGAGATCTCCCCTACGACGACCAGGGTCCTGGCCTCTTGAGTGAGGTCATTTGGAGGGTGTACTCCGTAGCAGAGTACTCCGAGTCCGTACTCCGTAGTAGAGTACTCCATATTATTCTCAGACCGGGAAACATATTTGGCAATAACTACCTAGAGCGACGTTGTTCTCCGCCCCACTCCTGCCACTTATCAATCACATACTACATAGTACATACTACTAAGTTACTACGGAGAAATCGTAGACCGAGACGAGACTCTTCTCTTTTACACGGGTATGACTTCTATGACTTCTACTACAGTATTCTAGAAAGTTTAATTCAATCTTGACTGTCATCCACCACAAAAACCGTGGGTATATATTGCTAGGTATTCCGTAAGGTATGGTAGTAGTTGTAACTAACTATTGCTTTATGTACGGAGTAAGTAGTACAGTCCCTGTAGCTACTCCGCACCCCGATTGGGACAGTCCGATGGTCGGCACGGGAAAATTGAATCCGCTCTGCTGCCAGCATCAATGACCGACCAGTGTGACCGCAAGCCATATGCACGCCCAATTTGCCGACAGGCTTCCCTAGAACAGCTTGGAATTTTCCAACATGGTATGTAGTAGCTTTTCTTCATTCACCAGGTCACCCGCCTGGTATGCGGGGGGGGGGGTTGGAGGGGGACTGTCCTCCGGATTCCGGACTCAGAATGAAGCCACGATATTCCTCGTATAGCTAGTAGGTAGGTACATCACTATGTCCCCTGGCTCACTTTATATATGTCGGATCCCACAGTCTCTTCGATAGACCGTTCTAAGGAGGGCATGTCGGGGCATGCTGTAGAGGCTGTCTCAACAACCGAACCGTCGGTACCGGCTGTCTGTTACTGGTATATATATATACTGTAGAGATGCTCTGTATAATCCATCAGCGTGTAACAGCCATCGACGCGGGGTCAGCATCAAATCATCAGAACCAGTCCCATCCGCAGTATCCCGGGTTGGGGGGAAGCAAACAGAGGGAAGCGAAGAATCTCTGTGCTGTCGAAGAATCCGCGTCAAGATAACTGACCAGACAATCATCATTAGTAAAATCGCCAGTAAGTGATAAGCAGGCGACGACAAGCTTCTCGGTGTAGCAAAACTGAACAGTCATCGACGTGCAGTGGAAGAATCAAGCCGGAGTCGCAGCCCCACCATCGCCCACCTGCAGCATGTTAAAAAGTTACCTGCTCCGCCGGAATCAGTGGGATGCTTAAGTCAGTGTCTCCCTCCCAACAACTCCTCATCCTTCTGCTGCCCACCTCCCCCCCCCCTTTTTTCCCTATTTCTTTATCCTCTCCTATCTCACCTTCACTGCATCTGGTTGCTAGTATAGATTATATTTTTATAAACTATGGCCAGCACAATAGCCCATGCTGAGGAATACCAGAATGCTGGGTGAGTGCTCCCTCTATGCTTTTCCTGTGTCCTCTTACATCACACCCCTCCCTTCTACTGGGCGGCAGGGAATCGCTGCTGTGAACATAGAAGTGGCAGCACATCAGGATATTTTCCAGAAGTAGCCATTGATCATATGGCTCTTTTTCAATTGTCTTCAGCTCCCCGGCTCAGATCCCTGCTTGCCCTCTCTCTCCTTCTTTTTCTCTTGCTCTCCCGCACACCACCGCCGCTTCCCCCCCACGTCATCACGACCGTTGATTTGCGCCGCGCAGTTTTCGACAACAACTCTGCTAACATGGGTGGTGTGTATAGCACGATCGAGCTCAAGGATGACACCATCATCGTGGTCCTAGGCGCTTCGGGTGACCTGGCCAAGAAGAAGACGGTTCGTCGCATACCTCCCCAAGCCAGAAGAGAAAATCCTAGACTGACCCCGGTGACAGTTCCCTGCCCTATTTGGTCTCGTAAGTATCTAGATATCTATCCGTCGACCTGATCCTTTCGCCCCCTCCCGTGGCTAACCTGTTCCGTTCAGTACCGCAACAAGTTCCTACCCAAGGGAATCAGAATCGTCGGTTATGCCCGGACGAAGATGGACCATGCCGAGTACATCAAGCGCGTCAAATCCTACATCAAGGTCCCCACAAAGGAGATCGAGGAGCAGCTGGAGAGCTTCTGTGAGATCTGCACCTACATCTCCGGCCAGTACGACCAGGATGATTCGTTCATCAACCTCAACAACCACCTGGAGGAGCTCGAAAAGGGCCAGAAGGAGCAGAACAGAGTATTCTACATGGCCTTGCCGCCCAGTGTTTTCATCACCGTCTCCGATCACCTGAAGAAGAACTGCTATCCCTCCAACGGCATTGCCCGTATCATCGTGAGTTCTCTCCTCGCTTTGGTTCTCTTTCTGCCAATTCTGACAGTCACCCGTTTCTAGGTCGAGAAGCCTTTCGGTAAAGATCTCCGTAGCTCCCGCGAACTGCAGAAGGCTCTCGAGCCCGACTGGAAGGAGGATGAGATCTTCCGTATCGATCACTACCTGGGCAAGGAGATGGTCAAGAACATCCTCATCCTCCGATTCGGTAACGAGTTCTTCGGTGCCACCTGGAACCGCCACCACATTGATAACGTTCAGGTATGGGTAGAATCGAGAAGAAGAAAGAAGAAGAAGAAGAAAAAAGCCGATCAGGAGATCCGGTCAGCTAACCCTGCCCAGATCACATTCAAGGAGCCTTTCGGAACCGAGGGACGTGGCGGTTACTTTGATGAATTCGGCATTATCCGTGATGTCATGCAGAACCGTACGTCAAGAAGTAGAATCCATCAAGAAGCCTGCTGACCAAAACAGACCTTCTCCAGGTCCTGACTCTCCTCGCCATGGAGCGCCCCATCTCCTTCTCCGCTGAGGATATCCGTGACGAGAAGGTAAATCTGCACCCCCGCATCCCCGCAGTAATTGCTCACTGTGGTTTCTAACCGCTCAGGTCCGTGTCCTCCGCGCTATGGATGCCATCGAGCCCAAGAACGTCATCATCGGTCAGTACGGTCGGTCCCTGGACGGCAGCAAGCCTGCCTACAAGGAGGACGACACGGTTCCTAAGGAGTCGCGCTGCCCGACCTTCTGTGCCATGGTGGCCTACATCAAGAACGAGAGATGGGATGGCGTCCCCTTCATCCTCAAGGCCGGCAAAGGTATGCTTTATAAAAAAAAGAGATCGACTCTCTTTAAATAGAAAAGAATACGCCCGACTGACCCGGAATAGCCCTCAACGAGCAAAAGACCGAGATCCGTATTCAGTTCCGGGATGTCACCTCCGGTATTTTCAAGGACATTCCCCGTAACGAGCTCGTGATCCGTGTGCAGCCCAACGAGTCCGTGTATATCAAGATGAACTCAAAGCTTCCCGGTCTTTCCATGCAGACCGTCGTGACGGAGCTGGACCTTACCTACCGCCGTCGTTTCTCCGACCTGAAGATCCCCGAGGCGTACGAGTCCCTGATCCTCGACGCTCTCAAGGGCGACCACTCTAACTTCGTCCGTGACGATGAGCTTGACGCCAGCTGGAGAATCTTCACTCCTCTGCTTCATTACCTTGACGACAACAAGGAGATCATTCCCATGGAATACCCCTATGGTATGTCTTCTTCTCTTCTCTCTCTCTCCATTAGTACGGCCTCAACTAACAATTCCAGGCTCCCGTGGACCCGCCGTGCTGGACGACTTCACCGCGTCCTTCGGCTACAAGTTCAGCGATGCTGCCGGCTACCAGTGGCCTCTGACTTCTGCGCCCAACCGCCTGTAGAGAAAAGGCTGTGCGGTGCACAGTCCCGGATTCCAAAAATTCTAGTTCTTCACTCTTGTTACGGCACGGAAGGATAATGTTTTCTTCTTCTTCCTTTCTTTTTCCTTTTCCTTCTCGGATCAAATGACAAATGATATGCGGTGTTTTCTCTTTTTCTTCTTTTTTTTTTTTTTTTTTTCTCTCATAATGGTTCCCCAGCTCGGCTAGCAGGAGTCAATTGATGTTAAGTTACACGATGCTTGCTGCCTTAGAATAACTAGTTATTTTGAGGATGACGAGTGGGGGGTACAGATGGTCCTGCCCTCGCTTTGTTGTCCTATTGAACATAAAAGAATGCAATCAATCATCCCATCTACTGCTCTTGTAGAAATATACTTCATAGTTTGGTGTGGATACTTTGATGTGTAGATTATATATATATATAACTACCAACCATTGTAAGGAATTGGAATGGAGGTAGCCAAGTAGGTCGGAATTTTTTATCAGCTAAGTAAATATATATAGAATCATGCTTGGGATTTACCCAGACAGTGGGAGTCCGAATGGAATATAGGGAATATTATAATATGAAGGATCTTGAAAGATAGAGGTACAGAGGTAGTCCAGAAGACTAAAATGACATACTGCGAGCCTTGGATCATTACGCGACCAGCGAGTCTGATATCGGAATGTTTGCTTGTTGGTCCCCCTGACGGAGGAGTTGAGGTGTCGTATACCATGCTTTCTGTGTGGCAGAATCATCTCCTCTCCCGTATGAGAGACCAAAGACGGGCCTGAGATCTTCCTGATGGAAGGTGAAATGCTTGTGTTTCGGATTTCCATGCGATGCCCACCACTCGCCATACACGGCTGCTGAGCATCGCTCCCGCGGCAACCATTTCGGCGGGAAATATATTCTAGACCCTGGTGATAGATGTAGGATCTGGGCTTATGAGTGCTCAACCCGATAGGTGATGGTCAGCCGTATGAGTTTCCGGAATCGCGTCTCTCTTCGCGAGCACGAGAATAAGATGTGAGTTATAAATCCAATTGAAGTTGAGCTGTCGGTTCTTCTCAAGGCAAATGAGATAAAAAGTGAAAGTGTTGTATGTTAGCATTTATGCAACATGCTGATCGCTCATTACTCCCATATCTTGGGAGACAATCAGCTGATGCATCGTCGAAAAGGAAATGGGATAACTCCCTCGTAGCAGCTCATCGAAACGGGCACTGATGCGGGCAAAATTCTGGCCGTACCCTCGCAGATCCTTCAGTCGCACAGAGACCCAGTCCTGATAGATCTTGTCCGTCGTGGCAATGCCTGCTAGGAAGAGCGGACAGGCGATGCGGACCATGAGTCGAGGGCGGCTCCTGTGCATCTTTAAAGATAGCTCCAGGACATGGGAGACTGCCTCCTCCAGTGAAAGGCCCCTAGGTGGGTTCCACTCATTAGGGACCTGGTGTCTGAAACATAGATAGAAGTATACGACAGCGCCGTAAAAAGCGATCGATGACCAGTAGATTGTTTCTACTACGCGTCGTCCATCGCCCGCAATCTCACACGAAGAGGCGGCTAGGGCGGATGATAAGAGAGTGTCGTATTCCTGTCAGAGCCATCAATCAGCATTGGAAAAAAAAAAGATTGAACTTGAGGGCGGCGGAAACAAAGACAAACATCCGAGATTGCGAGAAAATCATCCATCAATTGCTTGTAGACCGTCCCATCCCATGGTAGATGAGAGAACCAATCATTCGACCTCGTGCATTTTTGAAATAGATCTGTAATCTTGAATTGCATGATATGTGCCTTGTGGTAAAGGGTCAGGCCAGCCAAGTTTTCGAGGTCATCAAGACGAGCTGCTGCGGGATACTGTTCTCCCCAGAAGCGGGCTGATGACAGGCGAGATAATTTGTATAGCTTAGGCAGAGCAAGGTCTGCTCTGGTGGACTCTGCTTGATAGAAGAGTCTGAAAAGATTGACTTCGAACCTCGAAAGGCCAAACAGAGGCCCTTGGGTACAGAAATAGAGGATCACCAGTAGGAGCACTGGAACGACCGTGTCACGCAGCCTGCTGTCAAATCTCCTGTCTGGGGAAAACAGCTCTGGATCCCCGCGGTCCACCATTTCCAAAGTAGATCGTGACAATTCCAGAATCGAGTCGGCAATTTCGGCCTCGTTCGGGCTGGATACGGGAGCGAGCGAGGGGACAATGTTATTGAACAATAAGGTGATTATCCCTCGCATATGGACGCTGATTGCCGCCGCACCACTGCCGAAACGGTGTTCATAATCGATCATCATAAACAGGGTGATGAAGATGGTCTCCAGCCTCTCCGGAGATTTCACATCGAGCTTCAATGCTTCACGTAGGCCGGATAAAGCCCGGCCATAATGCACCTGGCCTTCGACATCCGCCAAATCCTCGTTTAAGAGAGCATGGTAGCCGTCGCTCTCGGCAAGATTGTACAGCCGTGACCGGTGGATTTCGCTGGCCGCAGTTGCGAGCAATACACTCATCACCATCGGCTCCTTGACCGCAATCCGATGGTAGGCGTACGAAACGGGAGACCAAGGCCAGTGCTTCCCAAGAGCTACAACAAGGACCGAATCCTTGATATAGCTCAGGCAGTCTCGGTCGAAACGAGAAAGAACAAGCGAGTTACCTGCTTGGATCTCCCCGGTAGGGTTCAACAACGGTGACGCTGGAGCCCCGACATGCAGCGTAGGACGGTTGTTCAGCGCGACTCTCCTCTCAGTCCGATGGCTTCTCCTGCTGGAGACTCTAGCAGTGCTGTGGGCCACCGCGCCGCATTTCCATTCGCAAGCAAGACGGGCAGTTGCGCACCGTCTGCATTGTGGCCCCTTCTGACCTGCTACATCAATCTTCTCCTCGTCGCATTTCACCTTGCGTATTCGACACGTCCAACAGCCTACACGAGCCCGGTCATTCATCAATTGAACTCGGGGAAGAGAAAAAGGAAGCAATCTTACCAGTCTTGGACCGCAGCTTTCGGCCAAGCATTGTCCACTACTATAAGCGGACCGGGTCACTCAAACAATGACAGGCAGACATAGGACCAACAAGGCTAGACAGCCAGTCATCCACAAAGCAATCCACAGCAACGCCAGCGCAGACAAACGGAGAGACAGCAATTGTACCTAGTCGTAGGCAGTACCTGGTAGTCGGGGGGGGGGATTGGCAGGGCCTGAGTCCGCCTGGAAATGCGAGTCACGGGGACAAGAGCCTATCCGCCAATAGGAAGCAATAGCGATGGAAGGCCTCCTATTGGCCAGATCGGCTGGCGCTAGGCGAGAGACCACGTGCCGAGTCGACACCTGAGGAAGCAACTCACGCTACTGGTGGGCGACGTTTGCAGAGCTTCAAAGTTAATGCCAGCAAGAGCATTTGATCATCTCGTTGGGGTGGGGTACGCGATTGCAGCAATCATGCTCCGCAGATGGGCTCTGAGAGGCTGGAAAGCCTCTATAAAAGACCCAATGCCCAGGTGCTTGAGAGAATACTAGTAACCTTCTTCCTCATTGAAGCATATGAACGATACCATGTGGGACCAAAACATTCGGAGTCAGTATATTGAGAGTGTTAAGGCTAGCCTGCAGAAATATGATGAACAGTTGAAGGATGTGAACCAGAAGGTCAGCTATCTCATGAAAACAAGGCTCCCCCCCCAAAGCCCAAAAATGTTCTGACTGATGGCGAAGATCTGGTCCAATCCCGAGTTGTCGTTCGAGGAATTCGGGGCCCATGACAACATCTGCGCACTGTTCGACACGCTTGCTGGTGATGGGTACCAAGTGCAGCGGAGCGTTTATGGCATGAAAACCGCCTTTGAAATTGAATACAAACACGGAGCCGGCGGGCGTACGGTGGCGTTCAATGCGGAATATGATGCTCTCCCAGGGATTGGCCATGCGTGCGGCCACAACCTGATTGCCACCAGCTCGATTGCGGCATTCCTAGCAACTTGCGAGGCGATGAAAGCCCTGTCCCCCCCTTCCGACGGACCGGGGTATACTGTGCGTCTGTTGGGGACACCGGCCGAGGAAGGCGGCGGCGGCAAGACGATCATGATCGACGCGGGGGCATACAAAGACGTGGATGCATGTCTGATGCTGCACCCAGTTCCGATGGCGCCTCAGAAGCCCGAACTGTTGAGTGTAGCCAGCATCCTGCCTGGGGGATACATGGCCAACGACCAGGTGACCGCCACGTTCACGGGGAAGCCGGCCCACGCGGCAGGCGCACCATGGGAGGGGCTCAATGCTCTGGACGCGGTGGTTGCAGCGTACGTCAACATCTCGCTGCTCCGCCAGCAGATCCTACCCTCCCAGCGAATCCATGGCGTGATTACCAACGGCGGTGCGCGGCCCAACATCATCCCCATGTCCGCCTCTGTCCTGTACTATATCCGCTCGCAGGACGTCAAGACGTTAAAGCTCTTAACGGAAAGGGTGGTCAAGTGTTTCGAAGCGGCCGCCGTAGCTACAGGTTGTACCCTGGACCTCAAATGGTAAAATGATGAATCCCTTTTCTTTCCCTGAAACAACCAAATCTTTACAACCTTACTGATAAAACAAAAGGGGCGATTCGTACAAAGATCTCCGATCTAACGTCCCTATTTGCGAGAGCTATGTCGACACGATGCGAGCCATGGGTCACCTCACCCTTTTCGACAATACTGGCCTGAAGAGCTCCCTTAGCGGTGCATCCACGGACATGGGTAGGGCGAATAACATACAACATATATACTCTTTCTGAAAGTCGTCGACTTACCAATTTTTCTTTCTTTAGGAAACGTGTCATACGAGATCCCCGGGTTCCATGGCGTTTTCACCATTCCCACCGAGGGAGTCAACCATACGCCCGGCTTCACCGCGGGGGCCGGGTCTGTAGAGGGATACGAACGCAGTATGCATTGCGCGGCGGGGATGGCAGTCGCTGCGTGCCAGGTGTTGATTGATGATGCATTCGCAGCGAGGGTCAAGGCGGATTTCGACAATATTGATTAACAGATAGTTCAATACAGCGTCATTGTTCTAGCTATTCTTTAACAAAGTAGAAATAAGCATTAGATAGCTATGGGTCAGGTGCGGAGCACCTAAATAGTGTAGCGACAAAATTTTGAACAGTACGGAAAGAATATTTAGAACAGGATATTGAATCGGTTGAAGATTGAACATCTTCTTAGAAGGTATGTACCGAGACCTAGGCACCAAGGTAACTTGACTCGCGATACGCCAGCATGCTCATCATGGGCACGTTCTGGGCTGGAAAGTGGTCGATGATCGAAATCACCAAGCGCGTAGACACTCGACTGAACCATCTTTGTCATATACTCCACGGGATATAGATATCATTGGGCCTCAGTTATTTTTTGCGAGACAGGCGGTTAAGTATCAGATCGGTGGATTAATCCGAGCAAATGCATTTCTGATCTGTCAGTTTCATCGACACTGTCAGCAGGCTTTGATTATTTATTGCACTGTAGCGATAAGTTCAGTGTGCGATTGGAAATATCCAAGGTAACCGAGAGAGAAGGAGAAGAAGGAGGAGGAGGAGATAGACGCAAATTCCTTATCTTCAGACTATTGCAATGGCGACTGCCAACTGCAGACGGTGACACGTGAAGACTGAAGCTGGTATAGTGGACCCGGGAGGTATTGAACTAGACATCCGGGACGGTATTATACTAAATATAGGTACCAGATAGTGTAATACGCAGTAATTGCAATACACACTAGATTTGCTTGATGAAACGGAATGAAACTGCAGGCGAACAATTGGCCTGTAACCTGTTTTTGTCAGGCCAGAACAGCGCATCTCCTCGTGCTGATTGGCAAGGCTCTGTACATCGTTGCAGATCCGGTACCAATGGGAATATAGCGGAGGCAGCTAACAAGATAGCACAGCGTAGGTATCTACCGAGTATCTTGTAGTACTCCGTACCTATGTAGTATGTAGTATGAGGTAGTACTATCTATCTGAAGTGTGTACTGGAGGTGGACAGGATATCAAGCTGATATGGGCTAAAAATAGACATTTTTTTTGTTGATTGATTTTATCTGTGTGGCTGTCTGTTTGCGGATGCTTGCGCCACCCAGATTAAAAGCGGCGATCGGTGCCTCGAACGTGTTCATCGAGACTGCTTAGCTTCTGGATCGTGGATCATGGATCAGTGGTGCCATAGTGTCAGGATGTACAGAGTACAATAAAATAAAATCGCTCACACGTGTGACAACAATAGCTAGTACTGGTAGACCGAGTAAAGTGTCTGCCTTTTAACTTGGCTACCTAAACTACGAACTAACTAGTTAGTAACAAATGGTCTATGACTAAGGCACCTCCGACAGAAAGAAACTGGTGGCTGGCAGACCTCCTCCAGCGAAACTCTTTCTGGCAAGCGTCGTGGCCAGCGATAGGAGGGGTTCCAAGCTCTGCCCTGCCCGTCCTCCATTGAAAGCCGCATCAGTGGCCGGGCCCCTCCCAGGCATTGCGTGGCCGGCTTGTCAGCGCTCCATGGAACTGGTGTGCGTGCGTGGAATAAAACCACCGGCACCTGCTGTTTGCCTTTTGCTCGCCTACAGGAAAAAAAAAAAGAAACGTGAGCAGCAAAAGAGAGCAAAAAAAAAAAGAGAGCAAAAAAGGCGAGAGGAATTGACAAGAGAAAAAGAAGAGAGAAATAGGCCGACGAGTTTGCTCTCGACTACTACGGCCTGTACCTCCAGCTCTTACTGCCTAATTCCTATCCAGAATAGCGCATTTGCTCCACGGACCGTTCTCTGTGTCGATCAACAGCCTCCCGCAATCAATTCCCTGTGTGAATATTAAGATACGGTGAAAGCAGAGCCGAGCGCTGTTATCGGAGAAGGGGTCCATACTGCTTGCCGTCTGGTGGTGTTGTAACAGCCTGCCTGACCCTCTTTATTTGTACGCTCCCGTGTTGCCGGCCCTCTCCTCTCGACCTGGGCAGTTTTGGTGACCGATTTCGAAACCACAAGAGTCCAATCGTGGCAAGAACAGTTCATCCAGTCAGACAAAACACCTGTTTTCGATCCCTCGACCGCCTGTCTCGTCGCTCGATCACCGTCTGTTTGCGATCACAGTATTCCTTGGCAGTGGTCCACCCCTATCGTCCCCTGCGCTCCACTACGGCCGCCATCGTCTGAAGCAGATCGCATCCGACCGGCGACCCAAGTCGAATTCCTTGTTATCGGCGACGCTAAGAGACACCCGAAAACAAATATAACATGGCATCCCCCCAGCCTGCCGCCAATCCTCCCCGGAGGAATCGTGGCGTCAGCTTCAAGTCCGACCATTCGCGCAGATCCAGTGGCTCCCACAAAGATAAAATCTCCCTGTCCGAGACTTCAGAGGAGAAAGCAAGGCGTATCATCCATACCAAAGCCGATCCGACCGTTGCTATGAACGAACTGCAGCCCAGTATGTTTCGATTTTCTCCGCCAGGGGGGAGGGCTCCACCGATGCAGCCCCCCCCCCCCCCTTGTTTTGCTTCCCGAAGCTTGAGCTTGCATTGCTGACCAGAGTTTCTTTGCTATCATAGTGGCTGTCGCATTGGAAAAATCCAATCTCGGCTCATTGAGAGCTCTAGAGCACAAAGATCAATACGGCAATCCGATCAGTTCGTCTCCCTCTTGACAGTCTCTCCTATTCTCAATACTGACCTGCCTTTCCGCCCTAGCTGACCCCGACTTGTCCAATCCGACTCGTCCCCGACTCGAGCGCCCGCTGGATACTATTCGATCGTTTGAGGCAGCGATCTACGGAAGCTACTCAAGCCGGCCGCAGTCATACATCAGAGGTAGGGAGCATGGGAGGGAGTTTTGCAGTATTATGAAGGAGAGAGAAATGGTTCTGACGGATATCTTTGCAGATGATTCCTCTCAAGCAGGCGATATCAGCCGACGAGGCAGCTACTTTGGAGGTAAGCATTATCACTGCAGTTCTTACCCCCATACTATGCTTTACATGAGATATGGGGAGACTCCTTTCAAACAATTTTTTTTAACTTTTTAGACCAAGGCAATGGGCAGTCGAACCGGCGATACCAAGAGCAGAATGGCTATAACGGCCGGGGTAGTCAGTCGCGCCCCGACAGCTTCGGCGACAACTACAACTACAGCAGCCCGAACAACCGGTCAACGGAGAACTTCTACCCGTACAACAATAACAACAACCCCCGGTCGCGGCCTCGCCACAGCAGCCGCATGAACTCGGAGCAAAACAATAACAACAACAACAACCCCCATCCACCGCCCAATGTCTACTCCCAGAACGGGTACCACAAGTCGTATGACAATGTGACCGCTGCCTCCGGCTCAAACAGCTACAACACCAACACTGATTCCTGGGGCAACTCGACTGACCCCAGCTCCGTGAACAGCTCGTACGACCAACTGCAGTACTACCAGCAGCAACAACAGCAACAACAACAACAACAACAACAACAACAACAAGACAGAGTTGCAGAGAGCTACGGTTTCCGCGGGTTCGGGGGTAGTCCGAAGTTGAATGGCAATGGGAAATCGCCCATGATGGATCCCAACGCCGGCGGGCCCGTCGGCGGTGGTGCTCCCAGCCCTGCGCCTGCATCTGCATCTGCGGCTGCGTCGGCGTTTGCATCTGCCCCCCCTGCTCGGTCGAGTTATGTTCGCAAGGAGATGGATTCCGGCGATAAGCGCAAGAGCTGGTTCAAGCGGCGATTCAGCAAGGATTAATCACTCCTCACTTTCCGGATGTCTTCCTGAAATGGTCGACGGGTTGTGTTCAAAGTCTTTGTCTATCTCCATTTATCTATTTCATGTCCGGTCTGATCGTTTTTTTTTTTCTGTATGGCGTTAGGAACGGGAAGGAACGGGATTGCAGCCGAGGGTTCTTTTTTTTTTCTATGTTTGATATGCTTTATATGAGTTATGACTCGGTACAATATCTAGTGGTATTCTCCCTTTCTCCAGTCTAGGGCCTGCATGCTCAATAGAAAGTAAAGACTTATGTATTCATCAACAGCTGTTCTGGATAGGTATCAAGAATATTATCAATATCACTTCCTTCCCAACAACTTATTCTTCAATTTATCGGCGAGTCCCTCATGCACCGCACCCGACTTCCGCTTCTCCTTGTCCTTGCGATGTTCCTCATCCAAATGGACATTCCCTTGTCCACCGCGCTGAAACAGTTAAGAATTAAAGAAAAGGGAAAAAAAGGAGGTAGAAACCCACCCCAGTATGATAATCTCCATCCATCGAGTCACGAATCGCCAGCTCAGGAATAATTTCCGAGTCGTGCGGTGCCCGCGACGAGGGACGAACATGCGGGGATCCAATGTTCCCGGCGCCACCGCGCTATACGTATAAATCATTAGAGAGGATAGAACGATAAAAAAGAAAAAGAAGAAAAAAAGAAAAAAAAAAAAATAGCTCACGCCAGCAGAGTATGCGCCGTCGCCTTGGTCGCCGTACTGTCCTTCACGGACAATTTCGCCGTCGACGTATCTAGAAGAAGAGATCAGATGAGGGGAAAAATGCTGCGTAGGAGTGTTGGTCTCTGCTTACTGCGTCGCGTCGGCACCGATATTCCCATGGCCTTTCTTGTTAGCAGAATGTTACTGTACTTTCTACTTGAAGACTTCTTACCTCCTCGGCCGTGGGAGACGACTGGCTCCTGTCCCGACATAGTGAAGAGGGATTGAAATTGGACTGAAGGTGATGAAGAGGGGGGAAAGAAACGAGTCAGGGCGCGGGTTTAACTCAGTCAGTTAGGGACCTGATTAGATGGGCAGGGTGCAGGGCAGGGTTTATCAAAGGCAGGTACGCGCATAGACTAAGATAGAATCAAAATAAAACGGTTGATAGTTAATTGTTAGTACATGGTATTATTTGAAGCGACTGACGTCGTCGTTGATGGCCTGATAAGAGATAAGATACGCGATGGCCAAAGAGGCTGTCGCGGGGCACGATTGGGTGCGGGCCATGACTAAAGGGCGTTGCTAATCGTTTCTTTCTTGTAATCATGCTTCTTGGCAGAGGGTAGTAGTATTCAATGGGCTGAAGGTTGGAAATAGAAAGGTACATCTCTTGGATAACTTGTGGGGAGAACGGAGAAAAGTGGATAGAGAGGAGATTCATTAAAGTCTCAAATTCAATGACAGTTTTACTGGCGTCGACTACAAAAATTACGATTGCTCTACTTTTTCTGCTCGTTGGACGGTCCTCCAGTCGTCGGCAGTCCCATAAAGATCTTGAAGGAATCGTATCTGGGTTATTAGTACGAGGCTGGGCGAGTATATGGAGCATCAAGACATACATCATCCATTGCAGACCGGTCTGGACACTGTCAGCTTCAATCATATATACATATATATAAAGGAAAAGCCTTACCAAAGTTCCAATCATAACAATTCGTACTGGGAGACCGTTCCACAGGCCGCGGAAGCCAATGTCTGCGTAGATTCGGTTCATGGCAGCACCAAAGGCTTCGCCTGGCATCCGGTTCGCGTTTAGCTTGCTCACCATGACATCCGCGGGGTGAGACACCACGGCGCAAAGGATGCCGGCCAGGTAACCCCCGCTGAAGGCTACCGCGGTCTGCGCGCCCTTGTTGTAATCGGATTTGTGGCCGGGCAGGTAGTTATAAATGGCCTCCACGATGGTCTCGAACGAGGCGAACTTCATCATTGTGTAAGGGATCTGTCGGCCCCAGAGAGGATACAGACCCTTGTACAGCCTTTAAGTCCAAAAGTCAGATTTGGTTTTTCCACTCTCAAAACACATCGAAAGACAGTACTGCAAGCTCACCCGGACCAGCCTTCTTTCGACAGAACGTCGGATACACCGCTGAAGGTTCCTCTGATGTCTGGCGGGATGGTCGTCTGCATCCGGACCTTGACTGCCTCGAAGGGGCACAGAGCCACATCGGCGATGAACTCGGCCGACGCGCTGGCTGTCAAATAGACACCGGTCTTATAACGGGTCGCATTCTCGGGACCCACGAGGTCACTGTAGAATTTCTTGAAGAACTCATAACCACCGTACTTGAATGCCCCTTGAGCCTTTTAAAACTTTGGGTTAGTGTCAGAGGTTTTTTTTCAAGGGTCCATCATTCGTGTCGTCATGGCTTACACTGTATCCGAAGAAGGTTGGACTCCAGCCAGTGAAGACACCGCGCAGACCTTCCGCGCCCCGGATCTTCGAGAATGCCTGGATATTGCTTTGATAGAGCTTTGGATCAACTTGGCGCCGGCATTTGATAAGATCGAGCGGCGTCACTGCAGTATGAGTCAGACCCTGGGCAATGACAATTAGTTTCCAGTTTGAGATTTCACACAAGAAGAAAAACTGATGGGTTGAGTACACAAGCAAGCATGCCGCCAAAGGTACACGCGGCGTAGTACTTGGTAGTCCATGGCTCGATCTTGCCTGTCTTGGCTTGAGCCTTCTGGCTGGCAACATTGTATTCCCTAACAGCCTCCTTCTTCGCTTCCTCGATCACACTCCACGCAGGGAATACTTCTCGCTTGCGAGGTGCGGACGCTGCCGCAGCCTGGGCCTTGGTCTCCGCCGAGGTCACCGAACGCTGGGAAGTGTAAAATTCGACTATATCTGTCGAAGGGAGCATGACGGGCAGTGATCTCTGTATCATATTGGCTATTGTTAACCGCTAGTCATCCCTCAAATTATGTCATTCGACCTTAGTCTGTGCAAAGAACTTGGTATATAATTCCCCGACTACTCCACGTACCTCTCAAGGACTGTTTCCGAGTCGACTGACTGTAGACTCAGCCAGTAGAAGATGCTAGTATTTGAATGGAAAACAGACAAGTTCCGATCAGCTTGGGAGAGATTTACCTCAGCCATCAGAATCAAGAGTGAGACGAGAGTTGGAGGCGGAGGTGTGTGACGTCGTTCGTATGGCAGCTCCGACGCGGATATTTCTCCGACTCACGGGACCAAAACAACCATATCCAGTTCCCTCGACAAGGCAGATTCGCCCATCCGCATAGAGGAGTTTCTACGGGTTGTTGGGGTCTGGTAGGTGGCTATTTGAGAATATCCAAATTAACAAGATTGGCTGTTATCATGACTTCCCTAGAAAATTGATAGCCAGCTGCCAAGTTCACGGAAGTCCTTTCACAAAGACAAGACTAACACAACCTGCGGATTCGTAGGAAGCTGAAAAGAACAAAACGACTGGCGTCTCTCGATGGCTTCAAGACAGCAACGCCCAGGGACTAGATGGATCTTGCTTCTAGTAGCCTGAGGCCTCTTCCTCCTCTGCATTTATCATTGATTGTCGATATTCTCCCCATTGACAACGTAAATGATGTCGTGGTGCCTTCCACCCTGCGTTGTGCACATTGAACTCTCGGCAGATAGGTGACCTTTCTTCTTCCTTGAATCTATTTTTCAATGGACGGCATAAGACTGACTTTGTATTCTGCATAGATCGTCGGCTTTCCTCCCTTTGCAATCCCACGCAACAAAATCCCTGACCCGCGTAAGGGAGATATTCCGGGTTCGATCGAAAAGACAACAGCATGCCGATCAATAGCGGTTATACTACAATGGAACGGGCCCCATCTATCTTCAGAATAAGACAGGCAGGGATCCACTGTTCCGTCCACCGTTGGAACTGAGGGGTCCACCAGAAGGTACCTTTTTTGAGTCTCGACTCTCGACTTCCAGTGTGGGCCGTGGCTGTCCTCTGCGGAGTAAGTCCAGACAATCTTCTCACTCCACTGCAGGAAGTGGATCGAGGTTGACGCACTTTACACATACGTTTAGCTTCGTGGGATACCTTAACGGTAAGAGAAAAGTGCTTTTACTAGTATTGACTACGGTGCTCAGACGATATCTGGCTAACCCCCCCCCCCCCCCCCCCCCCCCAAGGAGCCAGAAAATTACAGCGCTCGTTAAAGTCAACTTCTCCCCGGTCTTTGTATTTACATTGTCATAAATGTTCATTCAAACGACCAAGACCCGTCATCTGTTCAACTTGAAGTCGATAATCTTTTCTCTGCCAGCAATGGATCTTTGGTGTGTTGAGCAACAACAGTCAACGGTGGAATTTTCTGCAGATAAACCGGTGGACAAGTCACTCCGACCATCTAGTATCTTCATCTTCGTCTTTGTATGGGGTCCGATCTTCCATTCAGCGCTGTGATGGGCTCAAATTCGACACTGCTAGTCACAGCCCCGAACCTCGCGCGCTAGCTACTTGAATACACCGAATGCCTAGGTATATGACCAAAGCGCTAGGTTTACCTCTGGCGGGGACAGTGTGTTGGGCCACTGGTATCATCACGACAGTGCGCAGCGCATAATATGGAAATTCGGGCCCCCTAGTGCTCAGGACCGTTTATAACTAGTCAACAGCGAAGAAGAAATGTACGGGAAAGTGTTCCGGGACCTCTGAAACCCGTTGAATGGGATCCAGGGACCGATTATTATGGAGCATAGCTCTAAAGCTCACTGGGGCGTGTTCTTTGGATTTGCTTCATTTACCTTCGCAACGACGGGGACTCTGTACTTCTGTTGCTTGCTAAAATGCCCCCTTCCACGCAGATGTGACCTGCCTTGCGCCACGGCGTATGAAAATATTATTCAGGGCTAGTGTATATGCCTTGTGATCGCTCTTGCTATTGCCCCCCTGGTAGGTCGCTCGATCGAATCTCCATTGTTCAACAGCCAAAAGTACAAGGGAGATTACACTAATAAGTGGAAGCCAGAAGAGCCTTGTTGATGGCCAATGGCCATCTCAGATTCCTGAACGGTTATATGATCTTCCAAGGGCCCGTCGTCGGGACCATGCTCGTCGACTATCTCTTCATTCGCCGGGGGGGACATCTTTCCGGCTGATCTTTTCAGTCAGTCCTCTACGGGGCGATACCACTACACCAAAGACATCCAGGTCATCAATATTAACGCAGTTTTGGGCGGCTTCCTCCCGCTCTTGCTGGGATTCGTCACCAAAGCCTCAGTACGTCAGACTGTCCTGCTGCCGCTGCCTCTGATCTATTTGATCACGGCTCGATCCACACCTTCCCTTTGGATAGACCTTGGTATGGGGCTCTCTGTCGACTCCTGGGGACTGGCAGACCAGACCCGATCGCTAGCTCGCCATTGAAGACAACCTCTTGGGCCATCACTGGCACGGAGATAACCTAACCCACCCCGCTGTAGAGCCGTGTGGTTGTAGTAGCTTGTATCCTAACCACTAAGGCAGATGAGACCGTTAGCGCTCACTTTGCTGTATAAGTCTCTCCCCGCGCTTGTTTTTTTTTCCCTTGGATTTTTCCTTTGATTATACTCATAGTATAGTATCAATAGTCACTCGTGATTATTGATTATTTTATCAATTTTTTTTTCTCTGTCTCTCTATCTTTATTTCTCCCACTTGTCTCGCACACTTAAATAACCAGTGGTTGTGTGAGAGAGAGAGATAAGCAGTCAGCGGCATTTTAGGCTTCTGCGCTTGCAGTTGCGTCCCCCCCGACCTCCTCCTGCAGTGTGTGTCTGATTGATCAGGGCCTGGCACTGATCCCAACCGCCTCATGCCAAAGGAGCATATATGTCCAGAGCCTGGCTGTGGGAAGAGCTTCCTCCGACCCGAACATTTGTCTCGCCATTGTCTGAACCGTACGTACTACTATTCAATTCCCAACTCAATTGGCATTAAGCAGAGGTACACCTGAGAAGCACAGCTACTTTGATAAGCCAGTGGCAGGGCTGACAAGACAGACCGCCCCAAGCAGATCTACCATTGTTCGTCATGTCCCAAGAGGTTTGTCCGTAAGGACCTCTTGAGGCGCCACGAGAAACGCCATGAGAAGGGCATGTGGTTCCGCAATTCGGGGGGGATGGTGGTCGTCGGTATAGCGGGTGAGTCAGTGCAATTTTCGCGCCATCACGGGCATTATCAGGGGGAGGAGTCGTCTACAGCGACGATGACGAGGAAGACGGCCATATATAGTGTTGACGACGACGACAATGTTGGACGACAACATCAGGACGAGCCAGCCGAGAATAGCGAGAACGAGCCACGGAGTCAGCATATGCATAGGGAGGGCAGTGTAGACAAGCAGCAGCCCGTCAGACTCCCGGAGGCTGCTGCTGTCGCTCGCCGGCCAGACGTGGAGGAGGAGTTGTACGGCACCATGACCGCCGCGGTGGTCACTGGAGGAGGGGGAGGAGGCACTCGCAATAACGTCACTTCGTTGTTCTTTGATTCGGCTTGCCTACCGGATTCGTTGCGGGACTTTGAATGGCTGTTTGACAACGTGTCGGCGGACTTCGGCGCTGCGTCCGAGGGAGCCAGCAATATCAATAATAGCAATACCTCGGGAATCTCGCGCGAGCGGAGCATGTCGACGACTACTGTCGATCTGTCGCCCTCTTCGTTTTCGATGCAGACGTCACAGATCCGCTCGCCGCCGCTGATGGATTCATCGTCGTATTTTGCGCCGTGGGTGACGGTGCAGGGCCGGTTGCTTGAGGCCCTCCGCATACTGCCTCCGGAGATCCTCGTCTCGTCCTTCTTCTACCCGGCCAATTTGGCCCGGTTCTTCGAATTGTACTTTGAGAACTATCATCATCATTTTCCGATTCTGCACAAGCCCACTCTAGATCCGACCAAGGCGCCTCCTTTGCTGATTACTGCGATCATCACGTTGGGATCTACGCTATCAAGTGATGCTGGTCATTTTGAGATGGCGACCAAGATCCATGATTCCCTGCGGTACATCGTTTTCAATGTGAGGATTTCCTTTTCTTTGCCTTTTTTCTCTTTTGTTCTGAGAGATATGGCTAATCATGTAGACTGCCGATTTCGAGCCTCCGGCTTCATTGTGGTGTATCCAAACTCTTCTTCTCATTCAAGCACATGAGAATTTGTTTTCGACGAGAAAGCATAGCCAACTGGCACACATATTTCATGGAGCTATTATTACGGTACCTGACTCTTTCTCCCCCCCCCCCCTCTGATGTTTCGCGTCGTGTTAATAAGAACAGCTTATGAAGCGGGGCGTTTCCTATTCGAATCGAGAGGTGACCAACCTAGAAGATTCATGGTATCAGTGGATCGAGTCCCAATCATGCAATCGAACTGCCTTCTTTGGGTTCATTATGGATGCGCAACAGAGCTTCATGTTCGGACTCCCGTGCATCCTCTCGGTGCAGGATCTGCGTCTCCCACTACCGTGTCACGATAGCCTGTGGGAAAGCGGCAATGCAGAGGAATGGAGTTGCATGATGCGCAAGACTTCTGAGTCTCCTGGGTTCCTACCAGTCCTGAAAATGCTTCTGGCTCGCAACCCGATACCGCCTCGGTGCAGCGCGTATGCCCGGCTGATTTTGCTGCATGGACTTTTCAGCGTGACTGCATCGCTGAAGGCGAGAGATTCCGTAAGTCTCAGAGTCAGCCGCATGCCTGTGGGCAGGCCTCCTGTCCATAACCCCCCCTCAGAAACGTGGATGTGGGGGGATAAGATGGAGAGAGCGATGGACACATGGGCGTTCTGTCTTGTATCGCGTAGTTCGTCGCTGGCACTGGAGGCGTCGAAACCACTCCACCGCATGGCGTACGTTGCCATCTACACCGACATCACGGACATGCATGTCCTGGCTGGCACGCCCTCGCTGCCTGGGAGTTTCCTTTCTGAAGCAGATGTTGCCGGGGCCACCACACGGGTGCGCGCGTGGAGCAAGAAACCCGAAGCCAGACGGGCTCTCTACCACTGCCTTCTACTAATCCAGGAAGTTCTCTTCACAGGGACGCATTACCGAGCATCATATGACAGCATCTCTCTCCGGCCCTGGTCGCTGTACCGTGCCACCCTCGTTCTCTGGGCGTACGGATACATGTATTCTTTTTCTCCTTCTTCTTCTTCCCGAGAAATCCGACTACCGGACCGTCCAGTCCCATACAGCGCAGAAGAGTATCTGATTCGCATGCTGATGCTGCTTCGTAATGAGACGGAGGATATCTCGAGTGTGGCGACACAGACCGAGCAATTGTTGCAGGCCGTCCGCGAGAGTTTGGAGGGCTGCCGATGGGAGTTACTCCAGGAAGCGTACGATACACTCGGCCGACTTATGAATAGTAGTATATAGCAAAATAGGATTTTGAATAGAAAAAAATCTATGTATTTGGAGTACTATGATGCCTACAACACCGCTACACACTCGATCTCCACGTCGGTATTGAGAGGCAACGTCTTGACCGCCACGCAACTAGAATGATCAGTAAAGTTGTCTTTCTGTTAGAGAGGCTAGAGAGAACATTTCACATACGTTCTGCAGGGCTTTATATCCCCCCAGTACTGCGTATACACGGAGTTCATCTCCGCAAAGTCGTCCATATCAGAGAGGAAGACGTTGACCTTGACCACCTTATCGATGGTTGTTCCGGCAGCTTCGAGGACGTGTGTAAGGTTTTTGATGCATTGATGCTAGTATCATTAGTATAAGCAGGTCTATATTATATTCATTGTATTGTCTTACAGTATGAGCTTTGATATCCCCCTCGATCAACTTGCCTGTGGCGGGGTCCAGAGCCACCGCGCCAGAACAGTAGACCACCCCGTTGGCGATGATGGCCTGGCTGTAGATGCCTGGGAGGGGTTTGGGGGCCTTATCGGTTAGAACGGGGGTTTTGGTCGACATTTTGAAATAGATGGACGATCTTCCGTGAGGGATTTATTGGAAGATAGTAGGTACCATCCAAAATTAAGGCGGGGGATGCTTGCTTTATGTTAATCTTCGGCACTCCCCACGACCGGGCAGAGATTAGGCTTTAGGTACTTTCATCGAACCCACGGATCTTCATGGCTTACGAAAGTTACAGAGTACAACCTTTAGGTACATTGCCTATCAAGATCCTATCAAGATCGGAAACGCTGTCTGATTGCTCGTATCCCACGCAGCATGTGGAGAGTTATCGATTTATCAATCCCTTCCCCTCATTCTGATCCAGGTGAGTCTTCGTATTTAACTGAAGGCATCTCATCATGTCTCTCTGCTGACTTCCATTTATTGTTAACTTGTCCTCATAATAGATAGCGTAAACACGGCTACCACTACATTACAATGACAGTCGTCCCGCAGCCTCCCTACCCCCTTCACGAGTCGATTCGGGATCGGCTGCACCCCGAGTACGTCGCCTTCTACAACCAGTTCATCATCAACCAGCAGCAGGTACACTACCAACCCGTCACCGCGTCGCGGACCAGCGGTATATTGATTCCTGGCGGCGGCCCGGTGGTCGATGTCGGCAAAGTAGAGGACATCAGTGTCAAGCGATCGGAGACGGAGGGGCCTGATATCCCCGTGCGTGTCTTCACACCCCCTGGGGAGCGACCAGAAAACGGCTGGCCCGTTTGTCTCTATTTCCATGGCGGGGGGTGGGTGCTTGGTAACATCAATACGGAGAACACGGTGTGCAGCAATGTCTGTCTACGGGGGAAGTGTGTCGTTGTGACGGTTGACTATCGGTATGTTGACACTACTACTACTACTAATACTATACGGAGTACTTGTCGAAGAGAAAATGTGGCTGACTTATAGACTTGCTCCTGAATATCCATTCCCCGCTGCAGTTCATGACTGCTGGGAGGCCCTCCTCTGGTTGGTTTCAAGTGCGACAGCATCTGCACTGTCCATCGATACGTCTAAGCTGCTGGTTGCGGGCTCTTCAGCCGGCGGGAATCTCGCAGCGGTCATGACGCATAAGGCCCTTGCCCTCTCTCAAGGAGACAGCGAAAGTCATCGACCAATCCGGATTGTCAAACAGGTGCTGGTAGTCCCCGTGATGGACAACACCGCCACAGTCGCCAACAACTGGTCATGGCGAGAGTTTGAACATACTGCGGCCCTGCCTGCAGCCAAGATGATGTGGTACCGCAACCACTATCTGCCCATTGAGACGGACCGGGCCAACCCCGAGGCCAGTCCCCTGTTGTACGATGACGATGATAACTGGTCCAAACTGGCCCCGGCAGTGATTATCGTTGGTGAGTTGGACGTCCTGCGTGGAGAGGGCGAGACATATGCCGAGAAACTCCAGCGGGCTGGGGTCCCGGTCGACTTGCATCTCATGCAGGGCATGCCGCATCCGTTTCTAGCCATGGATTCAGTGTTGCAGGCTGGAAAGACGGCCATCACCCTGTTTTGTGAGGCTGCGTTGAGTGCCTTTTATTGATTGAGTTATTTGACGCCTGCCCTTGACTCACTCCTCGTTATCAGCAATATCTCAATATCTCCTACGAACACTTTATCCTATATAAAGATAGTAGGCGGCATTCAGTTATCAGGTATGGTATGATGGCGGGGATCAAATAAATGGTATATGCATCGCCTATCAGTCCCCTATCTCTGCTGCCGATATCAAGGAGTACACCCCTTCCACGATCCATGTCTTGACGCCACTTTCAACTTTAGTTTGAAGTTTTTGAGAGTACGGAATAATTATGGTCAACCTAACCACCTATCTAGGTAGTTTCAGTCCGAGCGCTCCGGCCCTGTACGACGGGACTCTCCAACCTTGACCCCTCATTCAGAGCTAGTAGAACTAGAGTGGCATGCTCCATATCAGTAGATTCTGCCGATATTATTGTGCTGGCTGCCAAGACGAGGCCTACGAATCCCCCCTCTGAACCTGCAGCTCTCCCGAAAATATTGTGGCATTTACACAACAAGCAAACCTCTGACACCTCCTGATTTATCAAGAAATAGCCTCCGTATGGTCTCTAGACGCAGGAATACCATGTAGTAGAGGATTCCAAGGCACAGATCATTGCTTCATGACTCGCCAGAGCCTACTAGTAACCATATATAATCTAACCATCTCGAGTATAGCGCATGGAGGTCCGTAGGAGTTCCGCTCTGCCCTCTGTATTAGGACTAGGCTCTAGTACTACCCTCCACTCTACCTACCAGCTAGCAACTTCAACTTGATTCCCCTCCAATTGATGCCATCTCATTCAGACCTGGTCTTATCTATGCCAGATTCCATCTTGTACCCAATGAATTACCTTTTATCTATAGATTATCAATGGTTGCCATGCTTCTGAACCTGCCAAACATTCCCAAAGGATCATTAAAGTGCTAGTACCCCTAGGGCTAGCAACTAACAGCCAATTTACACGCTCGAAACGCCACTGGATGGCGCAAGAATATCCACTCCGGTGGTGTCCTCAATTCTTGGGCTTCTTCCTCGGTAAAGATGGTACTACCTCCTAAAGGTGGTGAAGAAGACCCGATGGCGTGCGCAGGGCCAGAGCGGATAAGGGAGGAGGGGCTTGCAGCTTCCTCATTTTCGTGCTGCATGAGGTGGTATTCTGGGTCTTGTTCAGGGCTCTATAAGAGGCAAGGTATGTAAGGGACGGGGGGATTGACAGGCCATGTTGCATTGAACCAGGTCAAACAGGCTCTTTCTTTCTTTCTTTCTT